TCGGAGTCCACGAGATTTTCTCGGCAATTTGTGCCTTGTAAGAAACTTAATGCGCAAATATTGCCTATTGTTGAATATATTTTTCCTATCTATGGTGGAAGAAGTTAATCGATGGTTTTCTCTAAACCATTTGTTTGTCGCAAGCTATGCGGTGAACAATGCTATTGAAAAATAGTTGATGAAAAAGGACAAGAAGTGCTTTTTAAAAAATTTATTACGCAAAATGTGCTCATGATCGAAATGTTTTCATTGACAATAATAATATCCCTCAAGAAGAAAATTCATTAAAGACTTTATTTATGACAGCGTGATTTTGCTGTTGTTAGGGTAAATTTCCTTGAAACGGTCCAAAACATGATCCAAATCAAGCATCTCTGCGAGCTTCGCATGAATTCCAAGCAGCAACAGGGATTTCAACCGAGAGGAGCACGATGGTATTGTGGGTCATGCGAAGGAGCACCATGAAACAAAGTCACAGCTTTCACGGGAGCGAGAGGATATGATGCCACTATGATAGTAAAATTGCCGAAGAAAAGCCATTGAGAAAACCATAAACCAGCCAGTGCAGTTTTCTCCTCGATTATTTATGTCATTCAAACAACACGTAAACCGGGTGACATCCATCAAGTGCCGACGGTATTGAGAAAGCAAAAATTGATCGGCTGCCGACGGGGGGGCTATCAAAAATCTAGGGGGGGCTAAAGCCCCCCCTTGCCCCCCATGCCGCCACTCCTGCCTGGGTGACAGTAATGCTTCAAGGGGTGTAGGCAGGGCCGTCGCTAGCGGCATCCCCCTAGAAAATTCTTGTCGTCAAATTTCCGAAAAGTAGAGTTTTGTCGGGTTTTGCTTTCAAAGTTCCCAGAACAATAGCTTTAGCAAACAGTGGAGATGAGATGAGGATAACACCGAAAAAGTATCACCCAAAAGCCCTCAGCAATTAAAACTAAGCATAGATAGCGCTTGTTGTGTAAGTTTGCTGTTACTGCGTATGTTTATGTAACTGCGCATATCTGTTTTATAACTAACTAGAGGATAATTTACCATAATGCGTTCACAGTTCTTTTATTTTATGCCGTGGGAAATTTAGCGTGTATTATATCTACTTAATTATTTCTTTTTGATTGTATTCCAAATACTAACATCAGTTTGTTTGTTTATTTTGATTACCATAGATACGTTTACTAATTGTAACATGAGGGAGTGTTTAAACTATTTTATTCAGATTGGTTGTGAGTTGTTGAAGTGTAGTAGTGATTTTGATTGATGAAATGTTATGTTATTTGAAATGAAGTTATCTCCTTGAAAGTTGGAATCTGTACCGCGGAACCAGTAAAAATATTGTACAAAATGCAGCCAACCCTCCCCCCGCCCCCAACAAAAAGTATGAAGTGATGCCCCAGGTTCCAAGTACTTTTGGCAGGCATTCTAGACAAATGAAAAGATGACACATAAAAGGAATGAACAAACAGGTTGAATTTTTGATTATTTTCTTGGCTCAATTTCAGAACATCATATGTATATTAGGTTCGCTTGAAAATATTACAAAAAGTGTTAGACTAGGATTGTTATTTTGAACTGCTATTAGATTTTCTTAGAGTTACAAATAGAATCATTGTTTTGCTGTTGCTGTGAGAGCTACAACCGTCAATATTTGATTTGAACTGAGCATATTTTAACCTTTTCTTGCACTAGTTGGAGTGGCTCAAAAAAGTTTATCTGCCATACCCTGAACCGGGACCTTTTGGTTTGCTGGCCACCCTGCAATTATGACACTGAGCAAAACTGAAATATAGCAGAATTAAATGCTGAACAGTAAACCATAACTATACATTTTAACAATAACGTAGATATTTTCCTTCGTTTTGAATTATCTGCAATCACAAAATTCCTGAGAATGAATATTCGCAAGTTTTATCAATGATGATTAAAATCGTTACAGAACCAAGCCCATATCTATTACCTCACCCATTTTGTCGGTAATCCACTGGTTTTGCACCCCCCCCCCTCCTATGAAAATTATCTAGCAAAGGCCCTGCATCATATCGAGATCCAACGAGAGATAAAAATACTCATTTGTATTTCTACATGTTCAGCCATGAAGGCGTATTGAAACAGGTGTTAGGCGGACTGATAAATGCGATTAGAAAATGTTGGGACATGGGGTGATATTTTGGGGGAGTATTTTTAATGAAGTGGTCCTCTGATTTTGAAACTTCTTTTTCATAGCAAGGGTTAGTCATAGGCGTTCGCAATTAGTAAAATTAACCGTTCATCAGTAAAATGCGCGTGGCCTAGAATATTTCAGTTTGTCCATCAAGGAAGTCTTGAGACTGATACCGTCACTGGTCCTGGTTACATACTCTCTTTTCTCTTTTACATACTCTCAATTCTCTCTTTTCCATTGTTTGTGCTCAACCAAGATAGTATAACAGAATCATTTTCAGACAGCAAGAGTAGTTTTAGCAAAAGAATATGGATACATGGATAGTTTCCTAATTCCCCATCGCAATTGAACTTTTAATACATTCTTGATAACTTTGCAAAATGTTTTGACATCTTTAGAGAAAATTCAAAAATGTTAACTGGATGTGAAAATGTAACTGTTAACCATCTGAACTTGTTACCAACGGTAATTGAAAAATTTAAAATGTCGAACGCTGAACCTACTCGAAACCAGACAGTCAACAAATACCAAAAACCAGCTTTCAAAGGACAACCGCAATTAAATGGTCTGCCTCACTTTCTCACCATAATGTTTGTGTTTAAACACAAATCAAAACGAACCACTGGACACCATTCGTTAACCCTTGGATACCATATGGGTGTGGTTGAAATAAGAGGGTTAAAAAGAACTTTTTTAACCCAATTTAATGTTCAATACAAAATTTGCCGATGATTTACATAATTATTCATCTAACCTGCCAAGGTGTGAAACTACGAAGTTTTACTGAAGTTCTTCTTCATATAAAGTACAGCAATTCAATTAGTAGTAGCAGTTTTATATAGAAAAATCAACAGTTCGGTAATTAAACATCCAAAAAGCAACGGCGGTGATAATAGGTTCAATTTTACTAAACAACGATTCCACGTATATATATATATCTTACCTTTGGCTACTTGTTGCATTTAATGTCTTAATTGTAACTGGTTCGGTTGACTTTCAGAAGTGCACTGATTTACTCATTAAAAAAACCAGATCAATCTTGTGTATTTCAATTCTTATGTCTCTATTAAATCTTTTTTATCTGCTCGAAAGGACTCAATTGCTCCTGTACTTTCTTATTCTCCTTCGGAATTTCCCTTCTCAATTCCGTTGGCCCTTTGAGGCTCTGGTACCTTGGGTGTTCCTCGTTCAAACATTTATTTAACCCCCTTTCCTGATGTACCGATTAATTTCTACCAACCAGGATTAATTTAGCGTGCAATGTTTCTTCCTTCTGACCTTATTGCTGTGACAATAGGCAGTGTCTCTCATTTGAAAAAACCTTTCAAACATTAGCCAGAGTCAAACAAAAACGAGTTAAAAGCTGTCCGTTTTTGCATTGCATTCCCAGTAACCCATTTATGAAAAGGATAGGTTCAAAAACGGGTCTCAGAGTGGACCAGTTTTGATTGGGAATCTGGGAAATCCGTGGGTGAGTGGAAACGCCAATCCCGGGTAAGTGGAAATGCAAATCCCATTTACAACAAAAAGGCGTTTTACAGGAATTTTTATGGACTATTGTTGGAAATACCGATTTCTCTCACAGCTCTGTGTGCTTTGGTTTCTGTTTATACTTTTCTTAATCTGATTTATCTGAAAAGGAGAAGATACATTTTCAATCTCGATACATTTTAAGCCGGGTTAGTCGTAAGGATAAAAAACGAATTAAAGGTAATGTGTCCAGCTAAAGCAAGTAACTCTACGGGGGTTTTCAGAAACATGTGATTTTTCATGTCATCGTCCCAGCCATTACAGTCTTTCTGTTCATCTACCCTGCTGCGAGGTTAGCTTTTCATGTGAGCAGTTTTGCATCGCAAGAATACTAACCAATCGCAAACCGTTATTTTGATGTTACTTGACATGTTGGGTATACGCAGTCCTTTTATATGGACACATTACCTTTAAGAGTTGGCGTTTCCATTAACTCACTTTAAAAACGGATACATTTTAACCGGTTTGTGTTTTAAATTTGCAAAGACTGTCTGAAATTGAGGCTTGGCGCTCATTTTCTGTGACAATAACAATGTAATCCTTAAACTGCCATTTGCAAAATCAGGCGTTAATCTGAATCGATGTTGTATCTGGATAAATGAATGTACATGTTGCCTGGGTATTCAGGACACTGAGTAAATTTACATATAATCATCCACATCAAGTTAGCTAATTAGATATAAGAAGATATAAGAATGAATTTTCACGTCATGATGCAGTGAAATGGTTGTTTGATCAGCAAATAAATTTTGGATTTAAATTACCTCCTTCAAATCTTTAGATTACGACGGCCCCGAACGTTTCTTCCTCGCATTTGAGATCTCTTTCGCTACATTTTTGACCAGTAAAAAACCATAACAATAACAGTATTTAGAATTATCAAGGAAGCTATGTTCCTGATTCTAGCAAAAGATCATCAAAAACTCGCACGACGCTGCCTCGCGAAAATTTTATATCAAATTTTTAATGTCTAACTCTTTTGCTCTATAGGCCAAAGTGAATCGTGAAAGAATTAGCCAGAATTAGAAACACTTGAGCCATTTTAGTTAACTTCAAGGTTTGTTGTCTGTCTCTAAACATCATTCCGACCTGCTGAATCGATTTGCCTCGTTTTTTGCGGGGCGTGCGCAAAGTTCATAGGCATGCGCACGCAGAAATACGTTCTTGATCGATGTTCCTTAGGACCTTAAGACATCCAGCATTCAACAGCCAATCATGACGAGAAGAGTTAAGTCTTAATTAATAATTGCATCAGCGTAAGACCACATGCTTCGCTTTATCTATCTCGCCCACCAATATCCATCCATTATTGATAATAGTCAGTGAATGGACAGAAATGTTTCGGATCTGAAACTACACACATGAATGAACCACCAGTCAACTTTAAAACCAATTCATACAATTGCATCCAGTAAGGGGGTGGTGCAAATACCACGTGTGCACTGAAGCTGTCTTTCGGTATAACGGTGGTCTGTGGAGTAAATAAAGCTGAGCAGTACCTAGTAGCCGGTGCTTAAAGGAAACAACGTTGTGTACCGATTGGTGAACAAAGCGTGCTAACATAAAATAGACTTGCATATCGGTTTGAAGCTCTTCGTTCTACATTGTAAATCGCCTTCGCACTAGGCCAAACAACGCTGCAAGCATGCCTTCATCAGAAACCCAAGCACTGAAAGAAGAAGAAGATGTTCAGGAAGAAAACCTTGTTCTAGAAAAACTTCACAGCGACGAAGTCAATAAAGTAGAACTGAAGAAGAGTATATCTCTCGCCAACGGCGTCGGGCTGATAGTGGGCACAATTATTGGTGCGGGGATTTTTATATCTCCGGCTGGCGTTCTTTCTAATGCAGGCTCTGTTGGTTTGACGATGTGTGTTTGGTTCGCATGTGGAATTATTGCTTCACTTGGTGCTTTATGTTACTGCGAATTGGGCACAACTATCCCAAGAACTGGAGGAGAGTACGCTTATTTCACGTACATTTTTGGGCCCATACCTGCCTTTCTCTATTCATGGACTGCCATTTTGGTCGTAAAGCCTGCCGCCATCGCTGCTGTGTCAATGGTTTTCGGGCAGTATGTCACGAAACCGTTTTATCCAGACTGCGAGCCCCCCAGCTACTTGATCAAAATTATTGGTTTCAGTAGCATAGGTGAGTGAAGTTATTCATCACTGTTTTTATTTCGCTTTCGTAAAAACTAGGTTATAACTTTTTGCTTTTATCGCGATTGTAAACGTCTTGGAAACAGCTATTAATGTTTTGGTTCCCCCCGGAAAAAGTCTGTCCTTGGCCTAGTAAGCGGGCTAGTCTAGACCGTCCTCGAACAGTCACATGACCCACAAGATGATGCAAAACATGAAGCAAACTCCTCATGTTCCCTACGTGGATGTTGATTGGCTCCTTCTTTCAGGCTGAGTAATTTGATTGGCTACCAATGAAAACATTGCAATGTAATAAAAGGACATTTCCTATTGTTTGATTGTATGTAAGGGAATTGTGATTGGTTGTTTTGGAACTAGAATTGTTCTATATAACAAAGGCTCCCGATTTGTTTGGCGCGCTTACTGTGAGAAAGACACGTTCTACATGCCTTGTGATCAAGAGAGTACCAAAGTTGTACAGCGGGCAAGTTGAATGAAAGACTAGTGGTAGATATAATTTGTTGAAATAGCCTTAACTGGACATGTCTGACAGTGAAAGAGAAGGTCTCCGCACTGCAACAGATGATGCTGCTGAAAGAGTGTATTCTCCGCCAGAAACCGACATCAGGACAACTGGGGGACTCAAGAAAAGCGTGAGTCTTGTCAATGGAGTAGGTTTGATTGTCGGGAGTATCATTGGCTCGGGGATATTTATATCACCCAAGTCGGTTCTAGAAAACACCAATTCGATAGGACTCTTCCTCGTAGTTTGGTTTTTATGTGGGGTGATTTCATTTATTGGTGCGCTATGCTACAGTGAACTGGGAACAACCATTCCTAAGTCTGGTGGAGAATACTCGTACTTGTATGATGTGTATGGGCCTATCCCTGCTTTCCTGTTCTCCTGGACTGCTGTTTTGGTCATCAGGCCTGCTGCTGTGGCTGGAATTGCTGTAGTTTTTGGAGAATATGCTGTCAAACCCTTTTACGAGGATTGTGATCCACCAGTTTACCTCATTAAGCTACTTGCTTTACTTTGTATAGGTATGTATGAGTGCCGGGTCAATCCTATTAACATTCGTATCCTTATATCATTATCATTTATCGTAGTTGGACTAACAATTGAGAAGTTCGAAGAGATCATAGCCTTATGTCATATTATTTATATTCACATTTTGTATTGAACTGAGATCACGAGATGACATCCAGTGATATTGACCTTTGGACTAAGGACTGAACGGGGTAACAGGGCATTATTTTAAAAATTATTTTATGATTCGTGTGGAAGGTTTTTGCAAGATATTAAATAAAGGAGATAAATTTGTAAGTTACCTTTAATAACTTTATAGTAACTTAGGTAACTCGAACGACTTTATACCTGACGTATTTCTCAATCACGTGAGTCATGTGACTTGCTACCATACAAATCGGAACCTAGTCTCAGAAAGAAATATTGAAGGACTGATCAAGTGTAAAAATTGACATTGCCAATAGATTTCACTTCCTATCTGCTGTTGTATTGAATATTTTTTGTGAAGATTTTGACGTCGGATCTTGTTTACTGATTGATAGCAAGAGCGGCAATCCAGTATGGCAGCTGCATTCCCGAGAAAATTTTTCAAAATAACGGGTGCAAAGTGACTCAAAGTAAAAAAAATTTTCAAATATGGCAAAAAGGCTTTTTAAATTTGACCGCAACTGAGATTGAAAGATGATATGTCATTCTGAATTGAGTGATCCACTTGAGATCAGGGCTGCCAGTTCAGTGCGGCAGAACTGAAAAATAGAGGCATCCTTGCGAGGGGAGAAAGCGGAAAATTTTTGTGACCCTGTTCTTTAGATTAGCCTAAAATACGCTTCAGAATATTGGTTGCAGTCATTTTCTTGCAATTGTTTCATTGTCACATTCTACCATTTTTCCATTCTATAAACGAAATTACTATCATTGAACTATAAACGGATATATTCCATTCTTAAGATGGAATTCCTTTATATTGAGGCCCTAAGGCAATTTGCCCCCTTGTCCCTTTCACGGTGGCCCTGCTTTAGATCATCCTCATGATACTCTTAGGATGCTCATGTTTTTGGTCTTTTGAAACATGAGCTTTTGGCCTTTTTATTTGCCAAATCTTTAGGAATTTAAATAACAGCCACTGACCACTGATGGTAGTGGCAGGTAAGCATAGTTCAATTCTAAATCATGAATTTCCCTGGGATGTAAAATTGATGTAAACAAGAAAAGTGCCATACATAATATACACAAAATCAAGAATCGCTGAGAAATTTGATGCACACTCAAATGTGCACACTTATCACAAATGCACTCTTGCACTCCTGGGTAATAGCTTGTGCACTCCTGAGATCTTGTTGAAAACTGCCATTAAATCCAGACTGGGCGGCAATTCCACAACAGTGAGAAACACTCACATCGCATTCCAACTAACCCACTTGAAAAACGGATAAGTTTGAAAACAGGTCTCAAAGTGTATCACGAGCCACACCTTTATGGCATATAAAGTTACCTGGTACTTATTATCAAATGGTCTTGAGATAAGTTTGTGATGTGCAGTAAATTCAAAAGAGAGGCATTCTAACATCTTGTAAATGAAAATTACCATTCCCATGGAAGAGCACTGGTTTAAGATCAGAGGTGTAGTGCCAAATGCCAAGGTGCATTCCACGTAGGTAGGCCCCAATACAAGGGTTTGCATTGTGCAACATACAGCCCGTGGACATATTCTTTGGCCCTTGCTAAGTCAATTGGAGTACCATCATGCTGAGATTTCTATGATTCATTATTAAGCATATATACCAGGCTTTCATGAGAAAACATTTATCAATCATTTTTTATCATTGAAACCTATTTCTTCTTTCATTTTAGTCATCATCACCATTGTCAACTGCATCAGTGTCAAAGCAGCTGTCCGTATGCAAGACGCATTCACTTATGCCAAACTTGTTTGTATTGCAATTCTCGTGGTAGTTGGCATAATTGAGCTGGCCAAAGGTGTGAAATTGATAATCTTGTATAAATTATATAATAATCAAACTAGTTCTGCAAATAGTCATTAGTAAATACTCCAACTGTAAGCTATAGTGTTAAAAGCAGAAATTAATGTTTGGTTCTCTGCATATCCTTGGAAATTTTTCACCAATGGCACACCATCAATATATTTGATTTAGCACACAGAGATATATGTATCAACATTTTCAACCCTCATATTGGGTTTGATCTATTTTAGGTGGAGGCAAAAAGGCCTTTGATAATTCCTTCAAAGGGACCACAAGTGATTTTAGCAAAATTGCATTGTCTTTCTACATGGGATTGTGGGCATACGATGGATGGTATGTTAACTTTTGATTATAATTAACATGAGAACTCCAGACTTTTGACTTTTCCATATCCTGCAACAAATGTGAATATGTTCATGCAGACAATGACCCTTTCAAACCTATGCACTATGATATTGCTTATCTTTTGCCAACAACAAATTTTTAGAATGATAACCAAGGCAAGGTATTAATCATTGTGCACTCCAGGGGCGGCTGGGAGTAGAAAAGTATTGGTATTAGCCTCCGAAATTAAGACATAAGAAGGTCCCTCCGCAAGGTCCTTAAACTATTTAACAGGGGTGGAGCTTATATGTTCTTATTTAAGAAGGTGGGCAAAATGACCTTTTCGATATGATGGTTTAAAATAGCTTTTGGCAATACCATATCTTACAAAATTATTTGAAGGCACTGGCCCCCGTTGTCTCCCCCCAGACACTGATGACCCTGTGGTAAAGTAGTTCATCCTACTAGTTTTGGGTGAAGGATCGGTCCTACGAAATACAAATGAATTATGGCTGCGGCAAATTACTCGAGCGAAATCGTGTTTTGATACAGCGGTTTGCTGCCCAGTAATGGAGCCCCAAGGTATTAGCCCATTAATTCTAATACCATGAGGCTTTTGGCCCGCGAATGAGATTCTATTACGATAAAGCAAGCGATTTACTTTAGAGTAATGCAGCAAAAAAACGTAAGATGTATCATTTGATTTGAGAAACCGAGAGAAATAATGTGAGAATGTTGCCTGTGACTCTACGGTCATATAGAATCAAAGTTTTACAAAACATACAGTTCATACAAAACAACTTTTACAACTGCCTTTAGCTTAAACAAATTATTTCATGACTGTTGCTCTTTATATTGAGTGTCTAAATTTTGTCAATCAAATTATCCATCCAAAGGCATTGCTCGCAAAAGTACAGCTACATTTTGTAAATTCATAAAGTTAATTTGCAGAAATATTTTTTCTATAAGCTGAGGCCTTAGAATAGAGCTGGGGCTCTTTCCACCGTCCCTTCCACTGACAGTGGCCCTCGTAGTATTAGAAATGAAAAACTAATACCTTACTGCTGTTCACCCATTCTTCGACCATGGCTCAACAAGAGAAATTCACGTCATGCAGACCACAACAGACAAAAGAAATTTCGGGGCAGTGTATTAGTTTTTGGAGGCTAATACCATGGCCAGGGCTGCTGATTACGGCATTGATTACACTTTTCAAAGATTTCAATGAGGATTAGCAAAGCTTTCATTCAACGAACAGAAAAGCAAATATAGCTTGGCTATATGAATAGAGCTGGTCGCATCGATAAAATTGTTGTGAAAAAGTGGCAGCGTACAAAAAGCAAAATAAATTTCCTGCAATCTCAGAGACCATAAGTCGCCTTCCTTTGAAAATAAAAAGGTATTAGACTAATACCTTTAATACCACCCCACGCCGCCCCTGGTGCACTCAGTTGTCAAGTCAAGTCTACTGTGCTGCATTCATTGAAATGTGGATAAACAGAATAGTATTTGATGTATCACAACCTTGCAGAGGAATTCCTTATTGCTTTCTTTCAAAGCACTATAGACTCTTATGAAACACAGCAGAAGAACCAACATTAGGGACCTTTGCATGTAATGTCAATTATTTTATTTCTTTACATTGCCCATTGTTGTTTTTCATAGGGGGGGGGTGCTCTTGCCACCAGGGTTTAAGTTGGTGATCCACTAAAAATATTTAAAAAAATTCAACACAGGAGATTTTTCAAAAGGCTTTATAAAGTATATATATAATAGATAGAATTTGATAGATTATTCAAGCTGAATCCCCATTAGGATGCATGGATACCCTATCAATGTCTTCAATAATTCTGCTGCTTTTTGTCCTGATCTTGGGCATCTTCTTACATTTGTATTTATGTTTCTCCTAATTTGATGCTAAAGCTTTGAATTATGTTGGAATTTGTTTGGGCATTTCTTTAACTTGTCTTCATGTTCACAGGAACACACTGAACTATGTAACAGAGGAAATGAAGAAGCCTGCAAGGTAAGATTTTTTTTAAGAATGCCATTGAGAAATAGCTAAATGTGAAATATTCATATACATAAAGTAAACATATATAATATGTGTTTTATCTTCCCACCTAATATGAAATCAAAAACTAGGCCTGTCCAGCAGCCGGCTGTTTGGCAGATGAAAAATAAAGACTATAAGAACTTTGAATGATTTATGTGTATTTATTGTTGTTTATTCACGGCTTATTGCAGTGTTTCATTTTTGCTACATATAAGAACTTTGCCTGGAAACTGAACTGTTATTTTAGCCTTGTGTTAGAGAATATATTTTATTTTTCTTTGTTATTTTCTGTATCTGTTTTATCCTTTGTTTTGAAGAACAAACTGAGAAATATTCTCTTCCATCTGTTAGTTTTGTATTCAAAATTAAAATTAAGTGACAAAATACTCTACAAATTCCCCTTGCTCACAAGGTTGCTGATGTCAATGATACATTTCTTCACTTCTGATTTAACACAGGGATCTACCATTATGTCTTGGCATATCAATGACCGTGGTTACAGGATGTTATGTCCTCATAAATATCGCATACATTGCTGTCTTGGGTAAAGATGGAATTCTGGAGTCAGCAGCTGTTGCCTTGGTATTTTATTCAAACCTTCCTTCCTTGGACTCCATTGGTAATTTTTCTTTAGGCTCGCGGCACTGATTGGTCAACTATACCGGTCTTGTGCTTGCATTTTTCTGATTGGCCTATTTCAATCCACAACTGGGTATATATTTTTCCATCGTGTTTTTTCGGAACCTATTCTGGCGTTTAATGCTCTGAGGAGTGTCAGACGAAAAAGCTTTAAGTATGTTGTAAAATGTTTGCTTTTTTCAAAGCCACTTCCTTATATTGCTTTATGTATATATATATACTATATATAATATATATATATATATAATATATATATTATATATATATATATATATATATAATATAATTTTTTTTTGAAATTCTCATATGGTAGAGGGTTTTGTGCCAAGGAAAGTTAAAATTGAAGAGTATGCTACTTTCACATGGCTGGGTGAATTTACAGGAATATTAAAATTGACATGGATGTGAAAAGCCAGCGACTGTTACACTGTACAAAATGGTTATAGATAAATGCTGATATTAGAAGCTAAAATTTTTGATAACCATAATGAATATATAATTCAATTGTATCATATACTTGTCTTTAACCAAAAATATATCACAAGTAAAGTGTAACACCACATAATGAACAGACACTAATGCAATCTCAAAATGGGTTGCCTCAGTGTAACAAGTTCTCAAGAATTCAATTTTCTGCTATCTGCTTATTGTTTCTCTTTTCTTTTCCAGAGTGTGGGTAACATCTACCTTGGACCTATGAAATGGATTATTCCCATTCTTGTTGCTGCTTCAACATTTGGAGCTGTAAATGGATGTGCATTCAGCAATGGAAGGTATTTTGTCCATGAAAATTTATATTCAGAACATATTTTATTCAAAATAGACTGACCTTTGAAAATAAGCCCTTTTGAAAATAGTTTTCAAGTTGACATTCTTGCAAACACTTCCAAAATAAGCTAACCTTGAAAATGAAGTGAGGCCCAAATAAGGTTCCATATATGCAGACTACCACTACCCAAAGGGGGGGGGGACATATGTTAAAGGAATGTTACTAAGGTTCTAAGTTACATGGAGTTTTTTCAAAACCCACAGTAACAGTTTTTAAAGAACATTTTACAAACATTTGAATGCTTTTTGCAGTCCTCCTTATGGTGCTTTTAAATCTTCCTTCTTAATGTATAATATCATTCTATCATGATAATAACATCATTCAAAATTGAGCCATAACTTTTCCTTTGAGAAAACAATAAGCTGCAGCTTCATGTGGGGCGGGGGTTGCCCATTTAAATGTGTCCCATTATCCATATTCTGTGCGAGGAGAGGGGTTTAGGCTGGATCCTAGAAAGTTCTTAAACACTAACAATTGTGCACCTAGCAAGTAACACAATTCAGATGCCCAGTTCTGCTTTTAATTTGTCTGGCATTCTTCAGAATTGATAGAGTATTATTTAAAGTAGCTTTGGAAATTTGAATGGCAATTGAACAACTAGGCCTTTACTGCAGTCTTGAAAGCCATGGACATTATCCCAGCTTTGAAAATTTTTTGTCTCTTTTATACTTTTATAAAACCTCTTTGTTCCTTGAACTTCCTTTTAGAACCTTGAAGGTTGAATACCCCCTCAAGGGCTTAGTAGAGACACTTTTTATATACCTAATCATGAGATGGTGTTGAGTGCATATAGCTTTATAAGTTGTATCTTTTTCAGACTTGCATTTGCTGCAGCAAGGGAAGGCCATCTACCTATTGTATTGGCTATGGTTCAAACTGAAAAGCACACCCCACTTCCATCATTAGCCTTCACAGTAAGTTTTCAACTTTGATTATGGTATATTCTTTTTGAGATCATATCAATTATACAGTCATGTTTAATTTGAAGTCAGTGGTAAGAGTTCCTGATATTATGAAGCTTTCAGTCAAAGTGAGAAGAGTCATTAGCTCTTTGTAATCCAGGGCCTAGAAATCAGAAGGTGTTGTTACATCAAGAAGAAAGACCAGGACATTGCTTGATGAGCACATATTTTGACCACTGAATACTTCCTTCCTTCTGAGATATCCTATTAGGAAATACAAATAATTTAGATCTATTTATCTCTTGAAAGAGGTAAAATAATAATGGTGACAGGAATGCTCTAACAAGAAATCAAGATAAAGATAATAAGTCGTTATGTTATAACTGGTTGAGGGAAAGAGCTTAATTATTTTGGTCAAACCATATTTTTATTTTAAAAAATGTGTTATACTCATCAATGAAAGGAGTTGTTTCCTGTTATTAGGGATAATTATTAGGGATCTTTGACCTCTGCTGTAGTTGGCAAGGAAATATGTCTTTGCTGGAAACAATAGTTAATACATGATCCTGATAACTACAGATAATAACTACATAATGAATTGATATTTATATATGCTTTTGTTTTTTGTAGTCTTTCATCGCTTGTCTGTTGTTGATTCCTGATGCAAGCTCCTTCGAACTCCTCGTTGAATTGTTCAGCTTCTCGTCATGGGCATTTTACTGCAGTGCATTCGTTGCATTGCTGGTTTTAAGATACAAAAAGCCAGATATACCAAGACCCTACAAGGTTTGCTTAAAAAGTTATCCTGTTAGTTTTGTCAACTAGCACCAGTTTAGTAACTTCTTGTAAAAGTTCTAGTATAATAAGATTGTTATTCGTTTATTCGTATATAGGGTTTATATTTTTGTTGAATTTTCAATTCTACTCGTATACTTATATATAGCAAGTAAGCCACTGCTTGCCTTTAGTCATTGTCCGTGGTTTATACTCTGAGCAGTGTAAGACGAAAAGTACTTCAATATTCTTTGTATCAGTGGAGGCTGGTAACCTCTACGGTACTGGATGAATGAGGTCTAGTACCGTGTGTACATAAAGGGCTTATTCAACGCCAATCTTTCAGTGAGAATTAAGATAAGGAGGGTCAGAATTAAAATATGGTGTATTCCCTTGCTTTACCCTTTTTGCCATTAATTCAATTATCATAGAAAACTGAAAACCACACAATACAAAAATATTTCGAGCTTTCAAAAGAAAATGGTACTAGACTGGTACCACTAGTACCGCTGCAAGCCGCCACTGCTGTGCATCTTCAAATTTCGCTGTAGTAAAGTCTTATTTGGCTATAAATTATACATTGAGAAAAAAGTATCTGTAAGCTTGTTTTTGTCAAAGATGTTTTACATCAATCTCTTTTTTTGTAGGTTATCATTGTCGCACCAATCCTGATGGTTGCTGTATCGATCTACTTGGTGGTTATGCCCTTCAAAAGCTCTCCAGTAGGCTGCTCTATTGCCCTGGGCGTAATTCTTCTTGGTATTCCTGTGTATTTTCTTTTTGTCCGCTACAAGTACTTGCCAGACTGGTTCTTCAACGGAATAGGTGGGTCTACACTTCGAATTACAAGGAATTTCACGCAAATTTTGCTCGTGCATTTATTTCCAATGCCATTTTAATTTTTACACAACTGGCCAATTATTTACGCTGAGATGATTAGAAAATTCAATTGATTGTTTCTCGATGAAGGTGAGGTACAGTGGAAATTTAGCATACAAGGTCGGGGGGGGGGGGGGGTTCAGATTTTATTATAGATGTGGACACGAGTTCTAGGCTACCCTTTTTCTCTGATGTTAGATTTCATCTAATAACAATTAGGACTGGCCTGCTAATGAAAAAGTTATTCTATTTTTAGATGCGTTTACAAGGAAATGTCAAAAACTGTGCAACGTTGCACTGATGGACAATAGAGAAGACAAGGTCGAAGAGGAAATGACCGTAACATGAAAACGTGCCATCTTAGGCTACTTTAATTACTATTATTGCTAGTATTTATTACTTAAGTAGGCTATTGCAATTTCTAGTACTGAATGGAAAGAATTGTCGAAGATAATACACTAGCATTGCAAAGACACAGGGGAAATGGCTGGTAAAAATGATGCCATTGAAAAACATGATTAGTTTCATATCAACCGTAGTTTTGAACAAAATATTCATAAAGTTTTCAAAAAATTTATATTTCGCGTTTGAATTGCATACCAGTTGCATTTTAATGATAAAATCTAGAGTGACTTGCAATGTTGGTTCTGGCCTCCGCAAAAATTATTGTCACAACCCAATTATATAATGGAGGTGATTTATGCTGTTAGACCGTTGGTATAAGAAAAATACTGTTGTTTTTATCATGTGAAACGTTGTATATTCTAATCATGAAATTGACGAAGAGAACAGCTTAGGCCTATTGTTTTTACTTTCGTCTCTTCGGCTGTCTGAATATCATTGACCAGTCAGCCTGTCCTTGTGTGACTTTAATTAAACTCATCTGCCGCATCGGCGATGCATTTGAATTTGTCCTTAACAACCCTTTAAGTAAAGTATTACTTGCAGCAGTATTAATGTATCACTGGATAATTGCGGATCAACGAAATCTAAGATTGCAAAATTATTTGTACATTCATTACCGAATTGACAATTCACTTTGAAATATTTTCACTTTGCAAATGGGGTATTACATTTTCGTGTGTTCTTGTAAAAACATACTACATATTTTTTTAGATTGTTGTTTTTCGTCAATTGGATATCCTATTAATTTTTAGTTACTAGTGTTTATAGTGCGTGATTTTAGGCCAATGTTTTGTGCCTTAAAAATCACGTGTTATAGTTATGTGTCAAAATGGATCCTCTCTTGTAATTTAACGATTTTAATGTTGTTTCAAAGATGGTAATATATTTAGCATCAGAATTGCATTCATTAGTTTGTTGTATTTCTGCTTTTAAGCAAATTTTTAATCCGGTATCTAAATGATGAAGATATATCGCGAGCTTGTGGCAAGATTAGGCATATCATATTAGGCAAGATTAGGCATATCAAAATATATCTTCTAGTTGACCCTGCTCAACAAGTTGATCTTCAGTTTAACTTTGAAGGTTGTTCTGGATAATCATCGTGGAGTTCAATATATAATGCATAGCAAGTTTAGCATAAAGTATTTTGTCGCTTTCAAGAAATATCGAAAACTGTTTTTTAAGATTTCGTGACGGGTCGCCTTCCGAACAGCGGACGAGATTTTAAGGGGATCTTCCTCGAAGGTAAAAAAATTTTTGCAAAAGGTGTAAGAGATCTTCGCAGACTGATATGCCGTTCGATGGAAATTTGATGAGCAGATGAACTAAAAAATAGAAAGTTGATTGCAGCTGGGTGAAGTTTTATGGATTGAATCAAAGAAAAATGTTACGAATCTGAGTTAACAAATTTCAAAGCGTTTGTTAAGTTTGAGATCTTTGAAGATTTGAAGATCGAAGTTAAAATACTAGCTGAGCCCACCGGTAATGAAATAAGCTAGCTCTAACGGCCTTCTTCTGTACTTTAAAAATTGTATATATTTGGCCCCGAACAATAAGTTATGCAATAATACCCCCAAAATAACCCAATAAATTGTAAGAAGGACAGAGCAAAGAACTGTTCAAGCAGAGTAAAACATCAAATGGAAGTACGTTTTTTATTTTGAAAAATAATCCAGAGATTCTAGCTGACATCTATGTTGTCACACTTTTTTTTAATAATCAGTAAATTGAAATTTAGGCTGGCTGTCCTTAAATTTCGATAAAGAACTGATCTGGATTGTTCTTAATTTGTTTTTTGATTATTAGGATAGGTAGGTCTTTAGGCCTCGTTTGCCAACAGGTTTAAAGAGAGACATCCTTCATTTGGCGGTAAATTTGAAAATTCACCTAAAAAGTACCCATGAATAAAAGCGTGGATCTGACCAACTTTGTGGTGTTGTAAATTAAAATTGTGGATCTGCTATTGTGTGGATTTGTCAATAGTGAATTTTCTGAAAAGTGCAGCATAGAATTCCAATCGAAACTTTCAAAATTGAAGAATTGGAATTAGAACAATATTTTTCAACGCAGAGCGAAGAAATTAGAAAATTTATTATTATTAGAAAATTGCTTTATAAGTAGTGAGTAATGGAGGATAAGAAAGAACTAAGAAACTTCAGAACTGGAAGCCTTGGTACATGCGGAAAAAAATCAATTGCGCTTAATGAGATTTTGAAGATCATGCTGTTTTGAAGTGAAGTAGGATGGACATCATCTCCAGTTTGTGAGGGGAACTGGTGCAAAAAAGACAGCATTCTAGTGCTTTTAGGGGTAAAATCATGAAACTTTGCATAAAGAAAGTTTATATAACAAAGAAAAGATTTGGTCTTGAACCCACCCAAAAATAACGTGCTTGTGTATTTTGGGGACCATAGGAACAAAAATTTATTTTGTCAAAAGACATTTTTGAATACATCATTAAAAGATCATGAAAAAAAAAGTAAAAAATACCAAAACACTACAACTGTAAAGGCTGATTTCCGCTAGGCGAATTCTTTCGCGCGAATCGAATTTTTGCCAATGTGAGCATGCGTGGTGTCATGTTCTCAGATTTCGCAGCGAAAAAATTCGATTCGCAGAAAGTAGATCACGGTCCTACTCTATCGCTACGAATATTTATTCGATTAGCGCGATAGAATTCGTCTAGTGGAAATCGGCCTTAACGATGGATGGTAAAAAGTAATAGGGCCTCAAAGTTTCTAAAACCAGGGGGTAAAAGCCATGATTTCGCTATAATTTTTTGGCTAAAGAAGGACAAAAACTTGACTTTCAGTTTACATGAAGGCCTCATTCAAAAAAGCATGCTATATTGCAGTACCTTGTTGAGCACAATAAACATTCAGGTATTCTAAAGCTAATTAAAAGCCATATTATTTCGATATTTACCCCCTGGCCTTGTTTGATATACGTTTTCAAGTAATTTTTTGACAACAGTCGTGCCTCAAAATCAAAATTTAGTCTATTTCATGCAGGGAAAATTTCCAATTTTTAACTTCCAATGGTGTGGTGGCCATGGGTAGCTAGAAGCTGATGACCTCTGGTTTGAGAAGGGTAGGACTCTTAAGAAATTGTGGTGTACTTTTCTGAACAGTAGGCCAAAACAGACACTATATGTTTCTTGTATTTTCGTGTGCTGGATTTCATCAGAAACTTGTCTCTTGGAGCTCCCAAAAATTCGAAAACCATTTTCTTCTTTCTGATAAACTGAAGCCCTTCTTATTCAACAGCTTTACTGCATTAGAGAGTTTTTGTTAATAAGAAAAATTGGTTGAAATAAGTTCTTCTCCTTAATTTGAGGATGCTCTAAGGGATATTGCATGAATCGTTAATGACTATATATTAGAACAATTTTAACGTTCACAATCCCAACTACATTTCCACAACGCTTTACACTTGAGGGACGCTTTCTCTATTTGCATAAACCTTTGCTTCCCTTTCCCTTTATTACACCCGCAGCGGATCAGCTCCTGACAAGTCTTGGCTGCCACTGGAAGAGTCATCCATAAAACCTTGTAACTGTCGCCAGTAAATCTCTCACCCAATTTATCTTGATCCTCAAGCTTGGCATTTTTTATCAGTGAATTGATTGAGCCCAAAAATAGCTAGCTTGATATACTGCGCATTTGAGATGCAGAGAAGCATGTCAGCTGTCGGAGGCATTCCATCGACGAACGGTCCGCTTCTGGCAAACAAATCTTTGATGCACACATGATATACACTAGACCAACTGAATGAGCCCGTCGGGCATCTTGTTTATTGATAAGTTGTACTTTCTAAGACGGTTTTGTATTTTTACAGTAATTGAAGTCTTCACTGAATTGTAATGTTTATAAGTACGGAAAGAAGCAAACATTTTCTGGAAGGGTGTTTTCCGGCATTCTAAAGGGCGTGATCTCAACTGACTTTTGAGGCAAACCCCCAGCCTCCATGGGATAAAGATCTTTTTTTCAAACTACACGATAAATGAAGGAGAGGAAGCCACCAAAACTTGTACATCACTGAGAGAAGAGATTATTTGCCATCCGCAATCAGGTTCTCGTTAGCATCAACATTCTTGACGCAAAGTTTTGATGACAAGGAATTCATTGGGCTGAATGCAATTAAAAACTTGCGATTAGCAAAACGAGACTTAAACAGTTTCACCCAGCTTTCAAACCAGACACGAATTGAGCTGAATTATCATATTTGAAAATATTTATGCTTGATCATGCAAGTTTCGAGTTCCGTTCAGCTGCAAAGATACGGCTCCAAAAATACCCGAGTAATTCTGCTCCAAAATCTGATAAACAAGATTGTTTTCAGGGGGATTCTTAGGCGCTTGGAAGAAAAAAACAACTTTGACAGAGATCCGAAAAACGGTGTAAAAGGGTTCCCTTTCGATACCTTTTTGCTGACAAATTTCATAGAGCGTTTTGAAGCACCACATTCAAGTTTGATGTATAGAACTTGGTCCCTCCACCTCGAAATTCATGGTGTTGGCCCTGAAAAAGTCAGCTTTTGTTATAATACTTCGTGTTTAGGATCTTTGTGACTAATACTTCATGTTTAGGATCAATTAGAATATGCTATTGACACTAAGGTTGCGGCTTCCAGATATTATCTGTATTTTCCACGCCCATTATGTAAACCTTAACAAAATAGCTACCATGCCCAATTTATATGAAAATAAGTGGATCTGTAAACATTTCATATCTTAGGCACTGATACCTAGTCCACTGTTGGCTATCGCACTAAAACTTTATGACTACTTTACTAAGTTGTACAACTGAAACTTTGTTTTCTGGCGTAATCTGACGTGCTTAGTTAGATAGAAGAGTATATGTCCAGTCTGCGAAGCAAAGAAATAAACTAACTAAGAACATATTAAATATAATTTAAGACATAACTTGCTGTGCTAAATACTTTATGAGACCTTGTTGTTTGCTTTTTGCCAGTTGAGCTGTGAATAGTTTGCCAAGTCTTTTTAGGTAAGCTTCAGTCAGAGACACTATTACTATCCTTGATGTCGAAGCGAGAAGCAATGCCATGAAAAACCAATGCCTTCTAAAGAGACACTACATGGAAATCCGGGGTAAATGTTATTTCTTTGGGTTTTCAGGAGGAGTGAGTACTTAAGCTCTAAATTTTGACTCCAATTTAGTTGGGTATATAGGGGCTCCAAACACTACTTTCAGCTTCTGCATTTAATAACGTTCAACCTTTCTGAATGATGATATATGATTCTCGTTTATCTCTATATCCATATTTTCCTGTGGCCTACACGCTGTTTTTTCCGGAAAAATTTTCTCACTGGCCTCTTTTTCCCGAGGTTTGGAGAACTTTCTAAAAATATGAACATGCATGGGTGTGCCATAAAGGTGCCATCGACATTGTGGCCGCGATTCGCCCACTGCCAGACGTCAACATTCACCTCAATTCACAACTAAAGTTCCTTGATGTCTTTCACCTAGGGTTCCTGATTTCTCACCTTTGTGTTGGAGGCAGTGGGGGCTAGACACGGAAACAAGACTTCAGTTGTCCATAAAAGCTGTTTTTATGGTTTATACTGTCCAGGTTGTTCATCTTCGAAGAAAAATCAACACCAACTCTATAAAGAAGTGCAACTTGCCGCAAGCTGCCTACTTAGGACTATTCAGAGAGTGAGAATTAGCTGGTACTGTTATTATCAAATTGACCTCAATTGAATACGAAAGTTTCTTTTTTGAATAGTGTATTCACACAATGTTTAAGATATGTAAAACGTATCCTCTGCACACATTCAGGGTATTTTTCTGTATGTGCTGTGTCGTATATGCTTATTTACATTTTCGAGAGCTCTGAACTGGATAAGGATATTGTTGCTAGTAATAAGAGATAAAGGATCGAAAATTGAGCCATAATTTAGCTCACTGCAAAATTATGACGGAAATCGACAAAAGGGCCTCTGTCATAATGAACAACTTTGCTGGGAACAATGAAGCGAAAAAAGAATATGATTTGCCTGGAAAGAAACCCAAAACCCTCCCTCCATTAAAAGTCAAGAGTGTTCCTCAAGAAGGTCTCTCTTCCTCTACAGTACTTAGAGTTAAGCCCTTGCAGCCTTTAGAAGGTGGAAAGTCTGCATCTAGTCAAGTCAGTAGTAAGTTGTTTTGATCAAATCAATCAAATTGTAAGTCTTCTTTTGTTAGGCGAGCAAAGTCCGCATTTACACATTGAAGAAGAAACAAAATATTGCAGTGTAAGAAGTTTACTTAAACACAAGAGGGTTTTTTCTTTGTTTGATGAGCACTTGACAATTTCAGTGCAATGTTTATATGCCATGCTTTAAAAATTGTGCCTTAAAATTTGCAGCCCAATGTGACTAGAAACTCGCAGGTATCCATGCAAATATTTCCACTTTCAATGTTGCTACATTAGACAGGCTATGCACAGACAAATATCAAATGGATAACAACAGAGGCAGCACCAAACGAAGCTTTAAAAGGTTGTGTATGATAGAGCAAGGTTACCAAAATGTGTCAAAATGGCCCTGGAACAGTTTTGCTTTCTTATTTGCTTCAAATCCCTTGTAGCAGTGTCAAAATGGGAGCTATCAGACACTAACATTTGAAAATGTGATTTTCATTCCAGCTAAAAATGTAAAGAATAGAAATCATTCAAAAAATTTGAAATATCAGTGATAATGACGCATAAAATAGAAGACTTTGAAGAGAAACAATTTAATTAAATGCACATCTAATATAAATGCTTTATTTTCAAGCTATGGCAGAAGCTGCATTGGAACATGATCATCTCCTTGAGGATGGTGAATCTGAAACCTCATTCTCTTCACCAGAAAAAGCCTATGATCAAACTGGGAGGACGACACTTTTGGACCTTAGTTTGTCATTAAACGAGCAAGATGCCCAAAAAGAAAAATCATCAAATGGTTAGCTTTAAAGTTTTAATATCCTTATCAGTATATAGAATAAATTTTGTTTTAGAAATTCCAATAAAGAAAAGGATTTGATCACCCTTGTTTTATTGACAGTTACACAATGCACTGTAATTTCAAGAATGCAAGAAGTTTCCAACAATTATAAATCTCACCAGCATTTTCATTTTAGATGCAAAAGGGACAGAAAGAAAGATTTCTAAAACTGGGAAGGAAATTATGAAGAATGCAATTGATATAGATAGCCCTGATGGTGATAAAAAGCCTGAAGTTTCTCAGCCTAATAAAAAACCAGGTTTAAAGAAGTCACAATCGTATGGAGCACCATCTAATGTTAACTATGTCACACCAAAGCAGAAATTCAAGCACAGTTTGTCTGTCAATCCTGCCCATGATAAAAACTCAAAAGGTATGTGTTTACAGGCCTTGCCCAGAAAGGCGTGCGATCGCACTCCAGTAAGATATTTGAATAAAGTTAAATTTTTAAACAAAAGGCTTCCAGTTTAGACAAGATTTTTGCCATAACTCTTCTGATCTACACTAGTAAATTTGGTGTCTTCAGCAAGAAAAGTTAAGGTGTTTTACATTGATGTTACTTAAACTCAAACCACCTTCTCAAGTGACAGCAGTTATATGATTTATAAGATTTGTACGAGAGTTTGTACCAGTAATCTTTTAAAGACATTTTTTACTTGATTCTATGCCCGGTCTCTTTTAAGGCCATGCCTAAAAAGAACACCTGTTCATTTGAAACATTATTTTTCATGCATTACATATTCCTTACCGCCTTCATGAAAAGGGTAAATCTTTGATCAGCAATACAAACATATGTAAACACTTTTGAGAGTGAAATCATTTGAAAATGCATTGTTTGTGTGCAAACACAAAGCTTTTTGATTCGTATTCATTAAGGATGAAAACACAACCTTTGGAAAACCCGGTCTTTAACCTGGTCACACAAATAAATACGACATACTATGATACCCAGGATGCAATGCTCTGGAAAATGACTTGATTTGTTATTTTTCATATTGTTCTTTGCAATATTTTGCGTCAGAGCCCCCGTCTCTATTCTCGTAGGACTACACGCCTTATCTTACAGTATTTGGCCTTCTGCTCACAAAGAGGACTATGATGTCAAATATAAGCAGTGTAGTGTTTTGTGTAAACCATGTGACAATCTTGATATGAATTGACAAGAAGGCTACTTTTTGTTTTGTAATGAAAAAGTTGTCTAATAATGACCTTCTTGTGGTGGAACAAATCCATGCTGTTGATGAAACCAGAAATTATACTACAAGAGTTCTTTTAATGATGAGGACTTATAAAACAAGAGTGAGATATTTTAAAAAATCTAAATGTATTTTTAGGGTTTTAATTTTGTTATTTCCTAATCTGGTCCTTTTTGGTTTCCCCATTTAATTTCTTTTTAACACTCCTCCCAAGGATACTCCATACACCAAGGATGGTATATGGAGCACCTTTGTTCAGGGGCGGACGCTTGATCAAATATTGGGGGGCAAGCCTATTGTTTTAATAAGATGACGTCACATTTCCCATTGTTTTAGAACATTGTCCTCTAAAGTATTGGGGGGGGGGGGGGGCGGTCGCCACTGGCCTGGTTCCGCCACTGGCCTGGTTCTAAGAGGTGTTTGTAACTGAAAAAAGCCTGGAATAGGCCTCTTAAAGTTGTCTTATGGTATAAAGAATCTCAAGTTTTCACAATCTTTTTAAGATAACTATCATTATCTTGATATTCAAAAGTTTAATTTTTTTACCATTCTACCGCCAGAAGTCATGCAAATCATCAAAGTTTTAATTTTAAATATGGTGTACGATAATTGTAAATATGGTTATCCACAATATCAAAATTCTATGTTTAGTTACAACTTACCCAAGTCAGAGTTGGTCTTAGCAAATTGAATTTTCACAACTTCAAGTATAACTTTAGGGATACCATAAACCCAATGTGCCCCACAGCAATGGGATCAAGGATATTTTACAGAATAAAAGTATTTTACTTATGCCACTTCAGATTTTTAGGGGAGGCCAAGGTCCCCCCCCCCCCCGATATCTCGGTCCTTCGTTTGATTGAGATCTTTGACAACCTGAGCACTAAACAACCACCAAGTCCCTTAACTTAAAGTAAATGATCATTTATTCTTTCTTTCTTTCTTCTTTTTGTTTTTTGTTGTTGTTAATTCTGGTTCATATTAGATGTCAGGCAGTTTTACCACCATAAACTTTGAAACGAGTCGGGTTCGTGACTTTTAAATGCTGACCTAGTTTAACATTGCCTGTTGGCCATGGGGTAGCTAGTATCTTTCGTCTCTCTTTGGTATCATCCATGTGGTGTAGTATAGTAACTAGGATAAGTATGGTAGAAAGTAACATGTATTGTAATATTTTCTATGTATAGAAAAAAAACTTTTTCAATTTAAAAGTACACTTAGTTAATAACCTCTTCCAACAGGCACCACGGATCAAGGGGGCTGGGGGGGGGGCTGGGAGGCTTTAGCAAAATATTAAGTATCAAACTACCAGAAAAGCCTCTTTTTATACGGTTTTAGCCCCCCCTCCACTTTTTTTAGACCCCCCACTTTTGTCAACGCTCTGCTGTGCCTGTCCAAATGGTGATTTTGTAGACAAACAAAATCTTTTATCTTTTGAATGAACTGGAAAAATCTTAATCTTGATTAATTTTATCATTTTAGGCTTAAACATTGCTGTTTTCCTGAAAGAAGGTACTGGACATCTGCTGTGTCTTGAAAATGGGAAACAAACAACAGCTGGAGAAATAAAGCAAATAATGATGGATGTATTGTCAATACCCCATGATTGCAAAGATCTGTTTGCTGTGTGGCTGATTTCACCCTTACTAGGTTAGTTTGGATCTCTACTGAATTAAATTTTTATTTACTTCAAAGTGCAATAGTATCTTTTATGGTGATAATAGTTTTTTACCTGGTGTTCTGAACAATGTCCAAAGCAATATGAAATTCAGTTCATGTGAATTTTGCTTGAATGGCTCTTCTAATTCCTTTGCAATCAACTGAAATGTAGTTTGCTAAATGTTTTGTGAGTTTTCCGGTTTTTTGGAAATTATTCGTTGGTTGATTTTATCATTTTTAGCTGAAGATTTTTAGGGAAAGCCAGAATATGTGTTGTGAAATTTATTGTGCCATAAACATATTTGTTGTATTCTCATCATTCACAACATCATACTAAATACAGCACTGTGTCTTACTAAATATTAAACTTGGCCCAGTTTGTTGTCTGCATATTGTTGGATCAGGGGTTTGGTGTGCCTGCTGACCTTAAGGGTGACATCCTTAACAGTTTTAAATGGTTGTTGAAAAGCTTTTCGACTTTCTTTTTGGTAAGGTTAGGAAGTCCCTGGGTCCTGGTCTACATGCTTATCTTTTCAGTAAAGAGGCCAATGCAATAATCAATGACAATCTCTTACTGGCACTGTGTTTATACAATGATTAAAATTTTTCTACCTTTTTCACATCGAGTATTGAATCGGATATTGTTGACCACTGTTTAGTTTTGGTTCTGTACTATCCTTTATCTGTTTTTAATCAGAAAAATATCAGCTGTGAATAAGGCGAATTTTCTTTTACCCTGGTTATTCATGAATTTTTTGGAGGGAGAGGTTATTATACCTTTTTTATATTTCTTACTTCCTAGCTTACAAGGGCAGGTTTTAAGACGCTAAGAAACTATCCTTATCAGACAGTGTCCTGGCTCTTTTACTTGATGTGACCACGCCTCGTGATTCTTTCGCCCGGAATTGCGGAGAGCTGGCAACTCTCCTAACCCTTGGTCCAGGTGTGGTCATGACCAGGGCTCGAACCCAAGACCCTTGGATCTGTAGTGCACCACCCTAACGGTGGAACCATCCTCCCACCTAATGACCCATTCAGGATAAAATCGTTTGTTGCACGCTATTTCCTGACAGTTACCAAGGTGAAACAGACTGGTCGTGCATTTTGAATAAATCGTTGAAATTCGTTTCAGAGCTGCAGTTGAAAGGCCAACATGTTCCATTTAAACTGCGAAGACAATGGAAAAATCTACTCAAAAGATTTACTTGGGCCAAAGATGAAGAAATAAGCAAAGGTTAGAGACCTTTTTCTTGCCTTGATGTTTTTTGGTTTTTTCTTAATGGATATTTGCCATAACTAAAACTCGCCTTTGAAATGATGATAAGGTTGAATTTTCATTCCTTACTGTTTATAGATAGTTGTAGGCAGGGCCGCAGAGAGGATTTCTGGGCTCCAGGTCAGGCAGGATGAAAGATAAATAGTAAAGCATGCCTAAGGCAGACGCTTCTGGGGGGTATTAGAAATGCCCCCTCCCCATAGTTGCTTAAATTGCCCTGGTGGCCTTATTTGGTTGCTAAAATTGCTATCGTGGCTTAACTGCTCTAGTGGCAGTGGCGTAGATAGAAGGGGGTCAGAGGGGGCAAAAAACTCCCCTGTAGAGCTAAACTGCAATTTTGTCGGAAAACCTTTCTTCTCGTCGTAAATTTTACAAGGTTGGCTATGTTTATCTAACAGCTATGTTTTGATTGGAAAGAATTTAAAGCTAAATAAACATAAGAATATCTGAATATATCAAAAGATTTTTTTATTTGTGTTCCGATATCGTTCTGATATGATAAAATTTATGAAAAAAATATTAATGCTCGTTAGAATTTTGTCGGAAAATCTAAGTTTCTCACCCCTCCTATGAATTTTTCTATCTAGGCCATTGTCTTCTGTTTGCTGTTTGATACAATTTGAGCATAACTGAGATCTTATCACCATAATGCAAAAAAATGAAAATTTCTTAGAATTTTTGAAGTCTTAGAAAATGGAAAACGTTTAATTCGTTAACTAATTTTTATCACAACCGACACACTGCTGCAAATAGTTGTGCATACCATGGTGTAAATCTTTATAATATATATGGTGTTGTTTATTGCCTGTTGCAATCATAATTTTTTGGTAACATTCAGAAGCTTTTCAACTTCTTTAGCCCAAGCCCTAAAAGATGAGAAATTCTTAACAAAAATATCTTTAACACTCAGGCAGTCAAAGACTCAAACTGCCTTTTGATTGAGTTATTTTTTATAGGCCCCTATAGCCAAGGGCCCCCGTGTCACTGACCCCCCCTGACCCCTTCTCCTCAGCACTAGTTGTAAGCCCTCTGGACAATTTTGTACATTTTTGATAACAAGACGATTTACATTCTTCATTCCTATATTTAAGTAAAGCTAAGTACTTCTATATGTTTATCGATACAGCCGTCTAAGGTTATATCAAGGATTCAAACCTCCTTTAATTTATCGTCTGATTATTTCATTTAACGTCTCTCTAGTTAAAGCTGTTTGTTTACTCACAAATCTTAATTCATTCAGTTTTCATTTAAAGCGATTTGCTACTAAACGGTCAAATTTGCCAAATTCAACTTTATGAAAGCAATGAATCTCTTTCGACAATTTTTGACATAAGCAACACGTGTCTTTAACCAAAAGCCAAGTTTCTAATGCAGATTGTGTAACTCGTAGATGAACCAGTCATGGTTTTCCAGCGAAATTCATTTTTATCAGTTGCTGATGAAAGGAAGGTAAGTACGAGTTTTAATCACCTTTTTCATCGCTTGATTCATATATACAAAAGTAAAACCATGATTTTGATACACATGGAAAATACAGCTGACGAAGATTTTTTTCGCTTTCAATATTATTGAAAAGGCGTTATTTTATCTGAAAGTTCTGCTCATGTGACTATTATTCCACATTAAGATCTGCAAGGGAGGTAACTAGCGCACAGTTTTAAAGTGAGGTTCGATGTATCGATCTATCAAAACCCAGTTTAGGCCCTAGGGATATTTTAAGTGGCTGTTTGTTGGATTTCATGTAACAAAAATCTAGATGACTTCTGTACACACATGGACACAAATACTAATTTATCAGTCGATTTTCATTGTTGCGAAGTTCTACATCATATCGGAATGAGATTCGTTTTCCAAATATTATTAAGAAGCTGTAATATATTGAAGATTCGTTATTGATATCGATTTCTTGAAAGAAGTCAAGCCAGGCATATTTTTAAATCATTAGTGGGCACTTTTAAGGCAAGAATGCTGAACTTTTGCCAGTGTGGATGTAATTGTCTGTAATATTACCTCTGAATGTGAATCGAATTTAGCTTCAACCACGCCACTGTTTCGTGAGCTCTGATCTGATTAAATATTTTTAGTGTCCTGTTTGTTGTTACTTTCTTTTAAAAAGATGTTGTTATCATATGCAACTACAGTTTCGTTTCTAAGAAGAGGCTCGTGTTAATCTGAAGCTCTCTTTACGCACATCACTTTTCAACCTGGCTGAGCTCGACCCAGGTTTCTTTAACGACATCGGAATCGATGAGCTCAATCAACATTCAGCACAAGCGCTCTGATTTGTAAAAATATCGTCTTCTGGCTGTTGCTGTGTAGCACATGTTAACTTATATCTCATCATCACAGGTTACAAATGACAAGGCTATCAGAAGATTGTTCGAGGAGGTGAGAAAAATGTCATTATTCATGTTTGCAGGCAGCAGTGGAAATAAAGATCGGCACGATATCTAAACAAATATCACTTTTCCCTTAAGCGTATAAAATACGACGGTTCCATTTTGCAGCCAGGAGTTTCACTATTTTCAAAGTACTACCTATAAGGCATTTAAAACTAAAGCCAGGCCGATAAAACTGTAATTTTCATTGATTGCATTTTATTTATTCGTTTTGCGAGGTAATTGTTACTTTAGTGGTTGATAGATTTCATAGTAAGGCAGTTTTGGCAACCATTTTCTTAAAAATCTACTTGAATAAAGGATAGAATTTAAAAGGAATAACAGACAAAAGGAAAACATAGGTCCAGATGATAATCTTGCGATGGTATTTTGAATTTTTCTCATTTCTTGTTCTGTTTCTTTCCATCTAGGATAATGCTATTAATTCAGCAAAGTTAAAACTTGAATTTTTGTTACTTCAGGCAAAATTAAACGTTTTAAAAGGTCGGTATCGGATTGCTAATGCTGATGCCGAGATGCTTGGTGGAATTTTAGCATGCATTGCACACGGAAAATTCGATGGTGAAAAACACACGATTGGATTTTTTAAGTATGAAATTTTTTTCCTATTTGGAATATATTGATTTGATCGTAGATATAAAGACATACAGTAAATCCCTACATATCAGAACCTACGAAAATAAGAACCTAGAGGCTGTTTTACCTAAATTTTGCACCTTGTAATTAAGAACCTGCTTCAGTGTGATAAAATATAATAGGTTCTTTTCCCAAGGGCAAAAAATAGAGTTTTCAATGGTTCTTTTTTACTCCCAGATTTTTAAAGATGAGGTAAAATCACAATCGGTTTAAAAATTTTCAATTGTGCATTTTTAGCATTTTATACACTTTAACGAAAGATAACTTTTAAATCACTTTGACTTTTTAACATAATTATATATAGCAAAATCCAAAATGTTGAAAAATGAAATAAAATCATTAGAATTCCCATTTTTCAATTCCTGAGGACGTTTGAGATCATCTCCAGATCCATCCACTGTCATAAGGCAGCCAGTGCGCTCAAATGTCTTCCTGTAAATATCTTTGTAATGTTACATTAATAACATTGCCAAAAGGAAAAAACAGGGTTGAATGCATCTCTTGATAATGAATCCTAAAATCTTAAATAAGGGAGATCTTAGGTTCTTATATGCGGGGATTTACTGTAACCTATATACCATATGGTAAATATAATTTCAACAGAAGAAACGCCAGTTTAAATGGCTTCTTCCTTTCAAGCTGTTCAAGGCAAAGGCTTCTGAACATTGTTTAAACTTGTGTCAACGAAATAATATTCAAACAATTTTTCCTAATTTTCCCAATGTTTTGGTGGTACAACGCTTGAAAGTGGCTTTGAAGAAAGCAAACATTTGAGTAAACTAAAGCCTTTCGTCTGACACTCTTCAGAGTTTAAAACGTCGGAACATATAATATTCCTGACACAATAATGTCAGCATTGGTGTTTTTTCTTTTCATTGAGTTAGAGAGATTGATCCTTTTTTTAATCTTTTATTCGATTTTCTATTTCTATTCATTTCCTTTTACTTAACATCTTTAAGTCCTTCAAAAAACTCAGTGTTAAACCCGTTTTCTTGCAGAAGATCCCTTGATAATTTCTTACCGCAAAGTGCCATAAAAAGACAGTGGCTGTCAAAGAAATTGAATCGCAACGCTGTGGAGCAGCATCTCATTACACAATACTCACTGGCATCTGAGAGGACAGACGATCCAAACAAATTTTATCGAATTTTCTTAGAATTCTGTTGGACGTTGCCATTTTATGGGTACGTGAAATTGCAAATGAAATTTGCCGGCTAACAAATTCGACATTGACATTATACACTCACTCATTTAAAATTGCTTTGAATATAGCAAACGTTTTGAAACATTCTGAAGCCTGTCGTCTGATACTCTTCAGAGTTTAAAACGTCAGAACATAGATCGATAACTCTACGCTAGGAAATATATATACCCAGTTGTGGATCGAAATAGGCCAATCAGAAACACGAGCACATGACTGTTGAGGTTGCCCAATCAATGCCGCTTGCCTGAGTCCTAAGGTGAAAACGAGCCCCTTCTGTCTACAGAGAAGCGGTTTTTCATGTTTATATAGATAGATTCCAAAACTGCTAGATGGAACGACGTTCAAGCTCTCTCAATAATCTGGAACATTTCACCAGTATATTTTTTGCACAATTACTTTTTTAATTCATCGACGTAGACAGTTGTTTAAAAGGACATCACGGCTAAAAACATTGATTCGACATTCCAGTTAATATATCTGCACACATAAACGAACTTTCGTTGAACTTGATATTTGTGATATTTGTCAGCACTGTTGTCCAAGATTGAAAAGTCCTCAAAGAATGCGGGGATCAGAAGGATACTTTTTCTTGAATTCTGAAAGATATGTTATTTCAATTGCAGTGCTGCATTTTTCAAAGGCCAAGTGGAACCAGTTTCGCATGATCATCAGATCTGGAAATCGCGTTCGATGAACATTTCGATTGGAATAGGCAGAGGGGGAATAACAATATTCAGGGAAAACAAATCGGTACAATTTCAATTTTTGCTTCTAAGTATTACTTTTTCTCCGGTTGAATGCCTCGTGTTATTAAAGTAAAGCATTTTTAAGCAGATTTTTTAAGTATGGTGAAGGATGTGTCTCACTTTGCAACCACTTTGCAACCACTTTGCAACCACTTTGCAACCACTTTGCAACCACTTTGCAACCACTTTGCAACCACTTTGCAACCATTTTGCAACCACTTTACAACCACTTTGCAACCACTTTGCAAGCACTTTGCAACCAATTTGCAACCACTTTGCAACCACTTGCAGAATTTCCTTCGGTTTTTCTTTCGCCGATTTTGCCAATCTCTTCTACTGTCTTTCGGGTTTGAGAACAATTTTTTAGAACTCTAAGTTATTTAGGAATGTGAAAAGTCACGATGGGGATGCAGGTTTTGCTACTTCAAAAGTTTGATTGTTTGAATTACTGCCAAGAGGTAACTAAAAGTTGAAGGGATTTTCTTCCAATCATTACAAGCAGCCATTCATTTAAAGATCTGATCAAATTACCTATCCCTTTGAACTATATATCTATATATAACATGCCACTGTATTGCTGTAATTGCGTTAGCCCTGCAATGATATGTAGGTCTTTTGAGTGTTTCTATTGGCTCATTTTGTAGCAGCCTTGGTGTTGTTGTAGGAGATTCTCCTGAATCTGATGTACGACGAGCTCTCATGGGACTACTCGCAGTGTTCTGAAGAAGCCGGCACTGATTCATTTTGCATCGAATATGATACCGTCGCAAATGACGGCAAACACATTGCCAGTCAATTGCAGATATTTTCACCACAGGTAACGGTATAATCTTACTTGTTACATTCTCACTGGTGTGAAAATTTGTAAGTGCTTCAGCAAGGATATTTTATAACCCAAGTCTTGAGGGAAAAAATCTTTGCAGACACAAGATCGAGGCAATGTTTTCTCTCGAATTAAGATGTTCTTCTTTTATTGATTGGTATGAGAAGCTGATGAAACTCGTCAGAGTTAATGAAAAAAAACACAAATTATGCGATATTGTTCTCAAATTCGTTCATCTAATGCCTTTATAGGAGACTTGTTCCCAATACATCTGTTTCTGTTTGAGTTCATTTAGGTCTTATTTTTGCATGAGACTTGCCTAGCCGCGCTCATTTAGATCATCTCGCCGTACTTATTTGAGATCGTTAGTGTTGTGTGCACTATCTACTGCGGTCAACAAAACTTTCTTGCTCGCAGTTTAAAGGTTCATCAAATTCAACAAAACAATTCGATTGCGTAGCAGGGCAGAGCCCCTAAATACTCGAGAACATTTTGTTTGAGTTTAAAACTGAAAGGGATCAAAAGGGGAGAGCGCTGGTCATCTCAGTGTTCTTTTCTGTTTTTGGAACAGATTTGCTTTGGTTCGACGCCGACATGATAATTGTCTTAAAAAACTGTCCTTTTGGTCTCGAGTGAAAGATGTAGTTAGGGAATTGAATTTGGCTCCTTTTCACTCCAGTTTCTGACTTCGTTTTTTGTCACGGTAACTGGGGCCTTGACTCAACTGTTTAGAGTCACCTTTCACAAACAATGTTGTGCCCAGTTCTCTTGTGAACAGAACGCGTAAGCGAACTTTTTTGGAAACAGTCTCGTGTTGGAAACAGTCTCGTGTGAACAGAAGGAAGTGAACTCAAATCGATGCAGATCCTTTTTGGACCTGGTCTCTTGTGAACGGGGCCTAATAGTTCATTTGAATGCAAGACAAATCTGGTAGTAGAAGCTCGGATTATGTTTGGTAAATCTACTTATTAGAGATCTTTTATTGGTATATTGCTAAACCCTTCTGAATATTTGTGACGTTGTTTATAGGCAGCCATGATGGATGCTTTGGTTGATTCCTGTGTGGCAGAAATGAATCGCCTGAAAATTCCAAAAAGGTATTCTTGTTTTTAGCATGCATTTTTAATGCCAGTTTTGTTATGCAATGGCCATAGTGTAAGTGAGTTAATGGGGATCACCTTTTACAACGGCAAGTAAGCTGCGTTTGACGATATTTGCATTGCACCCTCTGGTTTTCTGGTGGTTTTCGACAGGTCTGTTTGTTGAAAGTGAAGCAAATGGCATCGGTTCTACAGCATTATTTTACAGTTTTCTTCCTGCTTGTGACTAAGGGTAGGAATACGAAGCCTTGATTAAGAAATATGTGAATTTTGGCGATAATCGTTTTTTTATTTTATGTCTGAAATTATTTTTTATTTTACGCCTGACGTCAAAGTATTAGAAAACTACGCTAAATAATGGTGTGATTTTGCTTGGTTTTTGTCTTCTTGTAATAGGTTCCTTTTGTTTGATATTTAGGATATGAAATGTGATATTCTACTATTCAACTTCCTTGTGTATATATTTTGTAAATTTTTCTTCATTGTCTTCACACGTAGGCTTCTATGTTTTACAATCGATACAATTTGGTAATAAAGCAAGTTTAGCTGGCAGTTACTAAATGAAACTGAATTATCTTTCTGTGAGCAGTCTTCTAGATACAGAACCTGTTAGCACTTTGGGGGTTTATAGTGTACACCCTTTTGTGTTATTATAAGAAGTACATAATTTTTATCCGAGGCTCGATGTTAAAATATTTTTTGGATGATTTGGTGCTCGGGTGTTATTTTAATGGTGTTCTTATTTCAAAATCTAAATACGCTTTCTATTGATGGTTTGAAATGGCATTGAACACAGTTTTGCATATAATTTTTGGTAGCACAGTACATTTTCAAGCTTGCATGATCTCTGTTTTATAATCTCTAGAGAAATCTCTTTTTTATACATTTTTTTAATCTGATTTTCCATCTGGGCCGAGCATGTTCTTCAGTTTTTTTTATTTTCTTGGCAGATCAAATATTTTCTTACAAAATCTGTTCATAGAAGTTAAAAAGTGTTTGCAAAAAGTATACAATTATTTTACTAATAAAAACTTACCGATAAAAATTGTTTTTCGAACTTACTTTTTCACGAAATCATGAATGACAAGTTGCTCAAGCAGCAGCCAAGTTCTATTTTCTGTCAAAGCACTTCTGTGTTGAATAAATGTATCTTTGAAGCCTTTCGTAAATTCTATTCGTTGACATTTCTGATTGCAGCCCATTAAGTCCAGTGTTTATGGAGGACGGCAAGCCACTGGCTGATCAAGGTAAATAACTTGCAAAATATGAATTATTGCTCCAAAGCAAGTTTACAACACATTAATTGAAAGATTACACCATCGTAAGGCAGGCGTCAGGATAGTTAACTTGATAAGATAATACTTAAAAATTTTATAACTATAGCTAACAGCGTTAGTTTTTGTTGAACAGAAGAATGAAGAGTCCGTGATAGAGAGATAAGTCATATAACATAATCAATCATATTTTTGGATTTGTAAACATCGGGTTGGCATATAGTGGCCAGTGGCGTAGCGTGGGGGGGGGTGTACACCTCCCCCCAACTTTCAGAGAACTCGTCGGTAGAATTAAATTTATAACAAAATATTAATGTAACCATAGTCTCTTTTCTTATGACTATGATGTAACAAAATAATTTCTGTCGGTAAAATATGGTTTTGCATCTCTTACACAAACCCCCCCCCAGCGAGAATGGTCACGCGACGCCACTGATAGTGGCTGATGGAATTGTGGAGGACATGTTCTAATCCTCATTCTTTTGTAAACCAAATTAACTTTCATAATATCAAGAATAAAAAAATTCCATTCCTCGTGAATAGTCTCCATCAAAGAAAGCCTTTTGTAACATATGTTTTCTTCCTTTTCGTCGTGTGTGCTGCTGAACTTCTTGTCTTCGCTTAGGGCCACCTCAGTTGAAAAAAGACCAGAAGAAATCTAGTTTCTCCATGGGCAGTGCATTCAAGCACAAATAAAGTCATGATGACTATGGCAGTGTGGTTCGCCCTCCGGCTCCTCATTTTGTTCTCCTTGCTGGTCCTGGTGTTGTTCCCCTGCTTGGTTCATGGAATGTCCTTGACTCTTGTAAGCACCCAACTTTTCAGATTGCAAGAAAACCTTTTCATTGCGTTGGTATTAGCAATTCATTTAATGAAATTTTTATCTACTATAATGCTGCTTCTATCATATGCTCTAGTTGAATTTAATTTTGTAATAGATTTTTTATCATTTTAATGAATTAATTGGTGCTGTAGATGGGGTTGTTTTATGTTAAGCACCTCATGAAAAATATTTCAAGCGTATATATGTAATTCCTTCATAGAATTGTCACCTCTTAATTTTTGCAAATTGAACCCCTTCCCTTTGTACGTAACAAACAAAATATTTTATGAGCTTTACATTGCTGAAGTTGTATGTATTGATTTTTCCTTGGGAGATCACGAATCACTTTGAATGCCCCTCTTGAAGGCAGAGATAGAGAAATACCAATTTTTTGTACATCTGGTAGGATAATCTTTCTGAAAGTAACAGAATGGAAAGTTATCCGTGCAGTGTCGTCCTTCTCAGAGCCTAAGTTTGTGCTTATTTTCCTTTACTTTAAATAATTCTTAATTATTACTTCCGATATGCCTCGTTTTCAATCAAGCCGGTGATATAAGCCTGCTGATATTTTCTATCTGTCGAAACAGATATTCAATAAGTAAATTTTGAGATGTTGGAATTTGCCAAGTTTGCTTTACTATCCAACAATTGTAACGCTAAGTCCGCTTTGGCCAAACTTATTTATTAGATACTTCCACCATATTTCAACCTTATAAAGAAAACCGGCCGAGATATTAATCTGTACAGGTTTACCCTCACTCGTGGTAAATTTTGAATCTCCCCAGGTCTGATCAACTTTGTATCTTTTGTGCCCGTTTTTTTATTCTGGAACAAATTTAATCAAATGTATTTATATATAATTATAGAATTAATCTCTCTTAAGGCCGGTTTCTACTTTATTCTCTCTAGTCGCACGACTGAGCGAATGCACACTGGAGCATGCGCAAATTGAACTTCCTCATTCGCTGCGAATGCGCGACCATTCGCTGAGTCGCGTTCACCGTTTCACTGATTAGTTGATTCGCTTTCGCTAAGTCGCGCGACCAGAATGAATCAAATGAAACCGGCTTTTAATCTCCTAATCTTTGTATATTTGTGAAGTTTCATAAGCAGTGTAGATTCAAAATAGCAACTTAAATATGACTTACTTTTAATTGTTGTTGATTTAGTCATTCTCCCTGATCATTAATACAATATCCTTCCAATCATCATCAACATTGTCATCTTTGTGGCATCATCATGTCGCATTTCTAAGTTGGAAGCATGTTCCCCTAGTGAAGCCCCGGTCCTCAGCGTCTTTGGGTACCACACATAAATTCGAGGGGGGAAAGGCACAGGAGGAGCTGAGAAGCGGTAAAATTGATCCCAACGGTAGTGATGTTCCGCGTTCGCCAGGATAATACCCAAGTTGAGGCGCGGAGTTGAGGCAGAGATGTGTCTTGAAACGTCACTGCGTCACCAAAGGAGAGTACGGAGGCGCAGTACTCTCCTTTCCTCTACCATTCTCCTTCGCAATTCCTCTCTCCCATTCTTCATTCTTTGACTTACTGAGGCCCTGGCACCCAGGGTAATACCCAAGTGGCATAGAACGCTGAAACGGGACACCTATTCACTAACTGCAAGAAAGTTTCATCCAACCCTTTAAATCATGTCAAACTCAAAAGCAAAATGTAAAAAATGATAAACTTTCTTGTTAACTAGGAGAGCTTGAGTTAAAGAAGATTCAGTTGAAGAAATTTTAAGTTTTTGAAAATTAGGTGCTGCAAAACGCCACTGATGTACCCTCTGACATCAGTATTCCTCCGTTCCAGCAGGGTGCGGAGCTTCGGTTCTTCTGCTCTATTCCTCTTGCTACAAACTATATTCCCCCGAGAATACGAATCAATTCAATTAAATGCCTTTATGATAAAAGAGCTGTCACGTGTCACGATTACTGTAAAAGCTATATTAAGCCCTATCTTTTAAAACCACTCTCTAATATGCCCCCCTTAATCGAGTTAAAATTTGAAATAAGCCCCCTCTCTTTTAAGCCCTCTTATTGTCCACCAAACTTTTCAGGGCTGGCTTCATGCCTGCCCGCTCAAGCCCCCGATGTCAAACAAAGAAAACTGGGGCATTGATTGGGTCTTTTGACGGGTGTAATGACGATACATTGTGTGCATTAAATGCTGCCCATGTGGATATTTATTTATGCGCACTAGAAGTCATTCGAAATTTGTTTAGAAGAGGTCAAAAGGAATATCAATTGATCCTGGTGACTCTGAATTCATTGATTTTAAGAAACTTTCGAAGCCGCTAGCAAAGTTTTTGAGAACATTTTATGATATTGATGGTGATCTGATAAACCTAGCAAACAGGGAACAATATGTCGAGATTGATCAAGTTAAATCAAGCACGAAAAATATAGCCTGTGGAGTACCACAAGGGTCTGTTCTTGGGCCAAGCCTATTTGCAATCATGATATCAAAAGCTTTGTAGCTCAGTTTGTGTAAAAAAGCTGGAAAAATTGAAAAGTTTGCAGATGATACAGAGGCATACTTTGTAGGCAATACCATGTGATATGTAACCTGCAGAAAATGATATTGCAATATGGTGTCGAAAAAGCTTTCTTTCAATCCACCCTAACAAAACAGAAATTATGATTATTAAAAAAAACAATTCATATCGCCTTTACAACCTGTATGGCTCAATGAATGGCAAATCAAAATTGTTGATAAGTCTGAATGTCTATGAATTACTATTGACAAAAATTAGAATTGGAAACCACAAGTCAGAAAAGTTTGTATGAACCTAATTGGAAAAAAGTTTTTAAAGAAACTAAGGTCAATGTCAGCCAAAGTCCTAGAAGAAATTTATTTCAAAGGTCTTCTGCAAAGTGCAACGTATGGTATATCAGTATGGGCATACTGTAACTTGTCATCAATAGCAGAGCTTGAAGATGTTCGTGTTGGAGCAGCAAAACGTATCCACAAATACCATCCTCAGTTCCGAAACACCAAGTACTCGATCGAGTATGCAAAATGGAAGTCAATAAGCTATCTATAAAAAAAGACTTTAATCTATTGCATATCAATGTTACTATGGCCCGTCAGATGAAGATATTAATTCGTTAATGCTGAAGAAAGAGAACACACAAAAAATAACCACGTTCAGAAACAGGAAGGCAGACATTCAAACATCGTGCTGCTATTATCTGGAATGCACTTCCAGAGGGGGTAAAATGTTCCCCTAACTACAATTAATTTAAATTTGCTCCGAAAAAAACAAAATAATCTGGTAGAAAACATATCGTTCGGATCATCGTCAGTTGTTACAAAAAAAAGACATTTCAAATTTTATTTATTTTTGGCAATTTCTCGTGTATTAGCAAGTACTACGTTTGTAACAAACCGTTGGAAACTTTCTTATTTCATTTTCAACTTTTAATTTGTAGGTCCACATCAGCTTATTAGCTGAATTTCTGACCTGCATTGTAACATTTCCATTGTCAGTAAGCCCTCTCTAATAAGCCACCTCCAGTGGCGTCGCCAGCTCGAAAAAACTGGGGTGGACAAAAATAAATTTTCTCGGCCATGCCCTTCAGACCCTTGGAAAATCCTTTTTTTAGTATTTTTTACCTCTTTTGAAATATTTGGAAAAGCAACTTTTTGAAGCAGCTTTCTTCCTAACGATGGCTTTTTTTGCCAGTGTGAAAATTGAAATCGATCTGATCAGCCAAATACACCCCCCCCCCCTCCCACCCCGAAGGTTTTTCAACTGATTTCAAGAAATTAGAAAATCGACCTCTGGGAAACTGGCGTGAACATGTCTACCCCAGTCCACCCCGTGGCGACGCCAATGGCCCCCTCTCTTTTAAGCTCCCTTTTAGGGTTGCCAAAATAAATAAGCCCCCCCCCCGGAGGTTTATAGAGCTTTGGAAGTAATCAATATTGCCTCGATGAAACCTCGACTAAAAAACCTGCGTGCAGACTTTACAAATACACTCTTTTTTTATAAGATCCAGTAAATTTAAGTTCAGGCTGACTGTTCTTAATTTTTTCGAAAATCAGAAGCATTGCGAGTGCTAGCTTTTTGCTCCAGGGTGGTGTTCAGGCCTCATTTGCCAACAAACTGAGCTAGACAGCCTTAATTTGCTGGCAAATTTGAACATTCACCGTAAAAGCACCCACACATCGCTAAAAATCCTCGATTTTGAGAAAAATCATTGTTCAAAATTGCATTTTGCAGAAGCTCAGCCTCAGCATGTTCTTTACTTGCTCTTAACTTTTGACCAGTTTTGAGGTTCGTGTTCTTATAAAAAAAGAGTGTAGAAGGAAAGTTTCCACGCAGGCTAAAGCCCGGCTGACTCCGTATAAAATTGAGGGCTGTCACTGCGGCGTTCAAATGGTCATGTGACCATCAGCATGCAGCATTAAGCATATCATTCCCCCCTTGTCATCATTTCGCGGAATCCGGAGGTCGAGGAAGGACACATCGCAGAAGGTTTGTTTCGTGTCATGTACGATGTTCCTTATTAAATGATGTTGCTGTACTATTTTGAAATAAGCCAAATCATCGTATGAGGTGAATTTAGGCAGCAAATATTTTGGTAAATCTAGCTTTTCAGGAAGAGATAACGGTGTTTCTTGTTTTATAAAGTGGAAGCATGAGGAAGTGATTTGCTCGTCGTCCATGTCATGTCACCACTCGATAAAAAGCTCAGTTTCAGAGAGTACAGTTTACTTGAGTTGAAAGATATCAAACAGAAATTACCCATATATTCATTTCAAATGTCCTTCTAACAATCTAACGATTTCATGATGAAGTTTCTTTCAAAACTAAATTTGCATACTAGGCTATGTTTCGTTTTCGTTGTTCATGGGAACTATTTTCACTGGAGCTATTTTCACTGGAGCTATTTGTAGATAAATAAAGGGAAAATCGATTTCAATTGGGTATTTGAGGCTATTTTCTTTTAAGAGCAGTTAAGGAGAGCAATCTGCAGCTCCCTTCAAGCATTTGAGAAGAGCCTAGAGGGAAGCAAGAGCTATGGTTCTCAAATGACCAGGCCTGAAGTGAATGTGAAGGTAGAGGGGGCTATCTAGCCTTTACCTGTGAATTCTGACAAATTAGCAAACTTTCTGAAACTCTGAAACAGTAAGTTGTGATGATGCTATTGCCCCTCTGTTCTTGGCCATAGTACTAGCCATGCTCTTATTTTATTCTTTATCTGTAGTGAGGCAGCTAGTTGAATTTAGTTTTGGTCTTTCTTTTATGTTGAGATGCAAAAAATAGTACCACCATCTTCAAAATATTTGAGAGTTTCAAGATGTCAGTTAATACAAACAATTAAAATGTTATTATTACTTGTAACACCAGGGTTATCAGCTGTCCAATAAAGGTCAACAATGTCTGAAAGCTAGAACATTTTCATGAACAGGCTAAGGAGAAATTTCTAGCCAAACTGTCTAGCTGGGTGAACTGTCTATGTATTTTGCAGTGTACAAGGCCCATCCTTTTCTAATCTTGCTGGCTTTGTTTCAGGATGCATCTTATATATGGTAACCATGACTTTCCTTTTATTCTCTGGACTTTGGTCTGGTCCCTTAAATTGAAAAACCGCACTCTGTTAGAAAACATTCTCCTCATAGGGAGAGAAAACATGTCCCAGTGTATTACATAGAAATCAAACCTTTCAAATATAGCAATGAATTGGGCAAAGACAACTGCCAAACCACAAGCAACAAGAAGTCTCAATTTGATCTGAGAAATCTGTTCATACACTGAACTGGCACAGGTGATATATCCAACATCAGGCAGACTTTTGTCAAAAATACCCTTAGTAATCTAGTATCATACTAAAAGTCTGCTTTGAACATGCAACAGAGAAGCTGGGAGAAAATTTTTGAATAATGAGAAAAACATTCAAAGAAGAATTTCAAGAATTTTGAAACCTGTCATTTATTTCTATTTGATAGTTTTAAAGACAATACTTTGCACATTAAATTTAAATTATTTTTTCTTACAGAGGTGGTTTCTTCAGTATTCTTGAATTTGTTTTATTTTACACCTAAATATACATGCTTCAGAAAATCTCAAGGCCGCATTTCAGAATCATCTTCAGGTACAATTTGCTTCACATTTTTTCTATAAAGACAAACAACAAGATAATGTGCTTGTGTAAAGTGCAGTAAGATTTGCTAATAGTTGCTCACAGTTGCTTGCAACTAATTTTGCAAGCAACTATATTTTATCATCAGTGATAAAATTGAAATTCCACAAGAAAGATTAAGAAAGGTCTCCAGCAAATTTTAACATGCTTGACACTATCACATTCTCTCATTGTTTGTCATCCATAAAGAAATGTGAAGCGAATTGTACCTGAAGATGAAAGTGTAATGGGGCCTTGAGAAAAGGTAATGCGTCTTATACATGGTAAGATACAGTAACAGTTATTCTTAAAATTTAGTAATATAATAAAGTTACAGTCTTATATGACAATCTGTCTTATATGCTGAAAAACACAGTGGTTGTTTATTTGCTTTCAAAGTACAAATGTTGAGCCAGAATCTTGTGAAACTGAGCAGACTATATTTTAATTGAATTTTCAAACTGAACATTAGGTTTAAAAACCATTAAAGATATTGTAAAATTCTGGAATGAAATGGATATCTAAAAAATTGCATCACAGGCAGTTTAAAGCAACAAACTAAACAAAAGTCGAAAGGTTAAAAATAATCGAATTCTCCACTCAATGCTTTTTTGTAACTAATTTTGCTCGATTTTGGTATAAAGCCAACCACCTTAAAGTTAATGTGAATAGAAATGGATTAATTTGCTGCCATTTCCTTGCCAAAATATTACCTCGGGTTACCCTACTGTTGTTGGCAATATTTTAAAGAATTGTCATAAATGTATTTGAAGTTATACTTTATTAAAGGCATTAAGTCCTGCTAAGTAGACTTTATTTATAGGGGGTTATTAAGTTTAGGTGTAATTACTGCAGTTTCATGTGATATCAGCATCTGATATTGACAGCTTGCTGTTGATGGAAACTGTTGTTAATCAGTACTGGGTGAGTTCATGTGACTAGTTTAAGGTTAACCAATAGCATTGCAGCACGAAAATCACGACTCAACAGATTTGGGTACGTTTGGGTATACATACTCTTTCCTTTTATCATGACTCAAATGCCTTTTAATTCTATGGGATTCTAAGAAAAAGTACGCTTTTATGAACAGGCCTTCCTCTGTAGCTCCTTACATACATTTCAGCACATTGTTGTTAAAATATCATAAAAAATCAGAAGAATCTCTTTCCTTTCTTAATGTGTACAGATTTGTAGATCAATTGAAATCATATTTAGTGTTATATAATATTTACAACAATTTCTATGCTATTTTCTCATGCTTCTCTTCTATGTTTTGTTTTGGCAGTGATCAGGGTCACATTTACGTCTGTTGAAGCCCTGGGCCAAAAGTTTATTTGGGCCCCTTAAAATATACCAAAAAATTTGTGTCACATGCACAGTACTTGGCTAAACATTATCAAACATAATCAAGCAACCATAAGACAAGAATAAACTTGTATCCATTTCGCATTTCAGTACATTCCAAATAAAACCATCCAACTGCTGAAAACTTTTTGATGATTTTATTGGGGTTTAAAACTTCCAGGACATCAAAATCTGCTGCCATTAAACATAAGGAAACAACATGCTACTGTGACATTGTGGACTGTAGTTCACATTCTTTTTATGTACCCTTTTCAGCATGATGAAACATTTTTCATCAGAGAAACCTCTGTATGGCAAATTGAGCAACAAACTAAATGCAGTCATTGCATTGGGGGATGCTCAAACCAGGACAAGCGGAAGTTTCAAAAGCCCTGGATTAAAAACAAAATATGAGGCCTCCTGCAAGTGGAGCGAGCTGAAAATTCTTGTGACCACCCCCTTTATTCCATTCTTAAAATGGAATTCATTACTTTACCAGGCCCCCTAGCTCCATTCAAACACAAGATTAAAATCAAGAGCACTTTAAATGCTTTTAAAATTTTACATGGGGCCCCCCTAAATCGAAGAATTTTAGGGGGCCCCTGGGCCCATGGGCAAATGCATCACTGGCAGTGTTCCAGATTGGATGCATAGTTCATGTTGGGAAGGTAGCTTCTAATAAAAATGTTGGTTGTTTTTTAACCTTCTAGTTATAAGTTGTTCCATTTTAGCTGAAAGTATCTTTATGAGAACATAGAATTGTCTGATATTTAGGTGGGATTTTTTTAGTTTTGCCTTTTCTTCTGCAGAATGAGTGTATACACAAGATGTGAACCAGGTGTGAGAATAATGTGAGCCAAAATGGCTAATCTGCCAGATAAAAACAGACTCCATCTTCTTTGTAATAATGGAAAGCTTAAACAGATCAAGGACCTACTTGCTAGTGATCCAAATGCAACCAAGCTTATCAATGAGCCTGCTGGGGTTTTTGGCTTCACTCCTTTACATGAGGCTGTAAGCAGCAGAAATGCAGATATTCTCAGAGTCTTGCTTACCTATGGTGGTCAGGTTGATGCATTATCAAATGGAAGGTATACACCGTTACATATTGCTGCTTCAATTGGGGATGTGGAATGCATAAGAGTTTTGTTGGACTTCTCAGCCAATCTTTCTTTGACTGATGAGTTTGGAAAGAATCCCTATGCAACTGCAGAGCTTAATAGAAGAAGCAAGGCTGCAAGAGTGCTGAAGACAGCAGGTAAATATTTGCCATCATGCTAGATAATTTTACTGAATCTTTTATTTTTATCAGTTTGAAATCTTTGTGTAGTGTGCTAAGTGTGAGGTTTGCCTGTTCAAGACATTGCTATACTTCCTATATCCATAGGTTTTTACATCTATTCTTCTACCACGATAAGCATCTCTTTTGTCTCAATACTTCTTGTTAATTGGAGGCTGACCTCTAGCTTTGGATACCAATCCATTTAGACCAACTTGATGTCATATTTGCTTTCAACTGGGAAAGTTTTGCAGAAAGACTTAATAAAGTTATTATGGTAAATTTGAATGAGATAATTATGATAAAGAAATTTCTGAGATGCAGACTAACAATTGATGCTATAGTGAGTCAATGTGAAATTCAAAGTAGAAAGAGAAGTGCTTAATTCTGTTTTATGTTTATCCTCTTTTAGAAATTAAAAAGCTTGCCATGAATAACAATCCACAACTCAGGTCTGCAATAGATGGTCTGCAGCGTGGCAAGACTGTTGAAGAAAAATGCTTTGAAGAAGCTTTGGAACTTGCTGTTGAAAACAATTGTGGTAAAGCAGTTGGTTATCTGGTACTACACGGTGCAAGGAATGTGGAGCAGTGCATGCAAGCGGCTCTTTTGAAGCCTGCTTTATATAAAACAGCAGTTTTGCTATTGCTGTGCTATGCAGCAAAGACAGATGACAAACAGTTGGTTACATATATTTGTTCTGATTTGAAAGAAAATAAAACAAGTTTATATGATGAAAACAATGAATGTGTTTTTATAAGAAAGTTTTTGCCAGGGGAATGGAAATATAGCATGACTGGTCACAAGTTAAGTGAACTGCGGTAATTATATGAATTTATTTCTATAATACTGGTTAATTTTTTATTCAGATCATCTTTTGAACTTGTCGTTCCTTGGGAGGGTACTAGATGATAAATTAACATACTATACATATTGCAAGGCTTTATTTCCTTCACAAAGTGCCAATCACATATTTTGAACTTCAACCAAACACAAATAGACATAGCAAGGGGTCTTACTGATTTATGTTCAGAAATATGGAAAGCACATTTTTTCAACTTGCCTAAGCTGAAAGGAATCTATATTGTCTTTCCCAAAAAGACAACCCCCACCTTGGTTGGTTCCTTTGTTGATTACTTACATATGACTTTTATTGCTAACTCTTTACTTTTTAAATTTTGCCACCAAACTTCGATCGAAAGCTTTTTCCAATGTTGGTGAAGATTGTTCCAAGTTACCCACAAGGACTGCAGAGCATATTACTAATTTAGGTGGCTAAAACGTTTTGGGGGGCTTAACATGCTAAAAACCAAGGGCAATTTTTGTATGGTTTTAAATACACTTTATGTATGGTTTTAAGTACAATTTTTGTATGGCTTAGTCTCTTTGGTTACATGCATTGCAGGAAGGCTGCAAGAAACGTCGATATGGCATTTCCAGTTGCAATTGCATTTACCTTGAATCACTTCCAAGTTTCAAAGATCATTTTATTTGAGATATATTGCAAGGAGGACGAAGGAGAAGCAGACTGGCATGGACTAGCACTGAGTCAGGTCTTACCAGAATGGATCCAGGAAAAGCTCCATTATAAAAAACTGATATTGTCTCACAACTTGCTCACAGCTGTTCCGAAAAACATCAACCAGATGGAAAATTTGCTGCGCCTTGATCTCTCGAAAAACAATATTTCAGAAGTTGCAAAGGAGATTTTTGAGCTGATCCACTTGCGCAATTTGAATTTGTCATCAAATGAAATCAATGTTATACCAAGGGTTGATAATTGGTCGAGAGCAATGAAAGTTTTGAATTTGAATGAAAACAATTTGAGGTTTTTAGACGATTCTATTTCACAGTCTGAACTAGAGTCATTAAGTATCGCAGACAACAATTTATCACGTGTTCAAAGCTGTATTTGCAAGATCAAGACATTACAATCCCTTGACATCAGCCGCAATAAAAATATTACAATTTTGCCGCCAGATCTTGCAAAGCTTCCTAAGTTAAATTATCTTGGAATCAAGCAAATGGACCAGGTAATATTTATTTTTGTTTTTGAAGTTTCGTGGATATTTATTGCTATGGCTATTTTGTAGGTAACATTTATTGGACTGTTGAACAGCGATGCTAAGCTCTCAAGGGGCTATAGATGATGCTTGAGGGATTTATATTTTTGGAGATAGTGAATATACGACAAATTGTTGAATGGAGGTGAACCAACAAAGTCTGTTGTGATACTGGTTTTCAAGAGGATATGGCTAGCATAATGCCAAATTAGATGGTTGTCAAAAAAGGAAGACCACAAACATTTATCTACTTTCTACAGGTTTGTGAGGAAATGCACATACATGTAACAACAAAAAGTTAAGTCGCTGACAACGATGAAGCCTTTATGTCACTACTGAAAGTACTTTTGGTCTCAGAAACTTTAACGTTAGTCTTTTATTTGGATTTTATTTTAGATAACCGATCCTCCCTTGGCTTTGAGAGCCACGACAAGCTTGTTGCTACGGCATTTGAAGGCGCGGCTAAGGAGTTCTGTAGAGTACTACACTATGAAACTAATGATCGTGGGCCTTGCTAATCGTGGAAAGACCACTCTTATGCATCGCATCAACAAGAATTTCGCTTTCAAAGAGAACACTTCGACCAAAGGTATATACTAGATTCATTCTAAGCAAAAATTTGAGGTTGTTTGCATACTAAAAAGAGCTTTTCTATTCCAATGCTTAACATATAAGAATTGTTGGATGTATGCATGTCTAAGGTTCAGGAGATTGGCCCCATTCCAGTATGCTTATGCCTGCTAATCTAATCAAATTAGCACAGAGAAGGGATCCGAAACTTGGAAAACTAGTCGCATTTTTACATCAATAAATCTTCAAGACTCTCTGGTGCTGTTTCCATCTAGCCGTGGTAACATACTTTAGGTGTTGTTTAAAGATGTCGAAGGAATTATTACTTAGACAAGGAATTTTTGACAACAATCGAGCAAAGTGTCTTACCAAAGTTTTGCTATTGATTTGGGTACTTTAAGCCTTGCTGAACATTTTAAGCCTTGGATACATTTTTGCAACACAATAGAAATCATGTGATTGATGACGTCATTTTCCCCAGTCATTAAAATTTTTACTTCTCTTTTTTGAAAAATTCCTAATATATAAGCTCAAATGACATTCTTGAGTTGCTGAATAACACGAAGGTCAAACAATTTCAAAATCGAGATAAAGCAACCTAAACTACGACAACCAGCCTTTGAATTCCACGTGCTTGAAACCTGCAGAACCGCCATTTTGATGACGTCATGCAAACTTTAAATAGCAATAACTCGTTATCTGCATGTCTGATAGAGTTTATTCTTTAGAACTTTTTGCTCCTATTACAATGCCAAACAAGATGGTTGGAGAAATTTTTCAAAAAAGAGAATTAAAATTTTGAGAAAAAAGAGGAAAAAAAATTTTGAAAATGACGCCATCGATCACATGATTTCTGTTGTGTTACAAACATGTATCCAAGGCTTAAAATATTCAGCTGAAATTACCCAAATCAAGAGCAAAAACTAAGATTAGACATTTTGCTCGATTATTGTTAAACATTTCCTATCTACCTTGGATGACTTGAAATTGGTTCTTAAAACTCAAAAGAGCACAGTGCCAAATTAAAGGATTGTATCACCTTTTTGGGAACATTTTGTTAATTCTTGCCTGTGAACACGTAAACAGACCCTTGGGCGTCATATCTTGTCTGTAAACAAACTCTCAGTGAGCAAAACTTGTCTCTACACAAACCCAATGGCATGATGTCTTCAAGCAGGCCATTATACATATCGTCTTGTATGTAAACGAGCACTGAGTCCTGTCTGTAAATAGACCATCAAACGTAACGGCTTGCCAGTGAACAGACCGCCAAATTTTAGGTTGTGCCGGGAAACAGACCTTCAAACATTACGTCCTGTATGTAAATAGACCATCAAATATTTCATCTTTTAAGTAAATAGGCCATAAAACATTAAGTTTTATGAACCATCAAAATAGACCATCAAACATTACGTCTTGTATGTAAATAGACCATCAAACATTTCATCTTAATAGGCTATAAAACATTTAAGTCCTGTCTTTAAATAGACCAGCAAACATTAAGTCGTGTCTTTAAATAGATCATCAAACATTACGTCTTGCCAGTAAACAGACCGCCAAGCATTCGGTTGTGCCGGGAAACATGTTAATAGACAATCAAACATTACGTCTTGTTTGTAAATAGACCATCAAACATTAAGTGTTCTCTGTAAATAGACCATCAAACATTACGTCTTGCTGGGAAACAGAACATCAAACATTTTATCTGGCCAGTAATAGTCAACAACTCATTTCCGCTTGCCCGTAAACAGACCCGTATAGAGCATAGCGGTCAAATCTTTGATTGGCTGAGAGCTCTGTTCGCTGCCATGTTCTAAGCCAATCAGCACACAGGATTTTCACAACAAAACCGCCTCGCAGCTAGAATTAGGCCCATTTTCGCCATTTCAGCGTGTTTTTACCACATTGTCTACAAAAAACATTGCATGCCTCCACAAAGCGAATTTCCACTTTATATTTTGTCCAGTTCATCATCATGCGTTGCTATTTAACCTATATTGGCGCCACTGTTCGATCGCAAAGAATAATATAAAAAAACACCTCGCAAATGATCGGTAAATTTCGTGTCGAGATTCAGGTTAATTAGGTTTTTACCTCTCCCCACCCAAAACGCTATAGACATTTCACATTTAGACAAAATCAATTATATACTTACCTTAAATATAGGAATGGTTCATAATCCCGTCAAAGATGCACTCACTGTTCAGCCTTAGATTCGGCGGGGATCGCCAATTTAATCATCACAACGGTACGAAGGCTCTCATATTCACCCTCGAAATCAATAAATGTATCTTTGTCCTCTGGAATCAAAATCTGCTTCATAAAAGTGAAAAATTTTCAGCAACAGCCCAAAGTAATTTCAATCATGATTGTCCAGACAATTGACCATTATTACTAATTTTATGTGATGAAAATGGCGAATACACTCACGCGGTAAGACTGGGATCTAATAAAATTTGAAAACGGCGGGAAAATCAATTTAGAAAAATTGACGAAAACGCATCCTTGAAATTTTCCCGCCGTTTTCAAATTTTATTAGATCCCAGTCTTACCGCGTGAGTGTATTCGCCATTTTCATCACATAAAATTAGTAATAATGGTCAATTGTCTGGACAATCATGATTGAAATTACTTTGGGCTGTTGCTGAAAATTTTTCACTTTTATGAAGCAGATTTTGATTCCAGAGGACAAAGATACATTTATTGATTTCGAGGGTGAATATGAGAGCCTTCGTACCGTTGTGATAATTAAATTGGCGATCCCCGCCGAATCTAAGGCTGAACAGTGAGTGCATCTTTGACGGGATTATGAACCATTCCTATATTTAAGGTAAGTATATAATTGATTTTGTCTAAATGTGAAATGTCTATAGCGTTTTGGGTGGGGAGAGGTAAAAACCTAATTAACCTGAATCTCGACACGAAATTTACCGATCATTTGCGAGGTGTTTTTTTATATTATTCTTTGCGATCGAACAGTGGCGCCAATATAGGTTAAATAGCAACGCATGATGATGAACTGGACAAAATATAAAGTGAAAATTCGCTTTGTAGAGGCATGCAATGTTTTTTGTAGACAATGTGGTAAAAACACGCTGAAATGGCGAAAATGGGCCTAATTCTAGCTGCGAGGCGGTTTTGTTGTGAAAATCCTGTGTGCTGATTGGCTTAGAACATGGCAGCGAACAGAGCTCTCAGCCAATCAAAGATTTGACCGCTATGCTCCCGTATAGAGTATTTCCTGGCAGCACTTCCTCAGAAATGACATCTTAACTATAAACAGACCGTTTAATATTACATTTCGTCTGTAAACGGGATATCAAACATTACTTCTTTTCTGTATAGAGACCATCGGACTTTTTATTGTTCACGTGTTTCCTTTTCCTATTTATTCACCATTATTGATGATAATTCATGCCAGTGCATTTTGTTGTTTTAGGTGTGGACATTCGAGATATTGTGATTCAAAAAGCTACTTTTAAATGCTGGGATTTTGCTGGGCAGGGGGAATACTATGCTACTCACCAATGCTTCTTGTCTCAAAGATCGCTGTATATGCTAGTCTGGAATCTTTTAGACGGCGAAAGTGGAATTAGTGGTCTCCGTCCATGGCTTGCCAATCTCCAGTTCAGGGTCCCGAATTCTTCTGTCATCATAGTTGGAACCCATCTTGATGAAGTCATGGAGATGCCGGGTTTCAGCGAAGAGCGCATCGCTGACAAGGTGTATGCAATGGTGAAGAATTACAGAGAGATCCACTGCCAAAGAGAGATGATTACAGCTGTCACTTGCTGTATTGAAAAACCTCATTTAGACGAATGCAGACGAAGTAAGTAAACCAATTATTCATTCATTTACGCTATCAGATAAAGTACGAACATGAAATCATTTTGGTTTACCCTTAGCCCAGTTTATTCTATTTTGTATACCAACATTGATTTAAAAACTTATATATAATTTAAAAATTGTTTAGTGCTAATGTTTAGTGTGTGTTCTGTTTGGTCACCCTGTAGTTTGTGGTTTTTGTAAATAGTTCTCATTGCATTATGGTGAGTAAACGAACCGCTGTTCAGTCATGCAGGGACTCCCTACAGAAATCAAGGCTCGCCTTTGTTTCTATATTTGCTCACAACTTGCTCTTTAGTTTCAAAGGTTAGCAAACTTTTCTGGCTTCTGCCATCGTATTGTTGATCAGTCTTGGCTTCTGCCATTTAGTCCTTCAGTTTCCAAGAAAGCTCCCATCCCAACGAGAAGAATTATTTGCTCTGGTTCAATCCGATTTTTGTATAGGGGAGATGTCAGCGAAACGGTTTGGGCCATCTTGTTTCCTGATATGCTCAGTATTTTATGGAAGGAGTAAGCCCTCCCCTGTAGAAACTTAAAAGTTTTATAAAACAGTCTTAGGAAAGGAAGATTTTTTTAGTTTAGGATTGGTATTTTGTTTCGGATTTCAAAGGAAGCTCAACTGAAGCATCAAACCGCCAGCTCGTCTTTAAATTAAAACGAGATAGTTTGCACGCAAAATATGAAACCGTTTTCTTAACATGGCGGCAGAAGACCGAGATTTATGGTCTCTTTTTGTCTTTCGAACTTCTGCACAAAGAACTTGTGTCGGAGAAGATTCACTCCAGATGTGCTTCGATTTATATATAATACACGACAAAGTATAAATGGAAACAAAGTTGTAGCAAGAAAAAGCGTGCACCAAGTAATGCTTTGTTTTTCTATTCCTCATGATGCCATGTCTATTATCTTCTTTTGTTTTCCAGTACCATTATCCATTAGAATCCTTGTTCCACCCAATGGTCACCGGCTTTGTTTTTGAGAACTTCAGCATAATCCGCTGTAACTTTTGTACACTGAAATTTGTTACAAATGATCATTGGTCGGCTGAGTTGACTACGATCCTTAATAACTGCAAGCTGAACGGATAAAACAATATTTCTTTGCTATCTTCGTTGATGGTGAAGCTGTTGAAGTCATACAGCATCTTAATGTCGGGAATCGTTAAGGCGTATAGCTAACTTCACCTATCTCAACTCTTTCACCATACTTTATTTGCTGTTGTCCTTGTATGTGTCAAAGACAATCACAATTTTTGTGCACTGGTCTGGAACAGTAGCAGGTATTTCGGTCTCCATTTGTCTCTTGGTGGATAAAGGGCAAATCAAACATTTGGCTGCAGCAAGGTCCAAGTCGTACCTGTTTAATTTCTCCGCAGGTGCTAGTTCATCAGAGCTAATGATATTCACTTATGGCAGTTGCATACAATCTAGTCCTAACATTCCTTCTGATGGCATTATCTGCTGTGCTGAGAGGCATTGACACAGGTGCAAGTGGATACAACAGAGTTGTCTCGAGATCAACATCTGCATCTTGCTTGTTCGAGTGCAACTATAAGGCCAAGAATGTCTCTCTGAAAGCTCTTTTTTCTTCCTTTAATCTTCAGCTTAATTTTCAATGATGTATCCTTGAAAGTTGAAACGACTTTGTTTTCAATTTTTTAAAAAAAAAAGTATTTTCGAGGGCACCGTCAGTTGGTTATTTCCTCTCAGGTTTTAGACAATCCCGACAACACTCTCAGGTGTACCCAAGCTCATTCGGAAAACCTCTGAAAAAGGGGTGGTCTTTTCCTTCAACCTAGGACAAGAAAACTTCTACAACCAATATAGGCCAAGATTCCTCTTTGCTGAAAATATCACAGGATCTCATACATAAATCAAATGTGTGCATGTAATTTGCTCATTAATATAATTATGAAGCGCAAAGATTCTTTAGAAAGAGCAATATTTGCAAGACAACATTTTTGTATGCATAAAGGTCATTTGCAACTTATTATGGAAATGTTGGCAGTTTTGTTTCACAATGTGTTCCTTTTCACTTATCATCATTTTAGACAAACCTATATACCTATAAAAATAGTATTATTTAACTAGAACTTCAGCATTCTGCAGTAAGTACAGCTTTAGCCAAAATTGTGTGACAGTAGTATCATAGTGCAGCACAGCAAATTTTAACTTTTTTCAATTTTAAACTATTTTCTTATTGATTACCTTCAAATACGCAAAAATGAGACTTCAAACACGAAAAAGAGGCTGATGGCCCCCCAGAATCTCCGTATAACATCTCCGATTTTCGAAATCAGCACCCTTGAATTGTTCAAACGCACTTGGTCCCATAAATTTCGCTCTCTGGCGACCATTCCCCTATTCTCCGCCTGGTCTATTTCTGCACATGGTTTGGATTCGAACTTTGCGTGGATTATACCGTATATGACCAAAACATCATTACTTTTGCCTGCAATGGCCGGTTGATTGTTACATTAATGTACAAAATAATACTTCATTCCTAATGACTGTTATAATTATTTCTCTTTTTTGTTCATCCAAAGGAATGGAAAAATTGCGTACTTTGATTTACAATGTAGCCAGTCAGTTAACCGTTGACGGTCAAATAAGCAGTCCTAAAGTTTTAGGAGAGATGATTCCATCCAGCTACTTGACACTTTCAAGGATGATAACAGAAAAACAAGCAGAACTGAACAGAGAAGGGCGCCTCCCGCTGTTGAGGAAGTGCCAGTTTGAGAACATGGTTGCTGAAAACGCAACCAAACACCCGAGTGATTATTTTGATCCCGAAGATGTCGAACTGGCTACACGATTCCTGCACGACATTGGTAGGCCTTTTTTTGCAACAGTATTTAAATTTTTTATTTTTATATAATGACTGGTCTTCAATTTTCCACTTGCATTGAAAGCAAGCATGGTATCCTTTTGCACAGGATACATTAACGCGCCCTACATTCACAGCGAAACTTGGAATATTTATCTTGTCAAAATGGAAGAGGTTTAATTTGCTGTACCATACTTGATATCAATGTATGATCAAAAAATATTATTTTCCAGTTCAATTCTTCGCATTTAATGATTTTTTGTGCTGAATGTTAAGTTACCATAACAGGATCATGACGCCAGTTCACTTTGGCTTGACAATGTTTGCAAGATTGGAAGATGTAAGAAATGTTTGCAAGATTGGAAGATGCTTGAATACCTATGGTCTATCCCTTGTTTTGTAGGGCTGATTTTACATTATAACGACCCAAATCAAGATTTGAGAGACCTGTACTTCATTAGTCCTTCCTGGTTATGTGATCTTATGGCCAAAATAGTCACTGTTAAGGAAGCCCATACTTTTATTCGAGATGGCATACTTCGAGAAGAGGACATAAAGCATATTATAAAAAACGAAGACAGGAATTTCCCGCAAGAGTTTTACCCGAAATATTTACGTCTGCTGGCCCGTTTCCAAATTGCATGTAGAATAGATAAGGAGAGAATCCTTGTGCCATCGCGACTGCCTGAAAACATCCCTGCCAATATTCCCCCTTTAAAGGTGCCGAAACAAACGATCCTGCGGCTGCACCACTTCTCGTGTATACCCCATGGGTTTTGGAGCCGTTTTATCAGCAGGTTTTTGCTGTATCTAAACGACATGCTTAATGCTACGAGCCATCAAAGTAGAGAAAATGACGAAAGTGTAGGAAATGAAGGAGAGCAAGTTGAAGATGATGATATGGAATGGTGCGAAGAAAAATGGGAAAAGGAATCAAACGCCTGGAAAGAGAGCCCTGTTCCCAACGGAACAGAGAAAAGCCCTAGTCCGGAAAGCCCTAGTCCGGAAAGCCCTAGTCACGAAAAAAGTAGCGCAGCACAGGAGCCCAGTCAACCAGCTACAGAAAAGGAAGACGATGACGTCAATATAAACACTGGTAAAGTAGATGCAAGTTTTCTAATTAATGGGGTTCGCTTAGAGGACAATGAAGATTCTTGTCGTGCTTCCTCTACCTCTTTCTGGCAAGATTCAAGAGAAGCTACGCCTATTTCTGTTGGTGATTCATCTGTTTACAGTCAGACATCACCCACTAGCTGGGATCAATCTAGAACGAGCTCGTCGCAAGATTTCAAAATTTCTCATGGTCAAAAGTCAGAGGATGAGGGAAGTGTTGCCTCGACCTCCAGCATTTCATCAGAGGACTCACGAGCTCAACAAGGAGCCAGCTATGGAGCAACATTTCATGAACAGCAATGGGAGTCTTATGACCCAGAGGACGATCATTTCTTTGAAGCTGTGGATATCTCAACTCTTATTGATCGAAAGCAATTGATTTGTTGGAGGTATGGAGTAATATTCAACCACCCAAAGCTGTTTTTGTCTGTTATGTTAAAAGAGGATGTGGATGATCGTTGGATTGTCGAAACTAAAGTTTGCAAATCATTGTTAGGATACAGAGCTCTGGCATTCACAGTGGATCACATTAGAACACTGATCAAAGAATGGTTTCCTGGCTTAGAGGGTACCGATGGTTTTAATCCATATGTCCAACAGCTGGCACCTTGCCCAGTGTGTATCAGCTGTGGCATTAATCCACCGTATGAATTTGAAGTAACCGAATGTTTGAAAGAGTCCTTCAGTAAAGAATTTTTGCTCTGTGACAATAGCCACATTCCTCGTGTCGTAGAACTAAGTGTATTGTGTCCTGACTTATTGTTTATGGATTTGGAGCCATCAATGCAGGTGGCAAGAAACGACTTGATGTTCTTGGAGGCAGATGACAACTTGCTTGGGCAAGGTCAATTTGGAAAAGTGTATAGAGGAGCATACAAGGATAATCTAGCAGCCGTAAAGCTGTTCAATTTCAAAGTGGAAATCAATCCTGATCTGGTTGAGGCCCTCGATCACTTCTATGAGGTGCGTCAAGAGGCAGTTGTGCTGAGTCGAGTTGGACGCCATCCGTATATAATTACCTTTTACGGAGTTTCTGTACGCCCTAAATTATGTCTTGCTATAGAATTAGCAACTAGGGGAACACTGAAAGACGTGCTAAGAAACCCCTATCACGTAATCGATAGAATTGTTATTTATCGTATTGCACAACAAACAGCTAGTGCGATTTCCTACTTACATTCTATGGGAATCATTCACAGAGACTTGAAGTCAGACAATGTTTTGCTGTTTTCTTTGGAGCCGGATAGCGACATCAATATTAAGCTTGCTGATTTTGGAACCGCCAATTTCATCTCTCCAGTCGGCCTCAAGTTCTTCACAGGCACTCCTGGATTCATTGCCCCAGAGATTTTTGAATATTCCAAAACGGAAGAATATGATAGTAAAGTTGATGTGTTTTCATATGCTATGGTTCTATATGAACTGATATCCAGACGAAGGCCATTTTATGACTGTGACAGTGCTATTGAGGTAAACAATTCCCTCAAAGAGGGTAAGCGCCCTCGCTTCTACAACATAGAGAATACTAAGTACTCATTGTTAACACTGACAGCATTGATGATCAAAACATGGGCACAGGAAGCTGTGAAACGTCCATCCTCTTTGGACATTACCCGACAGCTGAAATCACCTAGCTTCTGTTTGCTTTATGGCAAGGCCCCACTTAGAGATGTTAACACTCCACGGCTTTTGTGCTGCATCAAAAGCAGGGGTGAGCTCTGGATTACCTGTGATGATAGGGCTGGTGCTTCTATTCTAATTGTTAACATAGAGACCACAGATATCAAACAGAAATTTGTTCCAGAAAACAAATGCTTAGCCAAAGCAAAGGAATCATTTTTCAACATTTCATCAATTTATGAAATCGACAAAGAACACGTGGCCATTATCCTGCGAAGCACCTCTGACTACGTGTCGGTCTATTCATCTGAAAGAAGGAAGCTTGTATCGTCTTTCCCGTTTCTCAATAACTATATCCGTTCTCTGGCGGTGCATAGTAGCTTCGTGATCATTGGTCGAGAAGATGGTGCGTTTGAAAGAGTTGACAAAAAGGACTTTCTAAAGGGAAAGTGGAAGGACAAGGCGACGGTTACCGTGAATGCAAAACGAACTATATCTGCTGTTACAATAAGTGAGGTAGAGACACAGGAAGACAATGGATTGCTGGTAAAGTTGCTTCTTGGTTGTGACAAGTATGTTTACAAGTATCCGCTAATTTTTGACGTTCCAAGTGAAGTGAAGCTTGAGGGAATGAGGCATGGAAACGAAAAAAATCATGTATCCCAGCTGAATGTCTCTGAAGATGGCAGGCTTTTATTTGTTGCTTGCAGTGGCAGCTCCGTTGTGAGCATATACACGGTCGAGACGCTTAACGTGGTAGGCGATGTTGATTGTGCCAAAGAGATACAAAAACTCAAACCAGGCAGTGATTGTTATGACCAGCGAGTCACATGTTTCTGTGTGAATTATGACACCCTGTGGATTGGTACTGGGAGTGGCCATATCCTGATCTATGAAGTTTATGACGACAGAGATCCCTCTCTGATCACGTGGCTGAAGCCGTACAAACTTGAGATCCGATCGTTGGTATCTTGCCCAAATCTAGGGAGAACCCCTTCACGTTTTATCGTTACCATTGGCAAGGAATTGAATCCATCTGCTTTGTGCTATGGTGAAAATGGACTGTGTCTTCTGACTGGAGCGATGCCAGTCGACCCATGTGACCCTTCATTAACTCAGAAGTCATCAAATACATCTGATAAACGGAGGACAGTCAACAAGCATCTTGGAGAATTTGATAAGCAGATGTTGCTCATATGGGATGGTGTTAAAGCAGCTGTTTTGAGACAGGTGGTTGGAGTTAATTAAGGTGAGATACCCCTGTTGTTTGAAATCCGCAGCTCTGAACTTTTTCCTTATGAAGACATTTAAAGTTAGATACATCTAGCGAATTTGATTGGCTATTTGAAGCAAACGACAGATACAAAAGCAAAATTTCTCGTAATATTCTTCTGCAAACATGTGCCGTAAAGGGAATATTGATCACATGAAATTTCTTTTGAGGTTTGTTGCACTGCTCCCACAATACTACTCACCCGCTTATTGACGGGCCAATTCTTGATTGAAAGGTGTCCTTTTCAGTTTCTGTCAACTTCCTTTGAGTTTACAAAAGAAAGCAGAATAACCCGCGCGTTTATCCTTGCTATAAGATCAAAGCTCATTTTGAAGTACCTCCAGGAGCAGCTGAGAGTGGGTCTATTGCAATTTAAAGCTTTACAGAACTCAAGAACTAGCCTCAGCCTCCTACCATAAAACAGAACAAACTTTTATTACAATTTTCAAATATCATACTAGCCTGCTACTTTAAAAATTCAGTTTGACTGATTTGTTTAAGCACGTTTTTTCACTTTGTAGGTTCAATGAAGTTGCAGATTAGAACCAAAACAGTTGCAGAGGATAATGACGTAAAGCACGATTGCTAAACATATTAACAAGACATGTATAGATATTATTCTAATTATAGATAGTAGCAATTAAAAATTCTAAGTCATCAGTTTATGATTAATTGTCGATTATGTGCTTCGAGAGATTATATTTTTATACAGTTTTTATGAAATGTGATTTTATAGTTTGACAATATACAGTTAAATGTTTAGAAAGTTGTATTTACAGCGTTCTCGTTAGGCGGTCTAGTTATTTCAAAAGAATACATATTAGATTTCCTCTAATATCAAATTTAACTTTAATGCTCAATTTGGGTCAAACATTTTACAAAAAGTTTCTATCGCCAGACAATATTCGCATCTGTTTATCATATTTTCCTACAGGTTTTGCATTAATTCAGTTTTTTGACCGTAAGTTTGTTACAGTTCTTCGTAGTTTGTTTTTAAAGGAATAATGGTCCAATTTTATATTTGTCATTTTAATTTCAATTAATATTATAACATGATATGAATTGCATCAGTCACATGCACTTATTTGTTATTTGACTTCTTATGTTAGTTTGAATACGCCAGCTGCAACCATGATAATTTTAGATTTGCATAGTTTGTGAAGTTCAGCTTTTTCTAGTTGAACGGATTCCAAGCAAGCTTTTTTGTATTTCTCATCAATTCTCGGGCTTTGAACTGGATAAATCATGTCACCCTTGTCTGATTGACGTCCTTTGGATATGTTTACCAACCGCCAATGGAACAGGAAGAATTAGGGGTTTTGTAAGAACCTCTTTTCAAGATCATAACCAGAGAATTTATTAACATTGTGACCAGGGGGGATACCCATTTTTAATATTTAGCCGTAAGTTTTTTCTTTTAAAATTAGCAAATTTACATTTTTGGGGTCTTTTGGGGTTCCAAAGAGACGGTCAAGCTTTGCATGACCGTAGACATTATTAAATCATAGGGATTTTTGGTCCTCAAAATGGTTGTGCATTTGTTTCTGTAATTATCTCTGAGTTGATACAGCTAGAGATCAATTTTATAGATAATATCTCTTTCACGATATAGAAGCATCAAGAGATTGAGCCTTTCATCTTTGTTCTCGATCGAAAGAAAATTTTAAACAATTTTTCAGAGGGCCAAATGTCCTTTCGTATTTAACAATTCAACAATAGGGGGATTCGAGAGTAAGTGCATATGCCCGATTCGTAAGATGAAGCACTTTTATTTGGTCAATTTCTTCTACTGCAGCTTCTGCAATGTTTTCTGGCTTCTCAGCAGCTTTATAATAAGAGGTTAAGGACGTTTACAAATAACAGGGGGAGCTTAGCATACACGTTTTTTTCAAGAAGGGCTGAAAAAAATTCCCATTTTAATGTTTTATGATGAATACGGGGTATTATTTTCAAAATTGAAGCACAATACTGAGTCTATGAAGTTTCAAGTTTCTTATCCAGAAATTCGCCTTGCCTGTTCAAAATAATCTAATTCAATTTAACTCCCGTTCAAAAGAAAACAAGTGGTGCAATTTGAGATCCAGCGGAGACAGGGTTTCACAATAGAAAACGATTAGTGAATGGGTCTCCTCCAGCCTGTGAGTTTTTACAATTTAAGGTTTAAAATTCCAGAGTTCCTAAAATGTAGAATTCACACGCTTGGTATAGAGAAGAAAGTTCAAAGTAAACAGTTAAGTTTTCCAACTGTAATCGGATTTTCGAAACTTTGGGGGGCGTCATGCGCCACGCCCCTTTATTAGTATTACGAAACGTGACGAAATTGAGGCTGCTATAGGAGTGAGACGAAGAATGAATGGTGGGCTTAAAATGGTTGCGAAATTCAAAGAGACTTTGGAAACACTATTGGCTGCCTAGAAAAATGCAGAATTCTAGTATTTCCGATCTGGAGGTAGTTCCATGCGTTGATTCGAAATACGTTAAAACGTCGAGAGCAAAATTTAAGCAGGTATGAAGGAAGTGTTTGAACAAATACACTCGAACTGTGTGCTATGATTTTTATTTTTCATCCATCCACACAAATTTGAATTTTTTTTGCAAGTTGGTTTCGTATAATTCTGATTCAGCTAGGGATATAAGCATTTGTCTCCCGATCGAGAGAAATAAACGATCTTCTCCCGAACTGGAGAAATTTCAAGAAAATGTCTCCAGATTGGGAGAAGAAACCATACTTTCTTTTTCTCCCGATCGGGAGAAAATATCACTCTTTTGACAAAAATGCACGAAGAAACTTCTGGCAGGAGTTTTAAACATCATTTTTAAAACATACACCGTCAAATATATATATATATATATATATATAACCTACAATCATCAGTCATTTACCAAGCCACCGTCACACGCAGAGACAATGACACTACAGAAACATACATCGGACTTACAGAAAACGAATTCAAGACAAGATACAGAAATCACACCGCATCTTTCCGTCACGCAAAACACAGAAATTCCACAGAACTCAGTAAATACATCTGGACCCTAAAAGACAATAACATCGACCACTCCATTTCCTGGCGCATCCTCTCAAAAAAGCCATCCTACAGCAGCTCAAACAAAAGATGCAGCCTTTGCCTTAAAGAAAAGACCCTCATTATCTGCCACCCCGAATTATCAACACTCAACAAACGAAACGAACTCGTATCTTCTTGCAGCCATAGAAACAATACACTATTATGTAAAACTTGAATCCCTTTATGTACCGCCCCTAATTCACCTTTTGTATAACCTCACACATTATGTAACACCTTCTGTACCATATTATCTATTTATTTGAGGAATATTCCAGTACATCAACATCTCCTAAAGAGTGAGTTACCCAAGAAGCAGGCTTGTAGAGATAAATCATGTAGTTTTACTTTCTTCAACTCTTTGATATATCACGCTCTACGTGCTAACGTATTGAGCACTGTTCTACGGAAGTATCAAAAGACAAATTTCTATGTATATATATATATATATATATTCAATAGCTCCTAACTTTAAAGTTCTTTAAAAATATAAATAGATACTCAATAAAAAAACAACTTGGTTGACGTTTCGCTAAGCTTCTTCAGAATAACTAACATATACATCTGAAGCGTAAAGTAAGGAATACGAAACAAAACAACAAAAGGTAACACATTTTACAAGCAAGAACAATAATAGCTAATTTAACAACATAATGATAGTTTCTAAGCCCAACCGGAGATGAGAAAAGATGGATAAATACAATAGATAAAAGAACAATAGAACAAGTGCGATAGCAGATGGTATAGCATGCAGAAAAGTCCAAGAAAAAGAAACAGTAAATGCTGTCTGTCTCAAAAAAAAGAAACTAGGTAAATAAATATAATAAATATAGAATGCAAAGAAAAGAAAGAAAGTAGATAGAAAACGTGGAAAAAATAAACAGAAGTAGCAAGGAGAAAATAAACAAAAAGATAGGAAATGAAAATAAAACTAATATGTGTCAACTAACCTAATTTTAAGGCCCAGGGGCGCAAAAGTTTCTAACTTATACTGCCAGAAACTTTCACGTATTCTACCATTCCCATAAAGTCTATCTATAATAGTTACTTTAATATCTTTGAGAAACCCATGATGATCCTTCCCTGCAAAATGCCGGAAAAAATAAGCCTGAGGTACACCCGAAGAGCCCCCGATAAACTTACAATTGCACGCCTTGTAGTTATTAAACCTAAGCCTAAAAGGCGTGCAAGTGCTACCCACATACTGTACACCACATACTTTACATTCCATAAGATACACAACATTGGACGAATCACAATTAAATGAAAAATTTATCTTTTATATTCCTTATCAGTTATATGTGAAGTAAAAGTATCAATGTCACACATAACATTACACACTTGACACCGAGACTTGCCACACGGAGTACAACCCTCATTATGCCAAACCCCTGCCCCTCACTATGAAGTTTAGCCCTAACTAGTATATCTTAAGGATTCTTACACCTCTTAAATGATATCAAAAGTGGCTGAGGAAACACCTTCCTATGCTCTTCTGATACTGTAAGCATAGAATGAAGTCTCCCGGCCACCTTGCCCAAATTATTCAAGGCTGGATGGTATGTGGTAACATATGGAACCCGCCCATTCCCAATGTGTTCATGTTTCCCATTAGCCTTATCCAGTAGTGTAACCCTATCCTGCCTAATGATGCATAGCAGGTCAAATTTTTATGAACATATTTGTTTTCTCTGATGGTGTCACAGATTTGCAGTCTACTATGGTTTGTTATATTGGCTATAAGTTTGATATAAAAAGGACTCTGCTAATATTGTTTTGAATATGTAAATGTACAAATAGTATGATTTGGCACATGGAAGAAAGTTCATTTTGATTTTTTTTTGGAAACTGAAAACAATTATTTCCCTGCCATGCTAGGCTTAATGTGAAATACTTCCTGTCTAAATATCCTTCCTGTATCAAGTGCTTTATATGGTTTTGGAAAGATCTAACACTTTCATTGTTCAATTTTTAGAATGGCAACCAAAGGACTTGGGATTATGTTAATGTTCATGATGCGTAAGTATCACAGCTAATTAAAGAAAATAGAGAAGTTTGTTAAAGTTACATTTCTTGATCAATCTAAAGAGAGATTCTTTTTGAAGCCCTGGGCCACATTGGTAGTGACAATTTAAATATGTTATCAAAAACTGCATATAAATATATAATTTTGATGATGTGTAAAACCTTAAGAAAAAAGTCTAATTTTCTAGACTAATGAGTGTTTATTTAACTAAAACATTTTTGAAAAGTAATGTTTCAAGATGAATTACATCAGTATTTAAGGAAAACTGGAAATTTTTCTTCACAAAATATTAGAAACAATGAATTCACAAATTGGTGTAAAGTTGGTTGTTAAAAAGTTAAAATTTGGTTGACAAAATCTTTTCTGATTTTGTATCAGATCTTTTCTTAGAATATTCTAAGCATTTATGGTTGTATAAATGAAAGATTGGCAACAACTCTATCTGTGTATCAAACAACGCACAATCTTTTTCATCACCACTGTCTTCCAAGAAACCTTGTATCACCCTTTTTGTCACTGCTTTTACTTTGATTGTGAACATCTCACATAGTTCAACTAAGCCACAAAAAGTCTGGGAAAAAAGTATCAACATTTTTTGCTAAAATTGAGTTTATCACCCTTTTGAATGAAGGTCTCGTTTCATCTTCAGCTTGAGATTTGACTTCTATTAATGATTGAAACCCCCTTCCTTTTGGAGTTAGAGGTAGCAATAAACCTTTTTGACACAAGCCATCTAATATTTGACTTTCTATGCTTTAGCATGCAAAGAACTGTTTTATTGGTTTTATTATAGCTCGCTGATTATTTCACCTTTTGTCAAATTTGGCAAAATCAATTGACCATGAAAATTTATTCTTTTTGACAAATAATCCATTAAACAAGAGATTATAACCAGCTTATTTTGGCAAAGGAAAACCAAAAAAGAGAGAATATTGTTCTGATGTGACTGTTATTGCCAATACCATTCTCTTTTGTAGAATTAAAGTATGAATTTGTGCAAAGTTGGCAATTTTTGCCAGAAGAATGTTGTTGTACAGACAACATGAGAATGACACTTATGTGCATATTGCCAGATAAGGGTAAATTCAAATCCCCAGTTCAGCCATACCCCTTGCAATATGAGAGAAGGGTGCTGAAAAGCTGTTCTGATTGAAATGGATTGAATTTTGTGAATTCTTTCTTTTCTTCCTTTCCAACAGTTGCAAGATTTTTTCTTCATAAGGTATATGTTGTATTTTTTAGTGTTGCGATCATGCTGTTTCATACAACCAGAAAAGCATTCATTCTTGTTCGACAGTTCAGGCCAGGTGTTTAATACGACAGTATTTTCTTTCTAATTGCCAAATTTCCTGACTCATTATCAGATATACTTCAAGCTTCATATCAGAATTAGTTATCATGGAATGATTAGACTTCTTCAAATAAGCAATTTATCTCGATTTTTGCCCTTGAACATGTTCATGAGCTTGCTAAGGCAACCAGCGATTGTCTCAAGAGCCATTCATTTGTTTTATGCTCTTTTTTAAATAAAACAATGTCGTTAGTTTTATTTAATCTACCTCGCTCACACCGTGCTCATGAAAGCAATATACAACATTCTTTCATGAGTTATCATTTAAATATCAATATTTTTCAGCTCTGTACATGTTTTTGAACAACGAGGCCAATGGAAAAGAGAGGAGCGATTTGTCAGAGGAAAAAGGAGAGGTGGCCATAACTGCACCATTTCAGTCCGCTGTCACCTACGAACTATGTGCTGGGATAGTTGACAAAAGGAAAACTTTAAAGGAAATTGCAAAGGAGGAAGTTTTAGAAGAAACTGGGTATGAAATATCAACAGATCAGCTGGAAGAATTATTTAGTTGTCGTGGTGTTGGAACTTCTGGGAACAAGGTTAGTCTGTTTTATGCTGAGGTTAATGATGAGATGAGAGTTGGTGAGGGAGGTGGTAATCCTGATGAAAATGAAGTTATCGATGTTGAATATTTGCCTTTGGAACAAGCCAAAGATTTTGTTTTCGATGACAGCAAAGCAAAGCCTGCCAGTCTTGTTGCTGCATTTATGTGGTACTTTTGGAAGCACAAAAACTAATAGTTGTTTTTAAACTTTTTTGAAATTAATCAAGAAATGGTTTTTCCATTGAAAAAAACAAAGTGTTTAATGTTAGTGAAAAATAGCAAACTGTCACAGACAGCCACTGTAAAAGTAGTTTGATTAAATGAATATTGCATTTGATAAAATAATTTTTGCCTTCTTACCCTATGCAATATTTGAAAGCACTGATTTCGCATATAAGATATTTAACAATAATGAACTGTCTGAAATTGAAACAGCAAATCAGAATTCGGACTTTGAGGTTCAGTGGAACCTCAGCTGTAAGGTTGATGGAACTATTATCAAAGATGATGCTTTTTTTAATCAGCTAGGGACCATGCTACGACAAGCGGAGGCGCTAGCTCTTTGGAGTTTGGGTAGGGTGTGGGCGTAGTCTGCGAGAGATTTTGACACACCTCATATTCTCTTTGCATCATTCTGGTACCATGTACTTATATGTGTTTTGTCCCCAGACAGATCTTTAATAATTATTGCCAGTACATTTTATCAGTTGTGAAGATCATTTTTTTATCTCTATTATAAACACGAAAACAAAATACAATATTCTGTGCCGTCCACAGCAGAAATAGACATGACGTCATCTGGATATGTCTATGAACGGCAATCAGGTGCGGATCTAGCCAAAATTTTGACCGGTTTTGCGGTGCTTTACCCTGTGGCAGCCCTGTGTGTTATTGGTACATGAATATTGCTAAAAGTTGCTAATGAGGGTAGTAAAATGTGATTAATTTGCCCCCACTTTATCTAAAAAATTTCTCACAACAATTTTTCTCTATTCAGCATGGCCTTTGATCCTCTTCTTACAACTGCGATTTTAATTTTTATGAATTTTTCCGAGAAATAAAGTCTAGTCCCGCAATTCAAAACCATAGATTCTTATTTGCACCCGCGTATTTCATTTTGTATCATTTTGTTTTAAAGCGTTCACACTTTCGAGCTATGGATATCGATATCGAATATGCCTACTAAGCCACCGGTTTTTTTCACACAAGGGAAACATATGGGCACCGGTTTTCACAGGTTTTCAGAAAACAATAGCCACCGGTTTCAATTTCGTCGTATAGATAGCATACTCCAAACTGTCACTTCGAGTGGCGATTTCCTCGGTTTTGAATTCCTCGGATACTTTGGGATAAAAGATGAATTAGGAAGCTGGGAACTCTATCGGAATTTTGTCGGGGTTCAATTTAGTATGTAAACAGAAGAACTGTAGCCGGTCAGGGAAAAATGCAGCAATTATTGCAATTGAAATTTTAGATAAAAAATTCAAGATTTACAGAGAAACATAGCCCAAATCGACCTGTTTTTTAAACCTGTGCAATCGGTCTAGATCCGCGCCTGAGCACTTAACAAATACTTTGATAGTGAGCCTATAAAACAAACCATTTGTGAATCAGGACACCATTTCATTTGGCAGGTGCTAGCATGCGCCAGTTTAGGGCAGGCGAATCATGGATTAAGGGTAGATTACAGGTATATTAATGGCGGCATTAGATAACAAGATAGGTTAGGGTATGTGAGTTCATATGGCAAGCTATACACTGGGTTATTGGTGCTGATGCCACGATTCACAAAGGGCTTACTTAAACCAAAACCCAACAAAAATAAGAGGTCGCTAATCGTCAAGTTTCTACTTCAGTATCACTATCACTTGTATTGTATCACCACGACTATCACTTGTAATAAATTTTAAAGGAATTGTAAAGCCATCCTCTCCTATAAAACAATTTTCCTATGTTGCCAATTTTAGTTGAGTTCCATTTAGTTCATTTCCTATTACATACGAATGTCATTAGGATGACAATAACATTCAAAATCTGAGTAATGAAGTAATGAACGGACGATTCAGCAGATCCATAAGAAAATTCTTATACAGGTAGTTACACAACAGCCTTTTGGTTCAAAAGAAATTTTTTTTATTTTGATTTATAAAAATCGTTTCATTAGCAGCAGTTGAAAGCTCAAAATGTTTGAGCTTGTTTTAAAATGTAACTAATTCTATTCCAAGATTTCATACCTGCAAACCTTATAGGGAGGGGGGGGGGACCTTATAGATTTCAAGACAAATTGCAAAGTGTCTTTGCGGTTCTGAAGGAATAAAACAGGAATTGGAATTGCTAATTTTCTTTGGAAGGGGGTACATACATTTGGCATATACTGGTTTGATTAAAGCATCGTTAGTTAGTCCCCAGGCAGCAATTTCATATTTAAGAAAAGAGATGAACAGCAATACAATGAAGCAAAAACATTTGTAGGTAGAATGTAACAAACTTTGAAGAAAATACCAAATGTTCTTGATAACTTTTGGAGAGTTGAAGTAAATTATGCTTTCAAGAGAGATTTTGCAAAGAAATATTGTCAAAATGACAAAATGAATTTTTTCAACATTCAGAGCACGTTTATAAGTATCGTTTATAAGAGCCACTTTTTTGTTAAGAAACTTTTGAATTGGCTCTTAATTCCTGATTCAAAGTAAATAATGGTGTCCTTCGCAAAGTTAAAAATGCTAATTTAGAAAATGATTGTGAAATATCATTAATAAAGGTAAGAAAATAAGTGGATCAAGAACATGTAAAATGGATTTGTAAAATGTAAGTGGATCAAAAGTAAAAATGCTAATTTAGAAGATAATTGTGAAATATCATTAATAAAGGTAAGAAAATAAGTGGATCAAGAACATATCTCATTGGGACACCGCTCATGTAAGACTAAGATAGTTCCCATTGTCGCCATTTACTGATACGACAGTTTCTTGCTATTCAAACTATCCATAATTTCAGCTTTGCTAAGAAGTGTTTTTTGCTTCTCGCAATAAATGGCTGTAAAATGAATCTTCAAGAAGAAACAAAAGGAAAACGACAACTTTTGTAATTTGAAAAAAGTTGAATGAAGAAAATAAAGTCATTCTGGCGCGGATTAAAAGTATCAATCAGAGGAGAAAAGACAATTGTCATTGAAAAAAGAATTGCATTAACCGTGCTTGGGTAACCAAAATATTTTAGTTTATTGAATTTTCTGTTTTCTTTAAATATACTGATTGCCGTATAATTGTTAGATTGGCCAATCAGCTTTTGCCCTCAGCATTATAAATTTAGCCCATAAAACGTCACACCCGTCCATGCGTTACGGTGGTATTTGCACAGATAAGGGTGGGGAGGGGTATTAACTACTGCATTTCATGTTGTCATGTTTGTGAGACTGAGTTTCAGCGGGGTGAACGCTTTGGAAAGTTTTTCTCATTTCCAATTGTGTTTCTGACCATTAAACGAAATGACTGGAAATTGTACGAGAATGCAGTCTACAATTTCTGTTTCTGCCGAGACTCACAGTCTGAGCTTTTATATGTACTAATGAAATTAGATATTTGCATTTCCCCACCCCCTAACCCCTCAGAGTCAGCCTCGATACTGTGACCCCTAGGGTTATTTGGAGGATCAATTGAGATGTAGAATAGAGAAAAGGGTGCTGCAGAAGCCAAAACCACAACCAGATAAATGGCCTCCTTCAAATTTCAGTATTTAACAAACCCTAATGACGACAACAAGCCAAGTGCAGGAAAATCGGTGCAAACCATGTCAGGCACAAATTAGCACACAAATACGCAATTAAGGCGTAGTTTAGACAGCGCGTTATGGGCGCAGCGAATTAAATTCAATTAGATGCGCTCAAAATGCGCCCGTAGCACTCTTCAATTCATTATTTGCTTTTAGACAGCGAAGCGAATTGAATTGATTCATATTTTGATTCATAACTCGCTGATAATGCGCCCAAGTGAGCGCATTATGAGCGAATTCAATTATTTGCTTCGCTCTCGGATTGAGTCAGCGAATTAAGAGCGCATTAAATTGACACTCACAATATTTCATGGTCAATAATTTAATTCGCTGCGCCCATAAAGCGCTGTCTAAACTACGCCTAAGCCTATCTTTTAGTGACGTTTTTAAATGAACTATATTCTTTAAATAAAGATAGATTAAACTTTCTAGACAATGATTTCATTTTCTGAAAGGCTGTTTCATTTGGCTAGTTATGCGTGCTAAAATGGCTCATTGGCGGTAAACAATCCTCTTTCTACCAGGGAGACGTCTATCCTACTCCCCCTCTTCATCACCACTCCAAGAAAGTCAACAAGTTTTTTCATAGCTTGATTACTTGCCTAGATTCATGAGCACTTTTAAAGAAACAACAATTTGAAACGTCGATTTTTTTTATCAAATAATGAGAATTTTCGCAATGTTAAAAAATTATGAAAACCATACGACATAATGAAAATTCATTTTAAAATTAGTTTAAATAAGAACAGCATTAAGAAATAAAATCAAAACGCTTTATCGTTCTACAAGTTCGATTTGTAGGTAAATGAGCTCAAAGATGCAGCAAAAAGAGAAGCAGTGGTTCTCCGTAACTCTCCTTTAAAAGAACCATTGCTTTTATCCTGACCATGCTGGTTTGAATCAAAGCAACGCAGCCTAACTCCTTCACCTGCATGACATTGCAGGAAAGTCGTCTCCAGTCCCAACCGTCAAGTAATGAAACATATCAACATCCAACAGTGAATTGGTCAAGTCAGAAGTGTCACTGTCCCTCGAGGAGGATCTTCTTGTTTTACTTTCTTCGTTGAATGTATGTGACCGTGAAATCTTTCGTGGTCCTTGATTTTTAGGCTGATCGGTTCCGGAACTTTGGCGTCGCACGGCAAGCTTTTCCCCACGGTAAAGTCCGTTAAAGCCAATGTAAGGCGAAATTAATCTCGCGACAAGAGATTCTAGTTTCAGGTAGTTTTGATTCGGTGGGTTAGAGTCATGAACCCCTGCAAGAACCAAAAGCATTTGTGTAATATCAGAAGGTATTTTTTCCTTTGGAATTGCTCTTAATGTCTCATCGATGCTTGTCTTAAGCAGGACGATATCACGAAAACCGACCAAGGTTGTCTTTCGAATTGACAGTCCCTGTTCTTGAATTGGATAGAAAATTGCCAACAGTGTTGGTAATATTGTTGTATAAAACTCGCGCCAAACTGTTGCTAACTTCTCGATCAAAACCATGCCAGTCTTCTCTTTCACTCGTTCTTTGAGAATTATCATTCCTTTTTTGAGTATAGAGTCCTGATAGTATTCACAAATGAATCTACCGAGGTCGGATTCCAAAACATTGCGAACTTTTTCGTTTAACGTGTCGAGCTCCCTGCCTTTTAACTTCTTGTCGTGAAAAAGCCCCGTGACAGAGTGTTGCAAGCTTTTCCAGTCTTCGTTGTTTATGGCAGCAATAGACTTAACTGGCTTCACTTTCACATCAGAATGAGTGAGATCCTTTTTCCTGGGTAAAGTTATATATGAAAGCTGATTGTAAGACATCGTGTGCTTGGTCTATGCAGCAGAGTTTGTGGGCATTCCTTGGCGCTCCCCTAGGGTTTCAAATCATGAAGTGAGTTAAAAGAAGAAACTCTGTTGTTTCGAGATAATGCAAAAAGTCACATTCTTAAAAGCAATTTTGCTGAGAAATATTCAATTCTGACAAAGAATTGAAAGAAAGATCACAATTCGAAACTTTGAACGCGCTCCTATAATCAGACGACAAAGAGAAAAGATTTCATGAAACCCTTATGAACATCCGAGAAATATCTTGTGTATATCAAGCGTGTATTTTGTACGATATTCCTAGAAACTATTCGATAAAAATTCTCATATGATATCAAATCCGTTTGATTTTATTCTGAATATCTAATGAAATACGAAATAGTACCGACGCCCTTTATTTAATTGTTTTCGCACGGTTTAGCAAACTCGTGTGACCCTCTGACCAAGAACAAGATGGCTTCTGTCTGCGTAACACTTCAGGTATGCAAGAATGTGAAGAATAAGTAAAAAGGGAATTTTAACGATGGAAATTTTCATTTTATTGCAGTCAAAAATGTAAAGGCCTTAGCGATAGCTATTTGTTGCAATTTCAATTTTCATAGATACATTTTATCTCACAAGCCTTATCTTTGGCAGTATAATCCAACAAATGTGGCCATGGAAGAAGATTAGAGTGGTTTTAATAACGCCTTGAGGACAGCAATGGTGGGAATCTGCGGGGGCTTCAACCACCAAAAATTTACAAATTTTTTCACTCATCCAATCAATTATTTATAGTCTTATATCTAATCATATTGAAAATATTTTATTGGGAGTTTCTACTTAACCGTTATGAAGAAAAATTTTCTTTGAGTTTTTTAATAATAGCAGCCAGGCCGAGATTGCCTATAAGACAATAATATGACAAAAATTTATAATAGAAGGTGAGAACAAATTACAAAATCAAATTACAATGGGAGGTGATCGCAAGTATATTTTTACCTCTACATAACTAAGAAATTACTCTAACACAAATAGATTCAATTTTCAAGACAAGTATTAACCCTGATATATCGCGATTTCATTCTATCAATTTCATAAGCCCTTCCAAATAAAGGTATATTTTGCAGCTGCAATTCTCGCAAATTAAATGGCACCTGATTGCTACAGGAGTGGGCTTTCCCTACATTAACAGGGATGCAAAAGGTTTCAACGCAGCAAGATGTCTATGAAAGGTATAATATATCTATCATTTATCAAGAACGAATCTGTAGAACTTTGTTTCAAGACAGATGAACGACTAAGTTGTGAAAAAGTAAACAAGAAAGCTTGCCATACGGATCTATTTGCAATGAAAATGAATTGGACGACACAAAGCCGGAAGAAACTAAACGATCGAGCCCTTCTTGAGATGTACTTACATACGAAGAAGCCTCACTTGGCAATGGCAATGTTTCTTTTTTGTTGACCTGAACTACCGTGCCCAAACAACTTGTTGATAGGTATTCTCACACTTTGCTTTCAATAAGAAAAATATAAATGAGGCACCTGCAGAATAATTTTTAGTCGGAATCTCGAAATACACTGGTTATTGCGCAATTGCGTTTTGCAGAAGACGAGCTTCCAATGTTGAAATGCATTTGCAATGATCAATTTCAACGTGACTGTGAGTTTAGCCATAAACTATTAAAGAACCTGTCAAATGTGCTGGTGAATTTTCTAGGATTAACTATAAGGTCGTTTAATGAGAACTGAAGTGGATTTTATCGTTTTCACCGCAAAGAATCTAAATGAAGCATGGAGCTGCATCTAATTCCATTTGGCCACTACTCGTCAACACATACACATGTAATTAAGGACATGCACACGCTGTTATCAATGTCAGATATGTTTTTACGAATTTTTTTATTCAAAATGGGAATCAATCGTCCAAAATGGGTTTCATTTGATGCCCCTCCCCCCTCATTTGAAGCGTGCGGTCAAGGCACAGTGCTCTATGTGTCACATGGTTGGCGTGGTACACCTATAGCCCGGCTTGCCACCTAGCCCCCTTTGTGAACAGGATAATACATCACCAGAAAAGTCTCTAAGGGGAACGATTTAGATAAGAGTGGAAAAGATTTTTTAACAGCTAAGCAGTCTAATTCCACCTTCTAGGAGTCTTTGGCGATTTCTCATCACCTGCTTCAAAGTCGGAAAAACCCCGAATATCAACTGTGTACGATAAATTCAGAGCGGTTGCTGTGCTGGCAACTCATACTAAATCTGTGCTGCCCAGTAATGGTTCCCGCAAAAGAAGACTTCTTCGGTAATCCAAAGGAGATTATTTCGAACTTTATTTACACAATTTAGAGCGAAAATGGAAATTTATGGTAATATTTTTTGGAGACGCAAATTTTAAATTTGGTGGCGACATTAAGCTCCCAGCGAGATATTTCTAGAAAGAACTTAATCTAGAAATGTAGAACGGTTCTAGAAGACTGTGAAGCTTTGCTAAAAGAAAACGAATTCCTTTTCGCAGACAAGATAATGTTGCTGACCATTTGAGAGACCTTGGAAAGAATATTGCCAATATCTGGATCAAATGTCTACTCCTTTTTGGAGGGTGCTGAATTGATAGTGTTAAGGATATAACAGATTGTTTCTGGCAACATTGAGTGGTAGTGAACTCATCTTAACATCTAAAATGAACATTGAAATGAAGGGAATGTGCCCGTTCGATACCGCTCATGCATTGTAGCAACTTACAACCGCCCTGTTCTGTAAACCAAAGCGTATACTGGCAATGAAACTTCGCCGACCGGTATTATGGCCTATACATATATATGTAATGCAGATATTGTTTACAAATCAATAGTTAAAATTTTGTGTAGACTGAGCTCAAAGATTGAAAAGGTTATGAACTGCGAAAGAAGAACATTTCCACCAGAGACTTAGCAAGGTGTATTTTCTTGAGCAGCCTATATAGAATTTGAAGTCTCCAGGAATGACGTGGTAAGAAGCCGTTAACAGGAAGAGTAAGAATACAGTTACTTAATTTTAATTTTCCTTCCTAAGATGGTTTTATGTTATCTTCCTCCTAAAAATATACAAAAGCAACTGAGTGATGAGCTAATTGCAACCCAAGATTAATCATCATCGCAGCATTATACTCTAAATAACAGATGGTTGTGACAGCACACACTAAGAAGGAACAAATTTATCCAATTGATTGTATCTATTCGAAACAAATTTGAAGGGAAGGGTAATTCATTGTACAAAAGTATTTTAAAAACGAGTGGTAGCTGCATTGAGTTTATGTGTGAAAGAGTCAACCCCAAACAACAAGCCAAATAATATTGTTTGCTAGACATTTGAAAGCCTTGACAGTGTATGACACTTAGATAATTTCGTAAACCTTGGCTAATGTTAGACTGATGACATAACCAACTCAAAATAAAAAGTTTGCAGGTGTTCAGAATTCTTGAAATAACCGAATAGAAAAACTAATAGCAGCACTGAGCATTGACTGAATCAATTGTCTTTATGAAAGTAAAAACGTTTAAAGGCATAGTCTTTAGCCACATCCTAGTTAGCATGTTAAAAAAGACCCTGATTAGCAAAGCAAAACAGCTACGATACATGACGGGCAATCAAGAAAAGTTGTATGCAAAGGGCAAATTTCCGTGAACACCAGCTACTGATATACTCGGGGAAGAATTAGAGTAATCACAGCTTCTTTGGATGCCATTTCTTTGGCAACAGACTGATAGAAATGAAGCACATTCTCACCTGGGGGTGGGTGGGGTGGTGTCGTTGGGGCTTCCATAGCAATGTTACTTGGGGATGTGCCGCGAGCAAGGATATACTTTTTCTGAGTTTTAGTCTAGCCAAGAGTATACTTTCTCAAAGTAGGAATTTCAACCTGACAATCAATTTTTGTTGATAATAAGCTAGTAAGTACAACAAATTGACTCTTGATACTTCTGAGTTTGGGCAAACAATTTTGAGATTTCTGCTAAATAGCTAGAAAATGTGTCTAGAAAAAGGTATTATTTTTCAAGAATAAGCTGTATGCCAACGGTATACTTTTTGCAGAAATTGGTCTAGCCAAGGGTGCCAGTTGATACTGCTCGTGGCTCTAAAAACAGGCATTCAAGTGCTACAAATGACCCAACTGGTAACCTAAGCTGCCCACTTATGGCTTCATACCCGACATTAGGTATGCAGCGATGTCTAATTGTACGACTGATCGTAAAAGTTTCATCGTAAACCGTACGTCAAGTTTCATCGTAAAAGTTAGTCTAGCCAACGGTACCACTTTGAATGTGCTCGAGGCAGACCCCTACTGGACAATTAGCCACCTCCACATTCTCTCGTCTGTTGCAAAGTCCATGAGTACTGGCACAGAATTTGTATTGGTCCAAAGAGTTAAGATTCTTGATCTGAAATCTTATACTAAAAGGATAATAGCCTTAAGATATGTCAGATAAGCTGTAAACGCGTGGATAGAAATCCAGGTGTGTTTGTTAGGCCTTTTCAATGTTTCCCATATCCACAGACACAAGACGACAAAGCAGGTGTCCTATTCTTTTTCGCCAAACGTTCACGGATACCAAGTAATTTTTACGAAGCAAACCTATAACTTATTTATTGCAGCTCTCGCATAGGTCTCAATTCAATGTCTTCTTCAGATTAAATTCATGCATTATTATTCTAAAAATAGAAGCTCCTTGTGCTACTAATAGAGAAAATAATTTACAGGAAAGGCGAAGGGATATATACCAATAAGTATTCTTTCAAAGAAAGTCCAATTGAAAGGACTAATTTCCTGTCATTTTTTGCAGGTTGAATCATTGTACAAAATAGACATAAATCCAATTTCTAACCAATCTTTGACCACATCAATATAGTGACTTTCCTTTTGCTTAAATCAGCATTAAAGTTAACTAACTGAGGAAATATTTGCTCAACTTTCAGTTATCCTAATTTCGCAAGATGTATTTGCTTGCTTCCACAGCAACAGAAATACTTGGCATAAGAATCTAACTGACAAAGAAACGCTTACTTGAACAGCAGAACATGTAGCAAATCTTAAGTAAACAGACCGGAGTTTTAGCGTGAAACTACATGGCAGGTTTCATCAATTCGTTAAAAATCGTTACGACGTGAGAAACAAAGCCAATGCCAATTCTATAAATACAAGAGATATGCTTGCATTTCTACTTACTAATCCAACATTTGAGGTGGAGAACCAGGCAATCTAGTAGTGTGACCTCTGGTTGCGTTTAGGCTTATGTGGTAAATAGAATCATGCAGAGTTTTCCTTTAGTGTTGATATGGAATCAGCCCACAATTCTTCGCATCTTCTCGCTCTTAAGACCTAGCCCATGAGTTAGGAATTAATGAAACTTATTGTTTAAATTTAACAACGGAATGCTTTGTTTGTTGGCGAATTGTGGTGAAACGCTTGATTTCACCTGCGTTTGAAGCGATTCATTAAAACCGCATACTAAAGATCGTTTGCATAAATGGCTGTCTGCCTACGACCAGTCAGTCAAGCAGCTAAAACATAGACTACGGTGAACTTTACTAGGAATTTCCGCCCCTTTATAATTTCTGCCACAAGATCGATGCTGCCACGAACCGATGACGAATTGCAACCATAGAGATTGTTGCAACGGGCAAACCAACGTAGCACCATTCTAATTAAATAATCTGGTTAATGAACAAGGCACCAATGTCCATTCTCTGAATTCGCTTTGTTCTCTTGTACATTAAATTCTACAGGCTTTCGAATATGCTCTGTTTTCTGAAATCTTTGTTTTCAAGTAATATGATGTCATTGGAATTGTTTGGTCGCCGTCCTCTGTTGTTTCTCTGTTGTGAAAGTAAAAGAAATGTAGATGATTTAGCTATGGCTTGATTATTTGGTTTACAGACATTTTACAGCCTTGGAAAGTAAGGGACATTGTGTCGTCAAGTCAAAAAAGATTTTAGTATCAAATTATGAACGGCAGGAAGAAATGGGTAAACTTCCTTGAAAAATAGGCAGTTTTGACAACAAAAAAGTTAAAAACAACGCAAAAAAGTTTGTACGAAAACATTATGTTGGGTAGTGACATTTGAGGGTTTTGATTATCATTCTACAGAGTAACTAATGCTGGGTGACAGTCAGTCGTGATGTTGGGTGAAAGAAATGCTCGCTTAACAATCCTGGTCGTATATAAAAGTCACGTTGCACAAAGTTCGATGTTGTTCTATTCACATACATACACACACAAACATGACATTGATGAAAGAATATCACACAGAGAAAAAACCTTTTTTGTTACATTAGACAATGGAAGAAAAGATCTCGTCAGTAATAAAATTTCCACTAAAAATCCGAGAATTGCTTAGGGGCAGTAAATAGGAATCGATGTTTCGTCTTCCCTCCTCGGGCAAGCTTCTTGTAGCAGTTACTGCACTTAGCCGTTACAAAATCTAGAGGCTTTTTTACAACAAACCTATCAGTCGTACAATTAGACATCACTATATAATCACTATATACCTACTGTTTGGTATGAAACCATAAGTAGGCAGATTAGGTTATCAGTTGGGTAATTTGTAGCACTTAAATGCCTGTTTTTAGAGCCACGAGCAGTATCAACACATGCGGTTGAATAACGATACCAAACATCTGGCCTTCTCTAATGAAACTTGAAATTTGCTCTTATCTGGATTTTTGAAACTTTTACTTAAAATATTTTTCGCTCATTCATTAGTTTATCCATTCATTCATTTATCCATTCATTCATGGTCATATGTTATTACTTTTAAAAGGGGCTACTGGAATTCCGTGTCCTAATGAAGACATCTACGTACGTAGCAGGGTCTGACATAATACCTAATATTTAGTGCTAGAAGACGAGCTACCTCAATTGTTAGAGGGAGGGGGCGGGTATTGCATTAGACAGGGTTTATGAATACTAGCGATTGCCTGGATATAATTCATTTTAATTATCTACAGTTCCCTAGCCAGTAAAACATCCACGATTTACAATAACAAAAGCAACAAAGGCAAGTTTAGAACAATTAGAATGTCTCCATTGACACGTGCAGTCACAGCTGAAGAAACTGAAATCATTTGCGGACATAACATCACTGAGTGCCACAACCTCTGTGCGTTCCCGTAGTACTCCCCTTTACTCCTTTTTTGCCAAGCATCAATTTTACTGCAGTCCTGTGATCAAGTTGAGACACAACTTTTACAGTGGAGCGTGCAATGTTCTTTCACAAGTCCAAGGTTTTCGGCCTCTTTTTCATCAATGTTCATTTGACAAGCCCAAGGTGTTTGGCCTCTGTTTCATAAATCAAAAGGCGCCACATTTTGACAACAAAAACTTCAGCTTCTTCGTCTAAAACCTGAAAAAAGCACAGCTTACAATTTGAACAAGAAATTCAAGCATAAAATCAACAAGTAAATATTTCAAATTGGGTTCTTAGGCAACTTATCAGCAATCTGTACCATGGTAATATCTTGCCAGCATTTGTAAGGACATTTGGTTTGGAAATATCTAGAGAATTTATGATTTGTATTCCAATTCACTAAAAATCGATTTACACATAATGGCAACATAGTCATAAATGAACTCAAGGAGAAAATTAAATAATAAGTCTTGAAAATCATAAAGATTTGACGACACCTGAAATTGAAAAGTCTGGAAACTCATTAAGAAACTTTATAGTGAGAAAACCTACATTCTTGGTACAGTGAAAACTGTTCTTGAATAAAACGTAAAAGGCCTTTTATGGGAGAATCATTCCTTGCGGAGTATGAAGCCACAAACCAAAAAGAATGAATTCTACACACTTACCATTTCAACATCTTCTAAAATATTTTTTGGAGTGCTTTTACTAATCACCTAGGCAAGAAAATTTCACAGTTCCTTATTCTGTACATAAGAGAAAGAAGAGTTGTGAACACTGTCTATGGCAGTACAATACGTGAATGGGAAATAAAATGACATTTTCATAACATAGAAATAGAAACACATTTATACCAGATTGTCGAGCATAAAGATACATGGAACAGAATGCAAAGATATCAGCCACTTGCATATTCACCAACGCAGACAAAAGCGTGCTTTGAAAATTACATGAAATAACTGAAAAATACCCGTATGCGTTCGTATCTGAATCTAAAACCAGGGAACTAGCTTAGCCCCGTGTCAAATTGTAACTTATCATTATTTGGTATTCGTTGTTTAGTACCAAACAAAAATAGCTAAACTACACCTACCATTAATAAGGAATATTTAAGAGATACATGAACTAATAGAAAAAAGCACATGAAGAATTGAAATTGATATTTGTAAACAACTTATTAAATCGAAGGGTTTAATCAATGTCAATTAAATCTGCATTGAATTGAGCAGAGAAAACAAAGGTATAAGCTACGATGCAAACATACGACACGCACAAAGTTCTGACTTACCTTACTACAAATGAATTCAACCAAAGTTGGTTCTTGTTCTCCAATGTATTCAAAGATCTTTTTATTTACCCATGGCTTGATTCTTTTCTCCACCAAATTCTGTAAGACAGAGAGCAAAAGTGAACATACAATGGCAATTACCAGTTGGTTTTTGGCAACTCGAACAAGCCTATCAAATAGCACATCAAGTTCCAGTCAAACTAATCACACGGTGACTGTGGAGTTACCGAAGCACTGCGAGGCATGAAACAACGAGTATGAAACGACTTTGATGAATGTGATAGCTAGTTCGCACAAGTGTAAACACGCTGCATTACTGGTAGATGAGATCGGAAAAAGATGTCAAAACAGAACAGAGGTAAATCAGAGCTTGAATCAAGAGAGGAGATTGGTTACCATTCTATCATTCCAGCAAAATTCAGGAGCTACGTGTTAAAGACATTCAAAGTTTCTATAATATTCTTAAAACACAGTCCATGACGAAATTGGCAGGAAGGCAACATTACGAACAGCAACAATGGTACCAGGATTTATGGTAGGCCTTTGATTGTTGCAACAAGATCAAATGTATTTCTTGTAGTGGTAAAACAGGCCTCGTATTTAACAAAACAACAAAAGCAATCTTTCTCTTATCTTTTCTAAACTTCAGGAAAAACCACCAAGCAAAAACTATGTGGCCTAACAACATGGCGTAACAATGTGGTGGCCTGGCAAGTTCAATATTCCACCAACATTTGCTTCTGGAATTCTTGACCTGTTTTATGCTGCCTACAGTTAAGTTAAGAAAATGACAGCCATAGCAATCAAACAGTCTACCTGGTCAATCATGTCCATTTTCACTGGAAACAAGAATAGTTCATCTTTAGCCGTAGGGATTTTCTCGATCAGATTTCTGATGATCTTTTTCTTTTCATCAGCAGAAGCAGCTTTCTTTCTCTCCTCCTCTTCCTCTGATTCTATTTTTGATAACTTCTTTTTGGGCGTGGAATCATTTGCCTGCTCTTCTTCATTTGCATTGAAAACAGAGTCCAGTTTTCGATTGCTTTGTTGTGACTGACAATAGATTGAAATTAAATGATTCGCTAAAGAATAGGTTTCGAATACTGGGTACGGTTGTGGTAATTAAAGACTTTTCGTTCTTATTCACGCCAGGATTGAATAACGAGTCTCTGTAACAATAACGAGTCTCTGTAACTCTCTATTGCTCTGTGTTATAAAATAGTTTTTGGATTAAACATTAGATTTCATGTTACAAGGAACGATGTCCGGTATTACATATGAGATGATTTTGGAACGGCGGAAAGAAAGAGGTGACTTCTTGGATGCTTGTCAACATAGGAAACTGCTATTGGAGAAGATAAATTTTTTATGCTCTTGGAAATAGATACTAATTCAACACCCTAAAGGTTTGATAAATCTATGCCAAGTGGCATATCAGACAGCACTTATCAAACAAAAGCTAGAGTATTTGTATGTCTCAGGATGGAACCCGGGATTTGGGTCTATTAGCTCTAGTTAGCAAGTATATAATTCACATAGAGGGATGATTAAAAAGGGCCTTTGCAAATTAGGATAACTTAAGTGATGATACTGCCATCGCTTTGGCGCGAATAACACCATACTCAAGCAGAGGAGGACTGCAATTTCCTTTAGCAAATCGCCACATTTGAAGGGAATTTTTAGGTCCAGACTTTATAAGTTTTGTGTCCCATACCACAAAAAGCTCTCAATATTCCTTGAGCATGCCCTGAGTGGGAATATCTATAAGCATAGGTGGTCTTAACACGATTGGTATGCTAGCCTAGCAAGTGGGGTTGACACAAATAGGTATTTGCATAGCAAGGACTCGAATCTGCAAATTATCAGGTCAAAGAAATAGTGCAGACAACTTGAGAGTTTATTTATGTAGCGAAGAGAACTCACCACTGTGGAGGTCTTAAGACCAAAACCAAATGCAGTCCTTTTCTGAGGGTGGTCGGATTCGTTGTCAATGTCCCTTTCCCTCTTCACAGCGGGAGAATTGCGCCCCTTGCTGGGGGCTGGCAGCTGGTCCTGCACTGGGGACTCCACCTCTGTCTATTAACAAACAACATAATAACTCACAGTCATTCAACGCCAAATTAAAATAAAAGTTAAGTTTTCTGAAATATATCTAAAAATGGCTTTGAGAAAAGCAGATATTTGAGCATATATATATACTGAAGCTTTTCGTCCGACAATCTTCAGAGTATAAAACATACTCAAAACAATTAACGAGAAAGGAAAGTCAAGAATACCTTGATAGTAGAAAACGTTGGTTTCATCATTGTCGGCGGAGGCGCTTTCTCGGGGGTCTTTTCGCGTTTCGGGCGTAATGAATTTGGGGACTACAACGGAAAAATACGAAGACCAGATAATCAAAAGAAGATAACACTGAAACGTCGTTTTATAAATAAGCGTGAAACTCACAGTAGCCACTTACAACCGTCTTGTTCTATACGTCAAACGCGTAAAGTTAGACTGATACGTGAACGTCAAACAGAAGAAAAAGAAGAAAAGCACTGATAGATAACAGGATAAACTTGACATTATTTACATATTGTTATGATTAGCGTCTTGCTGACTCAACAGTTACAATAAACGATGTCAATGTCGAAACTTAGAAAATCCAAACAAAATTTCGAGTAAAACGTGGAAACGTAGAGGCCTAAATATCATCAAAACTGCTATATCATAAATTTATATAAATACTAAGTGATCCATTGATAAAACAACGTAAATCTCCTATTTTAACTTAATGTAGAAAATGTATTTGGATTTTGGGCTTTCTGATTAGTCAAAAACTACAATTGTTTTACAAACGGGCGATTCTAAAGAAAAAAGTTATTCAGAAATAGTTTGGTTTTCCGAAAAGTAAAATCGAGCGAAAATTGCAAAAAACTAGCACATCAATCAATTAAATGAGAAGGTAACTGGACGCACCTCATTCTCTTTCTCTGGGGCGGGTTCAGCCAAGCGTTTTCGAAGTATTTCATCGATTTCCTCCATTTCCCGTTGCTTGTCTCTGTGGTCACTTTCCGCCTCTAGTTCTCGGTCTCTCATACGTCGACTCAGGCTACTTCCACTGGTAACAAAAAGACAAATATTTTCATGAAACCTTTGGCAATACCGGCTGTCAATGAAGACTCGACCGTGGCATTTTTCTTAACAACAAATAACAAAAAAGAGTTGAATGCGATCGACAGATGCTAAAAGGGGCTTAAGACATCTATCAATCAATTTTTGGCCAATCAATCTACGTGTGGGTGGTATTACGCTTTTTGATTGGCCAATTTTGATTGACATGTGACTTAAGCCTCATAAGTATATGCTGATTGCCTTTAGAACAAGTAGTAGGAAGAAAAAACGAGGAGAAAAACCTTATCAGAAATTATCAACCAGTTCATGAGGCCGATGATGACATCAGTTGGTCAAAACAAAATAATATACTAAGTAGGTAATATATATATATATCAACTGAGGCTCAAATTCTCACCGATAGTACTTTGGGTCATCCCTGTCATCATCATAATCTTCAAGAAACTCGCTTAGATGAATCCTTTCTTCAGCCTGGAATGATAGAGTCGAAGTGCATAAAACCATCAGAGCTTCAACGGCCTACTCAAGGTTATGTTTGATATTTTGTAGATTTCCTTATGCAAATAGGCACACAAACGTAGAAGAATGTATTAGTGTAATATCAAGGCCGCTGCAGTATCAAACCAGCACCTGCAGTTTATAATTGCCAAGATGATGTCATTGACCAAGAAACTGTTTACAAATTGTTTGTAATGAGAAACAGCATAGCAAGAGCCTTGTGTTCACGAGACAGCAGGGTGAAAACAGACTGATTCTACGTGCTTGGGAGATTATGGAATAATTGGGTGGGAGAGAAGATAAACCAATAAGAGATTGATTTATAAGAATTGAATAAACAGGAGGCATATAGGGGTAAAATTAGAGAAATTGGAGAAAAGAGGGATGGAAGAAGTTTAGAAAAAGTAAATGCCGAAAACTAATGAAGGGGATAATTTTATCAAAACGAACAAATCAGAGACACGAATACTGACCTCCTCATCCTTTCTCTTCATGTCCTTACTCATCTGCTTCTCATACTCTCTCACCTTCTTTCGTTCTCTAGCTTCAAATTCTTTTAACCGCTTGAATAGAAATGGTAGCATGTAATTACCAAAGGAGTAATTCTACGAAACCTTTTTTCATAAATTATGGCAAAGTATCCTTAGTTTTGGTCATGTTTAACAATCATTTTCAAAGGTCTCTTATCTATGTTCCAATACTTACTAACAAGACTACCGAATTTTTTTGAGCATCAAAAATTCTTAAATGATAAAAATAATAAAGAAAAACAAACTTCGTTGAACAAAACCAATAAATTCCACAAACAAACCTTCATATGAAAAGAATAAAAAAAGCAAACTGTTCTCACAGCTTCAACCTATACTCCACAAAACCCAATTATCATAAATAGTACAAATTACAAAATACATGCAGGTTATAATCCTGGGAAGCTCACCTCTAAGTAGGCTTTGTCCTTTTCCCGTTTAACCCTCTCTAGCCTTCGCTTTTCATATTCTCCTTCTTCTTCATCTTCTCCGCGATTCCTCTCGCGTGATCGTGAACGTGATCTCCGTGTTCTTTCTGATTCAAGTCGTTCACGCGTAGGCGTGCCTCGTTTAGACCTTCGTGAGTCCTCGTCACTCCACTCTTCGCCTTCCCTTCGCTTGCGATCCCGCCTCCTTTCCTGTTCTTTTTCGCGGTCCCTCTCCTCCCTTTCTCGCCTTCTTTCTCGCTCTCTTTCTCTCTCACGTTCTCTCTCCTTATCTTTATCGCGATCTTTTTCTTTCTTGTTCTGCTCTTCCTCGTTCTAAAAGAAAAGCAACACAGTCTCAACGTCTTAACGGCTCAAGAAAAGCAAGCGGACAGCATACGCTTAGAGGCAATGGCATACAAGAGTGCGAGAATAACAATCTTAGAGACAATGTACTCATGCAGTGGCTGCACAGCCCCTGGTGTGTAAAGAAGCAATTCAAATACCAAGATAAAATAACCAAAGAAGACGAGATACAAAATTGTAAGAACAAGCAAAAGGGTTAACGCCTAAAATGAAAGCATGTGGTCAGACAAAAACTTCACAGACATACTTACCGCGGTCCCGATTGTTACCTTTACTTTCTAGCATAAAGCAGTCTGTTTGGGCTAGATTTATAGAACCAATTTTCATGACTGATATTTAGAAATAGTAACTTTTTATAATTAGTACAAGTGCCCTTGCGAGCTTTCTCACAAGCGTAAAGGCGTCTCAGTCTTAAGAAATACACTGTTGAATACGCCCAAGGGCTAATGTTGAAATGTTTAAAGAATATTATCATTATAGCAAGTGTATACAGAGTTGCTATTTATGTTCATATATCACCAGGCTTCAGATAAAAAACTCATTTTATGTATTAGATATTAAAATAAACGCAACCAAGTATCTTAACGTTATTCCTTTAAATTTTCAGTTAATTATTTGTGAAGCCGGAAAAACTGTTGCTTTAACTGAGAACTAATACACTGCCCGAAATCAAAGCGATAATAGATACACCAGGAAGATCTATCTGAATTGACAGTAGCATAAAGAGCAAATGCCAATGAATATAAGCCTATTTGCAGGGATAAATTGGAACGAGAAATAAACCGCGCGCTGCTAAAATTAAACAAAGGTGTTGACTAGCAGCATATAAGCAGCAAACATATACATATAGTTGAAATTTGTCCATGCTGAGAAACAACGCATCAGCGCCTGAAAAGTACACAATTATTTGCGGCAAGAAAGGACTCTTCCGAGGCTACATTCGCTACTGACTTTTACTGACACTCACCACACAGACGCATTGCCTATCATATTATATTTCTTTGCTTCTGCCATTTTTCAGTCTCACCAGTACAGCCTGGTTAGGCCATCCAAATAAAGCCAAATTATCGAATTGTTTCTACTTTTCAGAACACCTCCAGCTTACTGTTGTTGTAGGAAATTGCTGGTAACTCATCGACTAGTTTAGAGTTTTTTTGCAGTTCAAAGAAAATGCAAATTCAGTTGTTTAAAGTCGAGACTTTGTATATCCATTTTCAAAACAAAACATCAAAAGTTGCCTCCTTTCTTTCAATACAAAAACACGATGGTTTGTTTGCTCCAAACTGTGCATTTTGAAGTGACATCTGAATCAAAACTGTGAATCGTTATCACGAGTTACTCAAAATTCAAAGACGGCTTCAGGCTTCAGATTCTGCCTAGCAATATTCATTTGAAAACTCTTTCCTTTACCAAATTCTTTACCTTTACAAATATTCTTTACCAAACAGTGAAACGTTTGAAATGGATTCTCTCATAGTGGCTTACAATAATTCTAACTGAATTTTCAAGATTGTCGGGACGACTTACGACTAGAACTGACATGACACCTATTGTTGTCGGGATGTTGTCAGGTCAACAAAAATCAAAACGACTAGTTTAAGGAAGATGTATACATAAAACTCACCCAAATGAATACACAAATAACAATTTTTATTTTCTTCTTTGAATATAATCCTCAAGTAAACATAATGTATATCTTTAACATCAAAATTCTGCAAACAAGCATTCTTGCGCCGTTGCTCAAGTTTTTTAAAACAGCATTAAGTAAAACTGTCCTGTTGATAATGTCCGCACATGGTTCTTTACACGACTGTCCGGATTCAAGCGTACCTGACCGCATTTCAGCAAGAGTGCGTTCATCCGGAACTTTCTACGCTCCTTTCACACACAGGAGGTTTATCAGATATTTAACTGATAAATAGAGACACAGCAAAATTTGCAGCAGCCTTCTTAGAAAAAAGTTCTTTCAACGATGGACGGCTGTATTTCAAGTGTCTATACGAGCTCTTCCATGTGCATTAGGATTGCACTAGCATCGGTTTGCTATCAGCTCGGGCAGGTTCTTATCAGTCCGTAGGCTCCAGTAGCTTGCAAAAAGCTAGACCGAGTTTGTCAATACCGGAGTCCCAAGTAATAAATCAGATTTCAGAAACCTTAAACTTTCCGAAAGTCCAGGTTCCTTACTACAAATATATAGTCCAGGTTCCTTACATTCTAACCGTGTGGTACAAAACTTATGAAATATACATACAGCAAAATTGACTTTCACAAGTTGCTAAGCTGAAAGAAACTCGAAGGAAAACACAATGATGAAAAATCAGAAAACACACCATTTAGCAGACTGGAATAATCACGACAATACGCAAATAAGCTGTTTGTAGATAAAATGATATTGCCCAGTACTCACCCTGTACGCCTGTCGAAAGCTCCTAATTTCCTTTGAAACCAGATCTTTCTTTGCAGTATCCATGTCGAGTCCTTCAAGGTTATCCTGGCAGAGATCAATCATAGTATAAAATAGAAAGTACTATACCAATTAGAGCTTGGAGTTTGATAATCTGCCTAAGCGATAACAAAATGTCATTCACTCTTTGCAAAAATGTTATGGGGTCGATTCATGAGGCTCGGCTTCTGAAAAAGCTGATTGTAAATTTAATAAACTTAAGGATGGTGAAAGAAAGTCAGCAAATTTCTATCGAATATTGGAACATTGATTCTGGGTTTCCAAGCTCCCGTTAGATCAAGGAAAGGGACGATTGGTGCAGGGCGTGCCTGGCTTTTGAGATGCTTTGAGCTTTGATACTGGCATATGATAAAATCGAGACACTTCAAAAGCACCATTTGTCGGTTAACATTTCAGCTGATATATTTTTGCTAAAGATTGGGCTTCAGTTGCGTAGATTTAATATTTTTGCAATACAAAGTGAACTCACGGCACAGCCACTGTGACTCCGCTTCATGTACGGCAGTGCATCTAGGAAGAAGAAACATTTCTAAATAAACACCAATGAAATATAACATCTTTTTCGCACATTGTGGGAATTATTATTTTAAAGGGCTCTCCAGCCAAAAAAAAAATTTTTTTATTGACTAAAAAGTTAGCACATCTGGTGCGTGTATTATGGCAAAGTCGTTGTTTTTGCAAAATTCCAATTAGTTTAGAAGTTATAAGGCTTTAAAGTTGCACCTTTCCGAGAAAAAAAGCCGAATCAGTTTGGTAACATTCTGACGTCACAATGTGCGGCTCTCGCTCGCCATGAATTTCGTATATCTTCCACCGAATCGTGAAGGAGTCATGGTCACGCGTCTAAATCTAGAGCAGGAGCTTTTTAGAATCGAAAAATATTAAATGTTTGCAATCATTCTAAGTTTGCGGGTCGGAATGTGTCCATGCTGTGTCACGACTTTGTTTTGATCACCTGTGTAGGCCCACAAAGCTACGGCTTCCTGTTCCAGCTCTTCCCTCAAATTCAAAATTGCGTCACAGTGTCACCAAACCGAAAATTTTTTGTCGGTTTATTCAATTCAATTATCAAATGCAAGAGCTTATATCTCACAAACTGCAAAAAATATCGAAAAACAAATAACGAATTCGTGATCAGCAGGTTCAACTCCTTTAGATTAGCCAATAAAATGCAAGTGCAAAATTTAGCTGGAGAGGCCCTTTAAGGCAAATTGTTGTGTTGTTCATTGGTACCAAACCAAAGCAAAGCATCACACTTGCTCAATTTTGCTGAAAATTTAGATTCACCTCATAAAGACCAATGGGTATGGTGAAAGTGTGCCTTTAAATAGACATTGATTCAAATTTATCACCACAGTAGTTACATTTAAGCCCTGCAACATATTTTGCTACTAAATTGTCATTTAGTGCAGGTGTTGGGTGGCGGCACCCCCGTGCCTTGTGCCAATAGTCCCTGGTTCAGATTGCATTCCGCAACATTCAGGAGGGCCCAAAAACTGTTATTAATCCAGGCAGATGAAAATTTTTAGTCAAGAGGCAAGGTATCATGACAAATGCGGTCACATTCTTACTGTTTATGGAGCAATTCTTACTGTTTATGGTACTAGCGAATTCCAAATGTACAGAAAAGAGTAACACGAAGTTAGCTTACTAACCATCATAGCTCCCAGAAAGTACACTTGAGTTACCACTTATCAGTTTTCTAATGTCTCGAAGACATTCTTCGTCCATTTCCTAACAAAGAAACAAGAAACCCTTGACTTGCGTATCCGTTACTAGAATCTGGTAAAAACTGAAACAGCAAAAAATTCTAACATGAAGAATTTGAATGGGCAACTTGGAAACATGAGGTAATATCAAACATTGAGAATACGTATGAACTTTTCATGGTAAAAATTAGGTACATAAGTCACATTAAACGTCGACTTGAAAAATTTAAAATAATTAGAAATTGACAAACTAAAAACGAAGCCGAAGAGTTTCAGGCAGTGAAAGCGACTATTACACGAGTGGTATAATGAGACGCGTTATCTTGCGTCATCAGGAGACACTGTATTCCTATCATGTTTGATGGTGTTAGGCCACATGATAAACTTGATAAATAAACAAATATATCTTCAAAGGCGATCTAACCTTGGTATTTTCGTCCAGTTCCACATCGTAATCACCATTACTTCTCTGCAAAAAGATAAACGTGAATTGTTTAAGGTTACGGTAAACGTTGTTGACACGATATTTGGTTTTCTCTCCCGAAAAGCAAAACTATTAAACGGAATCAGATTAAACTATACATCATTCGATGCACAAGAATGTGGCGGTTTCAACCATACCATAAAATGATACTTTACAGGCAAATTTATTGCTTAAATGAGTGTACCACCTTCGAAAGCTATTGTGTACCCTTGCCTTTGCGGAAACAAAATCTGACTTATATCACCAGAAAGCGCAGATCCTAAGCTAACAAAGTGTGTCTCAGATTTTTCAAATTCCTCCTCCCCTTGAAACTATACCCTGTTAAAAATTGGCAAAAATGTTTATTCCCTCTCATAGCTGTTTTTGGCTATAAAAGATGGACCAGAGCAAATACAAAAATTTTGAGACACATTTTGCTTACCCGACATCTGTTCTGGTCGTGTGCAAAGTTTTGAGCCATTCGATTGGTTCCTTGGGTACAAAATAGCTTTTTCGTACCTGCATGTAAATGATTTGTGAGTCCGGAGAAAACGTGATTTTACTGATCGCACTGGCAAGGTACACTCGTAAACCACAGTGTAATCCGGGTCAAGTCACTTGAAGCTTTAAGATCAACAAGCCTGTTTAAATAAACACAGCCGTACATTGGATATATGGACGTGCCACGCGATATTGTAAATGAGACATGTGACATCAACCGCAAAAACCGATAATCGGCTTAACAGGTCAAGAGATTTTCAGACCTTAACTAAAGTTTTGATAAAAAAATTATGGAAACCTTCGTTTACATGGGATCTTTTCCATTTTCAAAATGTCTGCAAAGTTAGTTTCAAATTTGGTATCATTGTGTGTCTTGAAGGTTCGGCTACTTGAATGTGAAATAATCGAAAAATGGATGTTTTTATCCAGAAAAGGTTTACCATAAACTCAATACAAAGTATGAAATATCGTAAGTTTGACGAAATAACATCTCTTATTGCCAAGGGTACATGCACAGTGTGCTCGTTTGAAAACAAAGCTTGCTCGGAATCTAATAACTTGATTAAAAAGAAAGTCGGAGAAACCAAATAAAATGCAACCTATTAATACAACAAAAGCCAAATTTGCATTGGGCTGCTAGGCCACCAACTAGTGTTTATGACAGCACGATCAGACAAAGTTTAATAAATCACACGATATTAAAATCATTGTTGTTATGCAATTTTTTAAAAATGGATTGAGACTAATATCATGAATCAGACAAAGGAATATTATTAATGAATAGAGTTGATCATGGTCATAATCTAATTTTAACTGTTGATCATGGACTTTTTAAGTGTAATTGTGAAAGACTAGTAAGGACTCTGGGCAGATTATTCCACCGACAAGCTCTCCGTTTAGGAGAAGACAAACACAATTCAAAATTTTGCACATAAAACAAATTTACGTTTTTACACAAATTTGGTTATGATGATGAAAAGAATGACGATTATGGCGATGATGATTATGATGACTGGTGTTGGCAATGATGACGTAATTATCAATACCAATATAAACATAGGATTAGGACATAATTTGACTCACATTTTTGTTGTGTTGTTCTCTCATTTTTTCTTTGTATTCATCAAGCTGTGCCCTTGTTTTGCTATCAACTTTTACCTATATGCAACCGTTCTCTATTAAATTCACGAAATTGAAACTATAGCTAGACTTACGTTCAAAAAGTATTGCACCACTTCGACAAACGAGTAATGGCGACAGAGTTGTAAACAATATGACCTTCCAAATTCAAAACACTTTTGTGAAGCCATTAGAAGATAGTTTAAAGTTCAAAACCAATCAAATATATCTTCAAAACATTGGCAACGTTTCAAATTCAAATTTTAAGAAAAATATATATTTAGAATACCAAAAATGTAAATTTTTCATTGGCCAAACTCGAAGCTTTGAAACATTTACACGACTTGCATAATTTAATCAAAAACTTTTGCGGCAGGTTACTTTATATGCGACACGATGAAAAAAAAATATCACAAGAAAGTGACACTTTTAGGGCCGTTTTTTAATGAGGTCTCTTTCAATGCCGTTGAAGCACTTGCGTGTCTCTATCATAGAAATTTTGGTATTTTAATTCAACGAGGAGATGAAATGTTGTTTTGAGCAATTTACAGCACTATTTGTCCCCTAAACAATATCGCAATGAACTGGAAAAGGTAAAATTAAAGACTAGTAATATGTTTTATCAATTGAATTATTCTGTAAGATGCTACGAAATGGCCTTCCATATCAGTCCTGTTGCAGTAAAAAAACATGCGACCAAGACTTTTAAAAGATTCTTTAATCTCAGACTGGAAAATTTTTAGTTTATGGCACCCAAGCAGGAAGTGTATCCGAGTTTGACTAAAACGTATATATATATGACTAAAACTAAGTGTATAAGTGTATATATTTTCTTACTTTTCATTTTCATTACTATACCTTGATAAATTTTCCATTATTTTCCACCGAAACAGTCATCTTAAAACATATATATATATTTAACTTGCTATAGCTAATTTCAATTTTGGTTTGCTAAAAAAATCTTGCGACAGTGCAGCAATTTTGTGGTGGGTGGTGCAATAGTTTTCGAGCGTAAGTGTACATAAGGTACATGGAAATCAAATCAGAAGTGGGATCAGATAATATCTGGATATCAAAATCTTGAACACAATCATTCAGCAGAAATAGAAAAGACTATTAGGATGGTGTGGTGTTTCAACTGTTTAGACCTATCTGTATGTGATCCTCTGACGGCACATCTTGATGTCACATGACTTTCAATAAATTGTAAGGAGTGATGTTTCATTGCTAGGTTCTACACATTGAGAAGCATGGATATCATACCAGCAGTGGTTTATCCCCTAGCTGAAAACCATTCAACAATCTCATTGCCCTTAACGCAGACTCTGGCATGGTATATTCACAGAATCCAAAGGCTACAAGATAAGAAAAGTTGGAAATTACTTTTAACAGCATGGGAAGACAGATGAAGTGACATTTACCAGGTTTTCTCCAACTAATCATTATATATATACATATCAATATATCCTGACTATGTGGAGAAAATACAACAGATGTTCTCAGGGGCTTTTCGATAAACTTACAATGGAGTAACATACAATGCTTTTTCTGAAACAGCTTTGTCATTTCCTTCTTGAATCTATGTTGCACTTAATCAGACAATATTTTACTTTCAAAGTATTAACAAAGATGTGTCTGTTACCTTAAAGTAGACACTATGGGTTATCAATAAATGTGCTAAAGTACCCCAGTCCAAGGCAAATTACAAAATAAATTTTCAAATCAACAGTAAAACAACATTAAACAAATAAAACAAAATACTATCACGTTTCACCTAACTTTCATAACATTTGAATGAAAACAAAAGGTAGACAAGTAATAAAAGTTCTTTAACCCCTTTATCAAGGAATTAAACATTGCAAATAACATACCTTGGAGCCTTCCAGATGCTCCTTGCACTCTTTTCCAACTAGAAATTGGGCCACATTTCTAAGAAGGAAATAAACAGTTCTTTATATACTGTGCAAGACTATTCTGAGCTGCAATATGGGAAGAAAAATTAGGCATCAAACTGCTTTAATATTTAGTAACAGAAAAACTTGTGTGCTTTTACCAGCATCTACGAAGAAAAGATTTCTGAAGCAAAACTTTGAAGCACTATTTCATATATATGTCACATACCTGGCCATGTGCACCAACACATGCAACCTTTCAAGATTAATTATTTGAATTTCTATCGAGCAAGACCTGACTGGATATTTAGGAAGAAAGCAATTTGTATATGATTTTGTTGCATTAGCAAACATTTAGAATGCATAGCTTGCACTCATTACCTATTGATTCTGACATATTTATATATCTGAAAAATTGAAACTATAAAAACATACTTTTTCTCTGCAGAAGTCAAATTATAAATAGATATGTACTTTTTTTAATCTACAAGGTATAGAGTACCGAAGTGATGACGTCATTAGAATCTGTTTTTAGAATTTTTGAATTTTGATCACAGAACCTAAAAGAGCATTATGAAATACCTCTAAATATGCAAAATCGGTTAAAGGCATTACGAATTAGCTGAGATATGCCCACTTGAGCACAAGCTCTTGCCCCATCAAACCTCTGTAATTTGGTCTTGGTTCATAACTTTATGAACCAGGGCAGAATAACAGTAATCCGTTAGCAACTTGAAATCTTTCATTGGCCATATATCTCGCCGAATTTGGAACACATATAACTAATTTTGCATGTTGAGATGTATTTTATGCCGTTCTTTCAGATTATGTGGCCAAATTTAAGAAATTCTAAAAATAGATTTTGATGACGTCACACTTTGATACTTTATTAGCAAATATAGATAAGTTTAGTGGATATTGTAACTTGACACAATTAAGCATGCATCTACAATTAAACATGCAGCATTAACAATTATAAAATGGTTCAGAAACTTTCTTTTCACATTCCAAAAGATATAAAAACATACTATTAGATGCTAATTAGAAGTTTTTAACAAATCAGTTCTTTTTAGAAAAGCTCTTTTGAGTCAAATGGTAAGGCAAAGTGGGAAAAGCATTGCAGGAAAAGCAATGCATATCGATTAACAGAACAGTATTTCTAAACTGTCTTCCAAGCAGATGCATCAAAACATAAGTTAAACAAAAAAAATGAAAAGGTAAAAACTTGAGCATTACTAACCATTAGAATTTGTCTTGTGAGTGAATCTGATGCATGCTCTGTGATGTTGCCAACAAAGACAGTTGTTGTAGAATTTACCTGTAGATTGATGTTTTTTAAAATTCTAAGGTGCATAAACTTATAAACACATTTGCAATAACACAAACAGCAAGGAGATTCTATGACAGTATGACAGCATACTACCAAGTGTGCCATCCTAAAATGTTAGTGCTATAGGGGGGGGGGCTAATAGCCCGGCTTTGCTACAGGGAACTTCAAAAAATCCACCCAAGACCACATGAGGTCACAGCCTATATACTTGCATTGTATTAAAGGTTCTCTGTTGGGTACTGAAATATTCAAGTTATTTACCAATTCAAAAAGATTTTCAGATAATTCTCATTGACAGAAAAGCAATAGTTTTTATAATAAAAGGTTAATTTGCATTTTCAAGTTAGGAATTTGCTGAACCAAACATATACTGGCTAAATAAGAGGAGCTGAGCCCCCCATCTAAAAAAAATCCCTATAAGTTTTAACAAGAGGACAGAGCCCCTAACTTGCCAAGCCTCCCCTCCACAGCACCACTTCATCGTATAATAACAATTAAGAAAAGTGAGCCATGAATCAAAATGTTTGCTATCTGTAGAAGAAACTCACATCAGGCATTTCTACTTTGATTTCTGACTTTTCAGGAAGAGTTTTCAGTTTTCTCACACCGATTTGGGGCTTGTTTGTCAAATTTGACGAAGGAGTAACATACAATGAAGTTGATGGTGTCGGAACAAATGAAACTGGTGCAGCACTTGCAATGACCGCTACAGGTATCACTCCAGGCTGTATGGTCAAAAGAGAAATTTCAAGAAAAGGATAAAATTTGCTTAAATTAAACCTTCAAAGGCAACCAACAACAAGCCATCAAAGTTGACCAATCAAGAAACACATCACCACTCAGGCATGCATTGTTGGCCATTAGTTGATTTGAAGATATCTTAAGCCATTCTTGTAGATGTTGATTGCCTTTAAGATTGCAAGCTGAAAAACGTGGCAATGGGACCACAGTACACAAAGTACTGGAATTAAATTTGCGTTATTTTCCATAACCTAGGATAATGGTCCTGACCACCCTGCAAAATGTGTCTTATCTGCGAGGAAAGAACACAGAATGAAAGATCATTCACCCAAATGTCCTTTTTCCATCAAATGTAAGCCTGTTTATCTAGAAATCCAAGGATAAAGAATTCCTTGTCAGGCCTAAGCTCTAATACATCTTCTAGAACAAAGTCTTTGCTTCTGCAATGTGTGTCTCATGTAACATGTAGAAACAATTTTGCTCGAAATTCACAATAACAAAATCTATAGCTCATTATTAATCATGTTGTTGGCTTTATTACTGACTCTATCAGCTTTCACAGCTGTAAATTGCTTGTTTTTGTAGGTTTAGCTAAAGCAAAAATTTCATGTAATCTTCTTAGAATAGGCTTAGAATAGTCAAGCAAGCAGCTAAATGTTGACACACTATATATATATGTTTCAAAAGTAATTCATTGATGAAGGCTACCAGTTAAAAATAGTTTCTCAAAATGAATCATGAGGCCTTAGAGACAGCAGGAAGAGGAATCATGAGAGTTTGAATTAACCCTGGGAAAACATGAGCTTCTGCCCACTCTCTGAATGAACATGCCTATACAAGGGGTTTGCTGATCTACAAATCATCAAAAATAGGCTCAGTCTTAAAACAGATTGTTAAAGAGGAACTACTACATTTCCTAAGAATCAAAAACTTTCAGAAAAAACTTTCAGACAAACTTAGATTTTGGATAAAAATGTTTCAGACAAATTTTTATCTGAGTTTTGATTGTCCGAAATTTTCAATTTTAATGTATGAAACATTCTTACCATTAATTGTGGCGCAACAGCTGGCATGGGCACAGGCATCTGTATAGAAGGAGGTGTTGGTAACAAAGCTTGATTCCCTGTGAGTAAACAAATATAGATGCAGGTTCAATATTCTTAACAATTATAGGCAAGATTAGAACAGAGGCTGGATTACTGCGGGGCTGAAATAGCTTTTAAAGTGCTTTTAGAAGACAGGCTTAAATTTTCAGCAGGGGCATAATTATATATGTTACTACTTACTTTTTAAGATAAAAAAGATTTTTAATTTAAATTTGGAAAAAACATATCCTAAAAATTTAAAAGGAAAAGAAATATTAGTCGATAATTGCACAGATTCTCTTATTTTCTTATTTTTCTAAAACTTTTACACTGTGGTCAGGTGGGACAATTTGCTTTTTATTTGAGGGCAGTAAGGAATAGAGGTCTGAGGATAAATGTCAACGAAGTTTCTTATATCATGCCTGTCAAACAAATGGAAAACATGGGCAACACCTACTTATAGGTTTTTTGGATGTGCTTTTGTCATAAGATATTAAGAAAAAGAAACTCCACAGAACACAATTGAAGTGCACATTTCTTCTTTATCGAGTGATAATGGAAAGCAACATTTAGGCTGTTTCAATTAATTTAGTTCAAGTAACAATGGGTTCATCAAAAGCTTGTCTTAGAAGCAGTAGTAAAGCTTTAGGTATTTTCTTACAGCCATTCATGAAAACTATGCAAATCACCTTTGATAATGTTACAAATTCCTATGAAATAAACCAATAATATTCATAATCACTTTTTCTTGAAATTAAAAATTACTCAAGGGCAAACTCTTATTAAAAGATATGATAACTGATTAAAAGGTGACAGGTGGCAATCATCTATGACAGCAAGCAACATATGGATATAAATCTTTATATATTTAAATAAAAATACTTATAATTAGGGACTACTGAATCACATATATAACTCAAATACCTTCACATGGTCTTGGAGAAATGAAAAAATTTCCACATCACACAGAAAAAATTTCCAAACAACAATCTTACTTGAAACCAGCATAGATAGTAGTAAAAATACCCGTGACAACAAAAATGGAGAATAAACCATATTTGTACTTGTAGTAAGTACACTAGGGTATCAAAATTATTGCACCACTATATTCAAAATGGCAGCACATTTTGTAAACTTTTTGGCAGTAAAAAACATTTGAATGCAAGAACTGGGTGAAATAGGCATATTTTGTAGCAAATTTCAGCAGGAAAAAGTTGCAAATTTTGCTGACGCCATAGAAAACTAAATTAGAAATGTTTAAATTAGGCAAAGACATTTTGGTTTGTAAAAATTAAGATCATGCCTAAGGAAGCAAAATTGTCAAATGAGAAGCGAGTCGCTATAAAATTTTTCAAAAAAATGCTGACCAAGATAGATGCAGCCACACAACAGCAACGGGAAAATAAAAAAGATTCCTCGAGAGTGTTACAGTAGCAAAGAGACCAAGAAGTGGGCAACCAAAAATAAATTGATGTTAGAGGGTAACAAACTTATCGGTTTTATTTCACTGCGTTTACACCTACGGGCAGTAAAAAAAATGAAACTCAATACTGGGCAAGGTTTTGCAGCTCAAAATCCGTCCACAGAAAAAATAATGAGTGTTTTGAACAAATACAAAAGAAAAATTTACCTCAGTAAAAGGAAACCGTTTTTCCAAACAAAAGAAATTAAAGCTTTGACACAGTCTGAGTAAAGTCCAATTTTTAACATCACTTAAAAAGTTTGACTTCACATGAAAAAGGAGACAAACCATGATCCAAATGGTGTCCAAAAACCAGAGAATCATTAATTCTAAGAGGTTTCCAGGTCTAATACGAAATTCCACAAGAATACGTTTCCCAAATATATGGGTCAATTTCAAGGAGACTTTTTGCGGTTTCAAAAGTTTGTTGCTACCCATCAAAATATTGAAATTTGAAACTGTTGAAAGGCGTTTGCCACTGTTATCTTTTAAATAAATGCTCTAAATAGATTGAAGTTTTGATTGGTGGACGTTTTGCTTTCAACCAATTGCCATTGGCCCTCTAAAACAGAATTAATTTGCATAGCAATAGCTTTCGATCATTCATGCACCATTTTTCCTCCTTTGAGGTGATGCAAAACTTTTGATACCCTAGTGTATACAAACACAGTTTGCACAGTATAGCCGATTTTGAGACAAACTTGGGTGCATAAACAGCCCTAGTCTTCACTTAAAAGTGTTGGGCGTGCCATATCTATCAATTTTTCCAGATAAAAATTCAATATATCTAGTTTTTAGGTGCATGATCAAATGTACCATGACTGCATTTTGGGAGACCCATTGCCATCCTCTACATACTGTATAAAACGATGCTCCAAAACCTTTAGTACCCTGGGCAACATTGAGAAACATCGCATAATGAATTGACGTGTTTTACGTTCACTAATTGGCTTTGAAAATTTGATTTTAGAGTCTAATCATCAGATCAGCAACTTGTTCAATAACGTTGATATGGCAGGATTCAGTCTGACGATCGTTTTTACCCTTAGACTTTCTCTAATATTCAAGTCATTAACAAGAAAATTAAGCAAATTCGTGAACTTAGTAACTTGTGTTTGTCAACCAACAAACACATACAAGTGCGAATCGAATCGCATATTTTGTACCCGACAAAGCAAGTACATGATTAGCAAAAACACTGTTGCCTTGGGCCATTAATCTATTAAGTATCAAATTAAGTTCGTATTTAAGGATTACATCACTTTGTTGCTGATACCATTTTGGAAAAACCGTACCTGGCTTGACGTTAGGCCCATTAGACTGGCTGACTTGACTTGGTGGAATACCAAAAGACATGCCCCTCTCTTTAGGCAGACGTCGAACAGCTCTTCTTCACCTTCTTTGCTTCTATTCAAACTTACTGTGCAATATTTCCAACAATAAATAACCTATTTCTGGGCTTTTTGCATAAATGATTCGCCTCTTCTGCTAACGGGCAGTTCGTCTCTTCCAATTGAAACAAAGCATTGTGGGAAGAAACCATGTGCACACGAGATTTGACTGCGGTGGCGGCCTATCTTCGCATCGGCTCCATGTCACTTACTGAGGGAGATAAACATTACTGGGGTACTCTGGTACAGTCTAAATGTATACTTTCCTAACATCTGTAGAATAGGACGAAGATATTAATCCAAGGGTAGAATGAAGATACTAACCTTATACATGGCTGCCGTCGAAGGAAACATTTTTTATAATCTACTGCCTTAAATTCGCCGGAAATTGCATTATTTGGAGCAAATTTTAAAAAGCTCTAGATACTAAACACACAGTCAGTGCACTATTGATTGATCTGTCCAAAGCATTTGATTGTTTGAATCATGACCTAATGATTGCTAAACTCAATGCTTATGGTTTTAGTAGAAGCGCCTTGAATTTCACACTATCATACCTTAGCTAGAGGAAACAAAGAGTCAAAATAAACGGCTCTTTCAGTGAATGGAAAACCCACGAGTGTAGGTGTGCCACAAGGATCAGTTTTGGGACCTCTCTTGTTCATTTTATACATAAATGACATGTTTATGTTTATATCGAATAGCCAAATATGCAATTATGCCGATGACACAACGCGATATGTCATCCATCAAGACATTAAGCAGGCTATTAAAAACACTAGAACAAGACGCAGTTATTTTGAGAGAATGGTTTCAAAATAATTAATGAAACTTCTTGGAATAAGTATTGATAATAATTTGTCGTTCAAAGAACACGTACAATCGATATGCAAAAAGGCCAGCCAAAAGCTACATGCTTTATCCCGAATCTCCAACTACATGGATGATAGAAAAGTATAACAGACCATGCACGTCTCCATTTCATCACAATTTAGCTACTGCCCTTTAATTTGGATGTTTTGTGATCGACAGATGAACAACATAATAAATAGAATTCATGAAAAGTCTTTGCCTATGATGACTATGAATCAAGCTTTCAAATTCTTCTTGAAAAAGACAACTCGACGTCTATCCATGATAATAATCTGCAATTGCTTCTTACAGAAATGTAAAAAAAATTTACATAATCTTAGCCCAAGTCGGTCTACAACAATGTAAATTCACCGCACTGAGGATTCATTTCGCATGTAAATAAACTCGCTGTATTTTTTCGCTTTTTTCTTCTTATCTCTTTCACAAAACTAGAAGCAGGAACCCTTCTGGAGTTTCGTTTCTTTTGAGAGACGAAGCGTTAGTCCAGCACAGAATCATTCATTGATTCCCAACAGGGGGGGGGGGGGGCAGTTGATAATAGACGCACTGAAATAGTTTCGGAGAGGAGTAATGAACGTGAATAGATGGCTCACCTTTGCTATTCCAGCTACATATGTTATGTTGCTTAGAAATTGATCGATTTTGATGAAGTGTTCACTTGACCACGCCTAAATTTTCAGACCACATCCACCTAGGCCCCTCTCAGTTCTTCATGGCCGTTAAAAATTCTGAGCCAGTCCGCCACTGGGTAGGGCCAAGCTTGCTAAAAAAGAAGGGACACTGGTGGAAGAGTGCACAGTATCGTATGTTGGAACAGCCGAACAGGAGTTAAACACGGAAAATAAATTACTTTATAGCCAAAATGATGTTTCAGACAGAATAGATAGTTTGTTAACAAGAAAAACTCTCAAAACTGCAGAGCAAAGAGAAACAATGAGCCTTTCATAACTGGCCCATTGTCTACTGTAGAGATGGAGAGCTCTTGATAAGAAAAACTCAAATGAACATTAATTTAGAAAGCAAAGAGGCACAGCAACTAGGTTCAACTGAATGTGAAGATTTCATAAGATGTGTAGGCAGAATTCCCTTCCAGGGAAAATTTTGATTTTCGATGAGTCTCTTTGGCTCTGCTGGCCTTCAGAGACCTAATTAACAGAAAATTTGGTTGTTTAATTGCTTCATCCTAGATAAGTCCATATGTTATATCTCAAGTCACTTCCACGAACGTACAGTTTTAAGTGCACAAGATAATAAGAAATAACGCAAAAAAGTGCATTCAAAGCTAAAATATAATGAAACCAGCTCTTATTAGGTTTTTTCATAAAGGATAAATTAAACAGATGCCTTTTAACTCAAAACATTGACTTCATGTTTCCAACGCGTAGATACTTCAGGCTTCTTTTTCAAAAGGCATACATTTATTTTGACAGGAAAGTTGGGTCGGGCCTAATTTTCTTTTTTGGCCTTTTCAGTTGCGTTTTGTTTGGCCTTTAATATAATTTCTTTAAAGTTCGATGAAATATTAACTCCATTTTGTATCAAATGACATGATGATTCAAAGATATATTTGCTAGAAACGCATTTTCTAGCCTTATGAGTAACTGGAATCCTCCATTTATTGGCTAGGACCGACTCTTTCCATTATTTGTTACCCCTACACTCCTCTAATTTGCCTGTTTTGAGCTTGTTTAGCTGCCCCAATGTGCAAGTTTAGCAAAACAAAGGTAAATATTTTATCTGGCGCTTTGGATTCCCCTCCAGGGTGCCAAATGAACACAACAGTTACAAAGATTATTTTATTTGCCTCCCTGTGCGCATGTGGGGGTCAGTATATTTTGTCTTTTTGTTTCATTTCTCATGGAAGGACCAATTTGTCTCGACGATACAACAATAGGGTGTATTCTTTTTCCTATTACAAAGAAATGAAATCCATTTCAGGACTGGAATTAATCAAACGTACTAAAAGCATGCCTTAAAAATAGCAGAATTTATAAAGGATTTCAAGAAAATGACTGCAAGAAATATTTTGAAATGTATTTTAAGCTTATCCGAAGGGCGTGGTCGCAAAAATTGTCAGCACGCTACACTGGCAAGAAAACCTCTATTTAGAGTTATACCAAGGGCCTCTGACAACCTCTCGCGGACCCTTCCCAATGTTAGATTTTTAGTCAAATAAAGCTATTAACTCGAGCCCCCCCTCCCCACTTTGAATTTCTTGGCACCGCCCCTGGACTGCCAATATTGTCAGGAAAAATTTTGATGCTGGCCCCCCTAGGCGAAAAGGGCCAGGCCGCCACTGGATACGAATAGCAAACATTGAAGATCAAAATGAAGTGATAGTTGAAAGACCAAGCAGAATTGCAAAAGAGAAAGGAAAGGAGAAAACCCAGACTCTACCAGCGGACATTTAATAATCAACTTATATGTTTCTAGATAATTACAAGTAGAATTATTCTTTGTTATAATAATAATTCCAGGGAGTATGCTGAAAGACGTTACTGCGAAGGAGATTTAGATTTACGGGACTTTGAGAAGAAAAGGGGCGCGTTTAAGAGGGACTACAAGAAGAGTTTAAAGGTAAAGCGTTGTTTAGTAAATAGGGTTTTGTTTCATTTCTATAAACAAAAAGGTAAAATAGGACATTTTTATAGTGAAGCTCTTTACGCGGCTAGGCTTTTGCTATACTGTTTTGTTTTATTGATGTGTTACTGTCTCGACAGTCTTTTGGAACAATTAAAAAATAGATTATAAGTCTCTAATTTTCTGTAATAGTTACTATCATGTCATGTCATGTCATCTTGTTCGGCATGTCAATTTACAAAAGAAAACTAAGTTTCGGGTTTATAACTTGCATAGTATAAAAGATATGGAGGAAAATCCGAAAGAGGACTGAACAAAAGTATCCCAGTCTAAAAATAGCTTTGGGGGCGTTTTGAAGCGGGCTCTGCATCTTATCTTTTTCAGCATGTCAAATTACGCCAGAAGACAAATTGTCTGGTTTATGGCATGAATAGTTTAAAAGATATAAAGGAAGACCTAAAAGGGGACTGGGTACAGGTAACCCAGTCTAAAAATTACTTTGGGGGCGTTTTTGAATTGGGGTTTGCATCTCATCTTATTCAGCATGTCAAATTGTGTACTTGCACTAAATTTCATGCTTATATCATAAAATGCACAATTCACCTGCTAAGCGACTGCACTATAATGAATAACCGACGTTTGATGCGAGGGTCATCACAAGGCTTACGGAACTTTGAAGTTGAATGGACTTTGAAGAAAACTTGTTGCGGATTACGGAAATCTGGCAACTTATTGACGGAATTCTACACATTTGCCGGACGGGGATTTTCTCGAAAGTGATGCACGGGATACTGAATTTTTAAGGATTTGTGGAATTCTCAACCTGTTGTCTTGTAAAAACATCCTTGACTGAAGGTCCTATCAACAATTTTAAGGCGCGGAGTTTTTGCTAAAAATGACCGGAACAGAGGATATCTACCCCCAGCTTCGATAGCATTCGTGTTCTGAAAAACGTTCTGCTAAAAGTTCTCTTGTGAAATCTTTGACGACGCCACGAGAAGATATGAATTGAATAAAAGTGACAACAACAATAGTGAAATTTGTTGCTAACTTTTCCCTAACTTTACTTTTCTCTTGCGGGCGATACATGTTTTTGCGAGGGCAGTCAATAGCCCACTTCAATATTTTTGCGAGGCCGAGGGCGATGGCCAGGGCGAGGGCGATCGCCCGCGTGAAAGGAAAAGGCCCGCAAATGTCATTCGAATTTTCAAATTTCCAAAGTTAGTTATAGAAAACAGAAGAAGGAAAAAGCCGATGGTTTCTTTGAAGGCTCGTAATAACGATTAAAACCAACTTGATTAATATAATATCAGCTTACATAAAACTGGTGGCATACCTAATCTACTACAACAAACAGTTGATTACAACAAGCCCCCGAACTTATAACAAAAATAGCGAGTTGACATAGCAAAATTTACGATACAAGCAGCAGACAGCTATAATCAGTTACTATGCATCATGCCAGCAAATATAGTACAAACGTCTGACGTTTTCTAGGACAATTTTCTTTCCTTCATAACAGACTTAATGGCAGGTCCCTCTGGGCCATCATTCAGCCTGCACTCATTGGATATCTTCTCTAGAGCAGCGCAGCCTCTTTTTGGATCGCCCCATCTTCCCTTGAAATTCATCCACTGGAGGTTTCCAGTATAATGCTTGCCTTTAATGTAACGGATAAGCTTGACATTCTTCCAAGTGTCCCAAACTGTCCCGGACGAGACAAGTTCTTGAAGAACTTCTCCGTTCAACAACTTTTGATATGTGATTCTTCCTCGTCTTGTCCATAGTCCATGCGAGCCCTTCGCAGAGTATACGATAGGGTGTCCAGAAAGTGAAAACGTTACTTTATCTTTGCCTATATCGGAGAAATAAGCGGTTGAAGTTTGTAAACCACTCAAAGGAATCAACAGTCTGTCGTAAGTTAGAATCAAGATAGGCATTCATACAAAGAATTGGCAGTTGATAGTAGATTAAAATATGATGTATTTCTGTGACGTAGCTGATTGATGTTTGGGTGAGACCGATTCCAGAGGGACCCAAAAGAGGAGGTTTACTTTACCTTAAGAGCTTGGCTCCAGGCAATGGCAAGCGAACAAAATAAATACTTGAATGTGAGTAATGGGTGGCATTTCACACAGATCGACTCGTTTAGGTATTTAGTTCACATTTTTACTTTTCGAATATTTCCTGCCAAAAATTCGCTGTTAAACCACACGGAAACTGGCCTTCAGAAACCTTGAAATGCATCGAGGCTATTTAGGATTTTGAAGTCGTGCAGCCAAGGTAGTTTGTTAAGTTTTTTACCGAAGGTGATAAAACAGTCTATGAATTTTGATTTGACAAAGGTGTCTTTTGAAGATTCTAGTGTAAAGGAACAAAAATGACTAATCCAACATCTTGCTCAGTTATGTAGAGGTCTACGCAAAACAACAATATACCCGGTGTCATTTTTTTCTTATATCGTTTGTTGTTCTCTCAAAAATGCATAAAAGGGTAACTCAATACACTCGAAAATCGTATTTGATATTTAACTTGGTATTTATAAAATATGAAATAACTGACAAAAGAGGGGCCCCGAAGTTTGGGGTTTTTGAGCTCCCCATTTATCGTCAAGCCCCTCGGCAAACCAAATCAGATAAAAAAATTAAAAATTGGTGAAAAGGCTAAGCCTACCTTTGACAAATGTCTCCCCATTCCAATTGTATACTCCGCCGAAATTATGTGCTCCAATATACATCTGAGATGGCCTGTTGTTTACAAGTCGAACTGTCACATGTTCCCAGTCAGCAACATGGTTTCCCATCACAGTACAACCTCCGAAGCACCTACCACTTCCTGCTACTCCAATGCACACATTCTTTCCACGATTGTATGGGTAGAAAGTCCAGTAGACAAAATCTCTCACTTGATTTCTTCCTTGTCTGAACTGTCTCCACAATGTATAGATAGGCACAACACTAAGAAAAAGAAGAGTTATTAGAATTAAATAATAAACCGTTAGATTAAAAAATGCACATATAAAAACCTTCAAAAAAGTTTCCGGCATATATCTGATGATGTTTTCATCGTTTTCTGAGAAAGTTTTTCACAACTTGATTGTGTGTGACTGGAATGCATTACATGTATTAAAAACATGCCAACTGCTGCGTGATCAACGACCAGTGGCAGTCCTAAAACCTTATAATGCACTGCAAAAATTTCGCAAGGTTCCTGTTTCCTTGGCCTGCCAACAGCTTATTCAGCTATTTTACCTTGGATGCTGTCCTCCGAAGAAGCTTACTGTCGACGATGGCGTACGGATCCGATGTTTTGATTTCAAGTAATAATTGGAGTTTCCTGCAACCATGTTGTTTACTCTCGGATGGTTGTTTACAGTATAGTATCTAAAACCTGATTTTCGAATCATCTTAACATTGTTCAAAAAGAATTCAAGAGTGGATGGTTTGAACTGCTCTCCAATTGCCAAGTAGATCTTTGGTGCCCAGCATCTCGCCTGCACATTAACTGCAAAAAATAAACGAGTAAAAGCAAACATCAAACACAAATGCAGAAATTATCATAGTTGAACTTGTAACAAAAACAGCGAGTGCACAAAACGAACCTACGCAATCAAACAGAAAGGGAGATATATTTTCAAGCAGCTTTTGAACTTTGTAGGTACTAAGGAAACAGAGAAACCTAATGAAACAATGGCAATAGCCTTATCTTAATGAAGCCACAATGTGATTTATGATGTCGCAAAAGATTCATCAATGGTGAATGAATTCAGGAACAATTTTTACTTAGAAATGAAGAAAATAAATCCTAAAATTTACAACGCGCAATAAAAAGAAAACAAAACCGAAGCGAGAAAGTGAGGCTTTCAAACACGAGACGAATATTTGAAAGGAGGAAGATCTATACATTTCGTATTAGGACTAGAATTCGGTAGAGCTGCAACAACAGTTTTCTGTTGCAATTGTGCACGTTTGCTCATTGAAATGAGGCTACACGAAAAAGCATGCTTGGTCACCCTAAAAGGAAACCTTACAAAGTTTTCAAAACTGCCTTTGGGGGTAGATATACATATTATGCAGCACGAAATCTAGATAAAAACAATCCTGTGGTGAAATGCAACTCAGACTTTAATTAAAGTTTGTTCAGGTCCTTCATCAGTTGACAATTACGATCAAACTTTTCAGGCGTTTTGATAGAGAGAAGACAATACAACAAAAATGATTGGGATGTGAAAAGAATAAAGAAAATCTTTACTCACTATTTGTTGAGTAGATGCAATAGCCTGCAATAGGAAAGAGCACAAGATGAATGAAAGATTCGCACTATTTCAGTAAATGCTTTATTTAGCAACAAAAACAGTCATAATCATTAAGCACTTGTTGTTAATTCATAGAACTTGGTGTTACAAATGTAATTTTGTTCAAAAAATGAACTCAAAACAATAACTGGGAAATTGAGACATATCACTGTTCTACCATCTGCAGGGGTATGAAGGCTATGGAGCGACTTTGAACTTTGACTAAGCACTCAGAAAGATGTTAGCTAACATGAGGTCAGGGGAGTTGTCCGTAGCGTTTGTAGATACTTACGGTATGGGCCGGTCGACTAGGAGGAGTGTTTCCAGGACTGAATCTTGATGTTCTGCATGATGGGAAGAGCTTTCTGTTCCAATATCTCTTGGTGAAGAACCGTCTTCGTCTTCCCAAAGACCAGCGTCGCCGTCTTCTACCCCAAAATCTTCGTCGTCGCCTTCTTCTTCTTCTTCTTCTTCTACTGCCCCACCCTAAATGAAATGTTGACCGGTCGGTATAGATATAATCGACCACCCCTGTATACAAGTTAATTTGTTGAACATTTTGATTTAGCCTCGTTTGGGGTAAGAAACCGTGTGGGTAAAGATCATCAAAGAAGAGAGTTGTTTTATCAGGATTGTGAATATTATGAGTTTGTGTATCAGGACAAATCGGTACACCTGTGTAACAAGTCTGCCAATTTTTTACGTGCTCGTGTTTGTTACGTGATTATGAATATTCATAGTTACATAATGAATATCCATTGTGTTTGAGTTTGTTACATAATAATATCCATTGGCATAATTACATGGTTTTGCGTCCTTTTTGGCCACCAAATCGCCTTCAATATCATCATCACTTTCTGAAAGATCTAAAAAAGATGTTTGCGATAAAGTTAGCGAAATTCTTTTAAAATCACTTAAGAAAAGATTGTCATAACTATTCCATTACAAACATAGATGCATGTTTGGAAACCTTCATTTATTTCAGACAATGAGCATGCACAGCATTACTATAGAGAACACTGGAAAGTGAAATGACGTTAAAATGAGATTCAAAAGAAGGTGTGATAAACGAAGGTGCTAATGTTGATCCAAGCTTCACTTTCAAAATGACTTCAATCAATAAGTTGAAGAGGAAACTCTCGGTAGAGAATTTTGCTAAAAGATCTTTCCCAGCCCTGTACATCATATGAATATAAACGTTGCACTAACATACTTGATTCATTATTTTCGTTTATTTAACAAAGACTAATTGTATAACGTGTCATGTAATGTATGTAATTCGAGCACATCTACTGTACCGACAAGCACCGTCACAAAAATAATTATCTTTTTCTTGATTAACAAAATTGAAAAACTTTTTTTCTAAGATCTTTGCTTGCGTTCATCTAAAATTGCGTTTAAAAGAAAATTCAAGGCGAACTAATCGTTTAAAATGTAGTCACATTGTTAACTTTCACTACCATTAGAATTTGTAAGTAGATTATATAGAAAACAAGAGCTTCGTTGTAAAATGGGTAAAAGGGCCTTTTCGGTCTATGCCTCGTCACTAAAGAGAATGTGGTAGCTCGCTAATGATCGCCTTTACGCATTTTAACCTGCGATATATGCTATTATATATACTTTGAGCCATCTTTTTGCATTGTTTTGTATGTATTGTTAATTTAATTTTATTTGTTACAATAGAGAAAAAACACTAATTCAGACCGACGTTGCTAAAACAGCAAAATCTTTTCTGTTATTGGCTCTACGTGAAAAGTATTGTATAGAGTTTACATTTATTACAAATATAGCTATATTTAAGCGTTCTAAATTCGCACAAATATGGATTTAGTACAGCTAGGAAGAGATTCGTTAGTTGGCTAACAATTATCCATCCTTGGTTTTAATTCCGATAAAACATTGTTACAATCTACTAACCTAGCTGTTCAGTGTTATCTGAGTTGTCAGCGGAGGTGTCAGAGGTGTCTTCTTGAGTGTCAATCTCTGCAATACAAATTAAATCAAAGTGTTACAGGCATGTTTAAGATAAATTGCAGAGCCAGGTCGTCTTTTTATTTAGCAGTTTTGGAATCGATCTGCAAGCAAAAGAAAAAGCTGCTAATTGTGTAGACAGAAGGAGTTTGGTTTTTCTCTTGGACCCCAGTGGTGATGTTACAAAGATATTTCGGATTGCTTCAGGGACTGCGCATCAGTCTAAATGTGGGAAGGCTGGAAAAGCGTGACCGGAAATTGTTTGAGTCCACGCCTTCTAGAACGCCGGAAAATAATTGCTTATTCCTCCTGATGTTTTATAAACAGTCGGGTTCAGAGAAGATATCAAAAACTACAAAAATAGAATAATTAGATTGGAGATGATAAAATATAAAAAAAACACCTGGAAAATGAACAAAAGGGATCTTCTCGGTGAAGAAGAACTGCTACTACATAAGAGTATACTATCCAATATTGCGCTAGAGCATAGTTAGAGTAAACTTTCAAAATTTTTTTGCAACCTATTGTTGTAAAAAAGTGGGGGGGGGGGCGGGCTATAGCTCCTGCTAGCCCAATGACTGGGCAGTGCTTGGATAACAGGGCCACAAATCTGTCTTGTCAATTTGGTGGAAAGTAGTGGTCAGCACAGAGTGAACCAATGTAGAGTGAACAGCGGAGCGGGTCAAAGCATCGTCAAGCAATTCATGGGAGGTGATTTAGACACAGTTAAGTTATAGTGTACAACACCTAAAAATCTATTGTACGAGTTTAATTAGGATTTTGCACCTTTATGGAAGGTATCTACAGAGTTTCCTTGGTATTTTTAAAGAATTTAGTTTTGTTCATATTTTTGCACAAAATCGTTTTGCTCAAATTTTTTTGGGGGTCCAGTTCACCGCTCCCTACGGAAGATACCGCCCTGCTAAATAGTCATGCCTTATTATTGTATTTTAAAAGCGGCATCAAACAAAAACATAAGGTAGTAGTACTGTGTCAACAGTAATTTCTTAATTATGGATCCACAGATACAGATTTTGATTTAAAGAGAGTGGATTTAAATTCGAAATGAAGATGTTATAATGTGTAGAATGTTCATTAATTAACACATAAGCGTTTCAAATAGACTTTCCATAAACGAACTCACTCTGTTTGATATAGTTTTGATTTAATAAGTTTTCTTAACTACAAAAATAGACGTTTCTTTTTTTACTTTTTCAAGAAAAACTAATACTTCAAAAAATTGCAAGGTGTTGCTGAAACAACTCGAGAAATAGCTTAGAGAACCCTTTCCCTTTAGCCTTGTAGTTATTTTGAAAACTTAGCACATAATCAATATTTTACCATTTGGATGATCATCATCGTTTGCAAGTTCTTGGTTTACCTCTTCTTCGCTACTTTCAACTTTGTCCAAGTCGGGTTCACCTAAAATATACTTTAGCATTAAAAATCTCGAATTTAGGTGATTAGTAAAATATTCTTACAAAGATTTGGCCATTAAATGCAGTTAGATCCTTTGCTATCGATATTTGTGAGAGAAGAAAGACTCTTCATGGTCATTCTTAGAAGAAGCATCAGAAAGGCCAGAGGGCCCTTGACACTGAATATGTCTGCAAGATGCATTGCTAATAATCATAACAATTCTTTTTTATTCTTGGTCCTCAACTGTGAAATTGAATACATAATTCCAGATTTTGTTGTTTTAGTATAAAACAAGACAAAATAATTCATTAGAAGAGAAAATAAATTTCGAGAATAATACCGTTGGTGATTGCAAGGAAAGCAAAGCCAAGGACAATTGCGACAAAAGTGAGCTTCATCCTGAGGCACTTGCAGCTAGGGAAAATAAGAGATGTCACGCGTCATTTAATAGTTCAAAACCAACAAGTTTACTGCTATGTGTTATGAAATTTGCTTCAGCATTTCGAGAATCTAACGAATTCAGCGTCAGCAACAGTTTTTTTAACTGCCTCTAGTTTCAGCGCCTCATTTTACATAAAAAACTTTTTCTTCGGGCCCTCTTTGATACCCAATGACCGCCCCCTCTAAATAATTTTTGAAACATTCTGCAACCACCTGCACTTATAAGACCCCATCCCCGTTTCATTTGTGTGTATGCCAGTATGTATGACAAGACCGGATGATTTATCATTCCTTTCTGGTTGAGAATTAATGAAAGCGTCAGTCCTCTTTTTAATAAGCTGCAAACAAATCTAAGAGAAGTTATAAATAAATGTGCTACGAATATCTTACAATATACAGAAAAAATAATCTTGCAACAGCAAATAAAGATAACACGAATAATAGCGTGTAAGGGCTTGAAATAGTCTGTTAAAATAAGAAATAGTTGTGAACAATACTATGAAGAAAATGCGAAAATAAACCTGCGGCGTATCAGGTGCTCACTGGCCAAGGTGCTACCTAGTCAAACATTGCACATCTATTTATTGCCTTTCATTCAAGTAGCCAGTACAAAACTACTTCCCAGGTTATTGTAAAAGGACGTACCGGGGGTACAAGTTGCTAAAAGTTAAAGCAAAGAACATACCATCAGAGTCAGGAGTGTAGCCAAGCCTAGCCTGTGACCAGCCCGTCTAATTTTAAGTTAAGGGTCTGGGACACAGGCTAGCACCATCGTATAAATCTCTTGTTAATCTAGCCCCCCAGTTTTGGATTTCTTTAGGGATCAAAGGAGGTAATTGGTTTGCATACATGGAGGAAGATGTTTTGTCAGTATATTTATCAGCCAATCAATGTACTCGGACAAACTTTATCGCCTGCGTCATTCAAATGAATTCGTCTCAATGGCCGCTGGCAACAGAGCCATAATAAATAAAAATCATTGTTCTTTTTACTCCTCTCTATTTTTCCCTTGAATTGAAACTGCTTTCGTTTTATTCATTTTGCTGTTTGCAAAGAACTTTGTATCAAGATGGTGAATTGACTCGCTGGTTGCGAAATTTGGAAGCAAATCTACGGCAACCTCCCGGTACCATCTCATACCTTGCGACAATAACCCAAGAATAAAATGATGTCCTTGAAAATGGTGCTGGCTAGAAACCACACAAGCTCTCCGATATGATTCACGGTTTTAAAAAGTGTTTCATTGTCAAAGATATGCTGATATTCCCCTTTATTCCCCTATATTTTCCGATTCTCAGTTTCCCCTCATTCTCTCTGATGAGACTGATAATAAACTTTTGGCATTTCGATAATAGCGTGGGTGTGGTGATACTCCTAGCCTCGTGTCGTATCGGATTTCATGTCATGTCGTACTAGCTCAGCGTAGCATGAACTAATGCAGTGCTGCCACGCAAAATCAGGAGTATTGTTCGAAAAAATTGTTTGAAATATTCAATTCTTGAAATCCATTCATTACAGATAGGAAGATGTTTTGTTTCTTTAATTGGATTTACATGGACCTAATCCCACAAAATACGCTCTGATAGAAAAGCAAGAGAGCAATTTTGGAAAAAATTGAAAAGGCGTTGTTGTTCAAAACTCTAGGGTAAATCTATTCAAGTCCTTGACTTTGCGAGAATGGCGACGATCCAAACAATGGTAGTAAACTTTTACGGATTAACCAAAATTGATTTTTAGACTGTCTAAAAATGCATTATGGGGTACTTCTTGCGTAGCGCAATGGCTTACTTTAAGTTTAAGTCGACTGACTACTTTTCTGACAGGTTTTAGAGGCTCTGGGGCAAAATGAAAAGTGGAGGCCCCTGCGCTAGGAGCGAACAGAAAATTTTGCAACCACACCCTTCTGAATAGCTTAAATGCACCTCAGAAAATTTCTTGCAGTCATTTCTTGCAGTCATTTCTTGCAGTCATTTCTTATATTAGTTAGCATGCTACTTAGGGCCTGTTCATATGAGAAGAATTGTCCCACTGAGGTGAGATCCAACCGATAAACTGATTTGTATGAAGAAATAACATTACGTTCATATGAGAGGTGAACTATCCCACTTGAGTGAGATCTCGCTTCGTATCAGTGGGATCTCACTGAGGCGGGATAAAAATCTCTCATGTGAACACGTTCCTCGGTTAGGTGGGATGAATCTGTCAGTATTGCGCAAGCGCGAATTAGCAGGATTTCCAATTCAACATGGCTGCTAGCATGTCTGGACGCGAAGAACCAATGAAAAAGAATTTTCGATTGTCAACCGCCATGGTTGAAAATATAATTAAATGCTTGGAATCCAATAAAACGAAGATGGAGTACCAACATTTGGATTTTGATGCTGATAGACCTGCCCAAATACCACTTCAGTGGGATAACTCACCTCATATGAACAGGCCCTTATAGCAAGTTATTTGCAAAACACTCTTTTTTGTACGAACCAGTAAATTTAAAATCAGGCTGACTGTTTTTCGAAAATCTGAGACTGGATTGCTGGCGTTCTAACTCTAGGGAGATGTTCAGACATCAATTGCCAACAAAGTGGGTGAGGCAATCTTTATTTGCCGACAAGTTTGAATATTCACCGCATATGGCTAAAAGTCCTCGTTTTTGAGACAAAATGTTGTTCAAAATTGCTTTTAACAGTAGCTCAGCCTCAGCCCGTTCTTAGTTTGTTCTTAACTCTCGACCAAGTTTGAGACTCATGTTCTTATAAAATTGCTCTTACAAAAAAAGAGTGTATTGCAAAAAAGGGTTTCCTACGACCGGATGTTCAAACTTGGGATGTTGCCAGTGTTTTGAATATATATTTAAGTAGTTTGGAACTTTAAACTGACATAAAACGATGTCTACGTGGTTTGAATTGCAAAGGTCATATTCTTTACAACTACGGCGCCATAACTCGTTCGTCAAAGTGGTGCAATACTTTTTGAATGGAAGTGTACTGAAAAAACTGGACTTTCTCTATGAGCCTCTGTTTCACTACTGCCTCACTTGACTGACGCTACCACAGAGACTCGGAATTGTCTAGTTTCCATACTACTCGACCTGATAGTCATAAATAAGCATGATTAATAGTCATAAATTAGCATGATTAATTATTTCAAGTAAAGGGTTAGGGTCTGGTTTAGGGTTTATTTTAAAAAGCTGCTCTGTAATTGGTAGGGCAAAAAGTTGTCCTGAGCGCCAGTTTGTGAGTAGTTTGGATTATGAGTCTCTGTTGTAGCGTCAGTAAAGCGAGGCAGTAGCGAAACAGAGGCTCATGGAGTAAGTCTACTAGAAAACATCACCTTGTTATGAGAGAACATCGGAAAAGTGGACGTTAATCGAGACCCTTTTGATCAAGTTAGGAAAATAGCCAAAACTTTGTAGGATAGGGAAAAGAAAAAAAAAGCATCATGAATCTTTGCAGCACTTAGAGAGAATTTTGTACTTAGAGGGAATTTTGTACTTAGAGCACTTAAAGGGAATTTTTTACTGTCAACTGTGCCAACTTGGAAGCAACTGCAATTAAAGTCACCCCATCGAACAGTCCATCATTTATTCTGGTGATGTACCGGCCCAACCCCCAGTCTGCTATTGATCCTTGTATGTCAGATTTTTTGGAGAATGTCTTTGACAACTCTGATGGGATTGATGACCTCATCATGATGGGTGACTTCAATTTAGATCAACTACAGCCTGACAATTTGACAAGGTCACTAGAGGACATCTGCCAATCATTTACCCTAAAACAATTAATTGATCTGCCAACTAGAATTACTGAAACTACTTCAACCCTTATTGACTTAGTATATGTAGCAGTCCCAGCCTACATAAAACAATCTGGTGCGATTCAATTAGGAATAAGCGATCATAATGATCATCATTATGGAATATTTGCATCAAGATCCACCCACAGCTCCAATAAACCTGAACATGTCCATGTACAAATCGAAAACCGTGACTTCAAGTCTTTCAATGAAGATATATATATTTAGATGACGTGGAGGCTGCTACATGGCAATTGTTAGAGTTGTTTGACAGTATGGATGATAAAATAGACACCTTCTATCAACTGTTGTCACAGATAATTGATCAACACGCACCTAAAAGGCAAAAGGGTTTGAAAGGATTCATATCCATGGATTAATAGCAATGTGATTGAGCTAATACGACAAAAATCTTATGCTTTGCAACTTTATCATCGTGACAAATCAGAGTTCACTAGAAAATTCTACAAAAAAGCATGCAATTGAGCAACTGAAGCTGTAAGGGAATCAAAGCGTGAATACTTCAACTCAATCATCAATGGAAATTGGAACAACCCTAAAAGGGTTTGGAAAACATTAAAGGAACGTCTTCCATCTAACAAGTCCAAGATACCTGATTTTATCTTCTCTGAAGAAAAGAAACCTTGAAATAGCACTTCTCTAACCTTGAAATAGCAAATTGCTTCTATGATTTCTTCAGTACCGTTGCACACAAACTTACAGCTAGCTTGCGACCTTCTGAAGATGCCAATGTTCGCAAGGTTACACAGAAGATACTGGATCTCCTGGCTGTCTCTCCTGATACTGTTGTAAACGTTATCTCAAAGTTACGCACCACCAAAGGAACAGGTTTAGTTAACATCTCAATGACATTGGTCAAAATCCTTGGAAAATCGCAACGTTTCGTTTTGACACTTACAAATCTTATTGAGTTTTTATTCAAATCTGGAGTGTTCCCTTCCCACTGGAAAGTGCCAAACTCGTGCCTATATTTAAAGCTGGTAACATTGAAAATGTCGACAACTATCGATCTATCTCCGTCCTGAACTGGTTTAGTAAAGTACTTGAGAGAATTGCTTTTAACCACATTCACGCATTTCTAATAAATGAAAACTTACTGAACCAACTCAAATCTGGCTTCGTCTCAAGTATTCCACTACTACGGCACTGATAAACCTCATTGATATGAAATAAAATGAAATGGATGAATCTTTATAAACTGGAGCTATTTTTTTTGGATCTGCGTAAAGCTTTGTCACTGTTGACCATACTTCCTTACTAACCAAAGTCAAACGGTTCAACCCAGGTATAACATATAATTCATATTTGCCTCAAAGAAACCAAGTTGTTACTTTCAATGGAGTTTTATCCAAGAGAACTACAATAACTACTGGTATCCTCCAAGGATCGATTCTAGGACCACTGCTGTTTCCTGTTTTGTAAACAATCTGCCTGCTAATTTTCAGCGGAAGTTATTATGTTTGCAGATGATACAACAATTTTATCACATAGAATGTCCCGTTTGTTAGTTTCATCTGATATTCAAAGTAATCTTGATGAACGTAGTAGTTACACATCCAAGAATCGACTAGTGCCGCATCCAGGGAAAACAAAAGCCTTGTTATTTAGTAAACGCAGTCAAGCAACCTGTTCAGAAGATGATTAAATGTATAGAATTTACATTGGATGAACACCTGGTTTTTTTCTGATCATATGAGAGATTTATGCAAAAAGCTGAACTATGGAATCTCAATCATCAGGAGAGTGAAAGTGTACCTCCCTCGTGAAAGCTTGGTTAACCTTCAATGCCTGCCAAAAGTCTTGGAACACTGACATCAATTTCCAAGGTCAAAACCAATCATCCCCCTCTCCCCCACGGAACATTGTTGGTTTACTATCAAATGGGTTAGGATTTTAGGAAGCACTTTCTTTTGCGCTTCTTTTATGATATTTCTCTAAATGGCAGGCATTGTTGCTAATTCACTTGTGTTAAGCCACCATAATCTCAGCACCAAGCATTTGGATACTCTTTTGAAACTTCACAAACGATGTGCTCGTGTCATACTTACCAGTAGCAAACCTCTCTTCGTACAACTAAACTGGCTACCAATCAACCAGAGAATTGAACTGAACACATGTTTGCTCATGTTTAAGGTTATCAATGATATGACACCTAGGTATTTATCTGATTTAACAACAAGCGCATCAGATGTACATAAACACCATACACGTTCCTCGACCAATGGATGCCTCTACAGATCAAAAGGTGAAGGTACTATTTATGTCTAGACATTCAAATTTTATGGAACCAGAGTTTGGAATTCTCTTCCTAAAGGATTAAGGAATATATCTTCTTACTTACCTATTTTTACTACTATATCATTGTAAATAAAGTTTTACTTTAAGATATTTTTTCCACCTTTTATTTGTAAACCAGGCTGAAAACAAGCTTTGCTTAGTCCTGTTATTTACGTTAAAGATATTTATACTTATGTGCGGCACCCCCCCTAGAAAATTCTTGTCGGCAAATTTTCTAAAAGGAGAGTTTTGTCGGGTTTTGCTTTCAAAGTTCCCAAAGCAATAGCTTTAGCGAACAGTTGGGATAAGATGAGGATGTGAATTTAAAAGTATTGCCCAAAAGCCCTCAGCAATTCAAAACAGGAAAAGATAGCGCTATGGGTGTCACGGAGGGGCAAATGTCCCCCAAAAACTTCAAATGACTCCCTTTCGGCAGCTGGAGTCTAGAATCTAATGTCCAATATCCAGGGCGACCTAATTTCTACCTAAAGTTTGGAGTTTAGGGAAGGATCAAAGTTTATTGAAAAACTCTGAACGTTAATCCTGGAGGTACTGGAAGCCACTGTAAGCAGGGAAAGGGGGCAAAGTGCCTCAGGGCCTTGAGGTCGAGGGGGCCTTAAGAATGAAATAAATGAAACGTAGGTATGCCTAAAAATAGTTAAAAGTTCTAAACGATTGCAAGAAATGACTGCAAGAAATATTCGGAAATGCATTTTAAGACAATCTAAAGGGCGTGGTCGCAAAAAATTTCCTGGGGGACCTCGTCTTTCGGTTCTGTTTCAAGGCCTTCAAAACCTAGGTACTCATAGTCACTCGAAAATTGAAGCGATGATTGACTAACGAGAACATCCTCTTTGATAAACAAAATCAATTGCGTCAAAATGCCACACCCCCACATTGAAATATCTTAGGCCACGCCCTATTTTGTCGGCAAATTGGTGACTGGCACCCCCCTATGTGAAAGTGCTTAGCGACGGCCCTGCCACATACACACATACATACACACATACATACATACATACATACATTTTCACCACTGAGATGTTGTAGAGGTGGCTCAATTCTAACAACGTTAGAAACTTCTGTTGCTAACTTGCTGAGTAGATCACGTACTTCATTGTGTCGATGATGAATGTATCCACCTTTTTGACAAGACATCGCATGGTCAACGGAAAAGTGTTTTCTGCATAGACAAATAGTTGGCATGAACTTTACATTAGATGTCATCTATATCTTCATTGGATTGCGTTGTGGGATTCACGCTTGTTGAGAACAAAATTTTCAGCCTTCAAAGGAAGAGAAGTGAGCCATGAAGACGCACCTTACATCCAAGACAGCTCGTTTGCTTTGCTTTGATCGAGTGTCATAGATTCTCTTGGCAGTGCAAGTTCTCCTCATGCGATTTTGCTCTTTCATTGGTAATTTCAATCTTCGTTTTCTTCATTTCATTGTTGCTAAGCGTTAACTCAGTAACTTGATGCTTGATATACATTGATAACTGACTCGTCACTCACTCTCTTTGAAAAAACATATTCTTGGTGAGTTATCTCAGAAAATATCGGTATGCCAAGTCCTCCAAAACGTACCGGAAGACTGATTAGTTTTCGCTCAATTTCGGAGCAGTGATAGCCTTCAGTTAGCACCGGTAAAAACTGTTCATTTATGAAAGCATCGAGCAGTTTCAATGCTTTGCAAAAATCAGGGATTGCCTGGTTGCCTGGTTGCCTGGTTGCCTGGTTGCCTGGTTGCCTGGTTGCCTGGTTGCCTGGTTGCCTGGTTTCTAATTTATGCTGTGTCAGCTGCCTCACTCTCGTTGTTCGTCATCTGTCTCGTTCTCGTGCTCTCATGTTGAAGAATCTTTTAAAATTGCAATCGAAACAGGTCGCTTTTTACCTGTTCTTAAATTTTGTTTTCAATCATTATGCTGAAATTAGAAATTTCGAACATAAATGTTTTTGTCTCGGTTGTCTCTGGTATGGGTATCATTATTGCCCTAAGGCGATTCCTGCGCCGAAAGGTACCACCACTTTGTACCAATGTAAACAGCCTTTACGGGAAGACTGTAATAATAACTGGTGCTAATACTGGCATTGGAAAAGAAGTATCAAAAGAACTGGCAAAGAGAAAGGCAAGGGTGATATTAGCTTGTAGGGATGTCGAGAAGGGTAGGAAGGCAGCCAGAGAAATTTTTGAAGAAACAGGCACTTCTTGTGATGTCGTTGTTAAGGAGCTTGATTTAGCCTCATTTAAGTCGATACGAAAATTTTGTCAGAATATTTATGATACGGAGCCACAAGTTAACATTCTTATCAATAATGCTGGTGTCTTCCATCCACCATATTCTCTTACAGAAGATGGGTATGAAACAACATTTGCTGTGAACTACCTAGGCCATTTTCTGTTAACAAACCTACTTCTGAGCAAGTTGAAAGACTCAGCCAGGGTTATTATTGTAGCATCAAAGCTTTATGAAAAAGCGAAGATAGACTTTGAGAATTTGAATGCAGAAAAAGGATACAAAGGTTTTGATGCATACAAACAAAGCAAATTAGCAAATCTATTGTTTGCCTATGAGCTGTGCAAGAAGGTACCCAGAGGTAAGTGTGCAAAGCAGCAATAGCAGACACTTCACTGTTATTGGGGGGGGGGGGGATAGGTAAGGAACAGTAGTGTGCTAGGGATGAGCTTGCAAGGTCAAACTGTCTTTGATTCTCTTCAAAATTTGCTGGTTTAGCTCATTTGTCCCTATCATTTTTGTGCATGAAAGGGAATCCACAAGAATACAGGTTTATTTATCATTGTCTAATGTATCAAACTCAAATCAAACTCAAATCAATAGAAATTATGTTACATGACCAAGAACAAAAGAAGTCAGTCAGCAAAATTGACTTAAGAAACTAAACATATATTCTGGTGAATGTATTGTAAAGCAGCTGTAAGGCATCTGAAAAGAATGGCAGCTTGCTCTTTTTTTGAGTTGGCTGTTTATTGTACCTGGTCCATCATTATCTTCACAGTGGCCATCATTTAAAGCTTTGTTGTCTCCAAACCCATGTCATAAAAAATCACATACCAACATCTTGGCCATATGCTCATTTCATATCTTCATGAAATAATTATGCACAAGATTGCACACACCATCTGTATTTATCTTCTTATCTTTTTTTCCTGGAAGTTAAAAGCTGAGTTTTTGTAAGCAGGTGTTTCCATAATTTTTGAGTCACTTGGAGGGTTAGGCACAAAGTTTAATCACTACTTAACACCCACACTCCAATTCTTTCGCTTAAATCTGCCCCTTCTCATAATCCATGAAAAATTTCAAACAGTATTATGCAAGAATCTCCTGGCAACATACCACCTCTTCTCTCCTACCACGTTTGATCAATTCTGCTTACACTTTTCTGTTTTTCATCTATTGTAATATTGTTATATATTTAATTTTTTTTAATTTCTGCACTTGTTTGTTTGGTATTGTTCATAAGATGATTCAAAATTGCTAGATAAGAGAAACTCTGCTTCTGGGAGAGTCTCAATTTAATTACTTGTCAGGGAGATGTACCTGTTTGTGGCTGCTAGTCAAAAGATTTTTCTATGAAGCTTTGTTTAAGTTATAATGAAAAGCAACACTCATGCCAGTTTCATTTTGATTTGTTTCCATTTTGATCTGAAAAGACATGTATCCATTTCTTATCAGATTAATGTGTACACAATAAAAACAAATAAACTCTCCATTTTTGAAAAGAATTATTATGGATAATTTTGAAATGTTTTTATAGCTGCTTGTTAGGGAGTTTTTGAAAGGGTAAAGGTATTAGGTATTTTATTATCCTGCTTAAAAGATATATGCATGATACTGTTTTAAAAAGCAAAGTTTTCTGAAAAATGCTAAGAGGATGAAAGTTATTATTTGGTAGCATTTTGCTCCAGAAGATAGTTATTTGCAAGGACTAAATGAATATTTCATTTGCAAAACTTTCCAAGCTGATCTAAGTTATGGTATCACAAATGTGACAATTTCAATATATCCTCAGCCTAAAAAAGTTTTTCATATGCCAGTGATTTTTTAAGAGGTTTAATACAATTTTAGTTTCTCAAATTGGCCTTTTCTATCTGCCATATAGAGTGGACAAGGGCCCTTTTGATATCTGCAACTTTATTCAGTATCTTTTATCTACAAAGTATGATTTTTTCAGATTCTTATTCCATTGAGTTTATTTCAAACTAAGATCTTTTTAATCCGACAACAAATGCCAAGTTTCAGCAGTTGAAAAGCAAATTTATCATATTTTAATCCAATAGGTGTAACAGTCAATTCTCTTCATCCTGGGTTTGTTGCAACTGAACTGCCAAGACACAAGCTAAATAATAAAATAAAGAAGATTCTCTATCCAATTTTTGCATTCCTGTTTATGCGCACCCCAGTAGAAGGAGCCCAGACTGTTGTTCATCTTGCTACATCATCAGAACTTGACAGTGTCTCTGGAGGATATTTTGGAGATTGTAAAGAGGAGAAACTTCAACCAAAAGCTTTGGATGATAAAGTTTCAGCAAAACTGTGGGAACTGAGCCTTGAGATGTGTGATTTAAACTAATCATGTGATGTCTTTTCACCTTTTTATGGTCATGGGAAAAAGGTATTTATTGGAGCACAAGTTCTCCAGACTGTTTTTTTATCGTTGTGTTCTTGTCTTATTAGATGATTTTGAAATGTCATTGTTAAAATTACCTATGATATTCTAAAACAAGTTTGCATTTTAAGCTTTGAGCTTAGATTCTGATAATTAAAAGTGTTGAAAAGTTTGTTATAAGTTCTTTTTGTTTTCTTCACATTTTCTTGGGCACAAATTTGGGGTATAATTTTTGCATATAAAACTATGGGAGATATCAGATAGGAATAAGGATATTGAAAGAACGCCCTAAGATTTACCTAGTATAGCAAATAATTCAATGAGATGATAATTTTTTTGAAGGTGCCATGTTGATTTCAACAATCTCAGAACCTGTAAGTACAAATCAGAGAAGACCCAGACACAAAGCCAGTGCTGAAAAGTTGGGCATGCAACAGGGGTGAAGCCAAAAAGTTTTTTGGAGGGTTCTGTATTGCTTTTTGCCGACAAAAAGGGGCGAGTCTCACTCTTTTTGGGTGTGGTCATAAAATGAGTACTTTTATATAGTTTCCATTTGAAGCGTTATTAGTGCCATACTTTGAAAAATGAGCTGCTACAGATATCTTAACATGTCACAATGTTACAAAAAGACCATAATTATATTACAGGGTGAGAAAAAACTATGTGTCAACAGACAAAAGCACCCTTCTTCAGCAAGGTACCTGAATATTTTTAATCCTGAGAACTTTCTGTTGTGTATTAGTATGGAGGGGTACAGTGCTAGGGGGTGGGGGCTCAGGTGGGCTGATGCCAAAAAGTAGCCAATTCCTACTTTTGCTATTGTTTTTGCAATATTTTCGCAATGCAGAGGCAGATCCAGACTACAGCAACCTACGCAGAAGCATAAGTCGAATTTTTACATCAACAAAGTAAAATGGAAACTATCAAAATTTTTAATCAATAGTTTTTTGGCGAATTCTTTAGCAACGTCCGTCCTAGATATGCCCCCGTTGATACCAATAACATGCAGAAGACAGGGCATTTATTTTGCTGACCATCTTTCAGCCTCTGCAGAGAACAGTTGAGTGGCAATTCAAGGCATTTATCTGGTCCGTATTTTCCCTAAGGTATTTTCTGAATTCAGAAGCTTGTTTGTCCTTCGAGAGCCAATCACCACTTGTTAGACCTATGCAGAGATCTTGTAAGCCAATCGGCGTGCATTTCACCTCTGCAATCTTTGGCGCGAACATAGGTGATATTTGATTTAGCCATTATTAATATATTGCCTCTGCAGCGGTACAGCCAACCAATATGAATCAGAGTTGACCTATGCAATCATTTACAGTTGTCCTCTGCAATTGTTTGTTTCAACCAATGAAATGGAAATTAACAATCACATGAACTTCAAGCTAAGCGTGTCAATTCTCCAGCGTTGCGCTCGGATTGTGGGTGGCCCTAGTTCGAATCCTGCCGAGGTCGAGCAACTCAGAGAAGGCTTTTTCCTTCGAGTTGCAGGTAAATCGAGTCTTCTACCCTTTGAGAGTTGTTTCCCAAGATTTCCTGTTTGGAACCCCCTTGTGATACTGATTTTATTCAGATAAATATGGGCGTTTCCAACACAAAAAGGCGCGGCTTCTCTTTCTGACGACCTTTGCATAGGTCAGAAGTCAGGCTGGATCCGCACCTGAACAGCCCCCCCCCCCCTCCCTCTTATTTTCATACTTCATAGCACTACACTCCTCTGCATCTGCATGTTTAATAGTGTTTGATGTTACACATGCAGAGCTGTATGTACTTTGATGTTACGAGCATGAAAGTTTCAAGTTGCCACCTGTCATATGTAATAATTAACGATATTTCCTTTATATCTAGCGGAGCTTACTTCTACTCAAATAAACCTGTGTAGGCCTGATTAGTCGAATGACTTTGTTTGTATGCTACTGGCCGAGCGGCAATTATCTCTTTCTTTTGTTTCAAATCTTTCTGTTTTTTACAATGGCAAGAGCTCTGGAATCCAACAACTCCGCTCTCCGCTTTATATTGCAAGCCAAGATTGATTTTGCAAAACAAATATTCATCAATTTTTAATGTATCAGTTCTTTGCGAAAAGACAATATTTTGCTACGGGATATACAAAATATGCTATCTAATTTTCCGGAGTGTCTTTAGGAGAGTAAATTTAATTTTGAAAATTGCGGTTTGTGTAATGCTAAAAAAGGTACCGTCAAATGACACAATAGAGCAGTGGGAGAATGACAATAGCTTGCCTTTCACCAATGAGAGTTTCCCTGAAAATCTGACGTAAATAAATTGAATTTCATTTTAAGTAAAGCAAATTAGTTCAGTTTAAAGACAGTCGCTTGCACTTTTTATCCACACTCTTTGATAGGGTTATCGAAGAAACACGTTGCTGTAAATCTGTGCACTTTCAAAAGGTCATGTGAATATATATCGTATCATAACTATACAATCTTACCAACTATATTAAGTGCTACATTTAAACAAATACCCATTTCTGTAACTATTCCCTTGGTCTTTGTTAACTTAGAGCCACTTGCAAAGAGGAGCCTAACATTAGTCCTTGTGGGATTTCATGAATAAAAGCGAACTTTAATTGACCTTTCTTTCATACGAGCAAGGCTGGAATTGTGTTCACCTCTTTTGTTGTATTTGTATGCTTCGATGTTGCTGGTGCCGCCGACTCACACAATGCTCACTTGCGAGAGGAACAAAACTTATAATCTGGGCGCAAACTCTGCTTATTTGTTTGCCTTAGAGCATGTCTATGAAGGGGAATAAGGATGATGGGTTTTGGTTAATTTAAGATGTTGTTTGAAAGGTGGGTGGCCTTGCTTGCGATTATTTCACGAAGCGTTTAGAAATCTAGAGCTTGGTATTTTTGACTATGGGTTTTCATTTTAGGTTTATGCGTCATTGTTGTGATCACGTAACTCAAATGCTATGAGGAAAACTAGCAGGTTTCAGAATAAGATTTTAAACCTTGTAAAAATTTATCTTTAATATAAATCGTGGCTCAGATTTACTTTTCCTGTGCAATGGCTCGCTTTTTATGCTAGAATCACTCTTACAAGCTCAATGTAAAAACGAAAATTCGAAATAATCAACCACATAGCTTTTTGCATGATTTGAATCAATTCTTTGGAAGGTTCATTCGCGATTTGCTAGTTATTGCTAGGGCTTTCGTTTTGTCAGCAAATTATAACATTCATCAGCAAATTTAAGCTTGTCTCGGGTTAGGTGCTAGACTGCACTGAAACATTAACGTTCTCTTTTAAGAGGTATTGTCGCCTCAAGATTGTGTTTATGACAAATTGCTTCATGCCTGCTTTGAGCTCCTTGTTCCTCCAAAAGTAGATCACGGGGTTCATTGATGAATTGCTGTATCCCATGACAAGTGTCATCTGGTAGATGGTGTACAGGTATGGCTCAAAATCACCGAATGAGAGTTTGGCTTTGCGAGCAATCATGAGATAGACGACGAAAATAACCATTGGTGTCCAGCACAGTAAATAACAGCCAATAATCAGGGCAAAAGTTTTCGCCAGCTTCCAGTGATGCCTTATTTTATCAGTTTCGTTGTTACTTGCTTGGGTCAGTCCTGCGTTGCGGGGAAATATTTTCGCTTTTTCTTTGATGAACTTGTATGACTTCCAGTAGCAAAAGACAATAACCAAGACATTGAAATTTGCACTGAGGACCAAGAGAGCGTAATAGATGTCTAGTGTGACGTCACTGAACATGAGAAATCCCAGGCAAATTGGATATACCCAGCAAAAAGTTACCATGAAGCGTAGCTTTCTTTTCGTCATATACATATTGTAGTTCTGGAGTTTCACCAAATGCAGGTAGCGGTCATAGCTTATGAGTGTGAGAATCCAGGATGATGCTCCACACAGCATTGCTCCAATATATGTTACTGCATATGCCACTTTGCAGTCCTTCCCAATCGACTCGGCGAATATTTGGGCTGAAGCTATTGGCTGCAACACAAGACCAACTGTAAGATCGGTCAAGGCAAGGCACACGATTAGATAATTGGAACGCCGTCTCAAAGACTTATAATGAAATATAACGAGAATAATCAATAAGTTTCCAAAGGTCGCGGTAAAGCATGTTGTCGTGTTGATCATTCCAAGGATGATTCGAGCCGCCTTCTGCATGAAGTTTGCGCCGAGAACGCTGCACGTATCCATCTTTCTGCAGTTGTGACGTTACCTTGTTCTTGCCTATTCTATAGTTTTTAGTGCATTCAGTGATTCGTTACGTTCGCATAAACACCACGACGTAAAGTATTGAAAACCGACCAAAACCGTAAACGAAGACCTTTCTCTTGACTTAGCCGTCTTGAATGACACTGTCAGCTAGAGATATGGGAACGCAAACGCATGTCCCAGAAGCCTTCGCGAATCTTTCAGTTCCTCCTTTAACAAGCGTTTCAATCCCCCTCGTTTCTTGGTGACTTGCTTTCTCTTCCGTGTGTCCGTCTTGATTTCTGTGCTTCTGCGAGAAGCTTTAAATTTTCCAGATGACAGATTCGCTAGTTTTTTAAATACGATAACAATTTTGAACTGATTATAGCAGGTGGTTTGACTTTATATTCACTGGCGTCCCTGCAGTGCGAAATGAATTATCCACATATTGACATTTCGCTTGCAAAGTAACCTAGGGTCCATAGAAATTTGACTCCATAGAAAAGTACTTGATAGAATTTGATATCAACTATATTGTTCACTGGCGGTGAAATTTTCCTTTGAAGCTTTAATTGTATACCGGACAGTTTTAATTTATTTGCTTTTAAAATACGAAAAAACATTAGCAAATAAGGGTAAGATGACCCTTAGAATATTTGACCATTTTCAATCACAAGACTGGAGGTGGCGCTCTCATCATTTGGACCATTTTTTTGGGCTGTCAGTGATCCAATTCTTGAGGGGGTCGAGTAGAAGAAACAATGGCCTTCTTCCGCCGACTAGCAACACTTTGTTCATGCAAAAGTAGTAAGACATTTGGCTATTAACTTATGCATAGAAATAGGAAGTTGAAATGAAATAGAACCTGAAAATATCAAGACATTAAAATATCAAGACATGAAAATATCAAGACATGAAAATATCAAGACATGAAAATATCAAGACATTAAAATATCAAGACATGAAAATATCAAGACATGAAAATATCAAGACATGAAAATATCAAGACATGAAAATATCAAGACATGAAAATATCAAGACATGAAAATATCAAGACATGAAAATATCAAGACATGAAAATAGCAAGACATGAAAATATCAAGACATTAAAATATCAAGACATTAAAATATCAAGACATTAAAATATCAAGACATTAAAATATCAAGACATTAAAATATCAAGACATGGGTTGGTAGGGTAGAATTACAGAAACTTTTGATATTTACAGTCCCACTTCAAGCTGTCTTGCAACGTGTGCATGGGCGCCTACACCGGGGGGGGGGGGGGGGCTGCCCCTCCTGCCTTCTTCAAACGCAAAGGTTGAAAAGTTTACCCGTGACAAGGTGGGCCACAAGAGGGAGAGCGGCAAAGATAATAGTAAATAAACAAAAAACTTGTTCCCTCAGAAGTACTTTACGAACCTAAGGAAGATAAATCGGTATTAAATCTTAGCGGGCAATCAGTATTTTACAACCAGTCCATTTATAACAGCCATAATTTTTATAAATCAAAATATTGTGAAAAGGCCATTCAATGCCCATTTCTATGAATGGATAATTTCGTCAACATTTTCTCTATGTTTAGAATCATCAAGATAAAATAAGGAACTTCTTATGACGCCACACTTCGGTACTCTTTTGTATGGAATGCCTGGTAACAAAAGAGGATTCTATCATGATTGGTTGCCTATTAATAGATGTGTATGTTAGCCAGTTTTATATCCATTCATTCTCTTTAACAGTATAAGCGAACTTAGCATTGATGCATCTGCCTATCACAGACTTACGTAACTGTTATTCCTTGATAAAGCTAAACAAAATGACAATATCTTTCCCTGTGAAGAAAAATCAACAAAACGTTGAGCTGGCCACGGCAGATTTGTCGTTAATCTCTTGCATTGAATCAAAAGAAAATAGAAGCACCTGCAGCAGATCAATCATAACATTGCCCGATTTTATTTGTCACACATTATGTTAACTTATCCAAATATTTCTCTTGGTTATCTGATCTCGAATGAAGATATCTGTATTATCAATATTCGCATTTGGAATCGATCTTCGCATTTTTCCAATAGAAGGCCAAGGGAATGTTTGGTTGGGCAATGTTCATATATCAAACTATGTTTGATATGGTCAATGACCTTAGCAGCAGATGTCTGCATTTCGGTTTTGCCGCTCTAAAAGATTTACGTCATAATGGTTCGCAGTTTCTTGATACTCACACAGTTGATCAAATACGAAACACTTCCTGCAACGTTGGTTTCTTGTTTAGCTTTACTAAATTCGATCATTCCTGTTAGTCCAGCTGTTATGATTCAGAATTGTTCAAATTAGTGATATAGCATTAAACTTTCACAGATTACCGATGACCCCTTGGGTAATTAATCCTGAAATAGTGCCCATTGACTAATTATTAAAGGCACTTTCCTGAAGAGGCTCGGTGCTAGTTTAACAGTGGGAAATGGGAAAAAATTGGAAACTAACAGCTAAAGTTTTAGCAAAAACACTCTTTTGTTTGCGAAAAAGTGGGGGGGGGGCATGGCCTCCATATCAGCGTTTAACCCTTTATAAATCATTTAAAAAAGTGAAGTGAGAAGCGAAAATGACCATCCAACTCATTTCTGTTGTGAAAAGTGCGAGACTTGTAGATCAGGCGGAGAAGGGGGTATCGTCCCCCGAAAGCGACATTTATGACATAGGGTGGATTTGGTCAATGTTGGGGTGCTGATTCCGAAAATCGATATTCAAAACCGAGGGGGCTTTCAGCCTCATTTCGATGCTTAAATTCTCATTTTGAACCAAAAGGACACTTCTGCATAAAGATAGTGTTAAAAAATATTAAATGCTAATTGAATATACAAACGCGTTGAAAAATCGTGTCTAGGGATGCAAAAACATATATTTTCAATTGTTATATCAGTAATTTTCTTTTTCCAACCTCGATTTCATTTCAAAAAGCGACTCGTAGATCAAAATCAATTACTTGCAGTGGATTGTGTTATTTCAACTGCATTTCAATCGATTTTTTGTGAAATGCAGTAAGTTTGAATTTTTGAAAATTACCCACTTTATTCAAAAACTTATTAATTCAAGAATCATTAGATAACTTTGGTTATGCTCCACATACGCTCACTCACTCTCCGCTTCGGTAACTCTCCCATCTTGATGCTGATATTAGGTAAATGAACACCTTGAAATAATCACCAGTTAAAGCTGTACTATATACAACAGGCACTCTTAGGTATATGATATATGTGTTAGAAAGCATATTTACCAAAGGCGCTGAGACAGCGATAGTGTTTAAAGATTTATCAAAAGTTGGATAAGGCTATGTAAACTTAAATTATAGAATCATCTTTATCATATTTAGTATCTTGATACGTATCACAGACAATGAAAAAAGTTGTGAATTCTGCTAGTATGGTTGGTGCGACACTAATATTTCAAGTTGAATACATTTCTTTAATCGACCTTGCTTTCCATATTCCGTGTTTCTTAAATTCTTTGCAATTAAATCGGCAATTGCAAAAGCAGCATTTATCTCTGTATCATTTCTCGTAGCAACAGCTGCATTTTTATTGTTTTTCCGGCCGTCTCTGTCACAATTTTTTCTCAATTGTTGCTTCTTATGATTCACGTTTACTATTTTTTTCTAGAAATCATGTATATACAGATATCAGGAAAAAGCCTTTCGGATGTGACTATTCTGAGTCGGGTTCTCTTGTCGTTGGTTGGTTAACCTGACCGCTGGGATCTTTTACTTCGTCTTATTCTGGCTTTTTTTATTTAAATCCCGGGCTAATTTACGCCCTTCCTGAAAACGCGTTCATTTTTGTTCAGAAAAAGTTAAAAGTTCGTTCTGCAAGTCACATTATGGAATAAAATCAAGGCGTGAAAAAGTATAATTACAACTTCAAAAACTATATAGATATGTTTTTGCATTCCTAGGCACGATTTTTGAACATTTTTATTTTAATCAAACAGCAATTAATATGTTTTAACACTATCTATATGCAGATATTTCTATTTGGTCGAAAACAAGATTTCCAGCATCGAAATGAGGCTGAAAGCCCCCGAATTTGCATAGGTTTTCGGAACCAGCGCCCCAAGGTTGACCAAACCCGAGCATGGGCATAAGTTCCGCATGCGGGGGACGATAGCCCCCTTCTCCGTCTGGTCTATTTGTGCATGAAAAGTATTCAAGCTTTTTCAATAATGCCCTACCTAACACTATAGAAAATCGAGCTAAAATTAGTCTCCTCTGGCATCATCATGCTAGAAATGTTTTGTTTCAATTAACCACAAATCAAGTTTATACGTTTTTCAAAGGTGATTCACGTACTCAAAGTGGGGAAATGAATTATTATTATTTTCTACGGAACAGGGGTATTGTAGAATGGGTACAAGTTAAACAAGAAGAAGTATGTGACAAGAGACTATGACGAATAGCAAACAATTATCAACAAAGGGCCCCTATTGTGGAATGAATTGTTGGGTGCATTCTACATCCTTTTTTTGCATTTTAAAACAATAGTTTTTGTATAGCCTGCGCACAGACTCCAAGTAAGATACTTGCGCAGGCTATTTTTGTACCCATCATACACAAGTCGCCAAGTCCTTTGAGACAACAGATCTTTTTCCAAATTCTCATCGCCACAAGCAAGGAATATTTTTGTTATTGTACTCACAATTCATCTTCACGTTCATAATTATATTAATATTTCAGACTTCGTGCACCGAATGATGAATCATTGTCCTTTTCAGCTATGATGATTGAATTTAGATAGAAATGCTTGCAAAAATTTAACGAAACTGACGATTAAAGTTTGAAGAAAAAAACGGGGCCTCGTTAGCCTCGTGTCGGAATAACCGTATCAATTTAGCCACAATTTCAATGATATCTGATTAAATAGAAACTGAGGGTTCCCGCTAATTAAGGAAAGTCATTTAATTTAATCAAAAATTTCTTTATTGATTGAGTTGAAATTAAGAAGACTTAATCAATATTTGATAGGCTGTGCATGAATAACTGAACTAACGCAATGTAGCAAAACAGCTGCCCAAATAGGACGAGTCATGTTCATTTCAAAATGTTTTCTTAAACTGCTTTTTCGGCGCTTGGCGAATTTAGCCACCCGCGTCTTCAAACGAACTGATTAATTACATCTAAAATAAGAAGTCGATCGTTTGTTGGTTGTAAAGCAGTTCAGAAGGTTTTGAATCTCAACTGATTGCAAATAAGCGCAAAAAAGAGCAAAGTATTGGAAGGAGTTTAAAGAAACTGAGTAAAACTGAGTATTGAGTAAAAGATAGTGTAGAAAGAACAAATATGTTTAAAAAATTTCTGGTACTGCAACTTTATTAGCATTTCAAAACATTTTATTTTGCGAGTGACATAAGTCTGTGGGTTTGAAAAATCGTCATTATTAAATCAGTACACGAAGTAAAATAGACGAATACTTTAGAATAATGGGCTGGTTATCAGGCTAACGAATACTTAGAGAAGAAGGAGTAATCACAGAAACAGGAAAATGGCTTTTGAGTTTATCACCCTTGAAACACTGCACTGTCACATACTCTCACACTTCTATTAGACAAACCGATCAACCGAGCAAAGTAAATTTTTTATACTTGGCCATGGAAACATTAGACTTTCCCAAAGTCTATTTTTTGTTGAATTCGTTAGGCATTCGTACTACTGCGAGGGCAGATCTATCGTCTCCTCCGCAGTTTAGATATGCCCTTGCAGTAGTACGAATGCCTTACGAATTTAACAAAAAATAGACTTTGGGAAGGTCTATGAAAACACTCAACACTTTCTTAATGATCTGTGGTAAAATGGCAGGCCTGGCAACAAAACATGGATTTCTTAGCTGAGGAAACAAGAGCACGTTTTGTACTGGACCAATCAGCGGGATTGTTTACAACATGTCATTAGCCAATCACCTGCCAGCCAATCACTCGACGTTTTGCGCTAACAAATCACCCAGCCATCACCTGGGAATATTGTATTTCCTGAATGGCAAATCACTGCTTTAAATCACGTACGCTCTCGAGAGTAATCACACTTTAATCACAAATTAATCACATTAAAAAACAAACCAATTTAATTACAGAGTATAACATTAATCACAAAAACTACTTTAAACAAATATTAGAATCTTTGACCGCGTTTATCCGCAGATGGTACTGAAAAACTCAATATTTAGAATTCACACTTTTTCATGAACACGTTCAAAAATCTGCAAACACGCGCTCGAGAACATGAACAAAACAACAAAAAGCTTTTATAAGTACCCTAGAATGGAGCAAAAATTAAGGCCTCGTTATGATGCCGGGGTCACTGAAACAGCTATTGCTGTTTTTGTTGCCCAAATGCCACTGAAGTTGATCTGACCGAAAAACACGCCTGATAGCAGTCATTTTCACTCATTTCTCGTTGATTACTACAGGGACGGATCAAGACAGTTCCGGATGTTGTAGTTGCAACTGTTAAGCCCCGGAAAAACGACTGGACATTTGCACTGGTCACATACTGGACATTGTTTACTTGTTCAGAGTATGGACACCAAGAAAATATTGGTGGTGGCAAAACGACTGAACATTGTCCAGTGAATTTTTTCCCTGTTGAATAATGCGGGTGGGAAAACTGGCAACAGGGCATCACTTTACCTTTGAAAATACACTTTTCATAGCCCTAATTGTGTTGTCTTATGAATTAGAGTGTATTATAGAAGAATTATGGGAAATGATTCATGTCAGATTTCTTGTAATTTCCACAAATAAAGTTTGATAATCAAGTTCCATTTTACTGGAACTTGTAATTTTTGATATCGGTTAAAGTTTCAGGAATGACAGTTTAATTTCCCAATAGTGATATCACTTGCGAGGGCAGAGAACAGAGCACATGCATTTGTCTTAATGTCTTCCACGAGGTGTTCAGCAACTGTTTACTATTTTTCATCCCAAGCTATTTGCATCCATGTTACTAATGCTACTGTACAGAAAATATAGCTATTTTGGTGCGTATTAAAATTCTGATAAAGAGCGTAAAGAGCCCACACGACAGAAAACATGCATTTGCCTTAATGTCTTTTGCGAGGTGTTCAACAACTGTTCACCGTATTTCATCCCAGACTATTTGCATCCATGTTGCTAATGCTAATGTTCAGGAAAGATAGCTTTTTTGATGCAAATTCAAATCCTTATCACGAAAGTAGCAGCCCATAAAAAGAGCACATGCATTTATCTTGATGTCTCATTCAAGGTGATCAACAACTTTTCACTGCTTTTCACTTCAGGCTACTGTCACCCTGCATCCATGATGTAGAAAACCTATAATATTGATTTAATATTTTGCTTATGCTGCTGTTCGGAAAAGATATCTTTGTTTTTAGTTGTCAATGTTATAAAACTTTGTTTTCTTTGCAACTGCACTTTTTTCTTTGCAAATCTGCAACGGTCAAATTATTTCTTGATCAACCCCTGTGCTGAACTGTATACTTTTCTTTTCAATTTTATATAGTATGTTGCAAAATCATTGTCAAACCAGCACGATAGTTGGTCATTTAAATTATGAAATATTGTTATTTAATTTAGCTCATGAAATTGGTTAAACATCATGTGTTCAGACGCCGTTTATTGCGCATAAAACTATTTGAGAGCACTTTTGAATTTATGATTCAATTTCTAAAGAATCACAAATTAATGAAAAATTAATCACTTTTATCACTAAAAATCAACTTAATCACACACAAAATTGACTTAATCGCAAATTAATCACTAGTGATAATTATCTCGTACACCATTTTCAAGAGTGATTTTCCCCTCGGTATTTCCTAAAAAAGTTAGGCTTTATAATCGCCATTCCCTCCCTGTTTGTATATATTGTATTGTAATGGATGTTAAGAATGATTAGCCAGTTCATAATCTCAATACGATTTGGACGCAATCTCCCGCTGTCGATCTCTACCCACTCTAACCCCATTACAGCACGGGATGCCTAGGCCCTGTCTGAACCTCCTTGCAATTAGACAAAAAAAGCAAAAATATTGGCAATACTTTAAAATTTGATATTTAAAAAAAACAACTTTTAAAAAATTAACAAAGACCCACTTTTACTGAAGAATTTGAAGCCTTGAAACCTTGATGAGGCTTGCTAAAAGGATTCTTGAACAAGGCATGATAAATTTAGAAATCTTTTTTTGCAAAATCACATTTAGCTGCTGGAGAACCTTGAATTTTGCGGCAAGTGATATAGTATTCTCCACCCTTGGTCCTTTCAATGCTATTTTCAGCCGAACGTCCTTTCAACGCATTTGAGCCATGTTACTGTCGTGAAAATTTTGGTTACTCATTTCCCTTACTAAAGTATCCGTAAAGATACAAATTTACAATTTTCTAGATTTGTGGTTGCAAATCTGTTGTTAGAAAAACTTGTTAACAACTTTCAAAGCCGTTTTACAAACATTTTTCTGAATTTCCTCGAATATTTTCTGTAAGTTTCTTTGGAATTTGAACTATTTATTCGTGAAACAAATTTATTTTATCAATGTGTAAGTAAATGCTGTGAGGGTTGGTTTTTGTCAAGCTGGTCTAGAACAAAATGTGCTCTTGTTTTGTTGAACTTTATTACAGTTACTTCGATACTTCGGACCCTAATTGAAAAAAATTATTGCAGAATTTTGTGATTCATTAATTTTAAGCAAAAAACGAACTTGAATAATTTGTTAACTGATGAATTCACTCCCAACCCTAATGAATCCCCTTCCTTTTAAAAGAAGAACATACAGCATAAAAGAAATGTTGTTTACAGCATGGACTTTGCTTCATTTGAAACTACTACAGAAATATGTTTATAACCGGAAGCTGGCCTCAGCAAAAGAGTGAAAATATGTAAATAAAGAGTTTATATCGAAAGCCAAGAAAATTAAAAAATCCAGCGCATGTTCATTTACTTCTTCATCTTCCCCAGGCTGTACAATGCTCTTGCGCAGGTCCTCTATGGGAAATGGTCAAATGTAGCATCCTGCCTTAATAAATTGGTGCCATCATTCGGAGATATCTTCATTCTGAAGCCTTGATGACGCAACACGTAACCATCGGGATTAACTGCCTCAAACGAATAGGCTTTTCGATCTGCGAGACCATGGTGCGCAATGAAACAGGCATCATTCTTGAATCCGTGGTTGTTTTCATATTTATCTAACCATACCAGGTAGCCTCTGTGGCGCAGGTAGTAGTTCTTGTGTGTGTAAGCTTGAAAACTGATCCCTCTACCACACAGGCCAGGCACTATCTTCCACAATGAATCCAATAGAAAGCGCTTGGTGTGTTGACGGTGTTCGATATGGACCAAGAAATTTTTGTGTCGGATGAAGTATTCCCTGAAGTTTAACGATCGGAACCAAAGGGTACGCCCAAGTAGTTCTTGTTTCGCTGTTTTACCTCTTACTGACAGCAATACCGTGAAGGCCACGGCTAGCATTAGACAGATCTTTACAGCCGCCATGTTTACTTTCAGCCAGATCTCTGCAGAAAAATTCAGTCATAGAAGATTAGACTAGATTTTATAGCGACAGGGCCGCAGAGAGGATCTCTGGGCCCCGGGTCAAAACGAAAGAAAAAAGCAAGGCACACCAGAGGCGAGCCTTTTAGGGGTCCGGGGAAAATTTTTTGAGACGATGGTTGCTAAAATTGTGGCTCTTTTGGATGCTGATATTGCGATGGTGGCTATTACTTCTCTAGTCTTTTCAATATAGTTTAAATGTATACATAAAATATGCAATTCTTTACATTTAAAAAATCTTAAGAAGTGAAAAACGTTTAAATACTAAATTTGATCAAAACGGACATGCTGCACCAAAAAGATTTTCACTTTTCAAATAATTTGAAAAACTTTACACCTAGCAATCAGAATGCAACCTTTCAATGTCAATAAGAAACTAGTTGATTCGATCTTGGAAGAAGCTCGTTTAGACGAGGGGCTAGATGTTCCAAAAAATTGAAGACCAACACCTATCTATCTTGAAGTGAAAACCAGGTAAAGGCTTTTGGTAAAATTCAAGATTATTGTTGGCATTGTTATTATTGATAGTGTTATAGCAAAGATAATTAGGCGATTCGTGTCAATTGGCGAGATATGGGAGGGGTTCAGTATTATTTGATTATACACAAGATTGAAGGAAGATGACCTAGCAAAAAAGAGCGAAATTCTGCGCAGCAAAAAAGATGACATAACTCCTAACATCACCGAGGAGTCACATTTTCTAAGAAGCATCAGCCAATGCAGCTGTTGATCAAGCTTAAGCATTTGAATTTAAAACGCTTATTTCCAAATGTTTTCATTGCATAAGGCTGTTTCTGACTTTGCCTGCTAGTGTTGCATCAGCTGAAATATCGTTCAAATTGTGCAAAGGAACTGAAATTTCTGAAAAAACTATAGCTCCATAATTGACCCTTTTATCTATGGGCCCTTAAAGTCATGGGCCCCCGGGTCAGTGACCCCCCTGATCCCCCTCTCCTCAGTACTGCATAGCGATGAGAGATGGATTTTTATTATCGAGGAGAAAGTTCCTTTTTAAAATCAAAGGGAAAGTCACTCCATGGAATGGAAATCTGCTGCAATTTATATAGAAACACATTATAAGAACACAGGGGCTCGATTTGTCAAAAAATAAGAACTCCGTAAGAACCTTCCCAGCCACAGAAGATAAAAATGGAAGAAGAAAGTGTTTTTTGAAAATTGGGCAACAAATAAAAAGAAAAGTAAAATGCTCACATTTATAGAATAAAAATAGGATTAGGCCAGAATTTCAGGCAATCATAAAATTGAGATGCTTTTTCACCTGCCAATAGACGATTTTATCGACAAACTAATGATTTTGTGGACCAACTGAACAATTATTGGAAATTGATAATTCGGTAGCCATTCATCAAGGCAACCTGCACTGGATGGAGCTGCTCATGGTAGAGATTCACAAAACAAAATTAATATGTAAATCCAAGCTTTATAAAACAAATTGTCGAGGAAAGATAACTTCATGCAAGGTTTTGGCTAAAATCTCTTGCGAAGTTATGCTCACTGAGAGTCCTTTCAAAAACTGCTTGGTTGAATCAGAGTTGTGCAATCTCACACTGACGACGTGTAGGGCGAACGAACAATCATAGAAATTTCAACAATTAATTGTGTTAAAAGGCTTTTCAAATTTTCAACATGCATTTTGAGTTTCTAACAAGTCTTTTTGCTGTTTTGACCTAGCCTGCGTGCAGACTCTGTTGACAAAATTGAAAATAGGAGAAAAAGTAGAGTCTGCAAAGTCGAGCCGATGTTCGCAAGTTTCTCAGAATCAAGGAACCGAAATTGATTGGTTGGGGGAATTTCAATTGCTTATTCAGTTTTCAAAGTGGCGCCTTCGAGTAGAAGTATAAATGTATGGTATCAGGATAATAGAATAGGTCTGTTTGTTCTTCTGAACAACTTTGAACAACTAGAATTACAGAAAAGCATTGCACGCTAATGGAGTTGTTGTTCTAGTGCTTAGAATAAAATGTTGATGTCAGCGAACAAGAAAAGTGGCTCTGTTGCGCAGACTCTACTTTCTCTCCTCTTTTAAATTTCCGAGTCTGCACGCAGGCTACTTTTGACCCGGTTTACACTAGCATGGCAAGGATCCAAATGGATCCGTACCCAAACAAGCACAGATAGGCTTGTCATTTACACTACACTAGACCTGCTGGATCCGTACTCATCTGGATCTGCTATCTGGACCCGTGTGGGATCGCTTTTTAAGGTGTACTCTCTACTTTATTTTCCACTTTCCAGGCAAATTTATTGCTTAAATGAGTGTACCACCTTCAAAGCTATTTTGTACCCTTGCGTTTGAGGTATCAAAATCTGACTTATATCAGCAGAAAGCGCAGCACCTAAGCTACCAAAATTTGTCTCAAATTGTTTAAATTCCTCCTCCCCTTGAAACTTTACCCTGTCAAAAATTGGCAAACAATTTTTCTTCTCTCTCATAGCTGTATTTGGCTATAAAAGACGGACCAGAGCAAATACAAAATTTTGAGACGCACTTTGCTAACCCGATATCTATCCTGGCCGTCTGCAAATTTTTGAGCCATTCGATTAGTTTTTTGGGTACAAAATAGCTTTTTCGTACCTGTATGTAGAGGAATTGCAAGTCCGGGGAAAAGGGAATTTTACTGATTGCACTTGCAAGGTACACTCGTAAACCACAGTGTAACCCGGGTCAAGTCACTTGAAGCTTTAAGATCAACAAGCCTGTTTAAATAAACACATCGGTACATGGGATACCTGAACGTGCCGTGCGATATTGTAAATGAGACATGTGACATCAACCGCAAAAAACGATAATCGGCTTAACAGGTCAAGAGATTTTCAGACCTTAACTAAAGTTTTGATAAAAAAATTATGGAAACCTTCGTTTACATGGGATCTTTTCCATTTTCAAAATGTCTGCAAAGTTAGTTTCAAATTTGGTATCATTGTGTGTCTTGAAGGTTCGGCTACTTGAATGTGAAATAATCGAAAAATTGATGTTCTCATCCAGGAAAGGTTTACCATAACCTTAAATACAACACCTGTGAAGACTCGAGACAAACTTTCAAGTTTCCTAAATATATATATATATCTAAAATGAAAAATCAACCTCTCCTTACGTTCTTTCTTAAAATAATCATCGAGCAACGTGACGGCCGGTTGCATGCAAAAGGCATCGTGCTTAGATAAAAACATAAAACCCCATCAACCTTGAAACTTAAAATATAATTAAAAATTGCTCATACTCACAAGCTGCTTCTTTCACCAATGCGCCTTGGAGGTACCTCGATTGTTTAAGATACATCCTAAAACTTTTGTCCTGCTTTTCTAAGGCAGTGATTGGCTAAAACGAGTAATGAACCATCCAATGTCATTTCTGCAAAAGGAGGAAGAATCCCCCGTCGCTGTTCCAACGTTGAAAGGCATACTTTGCTTTTGTGTTTGAAATTGAATACTTCTTCCTCGGGATTAAAAAAAGGCAATTATAGTGAAGAAAGGGGCACTTATCGAAATTTGTAAACTTCTTCCACTCTATTAAAATTTATTTCCCATAGCAAATTTCTCTATTTTTATTGATTGATATCTTGGCCGAGATGGCCCGTAAACTAGTTTTCCATTTTAGTAACTGAGATTCCAATGGTGCAAACGCTCAATTGGCCCGTAACCAAGTATTACAGAGGAAAAGTAATTTTCTACAATAATGTATAGGTCAATTGCAAGTTTGTTGTTCGACCTAGTTATAGTAAAAACTAATAACGAGGCTGGACATTGTGTTTTTAAGTCTTTTACAATGTCAAGATAAGATTCAAATATAAACCTGTTTCAACTTGTTCATATGTTCATTGTTCATTATATTTTGCCTGGCACGATGTGCCCAGAGTCCAAAAAAGTGTTAATTCTTCCTCAGGACGTTTTTCTCAAGCTTTGGACACCTTCCTCAGAAATCAAAGAAACCAAGGGCTATGGGCGTCCATCATTTCCCTCGCAAAACAGTTCCTAATTTAAACTTTATTCAAGTGTCATGGTCATGCCTAATTCTTTGTCATTTAATGGAATCCTCGTTTCTCTCATCGGAGCTTCAAAATATTTGCAAATTGACATTCGCAAACAGTTGAACATCCCAACTCCAGGGCTTTTCAGAGCCACCCAGAGCCACCCAGAGCCACCCAGAGCCACCCAGAGCCACCCAGAGCCACCCAGAGCCACCCAGAGCCACCCAGAGCCACCCAGAGCCACCCAGAGCCACCCAAAGCCACCCAGAGCCACCCAAAGCCACCCAGAGCCACCCAGAGCCACCCAGAGCCACCCAGAGCCACCCAGAGCCACCCAGAGCCACCCAGAGCCACCCAGAGCCACCCAGAGCCACCCAGAGCCACCCAGAGCCACCCAGAGCCACCCAGAGCCACCCAGAGCCACCCAGAGCCACCCAGAGCCACCCAGAGCCACCCAGAGCCACCCAGAGCCACCCAGAGCCACCCAGAGCCACCCAGAGCCACCCAAAGCCACCCAGAGCCACCCAGCGCCACCCAGAGCCACCCAGAGCCACCCAGAGCCACCCAGAGCCACCCAGAGCCACCCAGAGCCACCCAGAGCCACCCAGAGCCACCCAGAGCCACCCAGAGCCACCCAGAGCCAACCAGAGCCACCCAGAGCCAAATAGCATTGATAATTTTGAAAAGTAATTGAAAGGAACTTCAAACATCTTTGATAGCACAATATCAAAGGTTTTTACCTAGAAAAGAAATTGTACCCAGATTTCTTACGTTGAGAAAATATGATCCTTGAGATGGTTATAGAGGGTTTGGTAAAGAATAAAATGGGTGTAAAGCTGACTTTACTTCTTTGCTACAGGAGTGGCGGCATGGGGGGGGGGCAAGGGGGGGCTTTAGCCCCCCCTAGATTTTTGTGAGCCCCCCCGTCGGCAGCCAATCAATTTTTGCTTTCTCAATACCGTCGGCACTTGATGGATGTCACCCGGTTTACATGTTGTTTGAATGACATAAATAATCGAGGAAAAAACTGCACTGGCTGGTTTATGGTTTTCTCAATGGCTTTTCTTCGGCAATTTTACTATCATAGTGGCATTATATCCTGTCGCTTCCGTGAAAGCTGTGACTTAATTTCATGGTGCTCCTTCGCATGACCCACAATACCATCGTGCTCCTCTGGGTTGAAATCCCTGTTGCTGCTCATGCGAATGCCGATTCATGCGAAACGTGCAGAGATGCTTGATTTGGATCATATTTTGGACCGTTTCAAGGAAATTTACCCTAACAACAGCAAAATCACGCTGTCATGAATAAAGTCTTTAATGAATTTTCTTCTTAAGGGATTCTCTTTTCGTTTCAAGACATTATTATTGCCAATGAAAACATTTCGATCATTAGCACATTATGCGTAATAAATTTTTCAAAAAACACTTCTTGTCCTTTTTCATCAACTATTTTTCAATAGCATTGTTCACCGCATAGCTTGCGACAAACAAATGGTTAGAGAAAACCATCGATTAACTTCTTCCAACATAGATAGGAAGGAATATTCAACAATAGGCAATATTTGCGCATTAAGTTTCTTACAAGGCACAAATTGCCGAGAAAATCTCGTGGACTCCGACACAGGTTGGAAAGTGGGGGCGGGGAGGGGGCAAGGGAGAACTTTGCACCCACAACAAACGATTTTGGAAAAATGCTCTATTGCTTGCTTTATATGCTTGCTGGCTCTTGGAAAAATGCTCTTTATCGGTGCCCCTTCATTGGAGGTGCTGCTCAGGGGCGTCGCGACTGGGGGGTTGTCACACCCACCCCAATAGTATCTCAATAGGAAATTTCAGGTAAAATCCGCTCGGTGGAAGAAACGCTTTAGGTATTTCAGAGACCTTCCTGTCATAAAATCAATAAAGGATCAAGCAATCTTAGGTAAAATTGTGCCTCGTGTCCATTTCTCCTAAAGTTTCTCAGTAGAAGCGTCAACTGCAATTCACTATGAGCTCCAGATTCTTCTTAACATTCATAAGGCATGCTAAGATGGAGAGAGGGATCTAAATTTAAAAGTAACTGACAACCTGGTATTTTTCAAGACCACGGCGAAATTGTTGTTTTTATCTGCTGTAAAAAAGTTTTGCAAAAAGACAATAATTTTAAATAGGATTAGGAGGATTGCTTTAGTGAATCTGCTTAAGAGAGTGCATTTTCCAGGGAACTAGAAGCATCACAATTCGAAAATTTCCTCCCCCTTCGGCGGCAACCATGGTGCCGCCTCAGGTAGTAACTATATATTTTGCCCGTCCCGATATAGAGATTTGACAAGACTTGTGGGAAAGTCGGTTATTATCATACAGAGTTAGATTGACAAAATGTATTGCAGAGGTTTGTGACACCAGCTAAAAAGTTTCAGGCAATAATTTTTTAATCAGGTAAATTTGCATTCCACACCCCCCCCCCCAAATGAGGCTTGCCTCGCGACGGCCCTGCCTGCTATATGGGGCAAATCGAATTTTTTTTCGGTCGGCAATTTGACACATCCAGCGTCGGCAGTTACGGAGAATATAAACTTCGGCACCTTCAAGGTTTGTCTCTAGCGCCACCCCTGCTTTGCTAAGGAGCATTTTTCGAAAGTCCTTGGGAGAGGTTGCCCTATCTCGAGACACCAAAGTTGCCTTTTCTCCTTGTAATAATGTTTGCGTGTAGAACAAAAGTTTTGGGTAATAGAGTTCTAAAGTGTGACGTCACAAAAAACTATTTTCAGAATTTTCAAATTTTGGCCATTAATGCAAAATCGGTTAAATTTGTCAAAAATCAGGTGAGATATGTCTAATGAAAGATTTGAAGTTTGCTAACAGATAACTGTTATTTTGGCTCAGTTCATAAAGTTTATCAAGATCTTGTGCTCATCTAGTCATTTCTCAGCCAATTTGTGATACCTTTTACTGATTTTGCAAATTTAGAGGTATTTCATGATGCTCTTTCAGGTTATCAGAAAAAATTAAAAAAATTCTAAAAACAGATTTTGTTGATGTTATCACTTGACAACTCCATAGAGTTGGTATCCCATCCCCTAAAAACCTGAAAAATGCGAGAAAAGGGACAACGTTTGTGAAAAGTGAGACCCGTTAAATCCACGTGGTTTCAATAACGGGAAATCAGTAGAAACGACTAAGAAACAAGAAGAAAGAAGAAGAAACAACTAGTAAACAAGCAGAAACAAGTAGTAACGACTTGTAAAAAGTTTGACTGCCGCACAATTTTATTTATTTAGTGGAAACCCTACCTTAATAGCTATGATAGTAGAGATTAATATCGTATTTGTGTAAGAGGAATTGAACTTTTAAAGCCTCAGGGGCGTCATGGCCCCCTCTGCTTCCAAAATTTGACAGATTTTCGTAAAAATTATTGTTTTGTCGGAAAATTCTCAAACTGGTGGGTTAAAAGGAGAAGTGAAACGAACCTTTTAGCGACATAAATTACTTGGACTACAATGGTTGTCGCATTATCGAGAAGCAAATCACTTTTGTAACGAAAATACTAGATTCCCACAGAAACAAAATAATTTCTTAGGATTTACCGAATTCTGTCATAGCGTGATTCGCTGCTGGGATTTCGTCAGTTAAAATCCGATTTTTCAAGGGCCAAATTTGGTTATGGAAATTGCAATTTTGGTCATAAATAACATCTTTATTTGATATTGAAGACCGGGACAGTGCCAATTTTGTGGCTATCACCAAGTTTGAAAATGTTGTCCCAGATTTGAAAATTTATGAAGTTATGTTGCATAAGGTAAAACAAGAAAGAAGTCAACCAATACCATCGCTTTCCGCCAGTGGATATATTAATTTTGAAAATAAATTTTTATTATTGAAATTTGCTTCCCAGGATGCAATTTTCGGCGATCTTGAAGAATTAAGATTATAAAAAATTTTCCCCTTCCGCGCCAAGCATTGTGCTGCCTCAGGTAGTCAACTTTGTTCAAATCCTTGTCCTAATCTACAGATCTATAGGTTTGCGATATGTCAAGGACTTTTACAGTAAGTATGAGAGAAACAGAGACAAAGTTCAAAGTGCATTTGAAATATCTTTCGAGCTAAGGCAAAGGTTATGTGTCTCCCCCCTCCCCTCTCCCCCACACTCACACACATACAATGAAATGCTGCTATTTGATTAATAGAAGTCAAAAAAAATTTGTCGGAAATCTTTTCTTTCTGGTCCCCTCTAGAATTTTTTGGCCACGACGCCCCTGGAAAGCTTGATATCAAATGCCAGCATTGCAAGAGCAAACCTCACTGGCATCTGTGATTAACATGGAACAACTACCAGGAAGGTCGAAATAAAGCAATTTAAAATCTCAGCTAATAATCAAGCCATACTTTGTTTTTTCCCTGACTCAAACTGTTTAAGAACTTCCCAAAACACTAAAGAGGCTTTGGGGTTAGGCCCCCACCCCAACCATTGTTAAGGAGTAAATTGGCAACCTATTCAGCTTGTTCCACTAGTATGTTGGAGTTTGTTCTTTAGTTTCTGTTTCTTTTGCTAAAATTAGCGTTGTAGAAACATAAGTAAGCATTATCACTGGGTTTCCGTAGCCTCGTCTAAGACAACAGCTATTGCGGTGGAGAACGACATGACCGAACACTTAGGCCACTGCAACGAAGATGACAATGCCCACGTGGATGGATAGACTTGCCTCATTTTGGAGTTTTGGAGATCTAGTCGTTTTTGCAAAGTCACAAATCTTTTCATGTTGTTCTTGTGATTCATTAATTTTAAGCAAAGAACGAAATTGGTCTATTTGTTAACTGGACAACCCTAATGAATCCCCTTCCCTTTAAAAGAAGAACATACAGCATAAAAGAAATGTTGTTTACAGCATAGACTTTGCTTCATTTGAAACTACTACAGAAATATGTTCATAACCGGAAGCTCGCCTCAGCAGAAGAGTGAAAATATGTAAATAAAGAGTTTATATCGAAAGCAAAGAAACTTAAAAAATCCAGCGCATGTTCATTTACTTCTTCATCTTCCCCAGGCTGTACAATGCTCTTGCGCAGGTCCTCTATGGGAAATGGTCAAATGTAGCATCCTGCTTTAATGAAAGTGTGCCGTCATTCCGAGATATCTTCATTCTGAAGCCTTGATGACGCAACACGTAACCTTTGGGATTAACTGCCACAAACGAATAGAGTTTTGGATCTGCGAGACCATGGCGCGCAATGAAACAGGCATCATTCTTGAATCCGCGGGTGTTTTCATATTTGTCTAACCGTACCAGGTAGTTTCTGTGGCGCAGGTAGTAGTTCTTGTTTGTGTAAGCTTGAAAACTGATCCCTCTACCACACAGGCCAGGCACTATCTTCCACAATGAATCCAATAGAAAGCGCTTGGTGTGTTGACGGCGTTCGATATGGACCAAGAAATTTTTGTGTCGGATGAAGTATTGTCTGAAGTTTAACGATCGGAACCAAAGAAAACGCCCAATAAGTTCTTGTTTCGGTGTTTTACCTCTAACTGACAGCAATACCGTGAAGGTCACGACTAGCATTAGACAGATCTTTACAGCCGCCATGTTTACTTTCAGCCAGATCTCTGCAGAAAAATTCAGTCATAGAAGATTAGACTAGATTTTATAGCGACAGGGCCGCAGAGAGGATCTCTGGGCCCCGGGTCAAAACGAAAGAAAAAAGCAAGGCACACCAGAGGCGAGCCTTTTAGGGGTCCGGGGAAAATTTTTTGAGACGATGGTTGCTAAAATTGTGGCTCTTTTGGATGCTGATATTGCGATGGTGGCTATTACTTCTCTAGTCTTTTCAATATAGTTTAAATGTATACATAAAATATGCAATTCTTTACATTTAAAAAATCTTAAGAAGTGAAAAACGTTTAAATACTAAATTTGATCAAAACGGACATGCTGCACCAAAAAGATTTTCACTTTTCAAATAATTTGAAAAACTTTACACCTAGCAATCAGAATGCAACCTTTCAATGTCAATAAGAAACTAGTTGATTCGATCTTGTTAGAAGCTCGTTTAGACGAGGGGCTAGATGTTCCAAAAAATTGAAGACCAACACCTATCTATCTTGAAGTGAAAACCAGGTAAAGGCTTTTGGTAAAATTCAAGATTATTGTTGGCATTGTTATTATTGATAGTGTTATAGCAAAGATAATTAGGCGATTCGTGTCAATTGGCGAGATATGGGAGGGGTTCAGTATTATTTGATTATACACAAGATTGAAGGAAGATGACCTAGCAAAAAAGAGCGAAATTCTGCGCAGCAAAAAAGATGACATAACTCCTAACATCACCGAGGAGTCACTTTTTCTAAGAAGCATCAGCCAATGCAGCTGTTGAACAAGCTTAAGCATTTGAATTTGAAACGCTTATTTCCAAATGTTTTCATTGCATAAGGCTGTTTCTGACTTTGCCTGCTAGTGTTGCATCAGCTGAAATATCGTTAAAATTGTGCAAAGGAACTGAAATTTCTGAAAAAACTATAGCTCCATAATTGACCCTTTTATCTATGGGCCCCTAAAGTCATGGGTCCCCGGGTCAGTGACCCCCCTGATCCCCCTCTCCTCAGTACTGCATAGCGATGAGAGATGGATTTTTATTATCGAGGAGAAAGTTCCTTTTTAAAATCAAAGGGAAAGTCACTCCATGGAATGGAAATCTGCTGCAATTTATATAGAAACACATTATAAGAACACAGGGGCTCGATTTGTCAAAAAATAAGAACTCCGTAAGAACCTTCCCAGCCACAGAAGATAAAAATGGAAGAAGAAAGTGTTTTTTGAAAATTGGGCAACAAATAAAAAGAAAAGTAAAATGCTCACATTTATAGAATAAAAATAGGATTAGGCCAGAATTTCAGGCAATCATAAAATTGAGATGCTTTTTCACCTGCCAATAGACGATTTTATCGACAAACTAATGATTTTGTGGACCAACTGAACAATTATTGGAAATTGATAATTCGGTAGCCATTCATCAAGGCAACCTGCACTGGATGGAGCTGCTCATGGTAGAGATTCACAAAACAAAATTAATATGTAAATCCAAGCTTTATAAAACAAATTGTCGAGGAAAGATAACTTCATGCAAGGTTTTGGCTAAAATCTCTTGCGAAGTTATGCTCACTGAGAGTCCTTTCAAAAACTGCTTGGTTGAATCAGAGTTGTGCAATCTCACACTGACGACGTGTAGGGCGAACGAACAATCATAGAAATTTCAACAATTGATTGTGTTAAAAGGCTTTTCAAATTTTCAACATGCATTTTGAGTTTCTAACAAGTCTTTTTGCTGTTTTGACCTAGCAAAATTGAAAATAGGAGAAAAAGTAGAGTCTGCAAAGTCGAGCCGATGTTCGCAAGTTTCTCAGAATCAAGGAACCGAAATTGATTGGTTGGGGGAATTTCAATTGCTTATTCAGTTTTCAAAGTGGCGCCTTCGAGTAGAAGTATAAATGTATGGTATCAGGATAATAGAATAGGTCTGTTTGTTCTTCTGAACAACTTTGAACAACTAGAATTACAGAAAAACATTGCACGCTAATGGAGTTGTTGTTCTAGTGCTTAGAATAAAATGTTGATGTCAGCGAACAAGAAAAGTGGCTCTGTTGCGCAGACTCTACTTTCTCTCCTCTTTTAAATTTCCGAGTCTGCACGCAGGCTACTTTTGACTCCGTTTACACTAGCATGGCATGGATCCAAATGGATCCGTACCCAAACAAGCACAGATAGGCTTGTCATTTACACTACACTAGACCTGCTGGATCCGTACTCATCTGGGTCTGCTATCTGGACCCGTGTGGGATCGCTTTTTAAGGTGTACTCTCTACTTTATTTTCCACTTTCCAGGCAAATTTATTGCTTAAATGAGTGTACCACCTTCAAAGCTATTTTGTACCCTTGCGTTTGAGGTATCAAAATCTGACTTATATCAGCAGAAAGCGCAGCACCTAAGCTACCAAAATTTGTCTCAAATTGTTTAAATTCCTCCTCCCCTTGAAACTTTACCCTGTCAAAAATTGGCAAACAATTTTTCTTCCCTCTCATAGCTGTATTTGGCTATAAAAGACGGACCAGAGCAAATACAAAATTTTGAGACGCACTTTGCTAACCCGATATCTATCCTGGCCGTCTGCAAATTTTTGAGCCATTCGATTAGTTCTTTGGGTACAAAATAGCTTTTTCGTACCTGTATGTAGAGGAATTGCAAGTCCGGGGAAAACGGAATTTTACTGATTGCACTTGCAAGGTACACTCGTAAACCACAGTGTAACCCGGGTCAAGTCACTTGAAGCTTTAAGATCAACAAGCCTGTTTAAATAAACACATCAGTACATGGGATACCTGAACGTGCCGTGCGATATTGTAAATGAGACATGTGACATCAACCGCAAAAAACGATCATCGGCTTAACAGGTCAAGAGATTTTCAGACCTTAACTAAAGTTTTGATAAAAAAATTATGGAAACCTTCGTTTACATGGGATCTTTTCCATTTTCAAAATGTCTGCAAAGTTAGTTTCAAATTTGGTATCATTGTGTGTCTTGAAGGTTCGGCTACTTGAATGTGAAATAATCGAAAAATGGATGTTTTTATCCAGAAAAGGTTTACCTTAAATAACCTTAAATACAACACCTGTGAAGACTCGAGACAAACCCTCAAGTTTCCTAAATATATATATATCTAAAATGAAAAATCAACCTTTCCTTATGTTCTTTCTTAAAATAATCATCGAGCAACGTGACGGCCGGTTGCATGCAAAAGGCATCGTGCTTAAATAAAAACATAAAACCCCATCAACCTTCAAACTTAAAATATAATTAAAAATTGCTCATACTCACAAGCTGCTTCTTTCACCAATGCGCCTTGGAAGTACCTCGATTGTTTATAATACATCCTGTAACCTTTGTCTTGCTTTTCTAAGGCAGTGATTGGCTAAAACGAGCAATGAATCATCCAATGTCATTTCTGCAAAAGGAGGAAGAATCCCCCGTCGCTGTTCCAACGTTGAAAGGCATACTTTGCTTTTGTGTTTGAAATTGAATACTTCTTCCTCGGGATTAAAAAAAGGCAATTATAGTGAAGAAAGGGGCACTTATCGAAATTTGTAAACTTCTTCCACTCTATTAAAATTTATTTCCCATAGCAAATTTCTCTATTTTTATTGATTGATATCTTGGCCGAGATGGCACGTAAACTAGTTTTCCATTTTAGTAACTGAGATTCCAATGGTGCAAACGCTCAATTGGCTCGTAACCAAGTATTACAGAGGAAAAGTAATTTTCTACAATAATGTATAGGTCAATTGCAAGTTTGTTGTTCGACCTAGTTATAGTAAAAACTAATAACGAGGCTGGACATTGTGTTTTTAAGTCTTTTACAATGTCAAGATAAGATTCAAATATAAACCTGTTTCAACTTGTTCATATGTTCATTGTTCATTATATTTTGCCTGACACGATATGCCCAGAGTCCAAAAAAGTGTTAATTCTTCCTCAAGACGATTTCCTCAAGCTTTGGACACCTTCCTCAGAAATCAAAGAAACCAAGGGCTATGGGCGTCCATCATTTCCCTCGCAAAACAGTTCCTAATTTAAACTTTATTCAAGTGTCATGGTCATGCCTAATTCTTTGTCATTTAATGGAATCCTCGTTTCTCTCATCGGAGCTTCAAAATATTTGCAAATTGACATTAGCAAACAGTTGAACATCCCAACTCCAGGGCTTTTCAGAGCCACCCAGAGCCACCCAGAGCCACCCAGAGCCACCCAGAGCCACCCAGAGCCACCCAGAGCCACCCAGAGCCACCCAGAGCCACCCAGAGCCACCCAGAGCCACCCAGAGCCACCCAGAGCCACCCAGAGCCACCCAGAGCCACCCAGAGCCACCCAGAGCCACCCAGAGCCACCCAGAGCCACCCAGAGCCACCCAGAGCCACCCAGAGCCACCCAGAGCCACCCAGAGCCACCCAGAGCCACCCAGAGCCAAATAGCATTGATAATTTTGAAAAGTAATTGAAAGGAACTTCAAACATCTTTGATAGCACAATATCAAAGGTTTTTACCTAGAAATGAAATTTTACCCAGATTTCTTACGTTAAGAAAATATGATCCTTGAGATGGTTATAGAGGGTTTGGTAAAGAATAAAATGGGTGTAAAGCTGACTTTACTTCTTTGCTAAGGAGCATTTTTAGAAAGTCCTTTGGAGAGGTTGCCCTGTCTTAAGACACAAAAGTTGCCTTTTCTTCTTGTAATAATGTTTGCGTGTAGAGCAAAAGTTCTGGGTAATAGAGTTCTAAAGTGTGACGTCACAAAAAACTATTTTCAGAATTTTCAAATTTTGACCACACTGCATTAAAGAACACCATAGAATACTCCCATTTATGCAAAATCGGTTAAATTTGTCAAAAATCAGGTGAGATATGTCTAATGAAAGATTTGAAGTTTGCTAACAGATTACTGTTATTTTGGCTCAGTTCATAAAGTTTATCAAGATCTTGTGCTCATCTAGTCATTTCTCAGCCAATTTGTGATACCTTTTACTGATTTTGCAGATTTAGAGGTATTTCATGATGCTCTTTCAGGTTATCAGAAAAAATTAAAAAAATTCTAAAAACAGATTTTGTTGACGTGATCACTTGACAACTCCATAGAGTTGGTATCCCATCCCCTATAAACCTGAAAAATGCGAGAAAAGGGACAACGTGTGTGAAAAGTGAGACCCGTTAACTCCACGTGGTTTCAATAACGGGAAATCAGTAGAAACGACTAAGAAACAAGAAGAAAGAAGAAGAAACAACTAGTAAACAAGCAGAAACAAGTAGTAACGACTTGTAAAAAGTTTGACTGCCGCACAATTTTATTTATTTAGTGGAAACCCTACCTTAATAGCTATGATAGTAGAGATTAATATGGTATTTGTGTAAGAGGAATTGAACTTTTAAAGCCTCAGGGGCGTCGTGGCCCCCTCTGCTTCCAAAATTTGACAGATTTTTGTAAAAATTATTGTTCTGTCGGAAAATTCTCAAACTGGTGGGTTAAAAGGAGAAGTGAAACGAACCTTTTAGCGACATAAATTACTTGGACTATAATGGTTGTCGCATTATCGAGAAGCAATTCACTTTTGTAACGAAAATACTAGATTCCCACAAAAACAAAATAATTTCTTAGGATTTACCGATTTCTGCCATAGAGTGATTTGCAGCTGGGATCTTGTCAGTTAAAATCCGAATTTTCAAGGGCCAAATTTGGTTATGGAAATTGCAATTTTGGTCGTAAATAACATCTTTATTTGATATTGAAGACAAGGACAGTGCCAATTTTGTGCCTATCACCAAGTTTGAAAATTTTGTCCCAGATTGAAAATTTATGAAGTTATGTTGCATAAGGTAAAACAAGAAGGAAGTCAACTAATACCATCGCTTTCCGCCAGTGGATATATTAATTTTGAAAATAAATTTTTATTATTGAAATTTGCTTCCAAGGATGCAATTTTCGGCGATCTTGAAGAATTAAGATTATAAAAAATTTTCCCCTTCCGCGCCAAGCATTGTGCTGCCTCAGGTAGTCAACTTTGTTCAAATCCTTGTCCTAAGCTACAGATCTATAGGGTTGCGATATGTCAAGGACTTTTACAGTAAGTATGAGAGAAACAGAGACAAAGTTCAAACTGCATTTGAAATATCTTTCGAGCTAAGGCAAAGGTTATGTGTCTCCCCCCTCCCCTCTCCCCCACACACACACACATACAATGAAATGCTGCTATTTGATTAATAGAAGTCAAAAAAAAATTTGTCGGAAATTTTTTCTTTCTGGTCCCCTCTAGAATTTATTGGCCACGACGCCCCTGGAAAGCTTGACATGAAATGCCAGCATTGCAAGAGCAAACCTCACTGGCATCTGTGATTAACATGGAACAACTACCAGGAAGGTCGAAATAAAGCAATTTAAAATCTCAGCTAATAATCAAGCCATACTTTGTTTTTTCCCTGATTCAAACTGTTTAGGAACTTACCAAAACACTAAAGAGGCTTTGGGGTTAGGCCCCCACCCCAACCATTGTTAAGGAGTAGATTGGCAACCTATGCAGCTTGTTCCACTAGTATATTGGAGTTTGTTCTTTTAGTTTCTGTTTCTTTTGCTAAAACTAGCGTTGTAGAAACATAAGTAAGCATTATCACTGGGTTTCCGTAGCCTCGTCTAAGACAACAGCTATTGCGGTGGAGAACGATATGACCGAACACTTAGGCCACTGCAAAGAAGATGACAATGCCCACGTGGATGGATAGACTTGCCTCATTTTGGAGTTTTGGAGATCTAGTCGTTTTTGCAAAGTCACAAATCGTTTCATGTTGTTTCCGTATGTTGCCTAGTATAGTAAACGCAGTTAACGTCATGTATAGAAGACATTCCCCAAGTCTATCATTATGTTGAATATATTTTACAAGAACCTGTGTTGCCAAAAGGACACTGCAAAGAGTAGTAAAAAAGGATAAAGTAAACTTGTTTACGTTTTAACTAAAGGCCTTCATTTTCAAATTATGGCTATTAAAGTCGGGGATCAGGTGGCTATCTCCTCCTACAATATTTTTTAAAGCATCGGGATTTCCCTAAATTTTGCTCTTTTTCAAAGGATGTATCTATAAAGGGGATGTATCTTTGTAGGATTTCTTAGTAATGCATATTTTTGGGGGCTTCGTTAAGCCCCTCAGATCCTCCCTACTTCTGCGCTCCTAATGGTCTGAGATAGACACACAGTTTTGAAATCGTTGCAACAAATACGACGCCTTTGCAATTTTTTTCAAGATTGCTTTTCTATCAGAGCGTAATTTGTGAGATTAGGTCCATGTGAATCCAATTAAAGAAACAAAACATCTTCCTATCTCAAACAATTTTTTCGAACAATAGTCCTGATTTTGCGTGGCAGCACTGCATTAGTTCATGCTACGCTGAGCTAGTACGACATGACATGAAATCCGATACGACACGAGGCTAGGAGTATCACCATACCCACGCCATTATCGAAATGCCAAAAGTTTATTATCAGTCTCATCAGAGAGAATGAGGGGAAACTGAGAATCGAAAAAATATAGGGGAATAAAGGGGAATATCAGCATATCTTTGACAAGGAAACACTTTTTAAAACCGTGAATCATATCGGAGAGCTTGTGTGGTTTCTAGCCACCACCATTATAAGGTGGCTCTGAGTGGCTCTTGGTGGCTCTGGGTGGCTCTGGGTGGCTCTGGGTGGCTCTGGGTGGCTCTGGGTGGCTCTGGGTGGCTCTGGGTGGCTCTGGGTGGCTCTGGGTGGCTCTGGGTGGCTCTGGGTGGCTCTGGGTGGCTCTGGGTGGCTTTGGGTGGCTCTGGGTGGCTTTGGGTGGCTCTGGGTGGCTCTGGGTGGCTCTGGGTGGCTCTGGGTGGCTCTGGGTGGCTCTGGGTGGCTCTGGGTGGCTCTGGGTGGCTCTGGGTGGCTCTGGGTTGCTCTGGGTGGCTCTGGGTGGCTCATAATGAATCCAGTTTTTTTAAGGATAGTACTGCTTTAGCATTTCAGTCTCTATTTGATAAGGAATGTCTGAAGAATGTGAAAAACTTTTCTAAAAAACCCCAAAACGAGGAGAAATACTGAACACTGAACCTCTTCTGAAAACTGAAAACTTTTGCGACGATGCCCTTGAGATTAACTTAAAATACATTTGAGATCTGGGTTTGACACCCCCAGACCCTGACCTTATCGGCAAATCTTCGAAAATGGAAGTTTTGTCGGCAACCTCTTGGAAACTGGCGAATTTTCTGGAGAAAGACAGATAATTTTGCCATTTTCAAATAGATATTATCGATTGTTGATGACAGCACCAGTCATTGTTGAAATTGATGAAAACCTAACAAGATTGATTGATGATCGTTCAAACTCTCTCATGCTTAAGGCCAGGCACGTTCTGGCCCGTCGATCCCCACCAGGCCCTCAGACATGTAAAGTTAAGAAAAATTATGGGCCCTTTCTGCAAAAGTTGGAGTGGAGAAGATAATTTTCATAAACTGAGACACTACAGTCACAGCCAAGGCCCCTAACATGCGTGCTCGCTTTACAACTAAGCATCAAAATGAAGTCTGCGCGCAGGCCAAAGGGCCCCACTATGACCAACATCCACTATACAGAAATTCTATTTCAAATTTCGCACAAAGACAAATCCGTCCTACTTCCTAGAGAAATGATTTGAAACTGTATGTAGGGATCAAGGAGCTGTTGTTTTTAAGTAGTTGTCTAGAGTCGCCATTGTTACATTTCTAGCCAATAATGACCTTCCTTACATGATCGAACGTTCCCTAGGGAAGAAAGTTGCGCTGGAAGAAAGCATCTTAATTTGGGAAATGTTCGGAATCTATATTGCGAAAGAAGCGAAATATACTTTTTGCAAAAAATTACTTTCACGTTTTAGTGTGTTAAGAAAACATTTAATCTATTGCTGGTGCTCCAGAATATTGAACACAAACATTACATCAATCATCAATTTCTCATCATATTCATCAATCTCTGTTTACAATCTACGTCTGACATTTTTTGCGCGCGCGGGCGTAGCGCCCAAATCTGAGCATGCGTTGTTGAAATCAAGTGGTCTCGATTTTGCGTCCGCTGTGAGCGCCAGAAAGTTAATAGCGTCTCAACTTTTTTGTGCACGCGGCCTCTTAACATGCTCAGATTTGGGCGCTACGCCTGCGGGCACAAAAAATGTCAAATGGAAATCGGCCTTTACACTCCCAATCTTTTTACAGCAAAAATAATTACTCCAAAGACACTCCCAATTACAAAACATAACTATAAAAAGTATTAATGAGCTAAATATTAGTATTATGTGATTTGCACAATTGCTCTGCAGCATTTATATAAAATCTCAAGACCTTAGTGTTACATAAAAACAGCAAGAATATCACCTGATAGTGAAGATCATGAACGTTGCGTGAAAAAAACTTCTATTCAATTGAGAGTTCCTTCTATTTTTATTTCACATGATACCTGCAAAACAACGAAAAAGATGTAAAATTTGTCCAACACAATAATTCTTCATCAAAGTCTCCAAGAGGATCAACAGCAAAATTTTCTGGATATTTCAAAAAAATAAATTTTCGCAAATTTAGTTTTTCAGGAAGTTTCGCGTATCAATAATCTGCGATTTTAGGCCATAAACGCTGAACAAGACACAAGTTTCTTCCCTCGAAAGTTTCTTCCCTCGAAAGTTTCTTTCCGCGAAAGTTTCTTCCTTGAAAGTAGTAAGCAACAGTTAAAGGCCTTCCCTTGCTGCCCTTCAAGTTTTTCTTTTCTCTGAAACCCTCTGCAAGGCAAGGATTAATTTAAGGTGCAGTGATGACCAATTTGTGCAATGATGAATCGAAAATGTGCAGTGATGAATTGAAAAATGTGCACTGATGAATTACTTCACTTTTGAAATACTCCAAATTTTACTCATTTGGATGTTTTCAGAATAAACATAAATGAATACAAACTATAATCAAGAGTCAAATGAGGTAATAGAATCAACCTCATTTAAACGTGAAACTCAACTAAAGCCAGCTTTAACAATAAAAATAATATACAGTTAATCACAAACCCACTTCATAATGTAAAAAGTGTTTTTAAGAAAATAGAAATAATACTGGAAAAGAAATAGATAAAGAGAATTGTGCAATAAATCCTGTTATTGCCAAGATTCCAAGAAAAAAGCCGAGGTCTGTGGAGGTCTTATAAAGTAATTATGTAAATTTTAAGACTGGAATTAATCAAATGTAATAAAAGCATGCCTTGAAAAAAACAAAATGTTTAAAATGATTGCAAGAAAATAACTGCTAGAAATATTCTGAAATATATTTTAAGATAATCTAAGGGGTATTGTCACAAAATTTTCCTCTATAGGATAATCCTAGGGCCTCCGACAACCTGGGCTCTCTTGTATTGCATGGACAAAAAGGCTCAATGCCACTGCCACCACCAAATGGCGGCCTGCTTCTCTTCTTTTGTATGAAATACAATACCACCATTCACAAATAAATACTATATTGACTCCATAGGGTGGAAATTGAGAAAAAATTACCTGTTATTAGGTTTGCTACTCTGTTTTCTTTTGGCCAGGTTTGATCTGTTCTGGTAAGATATATACATAATAAATGGTAGCTGTAGTTAGGCCAAATTACACCGAAAATGTCCCTGAAAACAATGTAAACATTGTTGGTCTGCCCAAAAGAGGTCCAGTCAAAACCTAGCCACACCTTTTGCCACACCCTATTGGCCCCGAAAATCTGTGTTTTACGCTGTTTTGTGCAGTGATGAAAATTCCTTAAATTAATGCCTGCTGCAAGGTGCATGCTTAAAAGTTATAATGAAGTTTTTCTGTTTGCTAATTGTTAAATGAACAACGTGTTTAGAATAATAACGTTTGGTACAAACTAAGGAACATGTATCGTTTTAAATTCTCTCAATGATGTTTTAGTGTGAATAAGTTTGTAGGTCACTAGATTTCAAATTGTATTTCTCTAAATCATCAACATTGATTGAGGGGGAAGGGGGCGGAAATTTAGGGGGACATTTGTCTACTCTAAAGATAAAATGATACAGACTGCCAGTGACACGAAGTAGAAATTGCCAGCGTGATCTTGAGCTGGATGGATTAGATAAAATTGATTTTGATTTCCTTTCAAGTGTTACACTCATTTCTATGGTTACACCCTTGGTTGATATTTGTCTTATTTAAAAACCATATACTAGAAAGACAAGCACCGCTTGCCAGAAAACTAAGACACTGTAAACGGTGCTTTTTGGGTCAAAATTTTGATGGAATAGTTTTGCATAATTGGGTCTAAACTTTCTTGACTGTAACCAGAAGCGTAATTTGAGAAAGGAGTCGACTATATACGGTTTTCATATCTATTTTCTGTGGATGATATAGGGTGTATTGTATAAGTTCCTGTAGGTTTTCAAGCTTGTGTTTGCCAGATGAAGATTATTTTAATCTTAAATCTTTTCCAAAATATTCGACTACACCCCATCGGCGCATTGCTCAAGATATGTTGTCATGAGTACGTTGGCATAATTTGGGGCAAAGGGTTGCGGTTCCTTAAGCTTAAGGGGGGTTAATAAAATATACCATTACACTCTTCTTTATAAGAGCCAGTAAATTGAAATTCAGGCTCGTTGTACTTAACTTTTTCGAAAATCTGAGGCTGAATCGTTCTTAATTTGTTCCTGAATTTATAGGGTATGAGCAGCGCGATTGCTAGCTTTTCACTCTAGGGAGGTGTCCAGGCCTCATTTGCCAACAAAGTGCGTGGAAAACCTTCATTTGCCGCCATGTTTCAATATTCACCGAAGAACCATCCCAAAATGGCAAAAAACTCCTCGTTTTTTAAAAAGAAACATTGTTCAGAGTTACATTTTACAGTAGCTCAGCCTCAGCTTGTTCTCAATTGGTCTCCACTTTTGACCAATTTTGAAGCTCATGTTCTTATAAAATTGTTCTTATAAAAAAAGAGAGTAAAGGCAATATTATTCTGTTTTAGAATGAAAATCACCATCTGTTGTATTTTACATGCAGCAGGGTAGCTTCCCCACAATGATTTTTTATGGCATTGAGGAAAGCTTTGATACCCTCATCTTGTGAAATTTTAGTGTGTATATCGAAAGTGCGTTGTAAAAATGAGCTCATGCTCTTTGAATCTAGGATGGAGGGTTCCCTCACTCTTTAAAAACTTTCTCTTGCTCGTCTCCCCAAGGATAGACAAACACAACGGTAAACGTGTGGACACACTGAGCAAGGACCTTTGCGGGAACAGCTTACCTTAAGAAGTATTTTAGTGTTACGGGAACTGAGGGCCAGTTCCCAGCATTTCCAATTTTTGCCAGGGCAAAATTCTTACTGCAGGGCAAAAATGCAGCCACCCATCCCCCCCCACAAAAAGTATGAAGTGACGCCCCTGGTTCCAAGTACTTTTGGCAGGCAGGGCGGTCGCGAGGCAAGCCTTGTGGGGGGGGGGGGTGGACTACAAATTTACCTGATTAAAAATAATTACCTGAAATTCTTAAGCTGCTGTCACAAACCTCTGCAATACATTTTGACAATCTAACTGTGTGGCATATAATTCACAACATTCATTTTAAAATGATAATAACGGACTTTCCTAATAGTTTTGCCAAATCTGTATACCGGGAGGGACAACTACCCGAGGCGGCACCATGGTTGCCGCCGAAGGAGCAAAAATTTTCGAATTTTGATGCTTCCCTGGAAAGTCCCCGGAAAATGCACTCTTTAAGTAAATTTTACTAAAGCAATCCTCCTTATCCTACCGAAAATTCTTTTATTTTTGCAAACAAATTGAACAGCAGATAAAAACAACTGGTACAATTTCGCCGTGGTATTGAAAAATTCCATGTTGTCAGTTACTTCTAAAGCTTGGTAACAAGCAGCACTGGTTGCCAATTTAAATCCCTCTTTCCATCTTAGCATGCATTTTTAGGGGAAATGGACACAAGACACAATTCTACCCAAAGAGTGCCTGGATTTTTAGATTTTGTGGCAACAAGAAATTTTGTGGCAACAAGTTATTAGTTTTTTAGCTTCCTCCATATCAAGAAATATCATGTTTAGCCAAAGGAGCAACTATCTTCATGGGCTCCGACAAAGGTTTTCATCAATCAATAATCGCAATGATTTGTATTTCGTCAAGTAATATTCTTCAACTCTAGAAGTCAAGTTTTTTAAAATGAGACTCTTTTTTCTTCAAATAATTCATCATGTTTTCATAGAGCCTTGCAATCGCTAGCCAATTTCTTAGAGCTGCTCCAAGTTCAGAGTTCAGCGTTTTTCAATGCTCATAAAAATCTTCACTTGAGTACTGAATAATTAATTTCGGGGCATGGGAGTTTTTAAGGGGCTTTCACAACTTCGTTCAAAATTACATTTGCGGTAAATATATGTGAAATTACGCTATTGTATTAGCTTTTGTGACCAATTTTGAAGCCTGCGTTCTTATAGAATTGTCCTTATAAAACATAATTCTAACATCATTCATTAAAATGTTCACATGGGTTTGAATGCGAGGCAGATCAAAAAGGTTCTTCTAAGCAAGCTTCTTTCTTTGTACTTAAAAATGTTTCGTTCCTTTAAAACACTATCTGGACTTGAATATTATACAATGGATGAACAAAGGTACAATGTGTAGTTTCAACTGATTCTTATCTATACCTGGTCATAATTTTATGCTCAAGTTTGATTTGTATTTACGGAATTTAGTCGCAAAATTTCTGACCCCTTTCTCCCCCCTCTTAGAGTACTTGATTTGCTCTATATTGTTTTACTTCTATATTGCGTGCTGCACCGAAATATTGGCTTATTTCCATACATACAATTTTTTGTATGAAATCAATTTGTTTAACGGATTCACATCCAGATGCTGCTCGCAGTAACTGATGACAAATAGGTTTTGGATAACCCCCAAGAAAGTATCTTGGCTTAATAATACAGATGATTGGGAAAAGAGATTTTGCTTTTGATCCAAGATTTTTTTTTGAAAATTGAGCGACTCTCCTCAGATTCTTTAGCAATTGAAACAAGGCTCAATAATAGTGTGGCCTCATTTTTTTGTAATTGGTTATTCTATTACAGATCTTCTTTTGCTATACCAAACCAAAACCCTCTGAATGTGTAAACGAGAATGAGAATGTCTAATCAATTGTGTTAATGAATGTTGCACTGTAAATTGCAGACTGTATGTATATTTCATGGACAGTGTTTGTATTTGCCCTAGTTTTGACTCTAGAGTTTGTTGATTTGTTGTGATTTTAAACCAAATATCACTTGTAAAACTACCATTATAATTGGTGATTTACGCAATTTTTGTGGTTACTTTTTTCTTTTCCAAACAAGATAGCACTTGTGTTCCGATATTAAGATGCATATAGGCTGCACTTCAGGGAGCAAAAGGGAGCAAAGTGAAGCATATCGTGTTCCGGGGTATACCCAGGTTTTTATGGTTAAAGTTTTGTGATATGGGGCTATCATATATTGCAGTGAATAAGACACATCCTTGCATAAGATGCACCCTTAATTCCAAGTTTGAATTCTGAAAAAAGTAGTTTTTATGGTGTCTTACTATGTATAAAACACACCACCTTTTCTCAACTATTGTATTGCATGTAATATATTTCAGTTAAACAATAAACTTGAGAATACTAAATAGACACAAACTCTGAGGAGGAAAATTTGTTGAAAACTGCAATGTTTAAAATATTACAATAGACGTTAAAAATATATGTGGTGTTGGATTGGATGATGTGGAATGGTGTGAAGGAAGTGCAGCGGAGAGGAATAGGTAATAGATGTGGAAGAAGGAAGGGTGGCGAGTGCCAGAGTGTGGATGGTGGTGGTGAAATGAAAGTGTAAGGAAGGTGGGCAGTGGTGATAATAATAAAAAGTTATAAAAGTATTAAATAATGGCGATGATAGTGACAATGGTAGTAAAAAATGAAAAATTTATTAAATAGAGAAAAGAAAATGATAACAGGAATGTAGAGAGTAATGATGATGATTTTAAAACAGCAATGTATGGGTAGTAGAAAAAGTGACAATGATGATGGTCTTTTGCTGTAAGATTAACGGTGAGTGGTTCAGTTCATGCCATTCGATGTGAGAGTGTTTGCTAAGCCAATGAGGTATTGCTCTTTGGCTCGTCAAACACTCTCTCGTTTTTCGTTAAGATGCAGTAATAGTGTTATTGTGAGGTCATTGATGGTATGTTCTGGGCTGCAATGACACTTGACACTTGGCCTTCAAAAGGAAAAGATGTTACCATGTATAAAGTCAATGTTACCATGTTTAAGACACACCCTTAAACAAAGCCAATAATTATTTGAAAAAGGTGTGTCTTATAAACAGCAAAATACTGTACTTTCTGGAAGAATGAAAAAGGACAAAAATTTATTTTATAATAGTTGTTGCCTATGTTTTTGGTGAAAGGTCGCAATGAAAGAACATTTTTATCAAAGAGCAAATTTTGCCCTGGATTTGGTTTCTGCATATATAACAGTATTTGGTCATTTTGAGTCATGAAAATATCAGCTTTTAAAGCCTGCAATGGGTAGAAGCTTCTGGCAAGGGGGCAAAAAGGCAGTTTCTGGTAATGTAAAATAATCATGCAATTGTTGATCTTTGCATCTTAATTGCCACAATTCAAATGATAAATGACAAAATAGGTCATCAGAATGAATTTGAATAAAATAATTTTTCATAAAAAGGTACATGAATTGTAATTTTAGATCATTGTAAATTTTTTTTTAGAACCTTACTTTGGTAGAAATCAGATTTATAAGGACAAAAATGGAAAGTATTTTGAATAAAGTAGACAACCTTTCAGTGGTAGCTGATGAACCATTTAGTTCAGTTCAGGAAGAAACACTTGTGAACTTACACTCATTGATAAATGGTGCTCTTCCTGGATTTCTTGATACAAAATCAAAAAGGGACACAATTGAGGTAATATGGAGTGTTATTATCTCAATATCCTTCCAAATGTTCTGTTCTTTCCAAATGTTATCTTGCATTGTAACATCTTTGCAGTGATCTCAAAAATCAAATCAGTTTTAAAATATAACTTAAACCAAATAATCCTTAGTGGCATATTCTATCAAGACAGTTTCAAATTCAACCCTGAAATGATAACTGTCCTAGCAGACTTTTATTTTTCCTAGTCTGGGTCAGTATAATTTAGAAATTAAAAAAATGGTTCTTTGATACTCACTGCTGATAAATTGACATTGAATTATAACAAATCGAAATTTTCTATTACTTAGCCAAATCAGGGCAAATGAATCCTGTTAATAAATTGAATATTTCCATCAAAAGTGATCCTTAACCTCGAATAGATTCATATACAAAGTATGATGCAATCTTAATCAATAGCAGCCTTGTTATAAGTTATTGCAAATATCACATTCAATAAAAGAAACCTATTTATCTTCATTATGTTATGTTATGTTATGTTATGTTATATTATGTTATGTTATGTTATGTTATGTTATGTTATGTTATGTTATGTTATGTTATGTTATGTTATGTTATGTTATGTTATGTTATGTTATGTTATGTTATGTTATGTTATGTTATGTTATGTTATGTTATGTTATGTTATGTTATGTTATGTTATGTTATGTTATGTTATGTTATGTTATGTTATGTTATCTTAATGTTATGTTATGTTATGTTATGTTATGTTATGTTATGTTATGTTATGTTATGTTATGTTATGTTATGTTATCTTATATTATATTTTGTTATTAAATCATATTGATTGTATTATATTATGATTGTATTAGTATTATGTTAATCTTATTTGTAGGTGATTAGCTCCTGTATCAGAAAGTACAAAGAGCATGCAGATATTGTTATTATTAAAGAGTTGCAAAATATAGTCAATGAATATAAGTTGAATCAATCTTCCAGGATCTGTAAGTGCTCTTTTTTCAGTAACGTTCTAATGATGATTTCAGTTTTATATTTAATGCTCTTTATGATCACCACATACGGCTAAACATTTTAATTACTAGCTGGCACATATAGTACAGGTTTTTTAGGCCTCCTTGTTTAATCAAAACTAAAATTTGCTTCGTTCTGTTGTTCATAATAAGCCCTTTATCTTTAAGAAAATATTTTAGTGTGCATTTATTGAAGAAATCTTAATATAAAGATGCAGTCAAATAAGATATTAGAAATGCCAACGAGCATTTGTTTAAATTTGCAGCAAAGCTTCCTTGATAAACCAGTGATACCTCTGACAAGGGCAGAAACGGAGATTTAGGGAGAACTGTTACTTGATCAGTTTTGTAAAACTGTAGAAAACTGCAAATATTTACATGGATTTTCTCAAAGGTCCTGCTTGACCATAACCCCCACTAAATGGTTTTGCTCATTTTGCCACGTTTACAGTATTGGCTTTCATGGATGGACCTAGGAACCTGAAAAGATGCGTTCTTTCAAACCCAAAGTTTTTCTGCGATTATTTGGTTAGAGTTCTAGAAACATCTTCACATATGTTGCTGAAAGTAAGTATGCCCAATATTCTGAACTTGCTTTTAGGGGCTATGACAAATGGAGAATTGATACCCGTCATTCGCTTTATTCGAAACTTGTTCTTTTCTATTACCGTCAATGCATTCAATATCAACAACGAATGCGCGTGAAAGCTAGCAATTTTATTTCTATCAAGGAAGCGACAAGGAAGTAATAAAAGAAGCTTGTCTAAGCCCCCTACCTGTTTCTGTTTTGAAGGACACCACTCTAGACTGATTACTTATCAGCAAGCTATTCGACAATTCTTGATTACAGTTCCTAATGTGCTATTGCCGGAAAATTATGAAGACATGAAGACAAGGTTTTTACTTGCTAATGCCTAATATCCAAGTGCCAAATAATCGATTGGGGGTAGTTTAGACTGTTACTCTTGTATTGATACATTTTGTTTTCATGGGTGGGTTTTTTTAAGCACGTCAAGTTAGCACAGCTTGATTCAGGTATAATTCAGTTTTCCGAATGTTCTTTTTAGGATAGTGAAATTGAAAGCGGTGATTCTGATTCGTCATTTGAAGAGAGGCTTTTCAATGGCATTAAGGTTTGTCAATCAATGTATACTATAGGAAATTCAAGTAGTTTGAGATTAGTATGTGCGCAGTTGTACCAATTACGCATTTTGTGTAAGCCTGGTGAATTGGGTAGAGGAGGGGCAATAGAAAGTGCAATTGAAACAAAATAACTAATTGTACACAACAACAGATCTCGCGCATTTAAGATTATAAACTTGACAGGTATACAAACATTTATGTCAGGTAATAACCAACCTTGCAAAGGAACGCAATAATTCGCTTCCCGTACCACGTGCTGACAAAAATCTAGACGTCCAATGGGAAGTCTAGGAAATGGTGCCCATAGTGGGTTAATGTCCTGCGATATACAAACTATCAAGGCAATCCGTGATACAAGCTTTTTATAAGTCATTTTCATGGAAACATTTCTAACAAGTAGATATTATCGTTGTATGGCAATATTTTGATCTCAGTTTATTTTCTTTAGTTATGTGTTCACATGTTGCAAATTGTTGGAGATGAAATTATCAAAAAAGTTTTTGCAACTGACACTGAATGTAACTGGGAAAGTAAGTATGTACTAATAATATTAGTATGTACTTATAGTATTAGTATGTAAAGTAAGTATGTACTTATAACCTATCCGGTTTTAAGTGTAATTGACTATGTAAGTTTGATTTAACACATCCTCTAATCTTGATATGATTGAAGATGCAATAACTTGGTTTATTCCTTAAAATATTAAATGATCTTGATATCAACAGTTCTGGCTAATGCAAATAAATTTCTCTGAAAATCAATGTGTAATATTTACTGAAGCATTTGCACGTTTACTCAACTCGCTTTTTCAGGAAAATGGGCTTGTCAGGTGATTACACATCTGATTTCTGTTATTAAAAGCAAGGTTAGTACAGCTGTGCTTGATTTGTGTGAAAGGAAATTTTTTTATGTGTGTTTTAATGAAATTGGCAAAGATGTGCTGCTAGATTTCTGAAAGACCGCTGTTCATTCATTTCAAGCCGTTGATAGTGTTTGGTGAAGAGACTGGAATAGGAAGTGGCTAGCTAAGTGGGCTTGTTCCATTTGAACATGATATTCCTGAGGCTTAGGCAATGGGCAATAGTTTTAAGATGTTTTTAATTGAAAGACTGATTTGGGTTTTCAACACCAATATGATGCTAGGTTTCAAGAATCAATTAACATGCTTTCTTTCGAGACAACAAAAGCATTCGCTATTAGGAAGCTTTTCGATATTTTGCAATATATAGCAAACCTTTACCAACACCAAACAATTTCATGATTGGCGTTTTTTCATCAAAAACTGTGGAAAAGTTTGATTCAGGCTCGTATTATTTCTGTATGATCAATTTTTCATTTTCTACTAGATAAGTAGCCTCATAAAAGTGAGGTTTAGGTAAAAGTCACTTAAAATTCTGTTTAGATGTTCATTGATAAATAAGCTATGCTTTAATCTGCGAAAACTAATGATTCTCTCTGTTATTTTCTTCTGTTTACTATTTTTCATGCAAGGTCTCTTCTTCTATTTTCTAGCAGCAATAAGTAAATTGTTCCTGTAGCGGAAATGACTGTTGAAACTGTCGTCTGATTTCCGTTATAACTTTTTGTTATAATCTCACGAAGTGCAGCTTTAACACCAACAAAATATTAAAGACACTATCAATGTTCAAATATCTGATTCTCTACTACCTTTGTTTTTATAAAGGTATTGCATAAAGAAACGCTGAGTATAGCAGCCATTGCCTTGGCTCACGTCATGAACAATGCTCCTTTGGAATGGTCATTGAATCTAGCTGGGCTCCTGATTCAAACCACGGGCAAGTATTGGCTTGTTCATGCTTTTCTAATTTCTGCTTTTTCTTTGATATCTATTTTAAAGGCTCTGCTCTGACTTTCCTTGCATCTTTTCAAGAAGTCTCATGTAACAATGTAATATATCTTTGCCATAAATGCTACGGAAATGTACAATATTAGCCATTATTTATACTTGGCCTGTTTAGAATAATCACGATTCATGCCATGTCTTCTGTAAAGACTATTCATCTTTCGCACATCCAGTGAAATTCGAAGAACCAGACACAAGAATTTGGCCGATAATAATTCCAGCAGATTATCTTCAGAACGGGTCTTCTGAGCTGAGCTTGATTGCCGTTATAAATGGATTCGTCACAGTCTGTAATTCAAAGATTTTACTTGAAAGAGTGATTTGGGATGAAAATTTCATGGTATGTGAACCTAAATGATTACTTTTTAAACTGTAGTGTCGGGGACTAGGGAGTAGCCTGGAGGCCTATAGCAAAACCCTATTATAGGAAGGAAGTGAAAGGCTAAGAATAGTGAAAAGTGAGATCCAGTTTGTTGTCTTTAGTTTTGCAAGAAGACAGTCTATAAGAGTGTGTGACGCAAAAAGAGAGCAAAGCATTCCAAACGTTTTCCTGGTTGGGAAACAAGGATAATTAGAGTTTGGCAAGGAGACTTTGAATGGGTGAGCCTGGGAAGTGATTCTGGTGTTCTGAACATGTCTTTGGGGAAGCTTCTGCAACAGAAGAACTTAACAAGAACAGCGACGGGGATGCGACACAGACTAGCTCGAGGCAGGGGCGTTGTGGCTAGTCGGCACACCGGGAAATTTGCCGGTAGGCCCCTTTCAAGTGGGTTTGTAAAACCTAAGATAAACAGGCCCCTGTGAAAATGATGCGTGGAATATGCCGGGCAATTTCTATGGTAGAATCTGTAATGGATCGAGAAACAGCGCCGACGAAAAAGAGCTTTGAGAGACTTTGTCAAATTGCAGTTGTTGATAGGATGAAGGATTTGGATCGGATTTTTTCAAGGAGGCACAGAGAAGATTTAGTACTCAAAATATGAGAGCAGTGCTCCAAAGAACGATGAATTTGAGATTTGTAGATAAATAAATAAATAAATAAATAAATAAATAAATAAATAAATAAATAAATAAATAAATAAATAAATAAATAAATAAATAAATAAATAAATAAATAAATAAATAAATAAATAATTTAATAAATAAATAATTTAATAAATAAATAAATAAGTGAATAGATAAATAAATAGATAAGTAAATAAATGAATAAATAAATAGATGAATAAATGAATAAATAAATAAATAAATAAATAAACAAATAAGTAAACAAACTAATTAATTAATTAATTAATAAATCAATGAATAAAAAATTAAAAAAAAAAAATAAACAAATAAAGATGTTGGTGTGTTGGTTGGGAAGAACCTCCACGCCCTAGAGAGAAATCAAATTTTTGTGATGTACGTTTAGCCTAGTTTTTAGAAAGAGAAAAGCCTTGTTGTTAACGAATCCTAGGATATAGAAATGGCATTTAATGAAACAGGAACATTTGATTTTCAAGAAATTTTTTTCCAACGAAGAGTCGATACTTTTACGTTATAATTTCTCTGATTATTCTTGAATTAGCTGTTTTTTTGTAAAGGTTGAGTTATCTTCTACATGCAATTTTCCTGAATGTACAATGGCCTGATGAGAGCACTGCGTGAATTTAAAACTAGGATTGCAGTCAATTCTTTGAAAGTAATCGATTCAAACAAACTCCCGTATCGAGTTCAGATATTTATTTACTTTGCAGATCACAGTGTCTATGCTATAAACAGTTCTTAAACTGTTTAATTTGAATTCTTTGCATTTATCTTCGTGTTTCTTGGCATCATTCGTAGGATGAAGAGATACTGAATCACTTATTCACTACCCTTTACACGGCCTGCACAACTTCTGTCGACACAGAGCACAAATACTACAGCTTTCAAGGTACATTGTTCAAATGTGATAATACAGGCAATGTCATGTATGACGTCATTGCTTGTATAATTTAAGACAGATTATAAACACTATAGTATCCTTTAGCTTCTATCGTTAATTTGCAGCATTGTCAAACAAAATTTTATTGAAGTGAAATCATAACATCGAGCCAATGTTTTACCGTCTTGTGTTAATTTGCAGCTCAACCTGCAGAAAACCGCTATCTATTCTTAATTAAGATCTGTCTAAGTAAATTCTCGCCAGTTATAAGCAACATTGCTATTCAATATATAGAAAATAAAGCTAGGCTGTTTAAATTAGGTGGTTCCTTCTAAACTGAAAATTTTTTCGCTGCAAGACCCCACAGATTTGTGGAGCTTATTTATAAACATTCTGCTTTTATTCCTCAGACCCTAAAAGAGATGCTTTTGACGAGGCGAAGGTCAGCAGGAGCTTCGTTTAGTGTACCTTAACTTTCCCTTATACTACCAAGGTTTAAAGGCAATCTGTCACGACGTTGATTGGTTATAAGAACAAAGGGATTTTTTGTTTCCAGTCCCCCTTTAATTTATCGAATTGTAAAAAGTATGGCGGAGCGCTAGAATCGGGTTTAGGCTATTGTTCTAGCTATTGTTCTCGTTAACCAATCCACAACGAGACAGATTGCCTTTAATGTAACAAACATGTACCTTCGTTTTTTACATAGCCTATGCATCTCCCTTTCTTTTTAGTACTCAATGCATGGCTTGATACTGTTTCAAGAATCACCCTCGAAGAATATCATGCTGGAGGCGAAAGAAAACCTATGTTCATGACGTCATCATCTGTATGCAAAAAGCTGTTGCATTTAATTTGGGAAAACAGGGAAGATATGGTATGCTTTAGAACAACGGGGAAAATTCAATAAGTGCCTTCTTTCATTGAATGTTCTAGTTAGACCGTTTCGTTTCCAGTAAGCCACCTAGCATTCAGAAATTCGACCATTTTTTTTAGAATTTAATTTTGTTAAAGAAACGTCGTGGTAAAACAATATTATGCTTTTTGATACTCTGAATTCTTCATTTGCGTGCATAGAACAAGAGTTGTAAATCTAGCGCCAGTGCAGATAATGTGATTTAGTTGATGAGCAACTACTTTTTATTATTGTTATACTTTTTGTATATATCTTGCGCCTGCTTCCTAACATTGCTATATTTTACCTCCCGTTTTTTTCAACAGACGGATGGTGTGCCTAAAATCGTTGTTAGCATTTTCGGCAAAGTTATCATGCTACATCAAAAGGAAAGGACGTTGCTTGGCACATTAAGTAAAGACAACGAAGTAGGCCAACCCATTTTTTGACCGCTGCATCGATTCGTTTTTTCTTCTTAATATCTCTTAAATGATTTCAATAAATGCATTAAAGCTCTTTATAGAATTTTTTTATATATATATATAAATAAAGTGAGCAATAATTAATCTAAGGGCACCTGAAAAAATTGAAAGGTCTATCAAGCTTGGATTCTTACATTCAGTTACGTATGACGTGGTAATGATGTAAATCGAAATGAATTGAATCAATTCAAATTTAATTGAATTGGATTGAAACGAAGTGTTTGTCAGTAGAATCTAAGTGTATTTGAAACTATAACAAAAGCTTTTGAGATTAGAACCAAGATGAGTTCAATTGGAAAACAAGAACTAAGTCTAGACTATCCTTAGGATAAGCAGGATTTGCATGCTTAAACTTAGTAAACAAAACACATTGTTGCATAGGGGTACGGGCTATGGTACAGGCCAAGGTACGAGCTACGGCACGGGTATATGGTAAATGGGGTTGGACTCTGGTTTTAAAGGAGAATTGAAACACTTTTTGGCTAAAGGCAGTGATTTTTAATTGTTTTTAATTCATACTGAGTTCAAGAGTGTCTTGCTATGAATTGTTTCTAACAATATCTATAAGAAAATTAAGTACAAAACGTGACAAAACTAGGAATTTTCTACAAAACTGATTGCAAAAAAGCTGAGTTGCAGCATTTAAATAAGCTTTTTCAGAGTTTGCGATTAAAAATGCATTAAAATATAACAACGAATTGAATCAATTATGAATATTTCTATCATTTCTGAACTTTTCGTTCTATGGCATTAAAGTACTGTTTTAGGAACCCTTTTAAGGGTCTGCATACATTTATTATCTTCTCGGCTCATGAGGCAAATTAACATGCTTTTGTTATGAAGAGATGAAGAGATTTGTTATGATTTTGCTAACGGACATCTTTCACAAATGGTGTTTCATGATATTTTGCGGTTTCTGAAAAAAGTGGACATACCATTGAAAAGTGAATTTCATCTTTTTTCACACTAGCTTAATGACTGCATAGATAATATCTTTCTTCTCTTTGGTTTCATCTGTTTTATACCTTGCGGCCTCAATTTTGCTTGGACATTGTTTGGATAACAGTGAGTGCAAAGAGGCGAAAAGCTGGTTGGAATATTTGCGTATCGTGTTTAGATTACTCTAAAAGGAAATTAACATATAAGCTACTAATTGATAATTATGATTTAAAAAAGTAAATTTAAAATCACTGAAAAAATTGCAGAAATACCTTCATCAAATGTTGCCTAAAGTGTCTTTGAACGAGTTAATATGAGTGACTTTGAGCGAGATGTTTTTCTGTTGCAGTGTGACACTGAACGATACAGAGAACGTCATGTTCTTAACCAAAGTGTAACCGTAATTTTGATCGACATAAGAGTTCCTGTTGAATATAATATTATCAAATCTGTTCCATGTTGTTCCTTCCATCGTGTTAATAAGTTTGGAGTTTTCTTAAGAGTGACAGATTAATGCTCTTCTTAGTTCATTGGATCCATGCTGGCTCAGTTACTAGCCGACCCATGGTACATAAAAGGACGATACACTCTACTTTGTGAACTATTACATCATGTCAGTCCAGATCAAGTACGTATGTGAATCTCTGAAACGATACTGATATCTTTCTATCAAAGTTGCATTTGTAGCATTGCTTATTTAGTCTGTCCGTGGAGTACCATCTATGGTACTTTGAATTGTCTGCCAGTTCTCACATGACCAGGGCCTAATGCTAAATTTTTGTTTCTAGTTGCGAATATTTGACTTATCTTTTGAGCTCTGTTCATATACTATTTAAAGTTATTTTATTTTTTTTGTTTTCTTAATGTATTCACTTGTCAGATCTATTGATGTAACGAATTAATCCGGAAGTCATAGCTTGATGGTTATTTTTATCGTTTGTGAGTTATTTCAAGTTGATGAAAGTTTATTGGTTTGCAGGTTTTACAAACAGAACCTTCGTTTCCTGCCTCCTTGTGCAAGTCCTTCAGTGCGTCTATTTTAGTTTCTGCAGCCAATGAATGTTATAAAACATTTATACTTTCAAAAAGGTTCGAAAATATTGTATTTCATATAAATATCCTATATATTTAAATAGACCAATACTCTTATTTGAACGTTGATTTACTTCGATTTCTGAAGTTCTGAATTTCACTTCCCATGTTAAAGTTCTATTGAAAATTTGAAATATCCTAATTTGACTGATTTTTTGTGACATTTAAATCTTAAGTGCTATTGACATTTGAAAATTTCTTGATTTTGAAATACAAATTGATGTGATTTTGAAAACACGTGTGGAAAAATTGTGGAAAAGTGAAACAGTCTTTATCAAATCCTGTTAAAACATTGGTGCTAATTTAGCAAGGCAATTTTCTGCTACATCTTTAAAGACATCTTAACATCTTAAATCAGGTCCTTTTAATTTTTTGTACAGCAAACTTTCATGAAGGCATGTGTTGAAAAGTTCTGTTTTTATTCGTTATTCTAGTTAATATATTGTTATAAACAAAATGCTCTGATTATCAGTTTCATTTAAAGTTTACCATGCTACATTTCTTTAATGATTCTAGGGTTAAAGTCTCAACAATTTACTTTCTTTGAATATGATATATTTTGAATTTTTCCATTGTAATTTTATATTCTAGAAATTTATTTGGAACAGAATCGAAGGTAGTTACTTTTGTATTTCTTCCGAGCATGTAGATAGTTTTATACAGTTGTGATTGCAGCTAGAAACATAAGCTGTGCTGTCAAAAAACCTTATTTTCCACTGTGTTATTGCAATGGCAAGAGAGAAGCTCTGCAAAGCACTTCCTTAGACTTTTAGTGGCTGATAGGATGAAAAATGTAAATAAAACGAAACAGAAAGTTAGCTATAGTTTGTTAGCATATGTTTTGCATTTATTTGCTGTGCATCAAGCTTGGAAATTTTGCCAGTTTTCATAAGAATAACTTGGATGTTGATCTTCAACATTTTTATTCTTCAAATAGTTTACTTATTTGCTACCTTGTTTTTTATAATGACATTGCTTCATGAAGGACTGGACTGGAGATTACTGGGCATCAATTTTTCAGAAGCATTTTGTTGAAATGCTTATCAGTAGAAAAACGTACGTAGATTTTACTGTTTTGCTTTTAGTAAGATTCATATCACTTAAGGTCATTATTTTTTCCCAAGTTTGAAAAAAGCTTTCTTATCTCCCGTATAAAAATACATTGACAGGCAAATCATCAATTTTGTTGTAAAGACCTTTAATTAATACACTCTTTTTATATACGAACCAGATAATTTTTACCGAGACTCATTGCTTTTATTTTTTGGCTAATTTAAGGCTTGGGTGTTCTTAATGCATGATATGAATTGTTTCTAAGAATGTTGAACAACAGTTTTGCATGACCATTGTAGTAACACAGTTTATTAGCTGATAAATCTGCTCTTTTTTGTTTGAAAATTTCAAAAACATTTCTTCTTCTTCTATTTTTCACTGAGGCTGGGCTGAGTGTCCTTACGCTGTTCCTTTTTTGACCAATTGCACCTGGGTATTAACGAACACCCTTAAAGTAGGTTCTCATAAAAAATGTAGATGTTAATTTCGTTTCGGTGGCATTGTGTCAATTGTATCTTACAGCTTTTCCATCTTTTTTGTCTCATTTCCAGCAATTTATCAAATAGTCCAATCTATCAAAGATTAATATAATTTTTTCCATTATGTTTTCATTGGTTTTCTCGCTTAAGTCGTCACTATTAAAAGCAGTTCATTTTAACAAGAAAGTAAATTATATCTGATTAAAACCTTCTTAACTGTTGCAATCACTTAAAATATAACCTGTGGAGCTTATACCTTGTATATTTTTTGCTCATATTTGATTTCCAAGCTTCAAAGGTTACCAAATATTCACTAAATCTTGGGTTTTGTTGGAATATAAAGTAAAACTTATAACAGACTAAACGTAAAATGAATTTTAGCCACAAATGTTTACCGGGTACCAGAGATACTTAAAAGAATTGACTTATACTTTGCCCTGTACACGAATTTGTGGAGATAAACCCTGACATTGTAGAAATAATTTAAAGTTTTTTAATTTCAAATTTCCATGGGAATTTAGCTTTATTTACAGAAAAACTGTATGGATTGTATGATAATAGAGAGTAACTTTCTCTATAATTGGTTACTTATTTAAAGATGTTGAGTAAGTTGTTGATTCTTTTTATTTCTCGGTATTCATTTGATTATCGATCAATTGTCATTCTCTTTCAGACGTTCCACTGAAGCTTGCGCTCTATATTTTATTCCAACAACACTACAGAAAATCCCATCAACTTTCTACATATTAAGAGATGCTGTCCTTGAGGCCATAGAATTGACAAACTCAAAAAATAGGCAAAGTGTGCAAGAGCGGAATCGCATCAGAAGAAACCTGTCTTTTGCTTACTGCACAGTTCTAAAGATAGGGCGGAAAAACGGTTTAGCATCTTTTGAAGATGTGGTAAGTCTAACTAGATAATATAGCAGTGGTCACAGCATTTAAAGCAAGTAACTGTTCCATGTTTATTTGAAATTAAATTAGTCTCTATTTTTCTATTGTATGTTGAGTTACACTGAAAGCTCTCGGTGTCGGCTCCATCTGTGTGCGATATTTACTAATTGATCTTAAAGGCATTTGACACAAGTAAAACCCCCAGTGGTTGACCAATCAAATTGCGCACAGAGAACAACATGTGAACAGTTTTCGCTTTTCTGCAAATCGGCGAAAACCTAGAGTGGTTTCACGGGAGTAGTTTCAAATCCCCTTCAAACGCGCGTTTTCTGATCGAGTTATTTTTGGATTCGCTGTACTTATGCTTTTCAAATTCTTGTCGCTTGTCGATATAAGTAATATACGCAGAGTTATGCGAAAAAGAATAATTTCCATAATTAAAATATACCCAATCAGTAAAAGACCTTTTATTCGTTACAAGTATCCATCAGGTTTTCTGCTTGTACTTGTAATTGACTGAAACCCATTTTTGTAACAGACTTCTAAAAACCTGGCCTAATTATAATTTTGGTGCAATAAAGGCAGTTTGTAAGAGTGCAACCTTTTTAAAATATAAATTGCAAGGCGTCTGTAGATCTCTATTATATTAAATCGTCCTAAAATCATATTTTTTTGCTTTAGAACTATAATGTATTAAATGAATGCTTGGGACACATGAACGATGAATTGAGAGCAGAGGCGTTATCATTGCTATGTCACAACAACAAAACTACAGGTAAAATGGACCTAAGTCACTTGTTTATGTCAATTAAATATATTATAGGGTCCCAAACATTAAATTGCAAAATGAGAATTTTTTTCTGCAATGTTTCACTAACTGACCATTTAGGAGAGTTTAATATATCCCAGGAAAGTGTAAATGCTTTAAAAACAGTATCGCAGTTGATTTTATGGAGAAAAAGATAAATCATTAGTATTTCTGTTCAGAAATGTCACCAAAAAGCTTTGCATGGTGGCTGCATGCATGCTAAGAGCTTGGTTGATAGCATGATTTGCATTCTGATTGAAGAAGCTAAAAAGCAGCTAGTTTGTGCACCAAAAGTGTATCCTGTAACCTTCATCTTTTATCTTTGTTTTACTGTTTATTGTTAAAGAGCCAGTAAATGCACAGGAGCAAATGCTGGTGTTGGAGTTTGTAAAGAACAATTTGAACTGCGCCTCCTCAGCCTTTCGACAAACGCTGTTTGTGTCAATGAAAATTCTCATGGCAAGATTACGCGATAGCTGGTAGGACTGCATTTTTTGCGAGATGCTGTCAATAATCTGTAATTGTTGACACTATTGATATTAAAAGCCTGCTTTTTGTTACCATTCATCAATGCTTTGAAAATTAAAATAAAATATACTGAGGATTGTTCAAGGAAGTGTTGCTGTATTATGGTTTCTCTATCTTTTGCGGCCAGTGTGTTTACAAAATATTACAGCTTGTTGTTAATATACTTTGGATTGGGAAAGCTATTTGTAAGGGATTGCAGTCCTTGCAGTCCTTTTGTTTTAGAGCAAGGAGTATAGAAGGAATCTTTTTAAGCCCGTGCCCCAATAACTGCACCTAAATGAATGGAAGCAATTCAATATCTCTGAAGGAACGCTAGGCTTTCATTGATGTTTTCCTAGCCTAATACTTTTGCATTTATTGTGAAAAAGGTTTTGCAATTAGATCGTACCCTCTTTTTGTCAATTAAGGTTTTCTTGAAATTAAATGTTTTAAGAGTAAATATTCATGGAAGCAAACGTTTTTTATGGAGCACTGTTATTTGTGAGACTTTCACTGATTTGATATTATAGAACGTACTGGTTTTTGTTGTTATTGTTTAGGTCTATTTTTAATTTGTTTTTGCTTTCGTTGGCTGATTCGTTAAAGTAAAAGAGCGTCTATTTTGCATTTAAATTAAACTTCTTGTTCATGCTCATTAGAATAGTAACGTGATGGAGTCATTAAATATGTTTTGAAATATTCTTACCCAAGCGAACACCATAAATAAACTCTAAAGATGCAAAATCTGTTTGATATGGTAAAGACTGGCAGTGGTTAGGCCAGTGAAGATCTCAAGTTTGCCAATAAACGCGGTTATGGCTTGGTTTATGAAGTCTAATACAAAGACCTAATTTCATTTGTTTGATAAGGAAAGTTCATGAGATCATTCGGCAATATTTCAGCCAATTCTGTCTAGATTCGACTCCTATTTTTCACTTTAATTCCAGATTACACATTTAGAATTAAAAAAATCAGGAGTTTTCGTGTCGTCATCACGTTTTCAATCTGTTATTTCAGTATAATGCTCCTACGCGAGTACAAGAAATCAAAGAAGGCACTAGCAAGAAAAGATCACTTTGTTCAACCACCAGAAACTTTTACCTCATCAATAGGTAAAATAGGTTTCGTTTTGTTTTGTTTTTTCCATTTGTTGTCATATAGGAACTCTAATGGAAGTATGGTTGCGAAAAAGTCACCCAAGAAACATATATTTTTTCAAAACTTTCTCAAAAATTCCATCTAGACTTTGAAATATCAACAAATCCCACCTTTGTTTTGTTTCAACTTGCGTTAAAGTTATAATTGGTCGCGAGGAGATGAGCAGATGAGTGTGAACGCAAAGCAAAAACAGATATTTCATATGGACACGGAGCAGTATGAACGAGGCTGAGCTATCAGGAAATTTAATTTATGTAAATGTGAAAAGAAAGTTTGCGAGTTTTAGAACGATAAAAAATGTTGCCAGTAAAAATAAAAGAAGAAAATTTAGTTGTTTTCTAGCTATGAGTTTTGTCAATGTGAATTGCTGTAGAATAGCTAGTTCAGATTCTTATCAGTTTTCACTGACCTTATAAAGTTTGAAGACCCATCGTCTATATCGTTGCCAATTTTCTCTTCTAGAAATGGTAGAAGATCTTTTTTCGTTGTCAATCAGCTGTCAGTTCCCAGGTGCTTCATTCCAGCGAAGGAAAACTGGTAAAATATTGCCTCATTTTTCCTATCTACGTTTGAGGTGGCTTTTAACATCAACTTCGATCGCAGTGCTATATAAATACGATTTTTATAATAAATTGTTTGACTTCAAGTTTGTCACCCTCCCCAGAACATTGATCAAATTTTTCTGCTGGCTTCATGGTTTGTTCCATCTTTTTCGTAGCTATAGCATAATTGTTGAAAATCGTTATTCAGACATAAAATTTACACGAAGCTCATTGCTTGAAAAGCCACATTTTGGATTGCTTTAAGGTCTACAGCTTTGTCACACTATTCTGGAGACCTTCTCGTCACCAAAAGATGCTGTTAAAAGAGGCAGAACCGCTGGTATGTATATAATCATTCAATTTTACTCGAGCAAGGTCAAGAGGTTTACGAAATTCTGTGCAAAAGTACCAGCAAGAGAACTGCAAAAGTCCAAGATCGCGCAAACACTTTTTTGTGACGGAAAAGCGTCAACATTTGGTCGTGAAAATATGCCTTGAGCCCTTTTCTTGAGTTCCTGTCTAAATGGCGTAAATTTTTTTCCTTTTTTCCGTTATTTCAATATTTTTCAAATTTTTCCTTCGCAGATTCCAAAGATGTCCCTTTTCTTTAATTCTATTGTTAGCAACATCCCTTTATGACCCAGAGTCATAGGGTCTCAAGTAATTCTGGACCCAGAGAATACCTGCCTCCTATTTCTAAGAATTGCAATGCCAAGATATGTGATAAAACCACAGGGTCCTACTTTCTTAAAATGCTAGTGTACATAAGCATATATTGACAATGATTTCAGAAATATTGGCCATGGCGAACAAGGATGTCTTTTTTTAGGTTTTTGGGTATCTTGCAACATTAGACAACAAGCATCCCAGATTTTTTAGACACAAAAGGCTCGACTTTTTCTTTATGAACACGAGGGCTCGATCAACTTTAAAACAAAGAGACAATCATAGTTCTTGTAAAGCAGAAGTTCTTACCACCTTAGATATTAGTATATTTATTCTTATTTACTAAACTATGCTTCATTTAGATTGCATTGAATTATCTAATTTGTTGAGCTCTCAGTTTACAAGAAGGACAAATTATTTTCTGGGCTTACTGTAAAATAGCGAATTCTAGTGAAGGGCGTTTTTCTGGATTAAATGCTGAGGAAGCACCGCCTCTCTTTATGGTGTTTGCCGAGCCACGACTTTGAAAAACAGCTCATATATTGATACAATACATATCGATGTTGAAAGACAGACTGTTGCGAAAGCATGAAATATGGTTTTTTACAAGAAATCAGGGTATGCCCCAGTATACCCCAATAAAGACCAATTCTTTTAAATATACAACCATCCGTAACGTAATTCTAGAACGGCAATTTTCAACTTTGTTTTTTGTTATTTTCTTATCCGTACTGAACTAAGAAGCTTGGTTATCGTTATTGCAAGACATAACTATTCTGACATTGTTATTCTGATGATGTTTCCTTTAGAATCTCTGAAAAACTTGGCAGACTGGGTCAAAACAAATGGAAAGTGGGAATTTGTCACTAAAAGGTCAGTGTTAATTGATTGATTATTCATCTTTGTTACTCAGTTTCGGACATGTATTTTAATCCAATTTTTTCAGTATGTCAGTAATTAATAAAAGATGTCTATTTTTCAGAAATCTAGAAATCCTAGTTTCCTGTTTTGAGGACCAACATGACGAGGTAACAAGTTAGCCTTTTTTGCCTTGTGTTCTAGAGTTATTGTGACTGAAGTTATTGTCGGATATTATATCGATTAAAGTGAGCTGCTCTTGAATTAGAATGTGATTGATTGCAAGTTGAGAGAGAACTTTTTACTTCTTTTGAAAACGGGAAGTATAATATTATAGTGTCAAGAATCAAAATAACGGCCTTTATGAAAATTTCTTGAAACTACGCTGTGTATTTGCTGACCGATTTAAAACTGATACCTCTATTACACATAATTTTGCAGAAACAAGGATACTTTATGTCGAAAATTCAACACCTGTCGAAAAAAGGTGTTCTGACATCACCCTATAGTAATTTTATCGTGAGGAACGTAAAAGCTTTTTGTCCCGATCGTATTGAAAGACACTCATGCTTACTGAAACCCGTGGTTTATTAAATTTTAGGAAATCTGAAGACCCATTCGTTTAAAAGATATCTCTCCGTTTATTAGAGAGGCTAAAGTAGAAATGTATTCCAAAACAAATTGAGCGTGGCAAGGAGCTCGGGGGCTCAGCCCCCCCCCCCCCTTTAACAGGCGAGCACATGTTTGGTTGGAAGAATTCTGTGTTGACAACCCTTTATTATGCTATGGATTTCGTGAATGAGCAAATTTTTATCTTTTTGAGTCAATGAATAGTTTCAAACGAATATAATTATTTCATATACACAAAAAAGAATCTTAAGCCCAATTGCAAGAATATTGAGTTTGGTCAAGAGTGTGGTGATTGGTGTGCCTTTAAGAAGTTGCCTATAAGTAGCACGGCCCCTTCGATGTTTTTGGATGCCCTCCCCTGCTGCAAGGTTGAAAACAGGGACCTTTCATCGACGAGTCTGTATTTTACCCGCTATAATTTAGTCAGGATTGAGATTATCTGTGTTACTTAAATCATCAATGTAATTGTGCAAGATCAACTCTTTTTATCAACAGATTCGTGAATCTGCACTTGAAATTTTGAAATGGTTTCACTTTGATACAGTTGGAATGACAGATAAAGAAACAAAGGAATTCGGTATAAAGTTGATGGGCCAAACGTATCAACTGTTGAAAAGTCCCAGGATTCGTGACGCTGAGAGTGGTACAATATTATTAGAATTTGTAACATCGAGGTTTGTGGTTTTTGAATGTGTCAGTGTACGATCATTGAAGTTGTTATGGAAATAATGCATTGGCATTTTAGTCTAAGATAAGCTACAGTTCTTTACAGACTTTGTGAACATTTTCAAGTAGGTTCAAAAAGGTCTGCCAATTGGACCTATTTACTACCACATACATTTGTCTGCCATACAACGAATGAACAGAAAACTGTCACAAACTTGCCTTAACCAATTTATACAAGCAGATTGTGGCAAAATTTAACTGCCGTTAAAGTACTTTTTGGTTCGAACCGTCTTGCGTGAAGAAAAATATAGCCATTAGGATCAGCTTGTTAAATATGATCTTAGCCTTTGTAATATTGCAAGAATAGACTTAAGAAATATAAAATATTAAGTTTTTTATAGCAGCTTAAAGTAAAGTTCATATGCTCCTTCACAACCTGAGGTGTGGAAATGCTTAAGAAGGAAACCATTTGATTTGATGGAAATGTTTTTCATCTGGTAGGTTCTTAAAGTGGGATGCAGTATCAGTGTTCGAGGACGGAAGCTCACTGGAAAAATCCTTTGATGAAATAGAAGACCCGTCAAAATTTAGCAGTCTGCTGCATGTTATGTTCTCGCTTTTTCATATCACCAACAAACACATTGATGAGGCCTACCATGATTTCCTCCACGCATCCATACAGCAGCCTGTCTTTGGTAAGCTCTTAATTTTCATGGTTGAGGCAAAGGTAATATTGTATTGTATGGTTAAGTGAAATGCCAATGCAATTTGTCAGACCGATTCACGGCTTCGTCGTCATGTGGTTTATCTCAATATAACGCTCAGACGATGTTCTCGTCACACAATATATTTATACTGAAAAATAGTCAATACTGAGCTTTTGCGTAGTTTCAAATCAAAATTTGATCTACTTCCATAAAGTTTTTTGTTATGGTGAATCAATGCTTAGCTGGAGAAATGTAATTGATTGCCAACCAAAGGAATCCCGGGAAGCGATTTTGCAATGGAGTCACCAGTGCCTAAAATAAGAAATTTTTACAGAACAACATATTTTCATAAAACTTGGGTGTGACTCCATGTCTGTATTTCCACAATTGGCTTGGCAAGTACAGACCTTAATGCTGATAACATATCCTCGTTGTGCAAGATCCTGAATGTGAAGTGTTAGAAACAAAAGTGAATATCTTTAGCAATATGTGGAGTGGGTTTGTAAGACCATCAGCATCAATTAGTAATATTTTTATTTCTCAGCCTAAAAAGTGGATTTTTATCATCATAAGGAAAATTGATTCTCCAGATCTCTATCAGAGTTGTCTGTACCTTTAACCCCCCCCCCCCCTGAAACGAATCTAGCTTCTCGAACTTTGGGCCCATATCTTTGCAGCTAAACGGTAATCGAAACTTGCGAGATCAGGCATATTGCAATATCCATGTATTTGCTAATTTTCAGGAGCTATGTTCTTTAACCTGTCTGTTTTTGCTATTTACAATCAAATCTTTTGAACCGATGGCGAATATCATCTTATCTCACTTCATAAAATTGTGGTTGTCTGTCTTCTACTCATTTTACAATGTTTAAAACCATGAGGGTCTAACATCTAACTAAAATGTTCAAACTTCATTGAAGCAAAGACAGGGTTCATTGAAAATGTTTTTTGCCGCTACAAACAGATGTTTATATTGGTTTTTTCTGTTAAGAAACCTCGCTTCCGTTCTTATGCCCACCAACCAATCACATTGTTGGATTTTCACTGAGTTGTAAACTTTTCAAAATTCAGCTGCTTTTTATTTTTCTGCTTCGAGTAATAAAGTTTCTTAATTTCTATTATTGTTTTAATTCCTTTTAGCGAGTTTCTTAAAAAATGAGTGTAATACATTAGGCTGGAATTGGGCTTCCTGGCAGAACTTGGGAATCTGAATAGAATAATCCGATTAGCTCCTTGTCATACACGTATAGGCGTTTTTCGACTGTCTCTAACCATTCAATTTTTTCTGGTACAATTTACTTATATTGATCGTTATAATGTCTCTAACCATGACTATGCTCTAACAATCACAGGTTGCCCAGACGCTCTTTAGCCTGCGCGCAGTCTTTTTGCTGGACATACGGGAAATATATTTACATTCCCCGTTCAGCAACAGCAACAGCAGCAACAAAAGACTGCGCGCAGGCTAGACGCTCTTCTGCCAATATGACATCCAGCAAAACATTATCCTTACCTTTTAGGAACGTTTGGAAACATTTTTCTAACGCTAATGCTTCGATGTTAAACATCTCATTTGCATTTTATGCTGCACTTGATAAAATTTTTGAAACTTTAAGGTCCTAAAATCCTCGGTAATAATTTCATTGTCGAAACAAAGCTGCAACTGATTTGTTACAACTTTAACGTGACATAGCGGAGACTTAACGTTTATGGGGGCTTAGCATGGGTCATGCCCGAATTGCTTATTGAGATAAGCTTTCCCGAAAGGGCCTTAAATTTGAGAAATTTGTCTGATTTGGGGGCTGATTTGGAAACATAAAGTCAATGTTTTGAGTTATAAGTCATCTGTTTGATTTATCCTTGATGAAAAAACCTAATAAGAGCTGGTTTCATTATGTTTTAGCTTTGAATGCACTTTTTTGCGTTATTTCTTGTTATCTTGTGCACTTGAAACTGTACGTTCGTGGAAGTGACTTGAGATATATAACATATGGACTTATCTAGGATGAAGCAATTAAAAAACCAAATTTTCTGTTAATTAGGTCTCTGAAGGCCAGCAGAGCCAAAGAGACTCATCGAAAATCAAAATTTTCCCTGGGAGGGGGGGGGGGGAATGAGTTCGGACACCCAAAACACAGACTGACCCCTGACACCCTAAACACAGTCTGTGTGCATTTTAAGTGCTGTGTTCTCCACTCAAAAGAATTTAACTGTTAGTTTCCTGACGATCCTCTAAAAAATTGATTAATTTTTTTCGCCCCTGGGAACAGTACAAATGTTTTGTCGGATAATACAGTACTGAAGGGGCACAAAGACGTGCCCTTGAAGTGAGACTGTATTAGGGGGTATGGCGGCGTGCGCCCAAATAAAGTTTTGAATTTTATGGCGTCTTCTTTGTCTCTTCTGACTTCCTAGAGACCTAATAATCAGACAAGTCGGTCGTATCAAGCTTTTTCGAGTTTTCGGCGCCCTTTACAAGCTTTGGCGCCCTGGCCCCCCGGCCTCCCCTGCCCCCCCTGCCAGGCCGTCACTGTGTAGCCCCCCACCCCAATTTCCTATGTCTCAAAAGGCTATCAACTTCAAGCAAGTATATTTCATTCTTTTCCAAAATGCATTTTCCTGTAGCAAAGTATCGTTTCCAGGCCCCTGAATCTAAATTTTCTTGGAAAATCATATCATCGGCAGGTAATTTGGCCACCACCGTGAGACGCCATTTTAGTCTACTTCTATGTGTGTATCTTTGATGAACTTACGCTACTTTCCAGGTTTCGTAATGGCAGCTCGAAGATGCTTCACTTTAGTGCTGCACCATTTATCAACGATGGGGAGGATATCTTGTAAAACTGAAAGTCAGTCGGAGGTCCTTGGCTCCTTGGTCAAAGAGTCAGTGAAAATATGTCGCAGGGTCACTTTGTTGGCAATGTTTACTTTCAAAAAGGAGACGGGGGAGAAAGGTTTGCATCTTCAAACTGATTTTTCAATTTTGTAAAAGTGAATTGTCGAATACTTTACACTGCCATTTCAAAAGTATTGCACCACCTTGTTGAAAAAATTAAGAAAATTAAAATGAAAGTTGTTCAAAATGCCGTTATTTTAAGTCGACTTTTCGACAATACCATTCACTTTAAATGCATGAATTATGTGAAATAATCGTACTTTATAGCAAATGTTGGCGAAAAATCCTTGAAAACCTTGATGATGCCATAGAAAACATTCACTTGCATGCACTGGCCCCGGTTTGGTCCGCAATTTACAATGCGACATTCGTTTACACATTCGATTAGACATTCGCGTTCTCGTTTACACATTCTGAGGATTTTGGTTTGGTGTAGCAAATTGTAATGCAATGCAATAACCAATTGCAAGAAAATAAAGCCACACTATTGAAATTTGATCACGAGGAAAGTCTCTCCGTTTTCAGAAAACATATTGGTTTTGACAGTGACCTCACTTAGGTCCAAAAATAGCCATCCGAGAAACTTGACGAACATTCGAAGCAAAAATTCTTTCTCTAAAGAAAAAACCCAATATCAGAAAAAACTCAAAACATATAGGTATAATAGGTATATTATTCAATAATATGTATATTATTAAGCCATGCTCACCTGCAATATTTTTCAATTTCCCGGAATATTTTCAGAGAAACAGATCAAAATCGACACAGCCACAGATTCGACTGGAAAAATTACCAAAAACTCGCATAAATGTACTCGAATAACTTTTTCAAATGTGAACAGAATTTGAGGACACTTCACAAAACATCATTAAATAATCGGATTAATTTTACACGATACCGGATTAATTGTTTATCCGATAATTATTCTGATTTCGTTGTGTTTGGAATCGATGCAATTTTGATTGAGCTCAAATCAAACTTAAATCAGTCACCAAGATATTTCGGAGCAGTGTTAAAGCGTAGCATCACCGTGTGAAAAGGAGTGGATCCAATACAAAATGGATCTGGTATTGGATTGGGTCAGTGAATCCGATATGAAGTGAATCCGGTATTGTGTGAACAAGGCCAATATGGAGCCAAGCACTTTTTAGGACACCAAAGGAAATAAAACTCGACGCTGAGCAAGGATTTGCAGCACAAGCCACAAAGTCCTTCCAGACAAATTATGAGGATGGTTTTACACCAACAAAAAATGAAAAGTTACCTGAGTAAAAATAAACCATTTTAACAAAGAGTTATTCCCATACAAGAAGAATTGAATTAATATGTACTTGCTTGTGGTACTTCACTAAAAATGATGATATAGTGAGCTAATAATTTGAGAACCTGAAAAAAACAAAGTTTTGAAAATAAATGCCCATGAGTTGCCATTAAAACTAATTTATTTCATTCTGGCACTCAATTTATTCGCTCACTATATCATCGTTTTTAAAGGAATTAAAATTTTGCTATGGCCAGAGGCAAGTCTAGATTTTAAAATCATTGGAAATGTTGTTAAATATTTATAAAAAAATTAAAATAAGTATATAAAAAATTAAAAAAACAGAAATCAAATAGTCTTGGAAGAATCAGAGAATCGTTAATTGAAAGATTTTTTCAGGCCTGACACGAAATTCCACAAGAAAGCATTGCCCGATTATATGCATCTATTTCAAGATAGCTGATTGCGTTTTTGCAAAAGCTTTCAACAAAATATTCAAATTTTAAACTGTTAAAAAACGTTTGTTATTGTAATTTTTTAAACAAATTCTCTTCATAGATTGAAGATTTGTTTGGTGGTTGTTTTAACTACCTGACCCATACCAATTTGCTACATGGAAACACAATAACTTATAGAACAATAGCTTCTAATTGTTCATCTGCCATGTTTCCTCCTTCATGGTGGTACAGTTCTGTATCTAGTGAGAGCGCCAGTTAGACTTTTCAAAGTTGGTAAGCTAGCATAAAACCCGTGCAATTGCATGATAGCTCGATAGGTGAACGTGTACCCCCAATCCTTTAAGAAAAAATTTAAAACTTTACCAGACAGAACAACCTCAGACTTTTCAAGAGTGCTTATGTTGCATCTTGTAACTCGCAAAAAATATTGGGTGACCACGTAGATTGGAATTGCCTCACCACAGCCGAGATATTTCTTTGAAATTACCCATACATGTTAAAAAAATAGGTATGGTCTCGAACAGAATGGGCATGGCTAGACTTAAAAGTAAAGTATTTTTGTATATTCTAGATGGCGTAAGCAACTGTTTGGTATTTTTCTCTATTTTAAGTAGCTGTTGTAGCTTGAGATCCACCTTTGTTATCTCTTTATAGAGGGTGGCTCTCCTTCTTTTGCTGACATGAGTGATTCTCTAAATGAAACATTGAAGAAATGCGCCAGCTTCAAATCATTAGAAGAACAAATTGGGTATCAACACTGCAGTGAGCTTTTAGCATCATTTTGCTGGCTGAATATTAAGGTACTCAAGATATCAGTAGTTTTGATGTCTCGCAGCCCTGTTGCCCAACTTGTATGTTGGTATTTTCTCAGTAATTCTGTTACGAAAGATAGACAGAAAGGATTTCAGTGGTAATCTGATGCCCTTGAAAAAAACAGGAATTCATTCTTCTAATTAACTTTCTTATTTTTAACTGTTACAAAATTCATTTAAAATAAATCCATCAAAAATCAACCAATGTTTGAAACATACGTTTACTAGCTGACAAATTTTCACTGGTAACCCTTTGCTTAAATTTTTAAATATAACCTAAATGAGAGCCTGTCCAAATGGCAACTCAGCAATTATCTTGATACATTTAGTGCCCAGAATGCTGAAAGTTATGAAGATTTACTTTCGTTATGATATGTAATTGTTTCTTCATTGAAAATGTTTTAGTTAGGTAAAAAGTGAAAGAGACTTAGCTATTGGCTGCTTTTTAATAATGAATAATTCACATCTAGGCCTCGACACTTTTCCTTGGAGAAATAGGACGAATTATGACATTGGAATGGTTAGATCTCTCTTTGAGGAAGCAGTTCTTATCAGACGAAATTTTCAATCAAATTGGTGACATTTTTCGTGAGACACTTGTTCAATGTCGCCATAAGGTATGCTAACCTATAAGCAAATGGTGAAGCAATATTTTAACTTGGGATTCGATCAAATCTCACTTTCTAGCTTTCCTGTACAAATTAAAATGAATATAATGACCTTTACGTTATTGTCTATCACTTTATTTATTCGTAACTGTACAGTCTATTATTAAATTATTTTCGTTCAAGATTACCATGTAGGTCACCTCATTTTTTATATTTAAACTTGATTCATAGATTAATCTTATTTGTTTTTCAGGGAGTTATTGAAAACTCCAACGTTGGTTTTCAAATGCTTTGCAAATCTGTGGCATCTATTTCATCAATGACCAATATTTTAAATGACTGGATTGAAGATACCATCGATGCTGTAGATCGTAATGATTTTAATTCTTCTGTAACCAAGCGAAGGTTTGTATACCTGAATTTCTCCGCATTCTTTTATTTCATATTTATTATGATATATTATATTTATTATATCACATTATATTTATTATTTTAAATTATATTTTATCATATTATGATTATGATTATATTATGATTATGATTATATTATGATTATGATTATATTATGATTATGATTATATTATGATTATGATTATATTATATTATATTATATTATATTATATTGTATTGTATTGTATTGTATTGTATTGTATTGTATTGTATTGTATTGTATTGTATTGTATTGTATTATATTATATTATATTATATTATATTATATTATATTATGTAAATGGTATTTTATATAAAATGCTATTTTGTATTTAAGGTAATTTTACCATGTTTTCATCCCAGTGCTGGTCTACCTATGTTTTTGCAGCCGCTCATCTCTGCATGCATTTCGTCTCGACGTTTCGATTTTGCTGCATACATTGAAAAGTTGATAGATATTGCGAAAAGGCCACTACCGTCTTCTGAGGAGGAGCAGAGCGATCTTCCACAGGTGAGGACAGTTTCCAATGGGTTTGTCACTTAAGCTGCTTTTAGGTCGTTTTATGTTCATTCTTTTGGAAAACTTTTATCTAATTATCTTATTATTTTCGCTATTGTTGATATTTGTGATAAAGAAGTACACTCGTAAAATTTGGTTATTAGATTATCGGGACTGCATTTGTTAGATTCGTGTCCTCTATTTTTGAAGTCTGAAAGTTACTGGGTTCACTTCTCCACGAATTTGTTTCATCGATAATTGGTATTTTGTGTTACGAAAGCATTATGAATGCTACGTAGCCTGTTTGCATACTTGCGGATCCAGAAATGTTCACTAGCACTTGAATGTTGTTTCCATATATAGAGGGCACTAGCTGGTTTTGTATCGATTAGAGCGAGTGCTTGGAGCGTAGATAACTTTCATATCGTTGAATTTTAAAATCCTACCTTCACCGACACTTAAAGGGTCTTTCCAGCCAAATTTTGCACTTGCATTTCATTGGCTAATCTAAAGGAGTTTAACCTGCTGATCACGAATTCGTTATTTGTTGTTCGATATTGTTTACAGTTTGTGAGATATAAGCTCTTGTATTTCGATAATTGAATTGAATTAACCGACAAAAACTTTTCGGTTTGGTGACACTGTGACGCAATTTTGACGCCACTGTACATTTCGTTAGTCTCGCCACAAACCGAATCGAACGACGGCGATTCGCAAATTGAACACTGCAAGTGATGGTACTCTCAGTTCTGTTCCACCGGCTTTTAGTTTGAGCATTTCAGGAACCAATTCTGAAGCCTTAAGTTGTTTATCGTTTCTGGAGAGAGGCTGAAGTGTCAATTTCGATTAATTATACGCGAGGGAAGAGCTGGAACAGGGGCCATAGCTTTGTGGGTCTACACAGGTGATCAAAGCAAAATCGTGACACAGCATGTACACATTCCGACCCGCAGACTTAGGCCCCGTTCACGCGAGAGAGAAAGGAACGGATCCAAAAGATCCGGACCTTTTAGGTACGATATGGGTACGATCCACAAGCGTTTAAACGAGATCGGATCCTAGACTATAAAACGTTTACATGGGATTGGGAACGGACCAAAATCGAATCTCTCTTTTAAGGCATGCGCAATGACAAGGTTATTGTTAATTTTCATTTTGGCGGGAGAATATCTAAGATGGCGTCATTTGCAAGCAACGATAAGCGTTCATTTTTACATTGACAGAAGAGGAGACAGCTTTGTTGATGAAAGTAGTTATGGATTACAATGCTGCTAAAATGCAAAATGGGAAGACTGGAGGACTGTTAGGTCGAAATACGAAGACATTCTACTTAAATTTATCGAGGTCTATCCAGAAACAGCAACATAGGACTTTCAAATAGCCAGGATAAAGAAAAATTACAAAAGAAAAGGTGAAAAGAAAATAAACAAGATGAAGACAGGGTTCAGAAAGGCTGTCGACTGTGGAATTAAGAGTGGGGGTGGGAGAGTAGTTTCTTTGTTGTATGATGAGTGCTGCGTACAATTGAAATAGCCTCCATTGACCCCAGCAACAGTCTCGTTTTACTGCCGTGCCTTTGCGGGTCCGTATCTTCCCGTTTACACGGCGCCGATGAAGGTACGGATCCAAATGGATTCGCTTTCGAATCGTACCCAAAAAGGTACGGATCTCTCCCAGAAAAGATACGGATCCTACCGTGCCCGTTTAAACGCAAGGCCTATTATAGCCAGTTTGGGTACGGATCTATGCGGATCCGTTCCTGTGTAAACAGGGCCTTAGACCCCGTTTACACGAGAGTGGATCCGATCCGGATCGGATTGAAAAGAGTACGGACAGGCCTTGCGTTTACACGGGAACTGGTGGATCCGTATACTTTTGGATCCGCTATCCGAACACTTTTGGGATCGCTTTCAGAAGTGATTCCGTATGGGTCCGATTTGGACCGGATCCCGTGGAAACGGGTGGATCTGGTCCAGATCGGATCCGTCTACGTTATTTGTCGAAAGTAAGACAAAATATTTTTCAATTCGAGGTAGTTTGAATATGTAATCCGTGGCTTTTTGACGCCAGAAGATCGAATATCAAATTGACAGACTACTATGTTGAAGAATTATTACGAAACGTTGACGATGTGTCGTCGTACTTTGTCCTCACAGTTTCCCAATCCTGTCAATCTGCAAGCTTTGCAGCTTTGTAGTCGAATAGTAGTTTTAAAAGTAGCGCAGTTTCTTCTTCAGTCTACGAAAATTGACCCTTTTTAGCGTTACCTCCCTCCATGTTCAGGTTGAACTGTGTTTTGATTACGCACAAAGTTCTGAAAACGTCATATGCGCGCCAATTTTCAAAAAGCGCATGCGCGTAGCCTGTTAAATTCATCTGGATCCGTTCCCGTGTAAATGCAAATGGTTCTGGATCGGATGCCGTGTAAACGCATTGCCATTTCAGGGATCGGGTCCAAAAGTATCCGGATACTTGGGGATCCGAGCTCCTGCTGTAGATTTAGATGCAGTTATCAACGCGTGACCATGACTCCTTCACGCTTCGATGGAAGATATACGAAATTCATGGCGAACGAGAGCCGCACATTGTGACGTCAGAATGTCACCAAACTGATTCGGCTTTTGTCCTATGGCTGAATACACATATGGCTCTACTTTAAGCTAAAATCTATGTTTTCGCCATACATCAGTGTTTGCAAACGACATACGACATATGACTTGCATACGACAGCCAGCTGTGTCTTTTATTATTCGATGTTCAATACGCGACGATTGCCTTAAGGGTCTATTGATTGATGCTTTCGCCTAGGGCCAAGTAAACTTGGTGCTAGTTTGTTGTATAAATCTAGGAAAGTAGGGATGTAGTACTGCAAAATTGATGTCGGGGCCATGCCAATGTGAAAACTTCATGGAAGCAAAGTTTCCTTCATATGTCATTGTATAACCTGGATTTGGGGGTCGATTAATGTAGCACGCTGACATTGGAGATTGTTTGGGCTATTGGATTATCGGCGAAAAGTTTCAAACCTTCTTCCCTCTTCGTCTTCTCAAGCTGAAGCAAATTATAGTTTAGTTGCCTTTTGGCGAGCCTTACTTTGTCTCATTTTGTGCTCTGAATTTTAGGGAAGCATCTTTTCCAGCTGTTCCGTTGTATTGGATGACTCTTGACATTTGCTTAAAAATGCCTAAAGGTTTTTAAAAAGAATAGGTATTTTCCTTGTTGAGAGGTGTCAGAATAATTAGGATCTCTCAGATTTTGAATATCAAACTCAACTTTTCCTTACAAACAGCACTCTGAATTAACAAGGTTTTTTAATCTTTAGGTTCAGGCCTTGAATATACTGAAAACGATGTACCGAGACAGCTGGCTCGGAAACGAGGCTCTCAAGTATGCACAAGACGGGCTGATGCTTTCAGTTGAAGGGTTTTCATCGCATTCTTGGGCCATACGAAACGCAGCACAAATTCTGTTGGGTAAGTTAACATTTGTCAAAATTTTTGCAAATTTCCACAAATGATGATAAGAATTGACTTCGGCCTACCTAGACAAGTATGGGATTAGTTGCCTAGAGTTTTGCTTTATCGTCTTCAAGAATTCGAGATTAGATTTAAATAAAAAGCTTTTGATTGACTAACAGCACAGTTTTGATTGACTTAGTGAATTTTCTGAATGAACCGAATGTTTGTATTGTATCCAAGGGGATGGCAAAGCATAGTTAAAGCGTGTCTTAGCTAGATAAATTTTTCCATTCAGAATACATTTTGTAAAGCCCATGCTCTAATAGTTTGTTCATGGTGAAACCTTTTTCTCAAACTCGCACAAGCTCAAATGGGTCCTGTCTCAGTTTTTCGCAAGGGTACCTTAATGGGGAGCGCTTTAAGTGGAATTCCGCGTGAAGGGGGTTTAATAAAGTCATTACAGTATTATTCACTTTTTTTCTCTCTCTGTTATTCCAAATGCTATTCTTCAGAAATTTATAATTGCTAACAGACGGTTTAAACATAGAATATTCTGTACATTATTAGTCATTAATATCATATAGAAAACTGATGAATTTTGAAAATGGATGGAAGAGGTAATAAAATATTTGTGTAAGATTTGTCTTTTTATTTTAGGTGCTCTGGTTCCTAGAATGTTTGGCCAGAGAGTTACCCAAGCTGATAAATGGCATCACAATTCCCTCAGCACCACAATGTTTTTTAAAATGTATCCAAAACTCGAGGATTTTTTCATCGAAAAACTGCAATCTGAAGGTGTTTTTGATCAAAAGGTCAATTCCCTCTCATCATTGATCCCAATCTTGACTATGCTGTCAAGATTGAGGCCCTGTGATTATGAGCTGTGAGTACTTTTTACTTGAAATTTGATGGCTTCATTTTTTTGCTTGATGACCGAGCCTGAATGGCTCTTGCTGTTATGTCACCTTAAGAATTTATGACTTATTATTAGACTTTTGGAGAAGTTAACGGGAGAATAAAGAGTTCTAAACGATTCTATACTATTACGAGACCACGATTAGATCAAAGATTTTTTGAAATAGTGGAATAGAAGAAGGGCCTGGATGGCTCTTAGCAAACAGCAATTGTATGTATTATCAAAACAAGTGAAAAATTATTGGCCATTTAATTACGACTCTGTGAATGCATAACGCAGATTATTCCGACCGAAAGCTGTTGGAATCCAGAAATAGTAGACACAACATTAAAGAGAATCGCTGTGTTGCTTGATGTATTTTTGTAAAGATCTGCTTCAAAGATGCGTTTGAGCTAATAACCGTTTAAAAAGTTTTTTTCACCAAGTATTGCTATTGTTCTCTGTAATAAAGTATATTTCTAAGATGCACTTCGATGTATAGAATAGAGCGGTTGTAAGTTGCAACTCTGAGTTTCGCGCTTAATGCATTCGTAAAGGAACTGTTAAACTATCTGTTTTCCAAGGTATATGTTTTTAATACTTTCAATTCAAAACGCTTTGTATTCAATGCAATATTCAAAAATTTTTGTTGGCAAATGTTTTGTTCCAGAGTGCAGTCAGATTTCTGTCCATTACTGAAACGTCTTATCGATTGTCCGGTTTACACCGTTCGCGAACTTGCTGCTGGATCATTGGTACAGTTTTTGCCTACTGTCGAAGTTTTTGGCTTTATTGACATGCTGATCAAGGATGCGACTTCTCTTAACGAAAACCTAAAGCATGGAATTATGCTTATAATAAAACATCTAATAGAAGTCCAGGATGATGACAAACGTGTTAGTGACGGTGTTACTGCAAAAATGCTGTTGGCAGTGTCAGGATCCTTACTGGGAAGTGGAATATGCGCTACACTCGCAACCTGTACTTTGCTAGAAATCTTCAAAATTATCTTGCCAAAATTATGTGAATCTACCAATAATGATGATATTTTGTTACGTGGTAAGTTTAATGTCCATGCGAGTGTTTCCTTTATGCCATCTTTTCACACAAATTGTCAAATGACTAGGCATTTAGTTTTTATTTTGATAAGCTCATCTGTTTCCATGATTTTTGCAAATTTCAATGAAAAATGTTTATATTTGTCATTAGATAGACAGGTTTTTCGATGCATATCGCAGGGTTAAATGGAAATACTGTACTGTCAGCAAATTCATTACACTCAAGTTTAAGTAAACTGCAGACTTTTGTCAATCAGAATAGCTATTGTTGTTAACTTATCCTAACGAATAAGAACATTTCAACAAACCTAGCGAATTCTTCTTTTTTCACATTTGCAGACTACATCAAAACTTCATTGGAAGTGACGTTAGCTTCAATGACAGATGTTTGTAAAACAGACTTAGAGCCAGGAATCTATTTATTTCTCAGACGGTTGGCTCAATTAGTTGTCTGTTCTGTTTTGCATTGGCAGAATGTGGATAACAGTATGTTTCTTTGTTTCCTTATAGTAAAATCAATGGCTATTTGTGTAGAATCAAATCTCTCTACCTCATACCTACCCATACACATATGCGATCCTTGTATAAGTTTTCAAATGCATAATGTTTTGCACTTTTGAATTGGCAAAAGACGACATTTCCTTTCACCCGAACCTGATATGCTTCTGGTGAAGCCAGGACTGTTCATGTATTGGCTGCTATTCTTAGCGTTGGCAGAGAGACAGGTACCTAGGCCTTTATGGCTACTTGAGTCTCGATATGTCTTTCTTTAACGCCACAGACACAGACAATTATAATTAACAGATGTAATCTTGTATAGTAATAGATTTGGTCCGAGAGAACACTGTCGTCAGAGGGCATTAATTTTAGCAGTTTCTTGCCTGGTTTTCCTTCTACGGTAGGCCAAATTCTGTTTGATTTTCCTTTGCATAAAGCCAAGTTTTAGTTCTCTTCTTCTTCGTAGGTTTCGCAAGCAACTTGCTGTCAAACGCTCTGTCTCCCAAAAATCATACCCTATTGTTGGAAATGGCTAACGAACTGACACGTTATTTGAAAGAGGGTCACTTCTTTGAGATGTCCTTGAGACATGACATATTTCGCAAAATTTACGAGCAAATTTCCTTTCTGAAAGACAGTGAATTTCAATCAAAAATGATGCAGTGCTGTTTCTATGCACTCAAGGGTATAGAGATCTTCAATTTACCAATCGAGAGCACCTCGAGTCTGTTGAGTAGCTATCTGAATTTAAATATATCTGGAGCTTCGCAAAGATATCTTGCTTCATTTTTACCGTTCACTGGAATGGTGTTGAAGCATTTAGACCCAACTTCGATTGCCAGTGGAAGCGTCTTTGTGGAAATAAGCAATCTTTGGTCCGAAATGGTAATGAATTTTTCTCAGCCAGATGAAGGGGAAACTCTCAGATGGAGCAGTGTAAAGGCTGTTCAATGCTCTATTGAAAGTTTCCTAAAACTTTTCAAAAGTAACAATGATGCAGATGTTTCACCAAGATTTGATTCGGTGGCAACGGTTTGTGCAAGGTAGGCAAATGTTTAATCGTTCAATTTAATTTTTGCTTCTGGTTTTTTTTTCATATACCATGCTTTTGGCTCTAACAAAATGTTTACTTGTGAAGTTACTATTTTTCAGTGTTTGCATAATGTTTGCTTGTGAAGTTTATTTTGCTATACCATGCTCTTGGTTCTAACATAATGTTTGTAGATTTTTTTGCTATTTTTCAATGTTTGCGTAATGTTTGCTTCTGATATTTGTTTGACTACATTGTCCCGAACGATAGAAGAAAATTCTTGAGAAATTTGTTATTCGAAATTACACAGAATGGAGAAAGGTGGCAAGTTGCATATGCATTTGCAATTACCTTTTGTGACCACGTTACCGCGTTAACATAAGAGGAAGAGCACCTTTCAAATAATATAATATTAGCAAACTAGAAATTTCAATATAACCTGTATTGAACATGAAACTGATCAGTGGAGTAACAGCAGGCAGTAACAAAGCAGAATTGCTAACTTTACCATATAAGTTTTTGATAAGTATTTTTTATTGTTTACTCTCTTTAAGTTTCTGTACTGGGGTCCCTTCAGAAAATTGCTGACAGGCTACCCATTTTAAAATTTGGAATCGAATTGAAATTGAAAAAATACTGGGCATTTACAGTTAAGGTATGATTCATCTTGGGCAGCTCTTAAATAACGTACAAAACACCCGTTTTCCCATAACTGCCTCCAATGAAGTCCTGGTTATATAAGTGTAATGTGCTTGAAGCTGACTGAAAACTTTCTAGTTTTTTTAAATATCGTTTTTACGTTTTCGATTTAAAATAATTGCTAGGCTCAAACTTCATGAACTTCATTTATTTATCTGATTTTTTCACAATTTATTAAGTTAATTAACCACAACTTATTAAGTTAATTTATTAAGTTGATAAATTTCAAAACATGTGCCTTTTCATGGGCAACTACCGACACTGCATAGCGTTTTGAATTCTGCAAAATCTTTGAAAGAAAAGTATCCAATTTGAAAAAGGGTCCGTTTTTCTGCGACATGCTGCCCCTTTCTACTTGTGTCACTCGACTAAAAAGTGCTTCCGATAATAGTGATTTCGTAAGCTTTTATTAGCTTGTTGATAAATGACAGCAGTTTATGGCAGAAATGGATGAATAACAGATAACATATATTAAGAGCTCTTAACCAACTCTAATACTGTAGAAAGGAAATTATGAAAATAACTGTGTAGTTTGAAAGCTGGCCTAATCCCTTCAAACATTATCTTATTTCTGACCCAACTTTTGATTCACCAATATTCTTATTCAGTTGCTTTTCCTTGATTTGTCTGTTCATGTCAAATACTTTTTGTCCAGGCTCATTATGGCAGCTTTGACGTTAATTCAAGATGAAGACGAAAACATTCGTAACGCTGCTACTGATATTGCAGTTGCTATATCGCAGCTCAACGGCCGGGCAGCTTGGGATCAACTGCAGCCGAATCTAGCAATGAAGCTGGTACTGAATTACATCAAAGATAACATGCAAAATAATGCGGTTTTATTTGAGATGTTGTTTGAAAGCTTAAGCGGACTTGTAGGTCCTGAAGTTAACCCAAATGAAGACACTAGGTAAGAAGAAACTCTCTGTAGTTTTAGACTGATTGAATATGAACAATTTTTTTGCGGTACAGAATTTGAAAAAAGGCTTTGAAAAAAAGCAAACATTTTACGACATACTAAAAGCTTTTTCGTCTGAAACTCCTCAGAGCATAAAACGTCAGAATAAGGTTCCGAAAGAACACGATGGAAAATATATACCCAGTTGTGGATCGAAATAGGCCAATCAGTAAAACGCAAGCACAAGACCGGTATGGTTGACCAATCAGTGCTGCGAGCCTAAAGAATACGTAATCGCCAAATTTGTTTTAACTTTCGAAAGTTTGGTACGTTTTGAGTCACCTCTAAACTTCTTTCTTACCTCTTTGTTACTAAATGTGTTTGCTCGGAGTACATTTAACAATGGATTATCAACACCTACATATTTCATCGCGTTTAGAAACCATATTTGCTCGAAGTTTATGTAAATACAAAACACAAAAATCTATGCATTTTATCTCCACTCCAGCTCCACTCATTTACATTTATACAAAGACCCTAGTAACATGTTTCTGAAATTAAAAAATGGCTTTTACAAGTGAACGGGGCTCAGTCAGAATTTAAGAAACTGTTCCTGTTTTGTTACTGCATTTTTGCACTGCGAAAAAAATTGCCTTGCCAAAAGTTGAAAAGCCATAAAGGCAAATGAAAACTAAAGAGGGTTTGAAGCTTAATTATTGTTAAAGAATGATAAATTACGTTACGTTTTTGTTCTAAGAAGCCTTAGGCCTACTCTTATCTTAGGAAAAACTTATCTTAGGCTTTAAGTAGAGGAATGTGCTTCAGATATAAAAGACACAACTAATTTTTTACAAAAAAAATTTCAATATACACACTATAACCCCACTGAGCTCATTGTTGGTTACGCTAGATGTAAACATCAAGATAAGGATATCGAAGCTTAGCCACGATGCCATAAAAATCAGTGTGGGAAAACCACCCCGCTGCATACTCTAAACTATTCATCAAAAAATTGTGATACTTATTCTCAAATATAATGAAGGGATCAATGTAATAATTCAGCAATTCGACAAAGTCACAGTCATAACTTCTTAAACCGAACAAAACATGAATAATTGACCTTACGATGTTCATTGGGCACATTTTACCCTTAATAAAACCATAAGACAATCACACTTTCCATATAAAAATATTCTTTTAACACACTGAGATGATTGCAAAGGACAAAGACTTACAAAATAAATTGTCGCAAATCCCCACTCCAGTCCTACAAAGTCAAAATGATCTAATTTTGCTAAAAGGTAATTTTGTGTCATACACTTTAATGCAACCCATCTCACTGCCACACCCCTGCAACACATATCACAATGTATCAAACCCAAATGTTCCACACGCGACATATTTACAGAAATGTATTATTTTTTATGTGAATAATTTTATATACCTCTACAGCCACACTATGCCAATAGAATCGTACAAACCTACAGTTGTTCAGTTTGAATTCAGTTGTGTTACAAAAACGCTTCAATTCATTGATACACCTTTGCTGTCATTATCCCTGGATGCAGGGATAAAGGGGAACCCAGTTATAAAGGAGCATACTGATCATAAGCCTCAAAAAGCTCTACCTGGCGAGGACTCAAATTTTGAAGCACAACATGCATATTTATGTGCCTATATATGAAGTTATAGAAATAAGACAGTATAGTATCTCTGTTCTGACATATGCTCCAGATATTTGGACACACTACTTTAACAACAAACTAGATTGCAGATCTCTCCCGGCACAAGGCAGTGTTGCAATGTCCGGTTGGTATTGCATCAATTTTTTCTTGGATTTCTGACAAGCCGTGCTTGTCTTTTTGGCATGGTTTTAAGAAGAGGCACAAATATCAACCACACTTAAATCTCAAGTGAAAGAAAATCAGAATCAATTTAGAAAAACTTTTCCCTCCATACCAAACTATCACTGACAATCCCTATTTCATGTCATTAGTAGTTTTTATCCTGTTACTTTTAGAACAGACAATTTCCAAGCATAAGCTACCTTCTCGCTACAGTTTTATGAGAAAAACATTAAAGAATTGGGAGAAAATACTTGCCCTGCCAAAATAAGCTTTGCCCTGCGAGAGGGCCATATTTTTGTGGTTGGGGGGTTAATCACCCCCATACCCCCCTCAAGTGACGCCCCTGCAAGCACCACTCTTCAAAGCACTTTGCAAGAAGCAATTTTATTAATTCAACTGTAGGACCTTCAGGCCTGCCGGAAGCTTTTCTGGGGCTTGGGGCAAAAAAGAAAGATGGGGTTTGTGATGTCCTCATTAAAATTATGGTTACTTTTGTTATTGCTATTGTTAGGAGAGATTGCAACTTTGCTTCAATTTATAGGGGCTCCTCTCAGCTCTAGACCTAGGGCATTATTTGCCCTGCCCCCCTCACGATCGTTCTAACGATCTTGGGAAAATACGTCTTGTTAATGCACCATGCACAAGATAATGGCTTGTTTCAAATTTGGTTACTTGAGGATATCTTAGGCTCGTAATGTTATACATATGAGTTCAATCCCTTGTTTTAGTTGAACAAACATAAATTTATAACTGTCATTAGCAAATGTTCGATTTCTTTTCAAATCTGTTTATCATCATGATATCTTACACGAATGCTTTGTTCCCCTTTCCAGGTCAACTTTGCTATTTGAACAAGAAAGTGCAAATCTTTTTGCTGAGAAGGCTGTGTATGCCAAGCAGGTCATGGGTCTTTTTGAGGTAAACAAACCATCATTCAACCTATATCATGGCCCTTTGTCACCGTTTCTTAACAATTTTGGCAAATGTGCACAGTGATTATGATTATATGCTTAACACAGGAGGGCTACTGGTTAAAATTTTGCATCATTTAGTTGGTTTAAAGCAGTAGTGCATTGTGACTTTGCCAACATTGCCCTAACTTACTTCAAACATAACTTACATTTACTCCCATATTGAATACTCTAGTTTAACTACCGCAAACTTTGAAATGAATTTTGTCCGTGACTTTTAAATCCTGACCGGGCGTCTAATGTCAAACAGAATCTAGCATTGTAGCCATTAGTTTTTAATCATAAGTTATGTAGTTGTATGTAGTTTAACGTTGCCTATTGGCCATGGAGTAGTCATTATCTTTCGCTCCCCTTGGTATCTCCATAAAGCATAGTAACTAGGATAAGTATGGTAGAAAGTAACATGTATTGTAATATCTTATATGCATAGAAAAAATAATATTCTAGTGCAAGATAATGCATGAAAGCCTTAAAAATCCAAAGAATTCGTCATTTTCAATCTGCCCTGGATTACCAAAATCAGTCAAGTCCAGTTATAGCCAATCCGCACATAGTTTCCAGTTGACATCATCCTCGCTTTTCAATACAGCAATTCAACTTCAAATCTTTTTTGTACACAATTTTTTTGACCCTAAATTCGGATTAAGAGCAAGAATTTTAGTCTACTTGGAAGTTATCATTATGTTATTGCTCCCCATATTGGTTTGATGAAGACATAGAGATAAAAATTTTACAAGGGGTTTGACCGTGATTTGTAATTAAGGGGGTGAAGTTTCACACGGGGTAATTTTTGCGTTCAAATCTCTTAAAATCACCCACAAACCAGTGAGAATCCATAAAACCAATAGGAAAACTAGCATGTGCTGGGTGTGCAAATTTTCAAATTAAAGAAACATCGCAAATATGCAGTGTAAGCTGCGAAAACAGATAAATTTGAAAACGGAAACAGGCTTTTTAGCTTGTTTTTTGAAGCAGAAAGATGTTAACACTGATTTATATCTTTTTTCCTTTACTTAAACATGTTAACACGGCTTACTTTAAGCGTTTATAGAAAAACAATGGAAAAACGAATACAGAGCAGTTCGAAAACGTTTTCTTACTTGGGAACTTCAAGGTTCATTTTACATAATTGGAAAGATGGTTGCCTTTCTAAATCTCTGCAAAAAATAAATAGAGGGTAGAAAATAGTTTGGCAGAATAGTTTGTTACAGATGTGCAACTTTATCTTTCATTTTCAAAATTGAGCATACACCTCAGCACATTTCACTTTGATAAACCTTTCTCAAATAAGCCTAAATAAGTCAAGTCAGGAACTCCAACCACAGACCCTTGGATCTGTAGGCAGCACCTCTAACAACTGAGCCATCCCAGCACACTAAATTAATTCAAGGTAAGTAGTTACCAGTGACGCTATTAAGACCATTATCTTCGTCCTCTTTTACAGGAGTTGGGAAACCATTTCAGAACAAGTCAACACGAGAGCTCTCTTCAGAAAGTGACAGGCTGCATAAAGCATTTTGCAGAACAGTTTATTTCAAAAAGTAAATTTTGGGCTGATGATAATAAGGATGTTAAGGAAGATTGCAGATTTCCAACATATTTTGATGAAACTTGCAATCCAAAGATATTTCTATTTCTAACAGTGGCTTTTGGAATCTTGCAAATGGCAGACAGTGTTGCTGCCAATGATGTGGTTGCAAAGATAAATGAGCTTATCCACACAATTTCTAAGGTTAGCTTTTACTATTGTCAAAACACTTAAAAGTCTGACAGCACTCTAAAGTGCCTAATGTCTAGATTTGCTTCTCAGGGGCAGACACTTAGTCAAATATTGGGGGGGGGGCAAGCCTATTGTTTTAATAAGATGACATCACAATTCCCATTGTTTTGGAACAAAAGACCATTGTCCTCTAAAGTATTGGAGGTCACCCCCCCAGGTGTCCACCACCTCACCCACTGATGCTTCTATCGAATCTAAAATAAACCATATTTTGAATTTTTTGCTTACTTCTTGATGGAAATTTTAAACAGTAATTGTAGTAGTTAATGCAAAACTCTGTTTGATTCAAAAACTGAAATAATCTTGCATCTCCTTCTAGGGCAAAGATCAACATCCATTTCTGGAAAATGAACACAGAATGGGTTTTGGCAACATACATGAACAATCAAAATAACTTAACAACAGTAAGGTTCATACTCTTTTAGCATTAGTTTACTGACATTGTTTTTTGTGCTTCAAAATAAGCAATCTGAAGGGTGAATTAAATTTACCATAAAAGATTACCTCAAAATAGATATGAAAATGTATTAATGCCAGTCACGAATCACGATGATATGCTTGTTTTTATGCTTTAAACTGAAAATCTGAGCAGTGAATTTAAATAATCATATAAACAGTACAAGAACACATCAAACAAAAAATTAAAATTTATGAATATCAGTCACAATAACAGGTATCAAACTAGCTTTTTCCAAATTATCATTCCTTGGCTGTTTAATGTCTGTGTTGTGTCTGGTTGACAGCCTTCTCTGGTTTGAGTTCCTTTTGGAAACACGTCTAGATATTTCTTTATAACTGTTCCTTGCCATGCAATAAGTATATAAACTGTGAGAATCTTAGTAAGAACAAACTGGGTTAAGAGTCACAAACCCTGTGGCACATATTGATCATATTGGAGGTACTGATAACTGCATGCCTTGATATTTCAAAATATTATTCATTACATGGTTTTGTGCCATTTTTGGTTAAAAAGACTAGATCCATTTCATATACTAAAATCCTTTTTTCAAACAATTGATACAAAGAAACTGAGCAAATGACTCTACAAAAAACTTTTGGAACCAAGTCCTGTCTTCCTCTGCAGATAATTTTAGTACCATAAATAAGGGTTAATTAAATAAGGGCATAATATTTTCCTTATTAAATAGAAGGTTTAATTTAATCCAAAAGGGTAAAATTTTCAGTGTAGTTTACAGAGTGACAGTTCTGTCTCCCCTGACTATGAATTAGAGGGACCTACTGGTTACCAGACAGCCATTTTCCTAAATTGAAGTAGAATCATTTATTCTGTCCTTCTTCCCTCCCACCATAGTCCTTGCCATTTCCCTTTTGCTTTGTAGTATCCCATACTGGGTTGTCAATTAGTTTCTTGGGCTCATACCTCCAAACACCACCAAAGACACGCCAATCAAAAATTTGTGGAACCTTACATTTACCAGAATATTTGTCCAGATTACCATCAGAAATTGCATTGCCTTCTCTCAAGGTCCACAGAAGTCTCATGTCTTTTGGATAGCTGCCATGTACTCCAATATATCTTGTGCACACTTTTTTGAAGCGTTCAGGGACATCACCAAATTCCCGTAAAGGTGGGTGATGATGGAGTCTTGGGTCATGATTATAAAGAGATTGTATATTCAACTCTTGAACCCATGTTGCTATCATTTGATCAGCCCATGGATGACCTTTGATAACATTTGGATCTTGTTTAAGGAACTTCTTGATTAGGTCATTGGAAAGAAGTATAATGCTTTCTTCTGGTCTGACTATGTTTGACAAACAATGCACATATCCCCAATGGTATAATTTGCGCATTGGTAAGGGCAGCTCGTGGAGAAACCTTTCTAGGCAAAAAAAGTAATCATCATCCATTCTCATGAAATAATCAAACTTATAATTTTTCATTGCCCAAATCATGTGGTACAAAAACCTCCTTCCAAATTCCACACCACCTTTTAGCTTTTGGAATGCAATATCTTTATGTGTTTTTTCTTCCTCTAAAAGTTCCCTACCAGTTTTTGTTGAAGGTTCAAAGTAGTCTGTCATAAATACACATGTAACTTTGACCTGCAAAAAAATTAAAAAGAATTTCATTATGTTGAATATTACTTAACACTGAAGTCGCAAAGCAGAACTTAATAGTTATGTTATCACTGTTATCATCTTGTTATCACTTACGATAGTCAAGGGCCTAAGGTGAAAAATTTCCAAAACAAAATTACGAGGTGAAGGGGCCTTCATTGCTACTGATTTTGGCAGGAAAATAATGCGCCATCTCAATTGCTTTCTGGAATGAAAATTAATTTTAAGGATTATTCTATTGTTTTGAGAACAAAAAATACTGGGGAAACGTTGAAACCAATATACAGA